TGACCTTAAACCTTACCCACATGAACAGTACAGGGGTGACATCTCAGAATACGAGTCAGATGACCAAGACGACTACGAGTCTGTCGATTCGGTTGATGACTTTGAATTTTCTATTGACTTGAATGTACACTCTAAAAGCAATTATAGATTAACTAAGAAACCTATTTTTCGAGCCACAAACAGGTCAAACTCTTCCGTTGGAGTCCCGCCACCTTCGAGACAGAGTTCCCGACCTTCTTCACACACAAATTCCCACAACTCTAACCCCCCAATGGATATTGATGATGATGCCCGTAGTTCAGAGAAGTCGAATTCACAAAATTCCCAATATTTTCATACATGTAGTTCAGGTTCTTCTTCACTTGAATCTGCTTTTTCTGTTTATAGTACTTCGCCCAGCGTTACTGTCGTTAGTGGTACCCCACGTAACGAAGATTCGATGATAGGTTTTGTCCCCAATTCTTCTGATGATGATTCTGAAGCCGAATCTGAGCTAGAACAAACAATTTTGCGTCGTAGCACACGAACGCGTTATCCTCGATCTCGCTACTCTCCAGGCGATTTTAGACGTTAAAGAATGAAAAAAGCCGAAATTTTGCCGAATTTTTACATAAAAAACTTTTTATATTGTTATTATTGACTTGTTTTTCAATTTTAAACCAATTTCTTTTAATACTGTATTTTTTTAAATTTTTCTGACTGTAAAATCCCAGATTTTACTTTATTTTACACTCAATACCACAAAATGTATTGTATTTTATTCCTCAATTTTTTAGTGTACACACACTACTTTTTAGCTACACAGACTAACTTTCCAAGTTTTATACACACAAAAGGTTTCTACTAGTATACACACGTATTTTTCACTCAAAGAGTCAATTTCCAATTCATTCCCGTAATTTTTCAGTGTGTATACATAATAACTTTGTCACACAGATATGCCGAATTTTTTTCTACCTTTTACCTTAAATGTCAACTTTTGAAACAAACTGCCGAAGAGACGAAAAATCTGTATTAAAATTACTAACCTCAATTTTTATATTTTGACCACAATACATATTAATTTGGTTGTCCAATCTTGTTTACTATTTTCAGCTAACCCCCGCCCCAAGAAGAGGACGACCTTCTAAAATCGGATGACGATGGCTCCGACACTACAATCACCCCCGCATCTCTCTCCACCACGATGGAAACACTGGCAATTCAGCCGCCCCCAGAGGCCAACTCAACCATGGACACGTCAGATTTTTCGCCCCCGATTCCGTCTTCTTTTGTCCCCCAAACGCCCGTCAATAACATATTGACCGTCCATCGACGTCAGGACAATCAATTTGTCCCTCCACCACGACGAAATCCTACACCCGCCCCGCGGAGATGGTTTCCACGTCGTCCACCACCACTACGTCGTCCTACACGTCGCGACATCATTCCTCGGCAAGCACCGCGTGCGATTACCCACCATCGTCACTACTACGGAAGGAATTCCCCCTTCTCAAACCGTCTCACGGATCAACTCCGCATCTACCTCCCCAACGGACGCACCGTCCCCATCTGTTATCTATGTGGCCTCCCTGGCCACGTTCGTTTCCGCTGCCCCCGTTTCGTCTCAAATTTGCCCCCACAACACGGTAGGGACTACCGCTACTTTCCCGGGGGGTCCTGAGGGAACTATGCATATCATATGCATCCTCCCCTCCTATCTCTTCCTCGTCTCCATATTCATACATTGATATCTGTTTGGGCAATGCAACGACCGAGTCTGAACTCTGAAGATGGGACCAAACAAGATTTGGACTGGTGGGGGCCATATAAGTGGGTGGCGTGCATAATATACATCAAAATTTAAAAAATGCGCTAGAAAGCCGAAATTGACATGGAGCTTGATAATGGGTTCTAGTGAAAGAGTATGAAATGAAATTGTAAAATTTTTCAACGGAAGGGGTGGTATGTGGGGTGACTCATACCGATTTTCAAAATCATCCAAGCGAGCTGAAATTTGGTACGGAGGGTGATAATGGTTTCATTTGGACGAATATGAATTGAAATGAGAAGATTTTGAACTGAAGGGACCCTATATAGAATTTCGTAAAAAAATTCGGATTGGGTGATAATCCCAACCTTTCCTGACTCGGGCTATATCAAGTCTGCCTGCATTGTAGGTTTTTAATGACGGAGTTACAAAATTGTTCACTTAAAAACCCCAAAATAAATAAATTTAAAAAAATAAAACTAAGGCGAGAGGCGCTATTAAAAACAAGAAACAAGCCCTCCCACCAACACCCCCGTCTCGCCGTGGCCCCATTAATATTTTTATATCTGGGGGTTGAGGGAACTATGCATATCATATGCATCCTCCCCTCCTATCTCTTCCTCGTCTCCATATTCATACATTGATATCTCGACCGGCCAGTCACTCCAAATTATCAATACATCGACTGAAGGACATCGTCTCCTTCAACAAGGACATATACTGTCTTCTGTCCAAGAATCCTGGCAGACGGAGTTCCGGCGTCTACCAAGACGTATCTCCTCTCTCCACCATTGCCATCCTAAAGTCCCCCATAATTCTACAGTTTCCACAACCTCTAAATATCTTTTGGTTTCTTGATACATAAATGTAAAATCCTCCGGCTACGTAAAATAAATTGATAACCAGTTGCTCTGTAAAAACTATAACTCTCGGGGGACGCGTATTACATTTCGGTGACTTATTTCGAGTGCTAAATTCCGATAAAACATTAACTTTCGTGTATCTCACATCATAAGTGGGGCTGCCGATCGCACATACGGCCTTACGCCTCCAAACTGTGTGGTGTCCTTCCGGAACATTCATCCCAGTCCGTCCCGACTGCACTCACCTCTGACCTACCAAGCGCCAACCGGAAGACCAACGCCCACAGGGTGTAACCGCAATTTATGATTTAAGCTTTTAACTACTAATGTAAACTGCATTTGAATTGATAATTATTACAATTTTATATTGCATTGCACTTATAAAACCTATTATCTGCAGTTCTTGCATTAATTTCAATTTAAATATGTATTTAGTTTAGCATTAATCAACAGAGTACGGATAAATATATTCATAAAGACCCCAAAACATTTATATAAAATGTTTAACCAAATCGACAAAATATGTACAAAAACAATTTTTTGTTTGTTTAAAACAAATCTAGAATCAAGATCATAAAGTTTCAAATCAATCGGTGCTGTTGACAAAGTTTGGAATATATACATACCCTGACTCTATTCATCAACCATCGTACAAAAATAAAATATTTACTTCTTAAAACCAACTATTTTAACGTAGGTAGTCATGCGGTTAAATACATCCCAAATCTGCATTCATACATTTCAGAATTGAGCTTGCTGCTCAGGTAAACGAGTTAAATAAATAAGCTTTCGTAGTTTGATTTCCGACATCTGTCTGACCATTTTATGACGCTATCCCGTCACCTATTTTGCCAAATATGCCCTACTGTAAGTTGTTTTTTAAATTGCTGTGTATGATGCAGGGAAGAATTACAAAAAAATAAAATTGTGGTTACACCCCCAGATATAAAAATATTAATGGGGCCACGGCGAGACGGGGGTGTTGGTGGGAGGGCTTGTTTCTTGTTTTTAATAGCGCCTCTCGCCTTAGTTTTATTTTTTTAAATTTATTTATTTCCGTATTTACTTAGGTGCTAAAGGCAAAAAACGAATAAAAATCACGAGTTAAACTTGTACTGCGTACTGCGTACGAGGTGAGATGTGAATAGATAAGTATATACATACATTCGCATGAAGGTTATCAAGCTCAAATCCATAAAAAGTTCAGACTTAACGAATCGAAGTGGATCAACATGTATGGAAAGGGTGACGTAATTGTAAAAAATTGAGATGTTCTCAGTTGTACCAATGTAGGTAATTTTAAAAATACTAGGAAATTATGTTATTATGAAAATTGTGTTGTGGCACGATTTTGCACACAAGGTGAGTAGAAGAAGAAAGCCTTCGGCATAGCAAAACATTTGTGCCTTTCTTTTGTATTTCGTCATCTTCAGTAATGCATATATTAGATATCCAAAATAGCTTTGATGACTTTATGGGATGAAAGTACAACTGTTTAATGAAAATTTATGCAATTTTTTTATTCAGAATGCTTGGGTACATTTATTTAAATATAAATACATATGCAGTTTACCCATTTCTTGCAGCCCAACATTCATAATTTCACCATATTCCTCAGAAAGTTTATGAAATTCTCGATACCCAAATAGGTGGGCTTTGACAATTTGAGGTAAGTTTCCAAGTATTTTCAGGGCCAGACGGTAACCTTCTATTTCTCCGCTTGGTTAACAAATAACAAATTAATTGGGCAGATATCAATATCACACATGTGAAAAATGTCGCAAACATTTTAAAGTGAAGTGTATCAATCCAATTTGTCGAGCTACAAATATCTATCTTTGGTAAAAATGACGCAGATAAAATGAAAATAAAAGTCGCCCATGGATTATTCTGCAATCTTAGAATATATGCATAAATGTACCACCACGTCATTATTGTCAAAGTTATAATCACATTGTATTGTATAACTCAATTTTCAATTAACGCGAACACGAACTTTTTATGCACATAACATATTAAATTATAGTAAATTAGAAAAAATATTAAGAGAGTGAGTGCTGATAACCTAAGAGTAAACAACAACAAAAAAACAATTAATTCGGTCATACCGAATAGGCTAGCTAAACCAGTCTGTTATGTTGTGAAGATGTAAGAATGAGATTAAAATACTGGACATTGGGTGCATGTGCATACTACATCATAATAATATTTACAAGGCCAGATATGTATGTTTAGTGTTACTTGAATTGCTTGCTTCAAGTGTTTTGCATCAAGATGATGATGCTGTTGATAGCTAATCAGTTGCAATCAAGAGAGCATTTCTGCATACTAACAGTTATGACCTTGTCGTTCATATGTTCGTAAGTATATTTCACATGCATGCATATTCTGTTGCATATCAATCTTACATATATAAATTGTGAATGACAAGATTTATTCGTAAAGGTGACTTTTATCTCGTTGCACTCTGTGACTGGAAACCGCTGGGTGACGAGCATAATAAAATAAAAGCGATTTAAGTTCACACGATTTTGAGGTAAGCATATTTTGAAAAATATGTAGTATTGACTGGCATATACGTACAATCATCACATATTTATGGGAACATATTAAAGGATTACTGAAAACGTTTGTCATGATTTTTAGTCCTTGGGGATAAAAGATGTCCAATCCACCCAGCAAAGATTTACGAGATGGGGGCTGCTGCACGTCGAGCAAGTCAAATTTGGCCATCGTTATGGAACAAGCTTTGATCACACCTTGTCCGGACGTTGTCGCCACCGTGGTGCACTTGACCTACCCACCAGGCGACGTTGGCTCGGATCCCCACACGCACCCCGGTCCAGTTGTAGGATACGTGCTCGAAGGAGAATTCCTCTTTCAAGTGAGGTCACAAACTACTGAAACAATGTAGTTGAACTAATTAAATTTGACACTACTAAAATTACATAAATCAGGTGAATGAGGGACCCCCCCGAGTACTTAAAGCAGGGGAAGCTTTCCACGAAAAGGATGGCGACGTTCATGTCTGGTCGGCAAATGGATCGAATTCCACGACGTGTAAGGTTGTCGCAACCGTGTGGGGACGCCCAGGAGAACCACTGCTCACGTATGTTGAGGGTTATCCTCGTGTGAGCAGGGAGAAGGCGTTGGAAGTTGCAGTTAGAGGAAAATGAAGTTAACGTCCGGCTGTGTGAATTTTGCTTTATGTTTTTAAAGTTCAATTACACACATACCTATGTATGCATCGTTTGGATTAAATGCAATTTATTGAATTTATGAGTTAATAATAAAAATTCTAGCTGCACTCATTTAAAGACTAACGCATAGAAACATACATATGTAATCGAAGTGAAACGTCAAGTTCGGATTAAGAAGCTCTTACTACGGACTATTTTGTAGGCCACATTTACACGTATGCAACCTGATCTAAATAATTGAATTATAATGGTGAATTTTTAGGACCTGGTTAGCTAAATTTTCATGTGTGAAAGTTATGATTGAATTATTGAATGGCAATATCGGCACAGTGTCTGAACGTCTCTTGAAGACCACATCCCATCCCCTCAGTCCCATTATGACAATCTGCAATTATTTTCAATGATCAATATGAATTATCTGCATACTTATTCCTATCGTAGATCAATTTACCTCCCCAGTTATTCCCAGCCCTATAGTTCAGACGTAGAATACAATGTTGACACCTCAAATTTGGAGGAAGACGAGCAACAGTTTGAATCGTAGGGTTGCCTCCATTACTTTCCAGTGCGTATTTGGTAGAACCGTCTTGGAACGTTAGGCGATTTCTGAGAAAGCATGCCTCCGTCTCTGGGAATCCGTCACAGACTTGGATTTCGAAATAGCCCCAATGCGCCGTGGTGAAATCGAGACCAATATTTATCAACTAACATGTATGTAAATTTTATAAGGACTGAACTTGTGTTCCTGCTAATTTTGTTTATTTTACTGCTAAATAGGTACGCACCTGTCCTGCTTCATACCTAGCAGCGATAACTCCCTTCCCATAAGTGCCCCCATGCTCGTTCGCTCTCGGCATGGGATCAACGTACGGGTCACCACAAGCGCCACAAGTGGTTACGACTTCCTCTTGATGAACTCGGCCGCAATAGAGCCCATCATCATCGTAATTGGTGGGCGGGTTGTGTTCGGAAAAGTCCGGATTTCGCCACATGGATGAACGACTAACGGGTGCAAGCATTCGAACATGGGCGACCACGACGAGTGGCAATAGAGCGAGGAGAGCAAATTTGAAGGTCATCTTTTACTTAGGAAAGTTACAGCTGACAATTTTGAAACTAGTGATCTTCTCCAGGCGCTGATATTAACTATTCGTTATGGACAAACGGACTTGACATGAAGTCGATAATATAAACTATATAATCACAAACTCGTTTGAACTCTTTTATGATATGAAATGATGGATCAATTTGACATGACTCGTTTTTGACTAATGAACAATTGCGTTGCTGGATATACTGGAATTTTTGCAGATGGCACTCACATTTTGAAACCCAATCAACTAATCAAGTTCGAGTGGATTGTTTTCATGGAATGGAAACAATTGCATGGTCGCTTCGTTGCATTTGTCAAGATCAACTTGTTTCATACATTATTGTGGACATGAAATCGATCAAATCGTATTTAATCAAATGAAATTTATCATTGCATTTTAATCAGAGGTTAATCTCCATGTTCGACAAGATAAGTATTTTTAGAAATCTTTGTTTGAGTCGAGGGGTACTAGATAATTATATACATACGAGGTACGAGAGTAAGTACTTTATTTGAAATTAGGCTTTATTCTGGCGAAATGTTACACACGTCAAATACACATGTTTAGAGAATGCTAAAAAATAAAAAAAGCAAATCTAAATCATCAGTCTAAACCCGGACGTCCTAAAAATGTTGGGTAGCTTTTCCCACCACATTCGATAGCCGGACCGGCAGCTGGATCATTCCAGTTCAATTTGCAATCCGAACAGTCGTCAGCCTTTACGGAAGGTATACCATTTCCGGTACATTTATACATGGGACCATCCCCGTTGTTTCCGCAGCCACCGCCTCGCATATCCATGGCGCAAAAGTAGAGCTCCTTGTCCCCATATTCCTGTCCGATTAGAACGATGCATTATATAATTGCGGATCAAGCCATGTAATACATAACTAATGATTTTTTGCTGAGTTAATCATGTATGCAAATAATATGTATGTACCACATTTTTGGGACAATCGCATCTCACAGCATTAGCTTTCGCAGCTTCGAGCTCCCTGTCAACGTACGTCTCGCTGCGTCCAGTATCTTGTCTCGGTGGCCAATAACCTTTAGAAAGTTGTACAGCAATGATCAAGATGAATGAAACGCTTAGGAAATATTTCCGGAACATTTTGCTATATCCGGATGTTGGTAAAACGTGAGTGTGGTAATTCAGACTGGACTTTTATTTTGCATGCAATATATTTACAAAGGAAGTGGTGAACAATGAAAGGAAATTGTTAATTCGCTTTATTATTACGAGCTCTACATATACTTCCACTTGCACTTATGACAATAAAAAAATTACAGTGGACAGTGCTAAGTCACATAGCGAGTTGTCTTCCAAATTTTTGTCTACTTTTTCAAAATGATGGTGCAAAATTTCATGAAGTGGTAAAGCCCTTCTTCTAAATATGTACTTACAATTTGCATCTTTTTACAGGTCCCCCCTTGGATTTTGTTTGCAAAAGATTCTAGAAATATATGTACTTCATACATACATAAAGTATAAATTTGAGATACACATTCACTCCGCATACTCTGAACACAAGTTTCGACTTTTTAAAATATTTCAAATGCCTTAAACGCATTAAAGTACCCTTCAAGGACTGGTCATTGTAGTTACATACAATTTTATATTACATTTTATAATATCTGATTATCTAAATAAAAGCAGCGTTTGATCCCACTTCACTTTTTGTGATATGGAGAAGTAATTGTGCTAAGTTTGTTGACTTATCCTGAGTTAAATTAATTAGATTTTACATAAACACATTGACATGATACGATGTATTAGAAACACAGCACCACACTAGTTACCGTGTGCAAAACATTCTATGACATGAAAAAATGCACTCAATACATAAACCAATCATAGACACTTATTTCAGCTGCTGATAAGTGTCAACTACGAAAAAAACTACAGCAACCTGAGCCCAAAACTTTCAAGTGACCTGCATCAAAATGGACTTGTTATACATATGAATGAATGTTGAGTCGCAAGTCGTGACTCACGACCCAACCTACCTATCACACCTGTCATACCCGATACCCCAATCTCATGACCAATCCAGGACTACGTATATACTCGACAGGCTTGTAATATTCTGGACAATGATGGATTCGTACATAATTTATTGATAAGCTATAATTTTGTTTATTTATAAGGCTGAAGTTTGACCAATGAAACTAAGTTTTGCACACGACAAATGAGATAGTGTCAATTCATGTCATGTGTGAAACATGGTCTCGCCGTGCGCAAAACATTCCATAATATACAAAAATGCACTTGACCACAGTTTGGAATTAAGTCCTGGGTGTATAAATACCCCAACTGCTGGCCATCTTAACTCATTCGACAAAGAATATTGGATTTCAAATCATATAGCAATCAAAATGAAGCTGTTTCTGAGTTTGGGTCTCCTGTTGGCGTATGGATCCTTTTCCAACGCCCAATGGAACACGATCAGTGGGTACGCCACACTCAATGGCGGAACCACAGGTAGATTTTGCATGTCAAAAATATTGGAAATTTCTAGATTTTTACCTTCATTTATCTATTTGGCAGGCGGTCAAGGCGGAGAAACAGTTTACGTATCCACGGAAGCTCAATTGGTCGCCGCAGTTACCGGAAACGACCCCCGAATTGTTAAAATTACGTCGATGATCACACTTTCCGACGTGGTTCGACCTGGTTCCAACAAGACGATTCTTGGTGCCAGCCCGGGTGCAGGGGTGACCGGATCTGGATTCTATATCCGTCGCGTACGTAACGTTATTGTCCGCGGACTCCAAATCTCCTACGCCATCGCGCCGGATGATGGCGTCTCCATCGATGAATCCACCAACGTTTGGGTCGACCATAACGAATTCTTCGCCGACCGAGAACACGGCAAAGATTACTATGATGGACAACTTGATATCAAACATGCCGCTGATTGGGTCACTGTTTCTTGGAACAAGTTCCATGATTCGTACAAAACCAGTTTGGTCGGACATTCGGATAGTAATGCGGGTGAAGATACGGGAAAGGTAATTTAAAAGCACTGCAAACTTCAGTTTATTAATACTAACGTTACCATGATTTTATACAGCTCCACATTACTTACAACAACAATTGGTTCACCGATGTTGGTTCTCGCCTCCCATCGCTTCGTTTTGGCACGGGCCATATTTACAACAATCTGTACGAAAGGGTGGACATTTCGGGAATTAATAGTCGAATGGGGGCTCAGGTCTTGGTGGAGAGGAACATCTTCATCGACGTCAAGACCCCGTTGACCACGGATTTGGACTCAAGCCAAGAAGGATTTGCTGTCGAGAGGGAGAACGACTGGGGGGATTCGGAACCAAACATTACACAAGAAGGGTCGTTCACCAATCCTCCGTATTCATATGAGATGGAGCAACTATCGCGAGTTGCGGCCGTGGTTAGGGCTGGTGCAGGAAATACTATCAGTTTCCCATAATTTGGACCAATTCACAAGTTCATTAATTGAAATATGTTGGGTTTTCTGCTTAATTAAATAAATATTTGGTCAGCTTATTTAACAAAGATATAAATTTTTAAAACCGTTTTTTTAACCGTTACGCGCTTTAACGGTTATTTCTTCCTATCCTTACAACACATTTCTACTCCTTCATTATTTTCCTCTCCCATTTTTTCCCATTCACCCACAAATCACCATGTGAAGCAATCCTCGTCGTCCTGAAAAAGACCCTTTGAGGTCGAAACGTTTACAAAAAAGGCATAATCCGGACCCCTCCAAGTACTACAAGTGAGCCTTATCCTTTCACTTTTCCTATTATATCCTCACTGCACAATTTACATATTATATAAATTTTTAAATATAAATACAAAAGACCAGACAATATAAACAGGTCAGAAATAAATTTTTCCTTATTATCCGAACATGCGAATATGTACATACATATGCATATGTACCTATGAAAATTTTGGTCTAATGGGATAATTAAATGCATAGGAATTTAGTGTCAAAATTTGTAAATAATCTGTGAACACCGATTCCAAATATTCCAATGATACATACCCCAATGAGTACATACTCCAATGATACGTACTCCATGAACATTTTGCAAATATACTGACAAGTTAGTCAAGTTAGTCATTTTACAAGTCAAGTAAGTCATTCTGAAGAGACATGTTTTCGAATTTTTGGATTCGCGCTAAAATTCGAAAATTTGCAGAATTTTTAAAAACCGAGGTTTTGGCTGAAAAATGTTTTAAAATTCGCGCCTCGCGCTCAAATTAGCGCATTATGAAAAATGAAAGAATACGGGTATGCTTATTTTTTGTGGTGAACAAAATAAAATTGGTCCCAACCAGATCTGAGTTGTACACGTAAAAGACTTGCATTGTGAGACCATCATAGTTCAAAGTTTAGATCTCATTAATTTTGTGCCAAATATGTAAGTACGTATATATTTCGCAATGTTAAGTTTGAGCGATGATAACATACATTTGTACATTTGTTTGTGATGTGAGTGTAGCATGCTACACTAAAATATATGTATGTATATATTGTAGAAGCCGAAGGGTATAAAATTAGTAACAAATTGTGAGGGGTAAATTCCAGTACCCCGTACCTGTTGAACTGGGTACGGTTTGTCGATTGCCCTTTTATAGTTCCATACCTACGAATTAATGTCGTAATGACACGTAGACATAAATATGTAAATTTTTACACATATTTATATGTACAGGATGTACTCGGTTTGTACGTACATATGTATTACAGAAAGAGCCAGGTCAATTTAATCGCTAATCTTGATGTGTTTCCTAAAAGACATCATAAAATTTAGCACAGCATCATAGAAACCTATGTATTTATTAGTTCCCTGAAGAAAAACTTAATTTTCATCATTGTGTTCCGAATGTACTTAATAAAGTTCCAGACGAATATTTTCCTCATTAGAGGTGTGTCCCAATCTTGTAGTTTGATCATCTGAGAATGCGTACCCCATGTAAATGTATTTGAATACACATATGTGTTTAACTGGGGTCATCAGTGACGCAATGAAATTCGCAATACTGCGCCATTAGAAAAAAATTACAAGGGGAAATATAACATGAAATCCTATAGCATAGCAGGTTTAATAAATATGCAGAAATATCGACAAGATTCGTCAATATCGGATTAAATCTACATGCATAGTTTATTACTCGACGAAATTGTGCACGTAGTGGGAGAAATTCATTTCATATTACGAACTTGTTTTCTCAGTTGACAATCTGATAATTTAATTAAACCAATTAAGCAGGATGTGTATAGAGGACCGAATTAAACATGTCCTTATGATGGGATTTTTCCGGCAGTTGATTAACTTTGAGTTGTTGCCGTCAATTTCACTTATTTTGCACATTTATTATGCTACATATATCTGAGAACGAGTCATTGACATCATACCAGACTTGGTCAGGTGTTGGTTTGAAACTTGATGCATTTATTGGCAAATTTACATATGCAAATGCAAAAGTGAATATGTACATATGAGGCATACCGTCGAATCGTAAAAGCTTCAAAAATGTAAAGGAAATCGTAATTATGTTTTCAAACGAGGTACCCAATTAAACTTACTTAAATATATTCTCAGGCGGCATGCTTGTTATATTTAATTGGGCATTACATTGAAAATTGCATATGATTCGAAATTTGTTGTGTATTACATTGGAATATTTATACAATTGGAGTAACAAGACTTAACTTGAGGTAAAATATTGATCAATTTTGGGTAGAAGTATTCTCAGGATCGTGGTTATTTGTATGCATACGGTTTCTAAAATACATATTGCGACTATGCGGCAGTATACTTCGCTATTTAGAAAATCATGGCAACTATCTCACTTCCCGAATTTAATTATAACCATCTCCCCAAATTTGAGGTGTTCCCACATTATTCCACCAAACCGGAAGACATTCCCTTCAAATTTGTTCAAAGGAAGTCTCAAAATTTAGCAGACCCGTCTAGAAAACACAAAAATTTCACAGTTGCTGCATTTCTCGTGACGTGTTTCAATTTTGGATTTACACTATTAATTTTTCCTTTTCGATTTAAACGACAACTTTCAAAATCTTCTCTGCATCTCTTTGAACCAGAATCCAGCCTTATCCTTTACACGAACAAATTTCAGCAGATGCTTTGTGCTCTGGCCCACGCACTTCTGATGTTCCAATATTTCTCAGAATGTCGCCAATTGCCGTTCAGCTCTCTCAATCCGAAGACACATCCGGGAATTTATTTCTTGATTTTTGACGATGTTACAGACTTTATTTACAAAGGGGTCACTATTCTGGTATTATGGGTGAAGAAAGACAAGTTCTATAAAGTTATCACCTTTATAACAGATTCAGGATCTCGTAATTTGGAAGTATTTCGGTTAAACAGAGCGGTAAATCTACAGTTTTTTCCTTGGGTGTATTTAAATATTTAAAATTATTTGTTGATATAGCTCCCACAACGATTAGCAATCATTCTGTACGGATATTACACTGTACTCGCTGTTTTATCCACCTTTCTCGGATTTGCAAATGCATCCTCGCCGACAGTCTCCCGATTTTGGCGAACTTATCTTGGCATCGGGCGGTACAACTTTTTCTTGTCTGGAGCCTCCAATTTTGCACAGAGTAGCGAAATATCTTCCCCAAAGGAAATAGCATTTGCCTCCATGGCTCTCGTGGGAATGATATTTCGCCAATTTTTTAGCATATTTGCAGATGGACTTGTTCTAGCGGCGTGTGCAACCTTGTGGTGGTCGGCTAGAAATTTGGCACACATTGTCCGCAAGGATATCACATTGATTGAATTGCAAATGGAACAACAAAAACTGAGAAAGAATAAAATCTATTTCGAGTCAGAGTACGTCTTCTGTCCTGAAAACACTCTGAAAGAGTTTGATGCACTGCGGACACTTTCGAGCTTGATGAATAAAGCTATCAGCGCCATAGTTTTGTGCTATGTGACGGAAGCCTTGTTCTATTATTCGACCGGATTAAACGCCATATTTTTGGCGAAAGATTGGCTGAGAAGGGTTCGCTCGATAACTTTCTTTCTTAACATGGTTGGCATCCTGTTTATGTCGGGAGATACGTGTCGCCAGGTTAATTTAAATAGTTTGATTTCAATATTAATTTTGAGATTAATTTTGTGTAAATCTAATTTAATGTTACATTTTGTACTGCAAGGTGAACCGAATGGCTGAATGGATATCTGCAATCAAGAAAAAATCTTCCTTAAATTTGAATGCAATTCCAATTTTGGATTCAGACGAAAGCACTGTGCTACTAAATGAGTTAAAAAATCGGTCGATTTCAATTACGGGGCACATCTTTGTGATGGACTACAACGCTGTGTTTAGTGTAAGCATAACATGTAAATATTTAAATCGGTTGTGTGTACTGTATTGATCTAAATTAACAGATCATTGGAACAATGGTGACGTATTTCATCATTTTTTTGTCATCGGATTGAGGATGGGTTGACATATTTAACACTAAGACATGGAATATTACAAAAACTTTAATGCAAATATGCATTTTAGATAAGACATGTGCCCTTGCCTAATTTGAAGGTAGTATATTTTAAACAATAACAACAATTTTTCGCAAATGGTATTTTCCTTACAAACATTTGGTGAGATATGTACACGACTTTATCAAAATTTAAATTACGATAAACCTTTAAAACCGGCACAATAAATATTTATGCGAAATTTAATTGGGTAAAATCTAATAATGGGCACTGCACAATAATTCACGACGAGTAGTTTTCTATTCTGGGCGTTCAATGAATGGAAAAATAAATTGGCTGCCTTGTAAAGTTAGTCACACTTTCTCAGCATTACTTTGTTGTCAATACTTGAAAAGAACTTAGGCTTTTTTCACGTGTTATCACTTTGACTTTGACCTTTCTCCCCATTGCATCAATTTGGACATGGAAATAAATCCATATCCTCACTCATATTACGAAAGTCATGCAATAAACTCTAAAAAACGCTTGAAAAACATAGCGTCATCTTTCATTAACTCTTATCTGGATTTTGGATACTATACTCTAGTTTTTCCATTCCACATAAAATCATTCCCCGCAAAACAGCAATGTTCCACCCAAAGTTTAATAATTCAAACAAAACTACACACTAACAGATTTCAGCAACTACTTTGTCTCATAGTTCACTTACTTATCATGCTACAATATTTTTCGGAAATAAGACAAATTAAATATGACACTCTATCAGTAAAGGAATCCAGTCCGGGAACATATTTCAAAATTTTTGACGACTGGACAAATTTTGCCTATAAAATTAGCATTATTCTAAAAGTTTGGTTTGATAAACAAACTTTTTTTCGTGTCTCAAAATATATCCAGAGTTCAAAAATGTTGAAATTTTCCAATCGGAGTCAGCTATAAAGCTTCAGGTACCCTGAATATATGAATCATTACATACATATTTTTTCATAATTCAGGTAAATTTTAATAAAAATGTTGTTTTGACAGCTAAGTCGCATCCTAATTTTCTTCATCTGCTATGCCTACACAATTATCGCTGCAGCATTCTCGGTGATTGGTCACACCCCCGATAGTTCAACGAGAAGTGCCATCTTCCCTGATATAAATCTGTTGTTTCGCACATACTTTGGGATTGCAAGGTTTAATTTTTTCTCGGCAAACAGTACTATTACCGACGCCGCCGTGACGACCGAGGGTGTCAACCCCCTCCAAATTGTTGCCGCTGTTGTCGCGTTTACTGGAGTGCTTTACCGACAACTATTCGGACTCTTTACTGACGGTCTTCTTTTAATGGGATGTCTCACACTTTGGTTTCCGGCCAAGATATTTTCATCCCTGGTCGCAGCGCACATCGTAGAGCTGGAGGCATTACTAGATCCTCAGAGTCTCAGAAATTTAATTGTCCTGACCGAAGAACAGCATATTTTTCATGTTCATAAAATATCTAAAAATTATGACTCATTGAAGGAATTGTGCAAACTGGTAAATGACACGTTCAGCCTGGTTTTGCTCCTGTACATGACGGAGGCTCTGTTTTCTTATTCAATTAATTTGAACGCCATATTTTTGTACAACTTTTGGATTCAGAGGGCCAGATTGATCGCATATATGCTTTCTTTCATTGGAATGTTGATGATTTCGGGAGACATTGGTTTGCAGGTGTGCATAAATAATTCTCACATGCAAATTAATATAATTTTGCAAGTTTTTATTTTTCAGATTAGCAAATTGAACGAATGGGTTTATCTGGTTAACAAATTGCAGCAAAGGATAAAACATACCAGAATCAGATTTAACAAAAATATTTGTATCGTTGATGTATCTCAATGGCTTGATGAGCTTTCCTCGAATTCAGTAATAATTCATGGAGTAATATTTGTAATGGATTATGCCACCGTTTTTAGTGTAAGCATACTGCATACTTACTGTACGATTAAATATATGATGTATTTAATATAGGAATTGTGTGTATTTTTTGCAGATCATTGGGACCATTGTCACGTTCTTTATAATATTTAGTTCATCAGAACAAGGAAATTAAACTTGTCTCTCGTTATGCATGCACATAAAATGCATACCAAATTTTCGGGAAACTTGTAGTATTTCTTTCTACTTTAAGTTAATAATTTCAAATTATGAGATTATACATCAAGCCTAAATAGGTTGAGATATTGTTTAGAACAAAAAGCATGAAAATCCACCTCAAATTATGATAAATAACCAAATTACGACCTTCTCAAATACTTACTCAGCTTTCAAACAATTTCATTTATTCATTATGAATGTTTATTCGGTCACGAACAATTTTCTCTCCCCCCCCCCCAATCCTAGAACCTTAGTTACTTTCAAAAACTCCCACATCAAGAAAATCGTTGGGGTCAGCCTCAGCATAAAGTGCGCTCCCATCCTCATCCACGGCCTGGGTTAGATTTCTTTTCGCCAGCTGAATGAACCCATTGCGACCAGCCGCTGCTCGACTGTACGGACTGATGAAGGCCACCAAGGACCAGGAGAATCCTCTCTCCTTCATCAAACCGATGGCCCTTCGGTAAATTTCGGTGGCCAGCCCTTGGCGACAAAACTCCTCCTCTACCGAAATGCCAAACATATGAGGAAACTCGGTAAAGTCGTAGCGATCCTTGAGTTTACAGTCGTCGACGATGTCATAATAAAATTTCACGATTCCTTTACACAACCGGCCAGCTACAGGGAAATCGGGCCTTTCTGCCTTTTCCATCGTGATGATGCGACAACCGGCAACCTGAAGAGTAACTTTTAGTAATTAGCTTGAAGGTGAAAATTAATATGGAAGGGAAAGAACGGACCTTGCCGGTTGCCTTATCTTCAGCGAAAAAGCTAAGATTGTAGCCATCGTTGAGGACAAGCTGAAAGATGGCATCCATTTCAACATCCAAATCTTTGGTGTAACCGATTCTGTAAAATGCCCGGTAGTAGAGACAGTCCTTCAAGTGCTGGAGAATTCGGGGGTGGTCGGCCGGTTGGATCATTTTGAAGACGAAATTTCCCCATTCACCAACTACAGAGTTGCTCGTCATTTTGGATGAGGGTTTTCTCTGTAATTAGAATATTGAAGTTAGTCCACCAGCAAAAAAGACGAGTTTCTGTACTTCTGTGGCAAACTTTTTTTCCATACTTTGCCAAGGATAACGTCTTGATCTGACAATTGTTAATCACCGACTGGCACAATTCTGATGTCGTGAAGTGTCTGGTTGAGACTGGACGCATGACTCTGGAATATATACTCGACGCTGGAAATTTACATATTAGCTGGATTTATTGTGTCTATGGATATGGTTACAGCTTGTAACTTGGTATGGTACTTGTACTTGCAGCATGTACATTCTACATATGTAAATTTTGTATTACATATGCATGCATGTGCACCCTATCACTTGTGGATTGACCTAGGAATAGCCAATGTGGGTTAATTTGTTTGACGGAATGTACAATTAGACGATTTATGGAATCAATTGTACTAGCATCTAGTCGCTTCATTATGATTGAAGCGTGTTTGTTCATCTCATGTGATACAGAGATTCACAATTCTGGGGAACATGCTCGTGTCGTCCAGGTCGACCTTGTGGCTGTTTAATCTCGACTTGACTAGACAAGACTTGACTTGTTTAATCTTGACTTGGAGTCGTGTCGTATATGTAGCTGGGAGGAGGTATATTTCTTAATTATATTTGATTATCTATATGCACCTTATACATATTTACATGTACAAGTTCTTGAGCAGAACAAGAGAAACGAGAATCCTTTCAGTGACTTACTTTCATTGGGCGTGTATCATACCGAAACCGGTTCACAAGGGGCACAAACGTTTGCAAACATTTGCCCTAATCAACATAATAAATATGATCCAAAAATAACTGGTGGAGAGAAATTTTCCAAATAAACGTTATGAAGAATGCTAATTATGCAGCACTGGAGCATTTTTATTGTTCGGACAATTTATAATTGATACATATAAATATCTGGGATTGTAGGAAATAGCTAAGTATCTATATACATAAAGAGCTATTGTTAAGTTCTGGCTGCCTGGCTGGCTGGGTCCCTGTGGGTCTCAATGCAACTCGCCCCACTACTATTGAATGGAGTTTACGCAACCAGCGTGTGCTCCGCTACACCATTGAGCGTACCCATGATGACTCTGCCGCGACACTTTGTCTCTCTCTTCTTGAAGTAGAATTGTAAACATACAGCAGCATAAAATTCATATCCTATTCTCTGGAATTTTAACTTTTTTGCTATGCAGTCACCCCTCCCTCTGGAAATTTGAGTTTTTTGTTAGTTAATCACCCCTCTCTCTGGAAATTTAAGTGTTTTGTTTTTTAGTCACCCCCTCTCTGGAAATTTAAGGTTTTTGTCATTCGGCCACCACATCCTGTGGAAATTTAAACGTTTAGCTATGTAGCCACCCCCACGCGACGGGAATTTAAGTAGTTAGCTATGCAGCCACCCCCACGCGACGGGAATTTAAGTAGTTAGCTATGCAGCCACCCCCACGCGACGGGAATTTAAGTAGTTAGCTATGCAGCCACCCCCACGCGACGGGAATTTAAGTATTTAGCTATGCAGCCACCCCCACGCGACGGGAATTTAAGTAGTTAGCTATGCAGCCACCCCCACGCGACGGGAATTTAAGTAGTTAGCTATGCAGCCACCCCCACGCGACGGGAATTTAAGTAGTTAGCTATGCAGCCACCCCCACGCGACGGGAATTTAAGTAGTTAGCTATGCAGCCACCCCCACGCGACGGGAATTTAAGTATTTAGCTATGCAGCCACCCCCACGCGACGGGAATTTAAGTAGTTAGCTATGCAGCCACCCCACGCGACGGGAATTTAAGTAGTTACCTATGCAGCCACTACAAGAGGGGGAAGTCAAATTGTTCCGTGATCAGGGAAATTGAAATGTATGATTTGATGCACGTACATATGTACTATGGCAATGGACAAAGTCTCCACTGGGAATTATTTAAAGTGTAGCGTAAGGGATTTTGCGCTATGGGCACACCCCCTTTGGGAGCCTAGAACCCGTTCTTGAACGGGCCTCTACTCTAGTTATATAATGAAGTGTTACACAATTTTAAATCATGGATGGATGTACGCAAATACTTGCCAATATTTTCATATCAAGTTAAAGATGTATTAAAAGATTCCAAATTACTTATAAATACGAGTAAAATTTTATACATCCAATTTACAAATTTAATTTAATAGGATGACACAATGGGATTGTAATCATCTTTCATAATGGGTCCATAATTGATCCTAATGAATTAAAAGTTAGGATGCAAATATTTATATATGTACCTACAAAGCTCTTTTATACATGTATATTATTTAGACATACATATGCATATACTTAGGATTAGCGTTTTTAGTTAGTTAAATCTAAGGTCGTAACGCAGCATGCTTGTCAAAATTCTAACTTAATAATATGACAGCTTTAAATTACTTTAGCCACTTAACAGGTTTAAATATCCAACTATTTAAAAACGCATAAATTAATTTAATTTGTGAATTTGTGAAGATAACACATTTTTTAATAAATTAAATTAGTTTGTATTTAAATGGCAAAGTAGGATTTTGCTGACTCTGCGAAAAGTATCTCACGGTCTTTCGCCTTTTCACTTTGATAATGAACCTCAAGCTCTGCAAATCCACTCAGCATCATCCTAAGCCCATCCATTTTTGAAACCGTAGTAAATATTATTATTCGTGAGACACTCTCTCTGAAGTGCATTTGTATTTTGAAAGCATGTTTGACCATCCCATCTTCAAACAAGAAGTTACCTACATAGATTACCTCATCGCGTGTATATGTAGCACATTTCAGACTTGAGTGCATATTTGTTTGCCGACAATTCGACATGATACATACATATGTTCTGAACTGCATGGAAATTTAAGATAAATTTAGACACTGTTAGATTCCATGATCAGTTGAATGCGATGAAGAATGTTTTAAGCGTCAAACTCGTGTCGCATCAATTGATAAAATGCTGTCCCGTACCGAATCTAAACTCATCAATATTTTGAACAAATTATATAATTACGTTTCATTTGGCCCATTGCTCAATGCCTTTCCTCCTCTCGTAGCTTGGATATATGCAATTAATCAATTGGGAGATTTGGTTGACATGCACTTTTGCTTTGTACTTCCTGTCGAAATGATGTCAAACCCAATTTATGCCAGTGTTTCGCCTACTATCGCGCATGATTAGCTCTACCTCTTATCACAAGCATTGTTCCACTAACCAAACTAATTACAATAGTTATGCTAATATTTTTTTCTCCGTGAAGCTAGAGATATGAGACATACTTCAACACGGGCAGTCAGATTGTCTCTACATACGAGATAAGAGGAATTATGGGATCAATTCTGTCCAGAAGTTGGGAGTGGAGAGGTTGCAAATATAAATTTCCAACTTGATAATTCCGAACGAGCCTTAAAATGGTAACTGATTCAATTTTACCTTGTAAAAAATTATGAAAACTTATGCACAATTGTCATCTTTAGGATTTCTCGTCAAAACTAAAACCCAAAATCGACCTCGGCGCGGCAACCGCGGCGTTAGAAAACTTGCAAAAATTGGCCACCTCACTCCAATCGATGGGTAAGGAACTCGCCGATATTGGTCAGGCGAGCGGGTCAATCGCCACAGTGATATCATCGGGAGACTTTATCTCCCAAGTTTCCTCTCTGCGGAGTAGCATGGAAGAAATCCAGTCCAGCAAGGACACCGTGTCGCAGGAGATCGTCACCATCAACGGAATTCTGGAAGAGTTGAAAAAACTTGCAGGGGACGATATGGAAAAACCGGCCGAGAAACAGGGTAAAGTTGCAAAAGCGACGAACGCAGCGTTGAATTTATTAGTAACCGTTACGAAGATATTGGATGAGTTGGTGCAACTCATGGACAAGGTTGATCAGATTATCAACTTGGATAAGGCAGATGTGGATGGCATCACAGAACTTGGGAAGGGGGTCAAGGGGAATATTGAGGCGCTCGTGGGGCTCATTAAAGAGGCGACCGAGCAGGTGAAGGAGATTATTGACATCGTCAAAGGTGGCGGTGGTGGGGATAAAAAGGGAGGAGAAAGTAAGAAGGAAAAGGTGAAGGACACCCAGCCAAAGAAGTCGGATGGCGTGGCAAAGTCCGCTAAAGCTGGGGATACAACCGATAAGAAAGATAAAGATGGGGAGGAGGAAAAGGGATGCTGGGCAAGTTTCAAAAGCTGCTGCTGTTGCTGCTGTTAAGAAGATCAATTCAGATCAATTTTAGCTGAGGGTCTGAGTTTTAATTAAATCCAGGCAAATGCTTTATTCCAATAAAAATTGCACTCCGAAACTTATTTTTAAAGTAAAATTCCATTACAAATTCCGATCATTTAATAAAATCAGATCCAGCCAGGTTATCTGGAAATAATAATCTGTGATGATTAATGATGACAAATTAATTTTTGCATGCAATCGATTGGACATCATAAAAATCGAGTTATCTTCGACATTAAATTTAACTAAGTATATAGAATCAAACTAAGGAGGGGAGCTTCACCACCTGCCCCTCTCAGATCTTGATGTGCTTTGGATATGTGGTAGTGTCCCATGAGTGTAGTAAAACCCTGAAGTGATTTGACTCCATGGCTACAGTTACGCCCGCCACACCCACTCAAAGGCGCCAAAAACACGAAAAAAGCCCTGTTTTCACTTGTTCAAACCCTCGCCAAAAATCTAATTTTGCTCGGATTTTGGTAAAATTTACATTTTTGTGATCCCAGATACTTGCTTGATCATATCCAGTGGCAATCTCAACTTTTTTAAAATTTTGAATTTTTTCGAATAAAGTTTAGATTGCTACTGGATATGATCAAAGAAGTATCTGGGATTACAAAAATGTAAATTTTATCAAAATCCGATCAAAATTGGATTTTTGGTGGATTTTTGAAGTTGGTAACTTTTGTGGTTTTCATCCCTTTGAGTGGGTGTGGCGGGCGCAAATGTGGCCATGGAGTCAAACCACTCCAGGGTTATAGTACACTCATAGGACCCTACCACATATCCAAAGGGCATCGAGATCTGTGAAGGGCAGGTGGTGACGCTCTCCTCCTAAGTTGTCCATCTTTAAGTACTTATTACTTAATGTATTATTCAACCTTGCTAAAAATAAAACATTCCTCTGAATAAATCCGTAGGTATATGGAAACACTTGTCAGTATGTACATACGAATCTATGTGTAACGGTAAATATTATTTAAAATTTGAGTAGACTGTTACAATACCAAAATCTTCGAATGTAAAAAATGTGTGATGTGAAGAGGTGAATAATTCACACGTTTCAACCAAGCTACATTACCGACTTTATTAAGTAAAGTCTAATTGGGCCACAACACAACGAAAATAGTACGATAGAAATTAAACAAAACTAGCGTTTACTATAACGGTATGTATTTACATAATTACATGTTTGAGCATCTATAGACTTCTCCAGTATTTCGAAAATCTTGCACGTCCAACGCCTCCAGGTTCTCCCCTCCAAAGTTTTTGGATAATTGTCAGGGGTGGGCAAGATACTTTGGTCGTAAGATACAAGATACAAGATAAGATACTCTCTAAGACAAGATATAAGATACAAGATAAAAGATACATCTTGTTCAAGTACACAAGATACAAGATACAAGATACTTTTCTAAAAATTGAGTAGTCAAGATACAAGATATGTATCTTAAGATACTTTTATACTAGATAAGATACTTTCTTTTTTAGCTTGGTATTCATGCCCAATTAGTCATGTTTAATCATTGAACCGAAAAAATCTAGTGAGTACAAAATTTAAAATCATTCTAGAATCATCTTACAAATTTTGTTGCCAGTGCTTATACTTCGAAAAAGGTCTAAATTTCGAAAAACTAGAAGTCTACCTAACATACGTATATTCTTAAGAAGCTGGTATTATTTTTACAATATTCCCTGCTTATTCAGACTAAACCCTATAAGATCTACGGATATAAGTTTACGGATATAAGTTTATGGACATATCCTGGGTAATGGGCTTGCAAAGTGGACATCAGATACAAGTAGATTGAAAGACCTGTAAATTAAGTATGCAATTATGGTCATTCAAGTTTATTCGAAAGGGTAAGAGCACATATTGCCAACTTACATCTTGGACACGAGTGTTGTCCCAGACTGAAACTAGATACGTCAAAAATTACAATTAACTGGGTAGCGTTTTGTCCGTCAGCTTGCATCAGACGAATCATTGTGGACGCTTCTTCAAAAACCTTGTCGAAATATCGCATCAATTTGTCCCCCTTTCCAGCAATGACTGCTCGACGTATATCCCAATCACCAATCGGAATGGAAAATACTGGAATAGCAATTAAGTGACATATTAAAATATAAAGATTTGCAGATATGATTTTAAGTCGTATTGCCCTCGCCTGGTTTCCCTTCTTTATCACATCCTTCAATGTTGACCCTGTATTCGTAATCAAAATCAGCCCAATCTTCTTCCATGATCGTATCCATCTTATTTTTTTCTCTCCAAGCGAGGTTCTTAGTAAATTAGAAACGAAGAGGAAAACGTGATAAATTGAGCATCATCGCCAAAAAGACGTAAATACATAAGCTCACCTTAGTTAGTAGCTCTTTCGCATCGGATACGTTGAATAGCTGATCTAAATATGTAATAATTAATATTGGATTAGTCGATGAAAGGTCATGTACAATTGGAAATGGAGTTTTCAGGTAATACGTACAAATGTACATATAAAAATATATGTACACGTACATAGTGCATATTTGTAGGATGCTCTGTATTACACAGAAAACTTAATTTTTCCCATACCTCTCAACCAATAAATTAAATATGAATCCTTTTTCATGTAGTCATGCGGAACTTTGTGTTTAACCTCCTCTCGGAACTGGAATGCATTAAACACATTTAAATATGTATATCATATTAACGGGCCTCCTTTAGCAAAATATACGAAGTCGGTGAATTTAGTATTCGGTATAAAATGTGTACAGAGTAAAGCCATACTTATTTGCTTAAATTTCCGAAAAGATATAACGCTTCAGGAAATTGCATTATATAACTTGATAGTTTGCATGATGCAAATCCCAAAAACTTTACTCCAATAAAAGTTGAAAGATTTATTAAAACAAGTAGATTTTATGGTCACCTTACCTGTTCCAAACTTTCCTTTTGTTGAAAAGTCAGCGTTAAAAAATCCTTCAATGGAATTTGCAAAGAATTTTTCACAGACAATGCTAATGCCACAGTTGATACAATAATTATTCTATTAATCGTAAAATTTGTAAAATTTGATAAGATAGCCATTGCAAGCAGTTCTAGAGCTGATTTAGAGATGAGCGTGTGTGGAAAACTAACGAGTTGCATTTAATGGAAGTAGATAATTGAACAGAGAAAATTTAACATCGAGGTCGAACTATTGTATGCATGAGAAAATCAGATGCCAGATAAGATCATTAACTTTTTCAAGTTATTTTACATACACAAATTCATACAGAATTAATTTTAGTTGGTAGAGGAGTTATCCGAAGACGTATGCATATGTACATAAATATATATATTTAGAAGTATATGCATACATATATCTTTAAGAGGTTAATACTTATTTGAACAATATTTTTCTAGTTATTCACGTCTAACACACATCTTCGCAAGGAAAACTTTTATGAAATAAAATGTTTTTAACTGTGAGTTGTGAATCAGGTAGCAATGTGAAATAATTTTATGACAACGGAAATATATGCATGCAATCGATCATTTTTTACTATTTAGATCCTTCTTTATTGTCATAATTTCGACAATTTGTCTTTCGTTAAGAACAAAATAAGGTGAATTCTGTTAAAATTATTAAATTAGCTTGTGATACAAAATGAGCTAAAAGTGCAAGTCTTTTTCGCATCGATTTCACCAAATTGCACATAAAAAATTACAAATTCAGTTTTGGGTGGGGGGATTAATATAGCATAGCTGTTTTTGAATTATATTCAACCACACCCCCTTCAAAAATTGGGGAAGAAAATTGGGAAAAATGAGAAGGTCAATGTACACTCGGTACAGAAAGAAGTAGAGCTGAACCAGCCCAACCGTTTCACAAACGCAGTTTCCATTATTTAGCGAAAGGCAGAGTGAGACTCGGATTCTGGTGGGTCCACCACCACCGCTGACTGTCGTTGCCAGTGCCGTATGGTGGTCCGTCTCACTTCTCACTCTCTTCAAATTGTTTACCGGGATTATGAACCAACTTGTGTTGAGATGCTTTTCATCTCTTACACGAGTTGGTTCAGTTGATAAAATTCTCCGAATTTTTAATAAAAATAATTTAAAAAACGTGGAAGTTTTTTTAATAAAATATTTAAAAAAAGTGCAACATGGAGGCTCACTCCACCCCCACGCAGCAGCGACCTGCACCACCACCCCCAATTTCGCCCCTGCCACCACCACCACCCCCAATTTCGACTTTTCGAATGCATATCATCATTATAAATTCAGAAAAGCTTAAGTTTTAAGTTTGGGGCGATTTGGATAAACTAAATTTGCTTATCTGAAAAATTGATAACTTCGTTGATAAGCCTCATAGCGTTAATTTTCGAATGCATATCATCATTATAAATTCAGAAAAGCTTAAGTTTTAAATTTGGGGCGATTTGAGGCTGTTTTAATAGCTTCTATGTAATTACCTTTATGTATATCATAAATACCTATACATTGTTACGGCTCCTGCCGTATAAGCCCCTCCCTCAGAAACTTTGACCCCAAAAAAGTCATGGTAGCGGTCATTTCGCAGCGGACAACAAAAGCGGAAAATGTGGCACTTCTGACGAAGAAAAATCTGGCATCAGGTTGTCAGCCGCGAAATGACCGCTAAGGTCACTTTTTTAACGATTTATATGTAGGTCGAAAAACCGCCAATTTTCGAATTTTGAAAGTCTTGATGCATCAAAATGTTCATATTCATGAGGGAAGTCAAATGTCAAATGCAAGTTGGTATCTACTGATACAAAATGAGCCAAAAGTGCAAGTCTTTTTCGCATCGATTTCACCAAATTGCACATAAAAAATTACAAATTCAGTTTTGGGTGGGGGGATTAATATAGCATAGCTGTTTTTGAATTATATTCAACCACACCCCCTTCAAAAATTGGGGAAGAAAATTGGGAAAAATGAGAAGGTCAATGTACACTCGGTACAGAAAGAAGTAGATACCAACTTGCATTTGACATTTGACTTCCCTCATGAATATGAACATTTTGATGCATCAAGACTTTCAAAATTCGAAAATTGGCGGTTTTTCGACCTACATATAAATCGTTAAAAAAGTGACCTTAGCGGTCATTTCGCGGCTGACAACCTGATGCCAGATTTTTCTTCGTCAGAAGTGCCACATTTTCCGCTTTTGTTGTCCGCTGCGAAATGACCGCTACCATGACTTTTTTGGGGTCAAAGTTTCTGAGGGAGGGGCTTATACGGCAGGAGCCGTAACAATGTATAGGTATTTATGATATACATAAAGGTAATTACATAGAAGCTATTAAAACAGCCTCAAATCGCCCCAAATTTAAAACTTAAGCTTTTCTGAATTTATAATGATGATATGCATTCGAAAATTAACGCTATGAGGCTTATCAACGAAGTTATCAATTTTTCAGATAAGCAAATTTAGTTTATCCAAATCGCCCCAAACTTAAAACTTAAGCTTTTCTGAATTTATAATGATGATATGCATTCGAAAAGTCGAAATTGGGGGTGGTGGTGGTGGCAGGGGCGAAATTGGGGGTGGTGGTGCAGGTCGCTGCTGCGTGGGGGTGGAGTGAGCCTCCATGTTGCACTTTTTTTAAATATTTTATTAAAAAAACTTCCACGTTTTTTAAATTATTTTTATTAAAAATTCGGAGAATTTTATCAACTGAACCAACTCGTGTAAGAGATGAAAAGCATCTCAACACGAGTTGGTTCATAATCCCGGTAAACAATTTGAAGAGAGTGAGAAGTGAGACGGACCACCATACGGCACTGGCAACGACAGTCAGCGGTGGTGGTGGACCCACCAGAATCCGAGTCTCACTCTGCCTTTCGCTAAATAATGGAAACTGCGTTTGTGAAACGGTTGGGCTGGTTCAGCTCTTGTTTTTATTAGTAAACATGCTTGTAAAGACTTGCCGGTTTATTGATGATGAAATAAAACTATATTTTTCATGATAAATACGATTACGAATACAAATAATTTATTATTATATTCAGTTTATTACATACTAAAAACATAAAAATTACTAGATAACCGCATTGTTATGACACGTCAACACGTTTTCCTAAATATTCATTAAAGTATAACATCACTCAAGCTATCGGTTCAATTTCTGTTAAAAAAAGTGGAATTTTAAGGATGTTTGTATCACTTTTACTACCAAAGCTACATGTTATCTGTGAAGTATGTATGTGTACATTGTACGTCTCATTTCAGCTTTATGAATTCTGAGAATATAGGCATAATCCGAAATGATAACATTCCAATTTCAGTGCGGATATCTGTCGAAAAATATCTATATTGCCAATGATTGACGTAAGTCAAATAATAGTTCAGCATGGATACTCGTTCATGAGTACAAAGCCAAGCAGTTGTATGCAGCATTATATTTGTAGAAGTTTATTGCACATTTTGTTTATATTCAGCTGAAATAAATCTTTTATTAATTAATCACAAGTCATTCACCTTAAAACTGTAATAAGAACCCTGTTTCATATTTCGAGCATGCTTTACGTATGTACATATGTGGATTTGCATATCGTGCGAAATACGTTAGTTTTATATACTACCAATCGACAGAAAAAATGCAACAGTAGCCACAAATGGAAAGTAAGTATATGGAAAACAAAAACTATTTATGAGTGTCAAACGTGTTGTTGTCATTTATGAACAATATTACTTTAACCTGGATTAAGAATATTTACATACTTGCTGCGTCTATGCCGTTCCACAAGCATCGTTATAAACCAATTAACTCTTAATCCCAGACTTTTGAATGTTGCATAAAAGCAGACGCAAGGGCAAGGACACCTTCACACCTTGTCGAGCTAAAGGGAAAGACAAGATGCATTTGCACCTCATTATCTCAGCTGGGCTCGCAGCCCTCGCCCAAATTGGCGTTGTACTTGCTGCTGACCCCTCCTTGGTTTACACCTCGTATCAAACCACACCCATCTGCACACCATCGTCAGAGTTCAAAACTCCGCAAAGTATACTGGAATTGCAGACGATATTGTTGACAGCTCGCCTTTTCAATCAGAAGGTGAAACCATTAGGAAGCCGACACTCTGCGACGGACATTATTTGCACGGATGGCATTCCGATTTCTATGGAGGCGTTCGACTCGGCGAAAATGAATTCGGATGGGACAGCGACTGTTGGGGCGGGAATGACGATGGGCGCGGCTGTAGAATTTTTACAAGCAAGAGGCCGAACTCTTATTGTAGTTCCACAATTTAGTAAGTTAATCGTAGCGCGACTAATAATTATGAATGTATGTACGTAGGATGGACTCTACAATTAATACTATTTTATAGGGGGCATTACTATCGGTGGGGCCTTGGGAACAGGGGCGCACGGTTCGTCATTGAAATATCCCACAGCATTATCAGACCAAATTACGGCTTTGACCGTGATTGATGGGAACGGGGTGCTGAGGGTCATTAGAGGTCCAGATTTGAATCACTTCCGAGTCCATCTTGGTCTGCTTGGAGTCATTCTTGATGCTACGTTTCAAACAGTGCCAGCTTATAAGCTAACGGTTAACATTGTTCCTCAGCCGGACAGCATTTTGGATGATGGAAGCCTTCTCCAGATGGCGAGAGACAATGACTACTTTGTGGCGCAGTGGTGGCCACATAAAAATGAGGTAAGAACAATCAAAGTTTCTGAAGATTAGGCTGAATAAAAATATTAAGTGACTTTTTTTGCAGGTATTGACCACGATTGGAAATATGGTTCCAATGTCGACGCCGGGTAACGCTTTCCAAAATTTGTACCCTGCCTCGCCAATTGGGGTTACATCATTCCTGTCACAACTAACCGACTTTGTCCACGGGATGAGAAATCTTCCTGGCGGTCTCGCAATGGAAGAGTACAGCGAGCTGACGTTCTATCAACAGGTCATAAATATATGTTTCTTCCTCTTCCTCTCTACATATATTTTTGGATAAAATTGAACAAGCCATTCGGAATACTACTGCTTTCTTCAGGTGGTTGGCCGAATCCCGTACTACACGGAAGATAACTCTACTCTTGTAATGCCAGCAACCGGTTTGGGATGGATGCTGACCTCATCCATCTGTGACCAAGCTCCAAACGGTTGTTCTTGGCATAACGGGAACAATTCGCTTTATTTCGACGAGGAAGAAATTGGCTGCGACATTGCCGAATTTCCTGGAATCATTCGAACCCTGCGAGGAATTTTGAAGGATAACATGGCCGCATTTACCTTCACCGGCCTGGTGATGCGATTTCAGAAGGCGTCTCAAGCCACTCTGTACATGGCGTCCGGTAGAGATACTGTTGCCGTGGAGTTCATTTATCCGCAGAGACTTGACCGAGTTAACAACCCAGCAATGAATGTAGCAACGTATCAAGCAATTGTTCAAGCACTGGTGGGTTTTTGTGGTGACAAATTTGCTGTTTGCATATTACAATGAAGTGGTGTCTTTCACAGGTTTTCAAACACGGAGGTCGTCCTCACTGGGGGAAGAATGGACAAGCCTGGGCAAAGTCGGCTATAATCAAGTCCCAATACCCGAAAAGCAATCGGGATCAATTCATCAATGCCATGCGACAATACGACACTCTTGGCCTGCTGCGTAACAAGTTTGCAGGGAGGTTACTCGGGATAAGTGACACCAACGATGTTGACCCGACGGAAATTCATTGCTCTCTAAGACAAAACTGTATTTGTCAGGTGGACGCCGACTGTGCAAATAATCAGGACAATGCACAAATTTGTGGCGAGATGGCGGATATTGATGGTCAAATTTCTTACAAGGTTTGCAAAGAAACAAAACTTTTCGTAAACCCTCCACTCGGACCTTACAATCCGTACAATATGTCTGATATTGCACGAGCCATTCGGACATCGTATGTGTGACAATGATTCGGTTCAGCATATAAGTAACTGTTAATTTGTATAGTAAATAAACAAATATGTATTGCATTCAACCATTTGTAAAGCAAGTTTGACATATTTTATGCTTGGCATTTTCCAACATTTCAGATCCAGTCGCAATTAAATTTCTCGATTATGAAGAATGTTTGACAATTAAATTTTGGATAAACCAATTCAATATTTTTCATACCATCCTACATATTTCTAATTTCCTCTTCCATCCTTGTCACCCTAAATTTCTAGCCGAATTAAAATTTTCTCCACAAAATAATTTCCAGTCATTCGTCCTAAAATATGACACTCAGCTCCTCGTACATATGTATATTAATTTTCATTTCATACGTCAACAAGAGATCTGGCTTTTATTCTTGGTCTAGTAGCAATCCGAATATATAGAACCAAGCGAAATTTTCGTCATATTTTCTCATTAATTAGAATATCTGTACGAAATATGGGATTGCCGATCAGGATCCATCCATACATAAAACTTGGTTACGTGCTAAAGCACAACATGTTTACCGTAAATATCGTTAAGCCGTTAAGCCGTTAAGCCGTTCTCTTGACCATAATCAAGAGAACAAGAACAATTTTGGATGAAAATGTATTCGGGGATAACGTAAACTGAATGAATGACTTAAGCAAGCATTTTCAATTCCGGAGATAAACAGAATTTCCTTAACTATCCAACTTATGCGTCTATGTAACTTATTGAGAGTCAACCTTTATCCCAAAAATAGCATTACTGCAAAAACTTTTCATTTTACTCCACAACTATTCATGGAACCACTTACCTATCGAATTAAAAGGAACACCTAATGTATGTATTTAACGATAAATTGAAGAATGTATTTGTCAATTATGACACTACAGATATACGGATATTCCTCTCTACTCTATTATCTAAAATTAACTCGCTCGTTTTGACTAAGCCACAATTATTAAATATTTATTACATTTTTATACGTATGCATTTTTTTAAGTAAAGCAATTTTACTAAAATTACGATGAAAAGGTTCACAGTAAGGATGACTACATATGTATGTACATATGTACATGATAAATAAGACTCTACTCTGCGAAACAATTCATACTTCTAACGAATAATAAATACAGCTAATAAGACTCATACACGCACCTGCAAAATTTTGTCAGCTAGTTTTATTCCTAAGCTCATCAAAACCTGACAAAAATGTACATTAAACCTTTGCTGGTCTAGCCCCACGACGCATTTCTGATATGTATGTATTAATCCTGCCTGATTGTAATCAAATAATAATTAAGCTCAACCAAATGTTGTTATGGCAAGGAGTCAGAATTCGACTTAATTACTTCCCAAGTTATTTAACTATTAATCTTGGTTATTAATGGCAAATATCGATTGCTGAATATTCGCAGACGGAAAATTTGGGAGCTATTTTTATGTAGCTATCTTTCCCGTGATAGTGTTTCCAGCAACATATTTATACGCAAACTACGCATAGTTTTGGATATTTGGCTAGGGCTTAGGAATAAAGTATTCACTTCCCAATATGCAGCAATAGAAAAGGCTGTACACAAATTGTTTACATGAATTACATAGATCGATTTAATTGTTGGTAAAATACAAAAGTAAGTGAACAAAGAACACAAAAATGAATATTGAGCTAGCTTCAACTGAAATTGCTGGAGTAAAACGAACTTGGGATATTGCAAAGAAAAATCTGACCGAAACTGGGACTGAAGTATTATTGGCGTAAGAATATGAAAACACTTGATCATTTGAAAGTTCAATTTTCCCATGCATATATTTATTCTCCATTTTTAACTAATTTCTTTGACCCATACGATTTCAGATACTTTGAAAATAATCCCAAAAAACAGTCCTTGTTTAAAAGATTCAGCAACGTTCCATTCCATCAACTAAACTCAAAGAATGCGTTTATAGCACAAGCGACGCTGGTTATGTCAGCTTTAGACGACATTGTGATGTCTGTGGACAATCCGCCTGCCATGAAAAATAAGATGATTCAGTTGGGAAGATATCACAGAATGATCAAGGCTAAAGCAAAAGTCGTGGATTTTCTGGTACGTGGAAATTGTAAAAAAATACTAGATGAATATTTTAAAATTGAATATATTTGAAAGTGGATTTCGTGCTGACAGGAATTTAATAAAGTATTGATGAGCATATTTCCACGCTTAATGGAGAGGGAGTGGAATCATGATGCAGAATTGGGCTGGATCAAAGTGCTGTCCATGTTGCAGATGAATGTCGCATTGGGTTTGGACGCTTGAAGATCGATTTATGTTGATGAAAAATCATTTAGTTATTGAACACAACTTTCTCTTGCTCATTTAAACATGTATGCATTTATGTATAAGCAAATGAATGAATGAACCAGACTTAAGTTGTTTTAATTTGACTTGAACAATGCATTACATTAAATATATTCTAGAAAAACGAAAATGTTAGGTGTAAATTTTTCAGACTACATGATAGAAAAATGGTAATTTGAGGTACCGTAATTTGTCACTGTTTTTAGTGAACAAGTGCATAGTGTAGTTTTTGGCATTATTGACACTTTATTGCATCACCAGAAGAATAGAAATTTTGAAAATGAATTAGTTTCTTAATCGAGTGTCTAATTTATCTGGCATTATGCCTGCTGTGAAAACCTTCCTAATGGGCTTGAATTCTATTTTTAGTTGCACTGAAAATTTTGAGTACTGGTTTTGACCTCAGTTTTTTTGTTGTTTTTGTTTTGTTATGAAAGTTTGCTGTTTGCTGTCAATAGCAATGAAGACCTTAATATCTAATCTTGGATTTGCATCTCTAGAGAGATCTTATAGGATTATGTAGTGTGAACTTTGCATCTTGTACATATATATTGCTTACTTACATTTGTCTCGATGTGTACATTTTTTAAATAGGGAAATCAAATAGTCACATGTAATAATAACTTTGAGAAAAAGTATTTCCATTTCCATTGCAATTTTATCCACAATTTCTATAATAAATAGCATAAAAATTCATTTCACGATATGATAAAATCTTGACATCCTTGTGGAATAACAGTATTCGTCCTCAGAAAGATAAAAAATTTTAAAAGATTTTAAAATTAAAATTAAATTACGATTTTAAAATTAAAATTAAATTACGATTTTAAATTTAGACTGTGTATATATTTAGTTGATTATGCAAATTCTGATCATCGAAAATAAGAGTTTTGTATCACTTTTAGATTCATCATTTATTCAAATCAAATCTGATTCTACAATTCTCGATGGCTGTTATAAATATGAATGATATATGTACAAACATATTTACACATGTGTTTTTATATTGCATGCATTATCCAACAAAGCAATTTCAGGGTCTTATGAATAACTATGTACATATGTAAGTATGTATGTGTGCGTAATTTAAGGTCAAGATATTTACCTATAATGTTTTTTTTATTCCTACAACCGTTTATCACCCATACTTAGTTGTCACTTTTTTTGAGTAAAACAAATATGAGAATTTGTAAACCTTGTTCTGATAATAATGCAAAACAGAATGCAACGACATGGATGGATGGATGGATGAGTTGGAATGATTCCATACTCGAGTATGTAAAAGCCATGTAAAAACTGGGAAATAAAGGATGATCTAGTTTTGTTTTATTGCGAGTCTAAAAATAACTAGATGGATTTGCATGTGGTCTTGATCAACCCAGATTCATGCTAAAACCCGAATTTGCATTAAGAGCCACAGTTTGTTCCGGGTAAAAGAAAAGACAGTAAAGTTTTATTCGTTTTTGCACAGTATTGAACTGCAAAATTTAGATGGGTATCAGAATAAAATTACAACGCTAAAATTTAAAAATGGTTGTGAATTTGAAAGTCATTAATTGTTTAACGTCCGAATATTTGGTCACCGTTCAAGTTAAGTCGTTATCATCGTCATCATCTGATGGTGATGAAGGTCACGTGTTGCAAATTAAGACAATAAAAGGAACAGATGGGGAAGTGCCGATTGGCAAGAGTGAAGGAATTCCAAAACATGCACTGGTACAGATTTTTTTCATACCCATTTCATAAGTACTTGATTATTATTATTTGTACATAAATGTTTATTGCACGTTTTTTGTACGTAATGCTTATGTAGATGGCTCATAAATTTGACATATCGAAAACCGGGGGAGGATTACAGATTTTGGTGGCGTGGCCGAAAGAGAGAAAATTCACTGAATGGAGATTGATTCCAAAAGAAGATTCGGAAAATTGCGCGTGCAACTATTTTGTAAGCACGGAAGGAATATTTGTCCAAGGAAGCATGGATGGGAGCAGTACGGATGGGACGCCAAGTAAAGGTGCAGGTTGGAGGAAAGTAAAGAAAATTGATGAAATTCGTGGTAGTTCTGGAAAAATGATGGAAATTGTTTGTACAGCCGTGGAATAAATAATACCAAAGGTGTTTTAAGAAGATTGTTGTCATACTCTGACATACATAAGTTACATGAAAATTCCAAGTATGTATGCATATCATGCGTTTGATAATTGAGTCGCGTTGACAATGCTTCATTGAATGACAGAATTGCCTGAAAATTAAATGTAATTCGTCCATATGTACTTAAAGTACGTATGTACCTAGGCGAAATACGTCTCTATTAAGTAAATAACTATATTATAAATAATCACAATAATTATTTGATTATTATCTAAAGAGTTCATTTTACAATATATGTTGATGAACTTTCTAATTTGTTAATTAATCAAGAATTTCAGGATCACAGTAATGAAATACGTTACTTATTTAATTTTGAAGCAAATCAAGAGGAGTTATGAATGTGTTGCGTATAATTTATTTATTTATATGGTGTGATCTTGTAAAAAATAAAAGGTAAACATGCGTCTCATACGTGTTTGTAAATACTACATACTTTCACCAATTGATAAAAATTGTAAAACATGCCAATCGAGTTATTGAAATGAGATTATTGACTTCATCAATTATCGGTCGGTACATTTTCCTGAAGCCCAAACAGTTTAGTGGATTTTTTGATAGACACAAAAAATCCGTAATTAATAATTTGAACTTGCACATGTAATTTTATTTCTTAGTATACAACGCATTCTTTAAATAGTCGCATCTTCAGCAAAAACTGAAACGAATATACCTTTACATGTCAAGGACTTTGTATACTAATAAATTTCAGATGTGTAATCAATATACAACTGTGCATTATCTCTTCACATGGCATGTCAAGTGCCGTGTTAAAGTCAAATCTTGTCCGGTTTTAAAGATGCATCTGTAAAAGCGGGCAGGATTTCACTTTAAGTTTGAAAAAGAGGACTTTGACCGTTATGAAGGCGGTTACTCATTAATAAAAATTCTTCAGTCTATAACTTCGAAATTTTGTATTAAGTACTAATTCATGTTGATCAATTTTCCTCGAGTATTCAAATTTAATTACTCAAAAAATACTTTAATAGAACACAATAAGTAGGCATTATAGATATCGTAAAACAATGTACATAACCGTAACCTTGAAATAAAGTGACGCTCATTTTCACACAATTAAACATTCCACTGTTCGATAAACTTATTTCGTAGAATTCATGAACTTTTGAATACTTATACTTTGTACCAACATGCTGTGTTCTAATATACTATCTAGCTATTAATGGTTGTCCAATTAAAACTACATTTAATCATTAATTGTAAAAATCTCATTAATGCAAAATGCAAAAATTTAGAGTGCAAAAAATTATTTAGGTGAACCTCAAGTGATCAGATAATACGCACCTGCATGCTTACCTGGCCTAGTATTTCATGTATGAGCTTATTATACTTATCATAATTATAATGCAGCACAAGTTATTTTGATATTTGTATGTTTATTCTATGCATATCCTTCCTATATTACAAAACATACCTATATATTTACATATATCGGTAATGATGACTATCTACATATTTATACTATAGCATTGCGGTTACTGCGTGATAATTGATAATTCCATTAATTCCTAGTATTTGGTTATTTATCTGTACATTTTCACACTTTGTACGTACTTACCTTTAAACGTATAAAAATAAAAACTCAGCTCCACTCATCCCTCTTCTTTCCTGGCTTGCGAGATATCTTAAAATACTCATTTCAAAATGGCCGTAAGCATTGCCGGAATTATTTCCGTTGTAGTATTTTACCTGCTTATCTTGGCAATAGGGATATGGGCAGGTAGAAAAAGAACTAAAGGGGCCGATAACAAGGAAGAAGACATCATGGTGGCTGGGCGAAATATTGGCACAGTTGTTGGCGTTTTCACCATGACGGCTACGTGGGTTGGAGGGGGGTACATTAATGGAACTGCGGAAGCGGTGTACACCGATGGACTCCTATGGTGTCAAGCTCCCTTTGGATACGCGCTCTCTTTATTCGCTGGTATTTATTTATTCACTTAAATGGAATGCGACGATAGTTAATGTGCATGCTTCATGACAGGGGGACTTTTATTCGCAAAGCCGATGCGGGAACAAGGCTATGTGACAATGCTGGATCCGTTTCAGCAAAAATTTGGCCAGCGTATGGGAGGTCTTTTATACCTTCCAGCATTTTGCGGTGAAGTTTTCTGGGCTGCTGCGATCCTCAACGCGTTGGCAGCAGCACTCACGGTGATTATCGAATTGGATAGGAACACCAGTGTAATTCTTAGTGCTGTGATTGCCATGGGGTACACGGTCGTTGGGGGTTTGTACAGTGTGGCGTATACCGATGTTGTTCAACTCATTTGCATGTTTATCGGTCTTGTGAGTTAATTTTCTAGAAATTTTTAGTAGATAATTGTGAGAATATTTTTTCGTGTTAATTTAGTGGCTTTGCATCCCCTTCGCCTTCAGCAATGATAGTGTGGGAAGTATCTCTGACACGAATCTCCTCGGAACTATAGAATCTTCTGATGTTGGAATTTGGCTGGATTTTGGGCTTTTACTAATCTTTGGAGGAATCCCGTGGCAGGTTGGGATTCGTATCAGTATTTTTGCATTCATTTATTTACTGGGTCTGATCTTTAATTTCCAGTATATGAATTTTAGGTTTATTTTCAAAGAGTTCTCTCCAGCAAGACTGTAAAAGGAGCTCAAATTCTATCATTTGCAGCCGGTATTGGATGTTTTGTAATGGCAGTTCCTCCCTTCATGTTGGGAGCAGTTGCTAAAGTCACTGGTATTTGTAATCCTTATGAGAAAGTTATTCATAAGTACAACTTAAACTTATGTACTTAGAATTGTTCACATTTTTGTGTAGCCTGGAATGAAACAGAGTACGGAAAAGATCCAGGGGAGCATGACGAATCCGGCATGGTGGTCCCCTTGGCCATGATGTATTTGACACCAAAGTGGGTAGCGTTCCTTGGTCTGGGTGCTATTTCTGCTGCCGTCATGTCATCAGCGGACTCTAGCATATTATCCGCTGCATCCATGTTTGCACGGAATATTTATCGAAACATATTTCGTCAATCGGCCAGCGAGAAAGAAATCATCCTGGTGATGAGAATAGCCATTGTTTTTACAGGAATTGTGGCTTGTGTCATGGCATTGACGATTTCCAGTGTCTACGCTCTATGGTACTGGTTTCAATAATAATGCTATCAGAATCGTTAAAAAATGCTTTAAAAAATATGACTTGTATTTTAGGGCTCTATCTTCAGATCTGGTCTACGTCTTACTTTTTCCTCAACTCTTGATGGTAAAGAAGTACATTTAATAAAAATTAATTGTAAAATAAAACACAAATTTATATCTTAAATTCTGGAATTAATTCATCTAGGTGGTACATTTCAAGAAGCACTGTAACACGTACGGAAGCCTGGCGTCGTTTCTTATCGCCTTTTTCTTTCGTGCTGCCGGTGGGGAAGACGTGCTGTCGTTGCCGGCTCTGATAGAGTATCCGTACTACGACGAAGTTGAAAAGGTTCAATTATTCCCATTCCGAACTTTGTGCATGATTATATCACTCGTCGTTCTCGTGGCTGTGTCAAAGACAGCAGAGATTTTATTTCGGCGAGGAATCCTTGAAGAGAAACATGACTACTTTAAGTGTTTTATTGGACCTGAAATAATTGGAGATGCGGGGAAGTCAAGTATTGTTAAAGCGCTTCATTAATTTTCATTTCTTTTTTATGCATAAATATGCATGTACGTGCATAATTATAGGGCTAAAGAAATGTGATTTTGATGTATGTATATGTACAAACCATTGATTTTTATTTAGCTTGCATAAAGTATAAGATGTTAAATTATTTTACATAGGTGTTCCGAATAGAATCTAATTTTAGCAAGGGTAAAATTAAGATGTAGACCTATTTATATGTCTACATATACCACCGAATAAAGGATCAATGATAAATAAAAGTTATTTAAAACAATATGTAGCATTTTCAAAATGTAAAAAATAATGAAAAAGTTTTTTGTATTTGTTTAGTGCGATACATCTATCCATAGTTTATTGTATGATCCTCCCAAGATAATTAATGCATACCACCAAGACATACCAGCCTTCCATGAACCATTTTATGAATAAAGTATTTTAATGTTTAATGTAAAGAGTTTTAATGTTTCTTTCTTAGACAAACACCGTCACACCCACACGATGAGAAATGTAGCTTTGTTAGTTCCATATATTCCTTATCGTGTGTGTCACACCTAGAAAGCGTTTCCATATGAATATGAAACTCTTCATTCTACATATGTATAAAGCATAGATAGTTACATATGAATATTATCCAGATAAGTATCTAATATGAATTTTTTGTCTGATAAATTATGCTATACAATCTTTGCATCATCCTGCTCCATATTTTCATTCACATGATTCATATCCAAAATATTCTTAAACTCTTCGTTGACACAAAACGCCAGATAGTCCGCCTTTTCCTGAGTTGGAATAATCCTCTTGTCCACCGTCACTGCAACACGTAGGTTGTCAAGGGAGGTAAGAAATGCAACTGCAACACCTGTGGAAAGGGTAAAATTTCGAACGAAAATTTTGAACAGAGTTTAAATTCAGCAAAAATAGGATTTTGTTTATTTTGGGACAGCCACGCCTTACCAGCTTCTCGATGCAGTTGTAGCCATAAAGTAATGTCGTCAAGTCCATACCGATCGAAACTCTGGTGAGGATCCTTCGGCCCGGGAAAATTTGACGACATCATGGTAACTCCAGGTTTTATCATTATCTTGCACAGCGAAACTGGTGCTATCGTAACTATTGGAGGCAGTGAAAAATTCGTGGAAGTATTGGGCGATTTTCTTAAACTCATAATTGACTGTTCAGCAGTTTGTAGATTGTGTTGAAGACATGGTCCAAGTGGGATTGTTAAAACTCCGAAGGTCCTAAATAATTTTTGACAATGAAATAAAATGAAGTCAATTAAAGTTAACTTGCATCTATTAACTATTAAATCTGTAATTTTATTCTTTGTCTATCAAATGTGTACCTATGTATGAATGTGTAATGTATGTATTCCTATACGTACATATGTGCATATGTATGAAAATACACAGTATTCATATACTTATGTATGTACTTATGGTTTTGATAAGTTGACTCACCAGCAATTAACTAATCCGGTCAAAGGATGTGTCTTCCACTGAAATGGTAATGTGGATCTCATGATTTCTGGAATTTTGTCCCCTTGGTCCGTTCCTTTTAGAAATGCACGAATCCCACCACCCAAGCCCGTATTGGATAACGCCGTCAGTGAAACATTTCGTGACTTGCTGATATTTTTTAGGCCAGTTAACGGAATTTTTTCGGATCGCACAGTTAGCCACTTGTTCGTCATTTGAGATGGAGAAAACTTCCAGATATTTCTGTCTGCGTCGAGGAAGATCTGCTTGAACTGATAATACGGGGAAAGGACCAGCATTCCCAAACTGGTCATAATAGTTGAACAAAAGGTCCCGGTCCAAGATGGTGAAATTCGAGTCACTGGCACACCACCCAAATTATTTATAAACATTTTGAAAACACAGTAACCATCGCAAATGGAGTGATGCATACGACAAATTAGGATAAATCTAGGTCCCTCGTTAATTTTGGTTTCTTCCCCAATGTGTATTTTAGGTTTGGAGGGGACAAAATTTCGAACTATTAAAATTTCCCAGGGTGACATTCCTTGACGAAATGGCCGTGTGGCAAGATTTCCCATAACTTTTAGAAAATCTTCTTCAGTGACCACATTTTGTTCAGGTTGAGACATTAAAAGGTGTTCTGTGTCTTCAAAAAATCTAATGTGCTCATGGAGCGAGAAATTCGATTCTCTACTCCAAAACCTATATCCAAGCCAGGATTTCATAAAATAAGTGAGTTTTTCGTAAAGCAGATTTCCATCCTTGATATCTCTTTCTTCCATAACTTTGGCTTGGAAAGTGGTCCGAATGTGGTCAATATCCGGTTCCCCATGATAAGTACCTACAGTATGAACGACATCTAGACTTTTTTTCGTTACGTCGCGCAATCCCACAAAAATGTCTCGAGCTGTAACAATGTGTACCAAATCGGACCGAAATATTTTTGCCAAAAGGATAACCATGCCCTTGTAAATGTAGAAGGGAAGAACTATCAGGACGAAAAGAGGGAGAGTGACTACAAAAAGGAAGAAAAATAATGCAATCAACACTGATTCTGCCAACGTGTGGAATAGTTTTCTCGCCCAGTTATGTGAACGTGCTGTAGTAGGTCCTTTCTCATTTAAAGAACGTGACATTGTGAATCAGGTATGTTTGCAATTAAGCAAAAAAATACTGTCTCGGAAATTTTAAGATTACAAGAATTGTAATGCTGATTAGACGACACCAAGTGAAATTATTATTGAATGAGTAAAACTAATTATGTGAATTTGAAAATAAATAAATTTTAATTTGTGAATATATTTAATGAGTGTTGTTTTAAGCTATCGTAAATTCAGACTAAATGAAATTAAAAAAAAATATGCACTTTTTAGTTCATTTTGTAAATTTAATGAACTGAATATTGATAAAAACATCGATTGCATACATATGCACAATGTATGCAAAAAGTTTACACGTACATATATGGAAAACTCGATGCAGAACCAAGCATATGTAATATCCGATATATGTATAGTATCCGATATAGTACCTGCATAATGTCCGCTGCCAGATTAGTACAAGGAAGAGTTTACATTTTATATTTTATTAAGATGTGGTAATTGGCAATCTATATAAACAAATGTGTGTCAATATGTCAATACAAATACTTGGAGTCAACTCTTATACATAGTTGACTCCAATTAATTTCTTTCATTGAAACAAATTGAAACAAACTTTGGCTGCATTTTTGGAAAGAAATTGGCATCCAGATTTCACAGAAGACGAAAGCAATAAAAAATTATTTTAAACTTATCTCACTCTAATGTGCGTAATTCTTTCAAATCCTGGCCTAGCGTAGACAAAATTTGTTCAAATTGAGTTGATTTTATTTGCTAACTAATAATAATTATCGTTAAATTACATTTAACGAAAATAAAAGGAGATTCGAACACAATGAAACTCGGCCATGACCAACACTTTTTTCCCTTTCCTTTCATATTTTTTGAAACAAAATATTTTTATGCGGTTGCAAATAAATTCGAACAAGACAACAATATGTATTTTATATGTAGCATTATTAAAACTAAAAATTGAATCTCTCCCGAAAATAAAATGCATCCATAATCACCCATTAAACTGCTTATACATATGTATTTGAATATTATGCAAACATACAACTTTGAGGTATCACAAGAATTGCATGAGCAAATTCTGTTCAAGTTAATTCTCAATATGCATTAATTTGCTCACCAAAGAGTTGACATGTTGGCATATTGACATACATTTTGAATATCTGTGTAAAGTATATAAGTACTATGGATTGCCAATTACCACATCTTAACAAAATATGTATAAACTTTTCATGGTATTAATCTGTGGAATACATACATTGTAAATACTTACATATGGATTCATAAAGTTAGGGTTATGTGCGTAGATACAAATGTGAATATAAGTATAAGGAAGTAATTTTGTCCTAATCCTAAGTTTCTTATTGATGTTTCCAACCAAGGAAATCCAGTAATCGAAACTAAGTTGTAAACAATTACGAGCTACTTCCATGACCTGAATTTTAATTCCTCGAGTTAATCGGGGTATATTTGGTTCAATTAATTGATCATATCGTAACTAATATATACGTAATTTCTGTTTAACGTTGAAATTTAGGAAACCTCACAATATATCGCATAAAAGTTCGTTTCGTCATACTGCCCACGTAAGCAATTTGTGGCTCATATTTTTCGAAAATATTTTTGCACATGAGCTGTTTAATTACATAAAACATTGACATTCCACTAAATTAAATTGAGACATAAGAAAATTTTTTAATAATTTGCATAACAAACATCTGCAAATGCAATTATAAAAATTGCAGTAGCGATAAGACGGTTGGTATATGCTGCTGGATGACCTGATTCGTTTACTAAACTTAAAGTTAAACGTCTCGATATATATTTTCTCGCTCAATTTTATATTTACATACGCAATTTCTTCGAAAACATCGCCACGCCTAACTGAGGGTCGAATCTATCCTGATAAAAAACTAATTTTTGAAATGCACACCAATTATATTATCAAACTCTTGCATTGTGGATAAAACCACTCATTTCTATCCTTTTTTGGCTGCCAATCTAAGCATAAACAAGACAGAAATTATACGACTTCAAGATACAGACTAAAATTGTGCCTAACTGCAATTACATTTGCTTGTAAATTTTTTCTGAAACAGCACCAAATCATGTTATGCAATAATGAAAATGCAAGTCAAATGTTACACTAGAGTTTTTTGCTTCCTAGATAATCGGTTATCCTTCATTCGGCTTCAAATCATCAAATTCCTGATATATTAAGGAAAACAAACTCATGGAAATAAGTATATATGAAATAAATGTAGTATATTAATGTTAGAGTGAATGTACCTACAGCCATAATAGTTGAAGTCTATTTTATTTACTTCATGTTAAGTTGAACAATGGAATTTGATAAAATACAGGTATAATACTAATACAATTCTTAAAATTGAGTAAGACATAGCACAAATACATACGTTGTGATGGTTGTAGCATTTAATAAATATTATTGCATTGTCACATTCGTCTACAATTATCCGTTATTCTCAATTAGGAAAATCAAGGGGACAAATTATTTCAAAAGTCCCCTTGTTAATAACCTCAAGCACCAACGACACTTGCGACATGTTGTTCACACAACATGACACAATTTCCGACCCTGTCGCAATCTGTCTGGAAATCAGATATCTATTACTTTTATCCATACAATCGCCGGAAGCATCCTTGTCTTTGACGTTCCTTTTTTCAAGAAGGATATCAAGAAGGCCTTTCCCATTCCAAATATCCAACACTCCCCCGCGTCTGGTAACGAGCAGATTTCCATTAAAAGCAACAGCAGAGGTACAGTCACTGTACAACTCATGAACTTCGTCGTGACGAGATAACCCTAATATCAGCTCTCCCGACCATGGACAGTGAGCAAAGACCACAATTCCTGCGTTGCTTCCCATGTCAAGATGTCCATAATGAGCGAAAACACGGGAGAACTTTACCAGCTTCTCATTTTCGTGAGTTTTCAAATTTACAAGGATTATGAAATTGTCATCCGCTTCCGCCAGGATTTCATTAGATTCAGCAGAAGATGACGCTTCGTTCATAGTGCTGCTAGCTTTTTGCAAGGTTTGGATTCGCAACAAATTCTCCCCGTCCATCCTGATAACGTCTTTGAGTTCGAGTTCACTCTCCTTCATCATTACGACGGCTTCATTATCACCATCATCCAAAGTTCCGATGCTAAATACAAGAATCGAGCCGGAATGAGTGCAGCAAATTGTAGAGCGGTTTGGCCAAGCCCAGCCTCCAACAAGGTGGATATAAACGTCTCTCGGAAGCACGAATCTTTTTACTGGGATGATATCCGTGCCAGAATGACGATAGAGAATCAAATGACCAGTGTACGTGATACAGAGGAAACCGTCCCAAAAACTGCTGACTTCTACGTGCACGATGTGTTCCGTACCAGGAACAGTGGCCTATATGCAAGATAAAAATTACTCAATTCGGTCACATCATCAAGGATGAGTTTTTAGAAATTTATTAGCTATGTGTGCATTTACCTGCGAAAATCCGTATGGAGGTTGAGCTTCACTGTCACGAAATGGTGTACAATAAATTTTATTTCCATTCCACGAAACCCTGATTGCTGATCCACCCGAGAATCCAGAATTATATGAATATGACACGTCGTCCGTTATGTAGACCCCATTATCGAACAAGACGTGCATTCTAAAAATAATAATATTCAATAAATAAAAGTTCTCCAAATGTATGTAGTAATAAATCATTCCCAACTCAACTCATTGTACTTACTTGTAAGACAGATCAAGATCCCAACTTGAAAAGATTACATTTTCATGATCATTTTCCACATTATTCAAAATCTTCTTCAGCTCCCAAACGTTTTTACTGCGAGTCCATAACTCTACACAAGTTTGATATCGTGCCGCCACGATGTCCGAGGTCGAGTTCCAACAAACATCTAAAATATCTTCGTTGACATGATCCACGAAGAAATGGGAATGTTTCTGTCCATCCATCTCAAAGAAAATTACTGCCTCGGCTCCATTAATTTTCCCATACGTCGCTAACAGCCTTCCACTAGGCTTCCAAGCGAGAGATTCGTCCATAATTGCATAGTCTGGCGTGTCCAGTGCTGTCGATGAGTGGTGGTTTCCGGTCTTGTCGTATATCTTTATTATCCTTTGTTCCACCTTAGTTTCCGCTGTGGATTAATTGGTACAAAAAACATGAAATACGTTATGCAAAATGAATTTACTTTATAATTATTAGTAACACTAACGTGAAGTAATGGAAACATTCAAAGAAAAATAGGCTCCATCCTTCCTCCACTTTATGGAAACGGGGGACGAATCAATACTTCCAAAATCATCATGAGCAATGCACTTCATTTCCGGCAATGACAAAAGTATCATTCTCCTCTCGAGTCGTGTTATAAATACTACAAATTTGGAATCTGGTGATACGGAGAAGGCTTGCATCTGCTTGTCACATTTCCAAATATCAACGAGCTAACAAAATAATAAAATATGCATGTATTAAACTGTTGCATACATTTAAGTAGTGATACATTTTTACTACAATAAGTCGTCACCAACCTTTGCCTTGATTCCTTTTTCAGGTCGGAGCTGCATCAACGACCCGTCGCCTTTAGCCAGATAAAGTAGGCCAGAAGGTCGCACGTATTGCATTTGCACGACGTCTTTGAGCGCTTCTTGGTCACATAATACTTGGGCGTGGTCCTCCTTCATGTCGGTCGTTACGCAGGAAAGGATACCCGTTTTCTTGTCACAAATGAGAAGGTGGCTGTCCTCACACAAACAGACAGCTGAATGTGTCAAGTCTGGAAAGTGGGGGGCTTTCTGCCTCCGAACGATCTCTAAATTCCTCATGTTTTCCAACTTTATTATTAATCAGGTGGGCGTGGAAGCTGTTAATGATTGATTCAAAAATTAATTATTTCACTGTTTGTAAATATTTGAGCATTGAAATAAAATTCAATAGAGAGTTATTTGAATACAAAATTGCTTACGTGTGCAGTAACTGCTTATGAAATGAAGGTGAGATGAAAGTCAGTGACAATTGAGGGAATGTGTGGTGGTCAATTGCGTGACCAGCGTATGTCCATTAAGCTGGACTGACAGTTAGCATTATCGTGTTAATTTGGTGTCGATAAATTTCAATGGAAATAAAATGACGTACGTGTACGTGTCTCTGTCAGTCGAGAGATATACAGTTGGCTTTGTTTGTTTGAGTTCCGTTATGTTCAATGTTTGCTCTCTGCGGTGTTGTGACATACTTGCAAAAACGTGGAAATTGAGACTCATCCTCATCGGTCGATACTAAATTCGCAAAATGAAATACACAAATACATACTTATTTATGCATGCAAGTTCTATCTATAGTTATACACTGTACACTACTCCAATGTTGTGTGCAAGTAATACAGAGCATATAATATGCACATGAACAATTTTGTTAAAAGTAGGCGTTCTCACATCTTGAAAGTCTTGCTAAGCTTTGCGAAGATACATGCATACATATGTTGCTATGTAATTTGTGAATTTTTTTAAAGCCATGCGAAGGTCCTATATGCAAGATTAACCGTAAAATTATAGGAATATTTTAGAGAGCATATGAAAAATCTGAGTTATTACCAATTTCCTCCAAGCACCGCCTCCCACTGTGAAAACCTGCATGAAAATAACGGGAATCATGCACAAAAGGTGAAATAGTAAAATAGTAATGCATGTATAATCTGAATGCAATTTATATACATACATAGATTTGTCCTATTTTTGTATGCATGTATGTGGTTCTGCATGAGTATTAAAAAAATAATATGTCAATCTATTTACAATTACATAGATAGATATGTAATAATCAAAGAGCTGAAATTTACAATTAGGTATTTAATTTATAATCAAAGAGCTGAAATTACAATTACATACATATGTAGCAATCAAAGAGCCGGCTTATTAATGTGCCATTGTATGTCCATTTTGAGTTTGAATTGTTGTATCTCAACTTTACCTTCTTCCATATATTCAAATGGTGATTTTGAAACCTGTTCATCTCCGTGGGTTTTTACAATATGAAGATTTTGATGCACCTAAAAATTATCTAAAAATAGATAATTTTTAGGTTTACAAAGTTACGACTGTAGAATATTGATTTTTTTCTTCAATGAGAAAATATTTAGTTTTTACTTATTATTTTACATAAACCCAAATATGTAGATGCTGATTTAAGCATGCACAAGCTACATATTTTAACACATTCGCATATTTGTGTGTATACATAAATACAAATATGCGAATGTAGTTTCGTTTTAAATACAATTTAAAACGAAACTACCACTGTAAAGAACAAACAGATAAGTACATATTCCTCAACGTGACTTGGGCTATATGCATTTTCAGCACCAGGATTCAGGAAGTACATATGAAGTCTATTTTTTGGCTTATGTATGTGTATCCTTAAAAAATGCACGTATGTCAACCCTTTCATGAAAAAATAAATGCTCATGTGCATGCATAGAACTTAAAATTTAACATAAATATTACCAAAACTTTATACGTACCTCTATACATATTATGTATGTATAGAGTTATGCATGCAGTTATTAACTGCCTGCAATTTCCCCGTTGTGCATGTTCTATGTATTTTTGTATTCTGGAGAAAAGTTATCAATCTCATAAATAGATACATTTATTGCATTATCTTCCGTCAGTTTGCAACATAGTCGTATGGAAGGAAATATACATACATACATATGCATAAATTAAATATGCCATATCTTAACTCCACAGTTTTCGTGAACTTTATCGGCTTGTTATTTATGTTATGTTGAATTAAAAAATAAGTCAAAATACATCTGTATGGACATACTTGTGCTGGTTGAAATTATGGAGTCAGTCTGAAGATTCAGCAATTTTAAGACGAACTCACAATTGTAGTACATTATTAAGGGCATAATTATTGCGTTCATTGACCACCAATTGGCTAGAACAAATATTGTGCATATTTTTGTACACATACGCAGAATTATTCAACTTCGCAGGTTTCAACTTTTTATATTTTCGTGGAATCAAGTAGCACTATTATTCCTTCAGTCATAATCTGTACAACCATTTTAAAATATATCGATAAAAATGTCACCACCTTCAAGAAATTCCCAAATTAATACAAGGTCAATAACCTTTTGCAACTGGAGACCGAATAAACTGTTGCACGCTTTGGCAAAATTAGTTTTGATTGCATTATGTTTCCTCGTCTTTCTAGTCAGCACCGTTTTTGCATTTTTCCCCCTCTACGTTTACCAGTGTATAGTTGTCATCCTGGCCAAAATATTTCGGTCCGACTTGATCTCCATCGTTGCGCCCCGTGATTTTTGCAATGGATTGGATGATGTAACGAAAAAAAGTGCATATTTCTTCCAGGTATTTGTTACTTATCATGGGGAACCGGATATTGACCATATTCGGTCAACTTTCCAAACCAAAGTGATGGAAGAAAAAGATATCAAGAACGGAAAACTACTTTACGAAAAATTCACTTATTTTATAAAACCCTGGCTTGGATATCTATTTTGGAGCAGAGAATCTAATTTCTCGCTCCATGAACACATAAGACTTTGTGAAGACACAGAACACCTATTATTGTCTCACCCAGTGGTCACAGAAAAGGATTTTACAAACGTCATGGGGAAGCTATCCGCACGACCACTTCGTCAAGGAATGTCGCCGTGGGAAATTTTAATCGTCAGGAATTTTGTCCCCTCCAAACCTAAAATTCATATTGGGGAAGAAACCAAAATTAGCGAGGGGTCTAGATTTATCCTAATTTTTCGCATACACCACGCCATTTCGGATGGTTCGTGTTGTTTCAAAATACTTGTGACTAACTTGAGTGGCGTGCCCGTGCCGGAAATTTTCTCACCGTCAACCAGGACCTGGAAGGAGACTTTCTGTTCAACCATTCTTATCAAGTTGACCACGCTGGTTCTGTTCGGTTACTACCAGTTCAAGCAGATTGTTCTCGATGTTGATAAAAATATCTGGAACTTGTCTGCACCTCAAACGACAGGAGAATGGCTATTTGTTCAATCGGAAAAAATTCCATTAATTGGTTTAAAACAAATGAGCAAATCACGAAATGTTTCACTGACAGCATTGTTCAACGCCGGCTTGGGTGCCGGGATTCGCACATTTCTAAAAGGGACGGGACAGGAGGACAAAATTCCAGAAACAATGAGAGTTTTGATGCCGCTTCCATGGAAGACACATCCTTTTACCGGATTAGTTAATTGCTGGTAATTAAGCTATATATATATCTATATATATCTTCGTATATATGTACGTGTGCTTGACAGGAAGACTGCTTTGTTCAATTGATACGAAGTAAATTAAAACTCTCCTAAAAATTATTTAGGAGTTTTGGGACCTTGATAATCCCACTGGGACCATGTCTTCAACAAAATCTACAAATAGCTGAAAAGTCAATTCGAAATTGTAAAAAATCGCCCATTCTACCCGTAAATTTTGCAGTACCTCCACTACTAGCATTATTCCCGGTATGGTTGTTCAAGATTTTAGCAGACCTTGGCTTGGTAACCATACTAGCTTCACATTTCCCAGGCCCGAAAGATCCTATCCAGAGTTTCGGACGGTACTGGCTTGACGAAGCTAATTCTTGGTTAGACATGAGAGGAAGTTTTTGTAAGAAATGTATCCATAATTATGTCAAATTCAACTTCAGTGAAATTTAAATGTCGTTCTTTCCACAGGCATTTCAACTTCATTTATTACTTCCCGTGGAAACTTGCGCGTGGGAGTGACGGTGGACAAGGCGATTATTCCAACTCAGGAACAGGGAGATTACTTGGCATTTTGTATCAGCCAGGAGTTTAAAAATATTTTGGACATTGATCATGCTACCAGAAACCTGGAGCAGGATGACGCAAAGATTGTGTAGTATATGTTTTTGTAAGAGTGCCGTGGAATTAGAATATACTTACCAATATAAAGATTCTTACACTATATTATAAAATGCATATTTATGTATATGTGTATTATTTGCATTTTGCATACTTACTTCGGTGGAAGTTGGTAATGGCCCCCAATGGAAGAATATGTTAAAATCATGAAAATTTGAATACTCTTTTGGGTGACACATACCGGTTTTTTTAAATCGTCTTATCGAACAAAAATTTATTAGGCTCCTAATTGCCTCAAATATAGAAGAACATAAATATAAATTAGAAGAATCCGTTTTTATTTTTAAATTTATTGATATGCATTTATCTACGATAAAATTTCATGCAAAGAAGTCGGATTGGGTGATAATCACGGCCTGACTCGGGCTATATATACATATTTATTAATCGCATAAAATTTACGCTTATATGATAAGTTGGTTCCATAACTTGGCCGACACGACACTTAATAAAAACCTAACCATAATCAATAGAATTGCTAACCATTTATTCCTAAATAGAGCTGTGGAAATCCAAACCTGGGTGGTTTCTAAAAATACAAAGACTGATTTGCATATTTTGAATACTTACAATTGAGAACTAGTCTTAATGCCTTTCAGCTTATAGTTTACATAATTTTTTACATTTTTTACATGGTCTGGACCGCACTTTATCCCTCTTTCATTTTTTACACATATCGTTCTTTGTGCATACAAATGTACTTTCATTGTGTATCTCGCTTGAAACAAAGTATTATGATACGCAAGATTCTTTCATTAGTTGGCTCCATAATATAACGACCAATTAATATATATAAGCAAGTTTCCCATTTCGGTATATGATTATTATGAGTTATGGTACATCTTTTTGGTATAACTATAAAAGATGTTGTTATGTAATGTACATACATTTGGCTTGGGCACAAATGAGAAACTGTATTGCATTGCGGGATGTAAATAAGAAGATCATATTCCCTTAATTTGCATATATATTTAAGTTAACAAGTACACAATGCATACATAGTTGTTTAGTATGGGTGCAAGAAACTTACATATATACATTTTATAAACTTTAACCATTGACAAGAAACTTAGGTAATTATTAATCATTTATTTACAAAGTTTCGGATTAACTCCAAGTCGCAATTCTTATCTGCACCATGGACTCGTCCGTTTTATCCATTCCTGCCTCTGTAATAGTGCTTAAGAGGAAAAGATCAACTGATTCAAAAAATGGGAAAAATTATGTCCTACGACCATGTTGCATTTGTAGCTCAAACGTGACAACAACTATGACCAAGTCCGAGTTTACTTTACTTACTGACCTCGTTCTCCCAGTCACACAGGGTCAAGTTACTCCCCCACCAGCATCAATTAATTCCTCTCGATGGATTTGCACACCATGTTCCACATCTATCGAAAAACTGAGTGACATCAAGAAACTGATGCGTCAATTGGAAGCCAAATTGGCGAGAATCGTACAACTTTTAGCATTAAAGATGAGATATTCCAAAAGCTGTACAAATTCATCAAAATTGGGTAATTGATGTACACAGCAAATTAATAGAAGTATTTAAAGTACGTTTGACACATTTCAAATTTTTTCTATAGCAGAGTTACACGTCGCAGTAGAGGAAAAAGACGCTAAAATGTGCATTGAGGAGTGTGACGATGACGTGAAACCGATAATCATCGACTTCCCGGATGACTGCAGTTCTATGAAAGATTTTTCAAGTACCGTTGACCTGAAGGAGTACCCCGTCGAAACTGATGAAATTATTTCCTCTGTCCAGGTTGATGATGACGAAAATGTATGTGAAACTAATGACAGTGGGGAAGTGGATAGTGAACCTTTAGCGCCAAGCTGTCCAAGCTCCCCGACTCCTAAGATAAGACGTCAAAGACAGAGTAAAATCAGAGCAGTGCAACTTATCCAAGCTATAGGATCAGAATGCTCCGAGAGCGTACTGGATGGTGTCAGTACTGAAACAAATGACGGGATTATCAGAAAAACAAAAGTTAGAAAATTTCTATTTGGCAAAAGTGGAAAAATTCGATCTCGCAAGTATGATTTAAATTTATGACAAATTTATGAACATATCTATGAATTCCAAGGGTCGGAAATAGTACTTATTGACCTGGTGTTTGATTATTTTCAGTGTTCCTAAAAGTGGGCAAAGCATGAGCAGTCAGTTCAAACTAAAAATACAACTGGCCACTGCAAAACGGAAATGTTTGTATGTTTATTTTTTTAATTTCGTGAATTTGGCAAGTCTTAAAAAATCTACCTCTTTTAAAGGAAGCGAGTAAGGAACAAGGAGAGTAAGAGCAAGCAAAAGAACCGAAACAAACCGATCCAAATTAACTGCGAAATTTGCGATAAAAAATTTGTACAGGTGTGGGGTTATCACAACCATATGCGATACACCCATGGTAAATCGCTGAAAGAAGCAAAGCCGTCCACCCACGTTTGTGACACGTGTGGAAAATTTTTCGCCGAGAAGTCCTCTCTTGTCAGTCACAAGGAGCGTGTGCACATGAAACTCCTCAAAGCATCCTGTGACCTTTGTGATTACAAGGGTTATAACGCGAAGTCCCTAAACAGTCATAAACAAACTGTGCACCGTCCTGGAGGCCCCATGTACGTGAAAAAAAGGACGTATCTCTGTGAGCTTTGTAATGAGGGGTACAACTTTAAAAAAAGCTTAGCCGATCACATCAAGATGACTCACGATGCGGACAAAACTCTAAAGTGTGACCGACCTGGGTGCAGGAAGACATTTTACACGCAGAAAAACCTGGACCAACATTTGGAACATTTTCATCCTCAAGATGCGACCATTGATAAAACGGTGTGTCCCATTTGCTCAGAAAATTTCTCAAACATCCGTGCGAAAATTGATCACATAGCGAGAGCACATAAAAATAAAAAGGAATTCCCTTGTCACATTTGTAAAGGAGTAACTTTCTCAACGGAAAAATCTCTTGAACTCCATTTAAGCAGCCACGCTGGGGAGGAGAAGCGTTTTTTATGTGGAAATTGTGGACAGCAATTTGCGAGAGATACTGCGCTTTATCTGCATATGAAAATTGTGTGTAATCCGAATGAAGAGGAGAAGGAAAAATTTAGAAAACTCAGAACGGAGAAACAAATCGCTTACAGAGAACGGGCCAGGAAGAAATCCTTCAAGTGCGACCATTGTGGGACACTATTTTTAGTGAAGAAGAGACTTGATATGCATATTGGAAGGTTTCATAAAGAAGACGAAGAAAGAGAAGGGGACGAGAGCCAGTCAGAATAAGCATGCTACATATGCACGATAAGAAAATTTGAACCTATGTAGATAATTAAATTAATTATGGGAACAAACATGACTAGATAATTTTAAAGTCTTAATTTTAAGACGTAATTTTAAAGTATGTTAAATTATAATGAATGCACTTGCTTATTACGAAACGAACTAAGGAATAAATACATACTAGGATAAATTTAATTTTTTGTATATTTTTTTCGTGATTTTATTGGATTGGAATTTCGCATGAATAAAGCTCCTGTGCAATGCGAACCGATATAATACCGAATCGGTATTACCGATACACTTCCTATGCATACCGATCTATATGTACAATGATACCAATGATACATATGTATATATGCATATGTATGTATGTACATGTACATGCACATTTATTATCGTGACTTTAGTGCAATATCCGTCGGATGGTTTTTAAGAGGTATGCAAATGTAACTCATAACTGATCGAAAGTCATGAAGTTACATGTATGCATTACATAATATGTAAAATTACTATAATAATATTCTGCATATGTACATATGCAGAAATCCTCCTGTCTGTGTGACAATTTGCTTAAAAAAATTTTGGGCCAACCATTGACCATAAGTTAAATATTTGTGGGACACCTTTTTGAATGAAAATAGCATGAATGGGATTCTCTCATCCCATGTATGCATTTGTATCTTATGATTTGGATGCTTTTGTGAGTTTTTTAACCTGCTGTTATAAGCGTGAATGTATGTATGTACATATGTGCATATGTAGGGTACTGCCTGAAACGTTCGTAAACGTCATTCGCAGAAAATTCAAGTGTTTGTTAAGTCTTGCACTAAAATGACTCACGATATCCGTTAAAACGTATTTTTTAGTGCGGTATATAAAAGTGCTTGACTTTCTGATTAAAATCAGTATAGCAAAGTGAGGGCCGAATTATTGTACAGTCAAAAATTGTATAGTTTGGGTACTTTATTTAAATTAACTTGTACAAGTAACCGGTGATTTAATTTAGCAATTTGAAGGTAACGAAATAAGTTATTTGTGCTTATGACAATAGATCTGCAATGTTAAATACTATGTTATCAAACCAGTTAGTTTTAGCTGTTATTAAACTCTACAATTTTTTTAAACTTCTTACTGGGCAAGCTTTCAACAACTTCCACACTTTTGACCAATTTCATTAGTTTGGATTTTTAAATTTTCGATTCAAATTTTTCTTAACATTTTATCGATTATCGGTAAACAATTGTACATGCCTCCATTATTATACACTCTTGCCTGCTATAGTACATTCGTATCGTATGTACATACATACATATGTATGTATTTGATAGGTGTTTTCTTATACATACATACACACATCTTTGAACTCTTACATCTCATTTCCAATTTACAGAGCTAAATTATAATTTGCCATAATTTTACATACTTGTGGAGGCTTATTTGAGCAAAATGAAATAAAAATTGACGGATTTAATTCATCTCTGAGATAACTAAAGACTACTAAATCTTTTCATTATGTACGTATGTACAATGTACATTATCCATATCATAGATGTATAGGATGCATATGTACATATGCGCACTAACTCCAGTTTGTAGCATTTAATTTAAGTTTGAAAGTAACAAAAAGTGCATGTAAAGGAGAACACATGTAATTATGTTTTTTTTAAAATTTTACATATTTATATGATTTTTTTCAGACTTATCCGACATTAGTACAAATACATACGTATCAAATCTTTGAATTGTAAAACCGTTATTACAAAAAAGCTGATCATGGCAGGTAATCAAGAATTGGATGATTCAGAATTCTCAGGTATATGTTTAGTAATAAAGTACTAAATAGTGCAATATTGTACTTAAAAATATTAATAAAACTAATCCTTTGTACATACGTTATAAACCAAATTTATATTAATATATATTTACTCTTATCCAGATAAAAAGAGAAACAAACTCCGAACTTCAAAGGATATTTACAATCGGCTAAAATGGGACTCCGAATCCCTAAACATTGACCTCTCCTCTATTTACATCGGGTACAAAGACCGTTTCCTTGGAATGTGCGAAATCCCATTCCTTGACTACCAACCGAGACGCGGAGATGTCACAAATTGTGAAGACAACGAAGAGAGTGAAATCCCATATCACCGAATCTACTATTTTCGTGGGGGTGGTCCTCCACAGTTCCCGTTAATTGGGAGTGAGGGTGAGGTTCGTGTGAGGGAAGAAAATTGGCCTCAAGGCGCGATATTTTTCTGGGATAGAGAGTCCAGACAAGATCTAATATTCGGATCGGGTGACCCTAAATCCAGCGTGAAAGTGGTTGGAAACGGTAGTCAGACATCATACCAAACAGGGTACAAGTTCAGTCAAGAAACCTCCAAATGGGAGAACGTTCCGCAAAATGAGGAGCCCAGTCAAAATGTTGACGGTGTGAAACTGATAAGTTTCAACATTCTTCATGACCTGCATAACACGCCCTCAGTGAACCGATGGCCCCACTTGATTGACTTCCTCGCCTCTCGAGACGCTGACGTTATCGCCCTGCAAGAAGTGACTGTCTCGTTCCTTGCCCTGTTAGAAAGTGAGGTTTGGGTTCGGGAGAAGTATTATCTCACAGATATTTCCTCCAAGGGCGACAGCGTTACTCCATATGGACAACTATTCCTTACCAAAATCCCACCAACACGGCTCTTCTTCAGACATGATAAAGATAGTGGAGCTAAATACATCATTGCGAGCTTTACCCTTGCAAATGAAAAACTTGTCCACATTGCAAACATTCACTTGTCCAGTAATTACCGGGGCGATTCTTCCTCCCGGAGAGAGAAACAGGTCAAAGACGTGCTAAAAAGTATGGCAAATTTGGAGCTTACTTCTCTCACTGCGCCGCACGACCTCGTCATCACAGGAGATACAAACTTCTCGGGAAATGAGTCCATTTGGTATGACGATGCCTTTGGGATGGAATTGGTTGATGCGTGGGAGTGGCTGAACGGAGGTGACGTAATCAAGCAAGAATCTGTCACTTTTGACGTTGAAAATAACCCTTTGGCAAAACAGCAGAGCAGATCCGGCAAGAGTGAGAGATTTGATCGCATCTTTTTCAAATCGAGCAATACCTGCAAACCAGTCAAGATTGAAATTTTGAAAAGTTTTGTTGAGGCGAACGTTCCTTGGTTTAGCGACCACTACGCGTTGGAGTGCGAGTTGAAAATGCAAACCGTCTCAAATCCAAGTGGAGGACCAGTAGCAAGCATGACCTCTCGGTCTGCACCACTACCCGCCCCGGTGTACACTTCTGCAGTGGTAATAATCCCACCTGAGGAATCATTCTGGCCACACGTGCAAGAAAGTCAGGCACAGTTTGACCCATCTTTCGCCCGTTGGCCGCCCCATATCACATTGCTCTTCAGATTCGTACCAGACGAGGGAAATAATTTTGACCTCGCGAAAGACGCCGTGACTTCAGAGTTGGAGGGAATAGAACCATTTCAATGCACTTTGTCCAGGTTGGGGACCTTCACACACTCGAGGTCAACTACGGTCTATCTCGGGCCAAAACAAGCAGACGCGGTGGAGCAGATTGGGCTAGTATATAAAAGAGTGGTAAAGTTATTCCCAGGCTTTGCCGATAGAGCAGAGGGATTTAGTTTTACGCCACATTTGACCGTTGCAAAATTATCGAATGAACCTTCAGAAATGAAAAATAATGCGGAATTTATTTCAAAGTGGGAATCAAAATTGGCAAAAATACCTGAACAAGACCTGACGTTTACTGTGGATAAAATCCATTTCATTTCAAGAGATGGCGATGAACCATTCACCATAAAGAAGACAATATTTCTAAAACAAAAATCTTTACCACAATCGGGTGACCAAACGGGACAGAAATTTTTTGACCAGTTCATCACCGATCATAGCTTGGCTCCTAGTTGTCCACACAGAGAGGAACTGCGGTCAAAAATTGTGTCAGAAATGGAGCGATTTTGCAATTTGGCAGTGCAGCAAATTGACCCAAACTCACACTGTAACGTCCACTTGACAGGATCATCATTCCTGACTTTCCATGATGATACGAGTGACATGGACTTTCTCTGTCTTGGTCTCACAACAATATCCAGACAAGATTTCTTCCACAGTTTGGAATCTCTCGCATGTTCATCCCCCGTTGACGGACTCAGACTAAAATCCATCGTTTCTGAGACGACCATACCCATCGCCAGATTCACCATGACCGACAACCTTGTTGAAATTGACGTTGACCTCGTCTACTCAAATACTTTACTAGAAAACCTCACCGATTCCGAACTGCTCCACATGACGGAGACTGAACTCCGCTGCATAAACGCGGTCCGAGAAGGGGTCCAACTCTTAGAACTAATCCCGTCTGAATTACGTCCCACTTTCCAGACTGCAATTAGGCTGCTCAAATACTGGGCTACACAGCGGAATATTTACAATAAAACTTTCGGTTATCTGGGAGGGATGCAGATTTCTTTGTTAGTAGGTTATGTAATTGTCGAGAAGGGAAACTTGGTTTCCGTTGAAGATATAATTAACGCATTCTTTGATACATTTGCGACCTGGAGGTGGCCAAAAGCAGTTCAATTTAGGGGAGGGCTGAATAAAGAGCGTTATATTATGGGTAAAAAAATACCAGAACATATGCCCATTTTAAGCCCGGCCTTCCCCCACATCAATCGAAACCTTAATGTGACGAAAAGCACGAGAAGCCTGATCCAAAGGGAGATTAGGAGAGGACATGAAATTTTTAGTGGGAAAGCTGATGATAGTATTAAAATTAGGTGGGAAAAGTTAACAGAAAGTCCGGATTTTTTCACTTGTCAGGAGAAATACTGGTGTATCCAAGTCTCCTGTGAGAATGAAAATGATTTGAAAATTATCAGTGGAATTTTACAGTCGGGAATTATTTTAAGTTTGATCGTTGAACTAGAACAACAACATGACCTCTTCGTCCAACCGAGTGCAAAGGTCGTGATTTCCAGAGCGGATGAAGATAATCGTTTCAGATGTATTAGTTATCTCGGATGCTCTGAAAACGGAAGTAATAAAGTGGACGATGCTTGTTATGATTCCACAATGAGACATTTCACGAAAAAATTTGAAACCAGTTTTAAAAAGTTTTGCAAAGGTGATACGGATATTAAAATTTACAGATTGTGATAAGTTGTGATATTTTTTTATTATCTAATAAATAAATAAACAATTACTGTTATGCAACTTGTAAAGTTATGCAGCAGAGTTACAACAAACTATTTTATTATTTTTCATAAATTTATTTTCATGGGGAATAAAATGCATCATGAATTTTTCTACACAAGCCAAGCCGGAACAAAGACGATTTGCAACTCTGGTAAAAAATCGGTGCTGCTTGGTGAAAACTTTTTGGTGGCGGTAAAAGAATGCACAAACGGCCAGTCTTCCTGCTTTCCCTCCTTTCTCACTCACTCCACATCCACACACTCAACTACACAGCATCAATAAAGCAGATCGTTCCCTTTAAATTGAAAAAAGTTAATTTCAATTAAAATCCAGAGAAATGTCTCCTCAACCACCAAGTCCGTCCGCGGCAGAGGATAAGCCAGCGGCTAAGCCAAAAGGAGCAGCGAAGAAGAACAAGTAAGGATAAATAAATAAAATTATATAATTATTTAAAATGCACTAGGAAGGCGAACCTTGGAATTAATTATTAAAACTTAATAATTAAGGTCCCCAGCCAAGGAGACCAAACCAAGGAAGCCGTACAAGAAGAGGGCAAAGGTCGCCAAGGGGGCTGCTCCAACTCGTACGTCCAGCCGTGTCCAGGGGGGTGGCATTGTTAAGAAGAAGAAGTAGGCGATGACGCAGAATCATCAACATTTTTGGAGAAAGAAGAATAATAATACTGGAAAAGTTTCTTAAATTCTTTAATTGGCCAACTTTAGTAGTTAGTTATATTTTTATATACATAAAATGATATAAAGGCAAGTTGCACAATTTCTTGTTAGATTAGAGGAAAAAAAATGTTGAAGGGGAGGGGGGATTATGTCTAATAGTAATAGTTGCAGAAATTTCTTAAATTTGGTCTACTTCTACTGGTTTTAATATTTTTGTTATTCGATACTGATTTTATAAAATAATTGGGTAACTTCTTTTAAACATTTAACGAGTCTGCACTGACTTTCTTTTTTCAAATATTCTCTCAGGGATGTATGTAATAATAAAAATACTGATATTCTCGACCACATAATTATGTATTATAAGTGGCAAAATGGGAGAACATTTATATCAAATTTATTTAAAGAATAAAAATGCAAAATTTTAGCTTCTAATCTTATATACGGTGTAGCTTGACTTATTACATACAAATTATCATGATATGATCTAATTTTTTTTCGTTTTTGATGTCGGAACTCGGAAGGGAAGGAGAGCATCATTGCATTGATTGGGATTATTTCTAGTGGTGGTGGAAACTTGAAACCGTAACTAACTGAGGTTATGGTGAAAATAAAATTATTCGATTTAGGCATATGTATTTATTATTGAGATATAATCCCTAACCCAGTAATAATTCAGAATTTTAGAAATTACAAATTTTCCAATGTATAAATTTATAAAAACGATATATGATTTCATGAAATTTTCTGAACCGTTAAAAAGTTAGTCATCACCGATGCAGACCTGTACAGAATATAAATTAAATTACAAACAATTCTAAGGATTTGTTCCAATTTAGTACTTACTTCTAAATATACATCGTGCACACATTGTCCCACTGCCATGAATGACATCTGAAATTATAAAATAGCATACATATATGCACAAAATACAAAAGTACTGATCAAAATTAGGGATCTTGCTTTGTTATGGAGACTTACACAGCCAGGATCATTCTTAACTTTGACGTCTTGTCCGTGTTCCTTGATACATTTGTCGATCCCAGTAACCAAGGGCTTTCTCAGTTTAGGAGAAATTGCATCCTCAATATATTTAATTGCTTTAGCATGATCAATCTTTCCAGTGGGCGTTAACTATACAAATAAATAAATTTGTTAAGGTCAAACTAATGATAAGTATGAGAAAATAAAAATGAGTAGATACATATTTATCGCACCATTCCTTTCTTTTCCAGAACACAGACTCCAAAACATAACAACTTATCTGCAGGGATTTTCCACACTGATTTTTTCCCTGTGGCATCCAGACACGATTGGATTTGAAACTTTTGTAAAGCTGTCAATTTCACTTCTTCGCCCCCACACGTCGTCTCCTCCTGGCAATGGCAGACCTATCAAACGATTTCATGTGACACATTTTCTAAGAATATTAATAATATAGCATAATATAGCATATCACACTTACTGAAAGGAGGATTGCGGAGCCGACAAAAATGATGGCGAAAATTTTCAAAGACATTGTTTCCAAAGCTATTTTGTAATGATAACCGTTCACTGAATGACGTGGAAAATATGTATCTATTGAAGAGTGGGGTTGTTGATCTATTTTTTTCTGGTATTTATATAAGTTTTCCCAATAAACTTGCATCCAGGAAAAAAAGAGAAATTGGTGGATGCGGACGCGAAGAATAATAATTAAACCCAGAAAATTACATGTTAATAAAGGATGAAAGGCTATAGATTAAGCGAAATAAAATGATAACAGTTATCAGGGTACGAACACGAATATTAAAATATTTGCGACACTTTTCCCGTTATAATTTAGTATGACACATCCCAGAATTAAACATAGAATTAAATTTTTGATTTAATATTTTGTTGCAAATACATATTAACCAGACTCAATTTTTGTTAAGATTATAATATTCTGAAAATTTTCTGGTAATGCATTAGTGCATTACCATAGATTGTGTTTTGTTACCATCTAATAACCAGACGTCGGATATTTATTTATTTATGACTTTTTCAATTTGCGCCCGATGTTTTTCAAACTTGGCAGGGACCTTTATGGTCATGAGTAGGTCACGCTGTCGAAAAAATTTTTTCAATATTTTTCAATATTTTGGGGTTTTAGAAAATATAAATATTTACGTAAATTTTTCGACCTTTTTTTAAAAAAATATTTTTTTTATCGGAAAATCATGGTTATTTTAAACTTTTGGGCAACTTTACACAAAAAATTTCATTTTAGGAGTTTATTTAGAAGTGTCCAAATTTTTTAGTAACTTTTAATTCAGATACTTCAAGACTTCCGACTTTTAATTCATGCTCGTCGAAAGCTACTTGGGAGGAAAGCTTCACTACTTATAACAGAATTCGATGCCCTTTGGAGTTTTCGTACACTCGTAGGATACCTACGAGTATATTGTACCTATGTACTGCAACATTAAAAAGGGTATTAAAATCGGTTGTTGCCAAGAAGTGAACCTTCCTCCTGATAACCAGAGGGTTACCTGCAATGATTTTTTAAATTGGAAGTTTGGTATCAATGTCTAAGGTGTGTCAAATTTTCAAGACGCTAAACAAGAATTTGATGCAAATACATACATATGTATGTACATACATCTGTATGGGTACATATAGATACCATTCCATACTGAAATTTCCATTGACTATTTCACAGATTTAGCGTGTTAAAGCTTTAATATCACCCATATATAATGCCAAAATGTTAGAAATGCAATTTGGGCTATAACCAGTTGGATATTGAGCCCAAAATCTGAATTTATAAAAAAATATTTAAGAAAATATTTTCGGGGTTTGAATGAAAATATAAAATAAATTTTTTCGAGGTTGATAGTAAATAAATATCCGACGTCTGCTAATAACATGATAGCGTCTCCCCAAATACTTTTCTCAAAGCTATGAGATTTCGCAAAAATATTGCTGCAATGGAAAGCCATGTTTTTCTTTATTGAAAATTTACTCAGCAACTTGGTATGTTGTTATTTCATAAAATTATTTCTCAAACTCATCACCAGCTAGAGAAATTACAGGAATCCATGCAAACAACATCGAAATGAATGTTTTTTATAAATAGATTTTCTAGATTTGCGAATATTTGTCATAATTTGCGAATTCCTTTCATGACGTAATTGTTTTAGCTTCATAAATTTGCTAAATGATTTGCAATAAAGACCTTTACGCCCACAAGCTATACGAGGTTAAAACAAACTACAAAATCCAAAACATTTGATCCTAAAAAAACTATGTAAATGCAATGCAATGAATCTGATTTCATTTTTGTTGGAGTTACATATCTTTCGCCATATGTTCCGATTTTTTTTTTGCTGAATTGGGAAAAATCATGCTCGTTCATGAAATTTCCAATTCTCATATTTCCACAAAATAATTCCCTCCCTCAATATAGAAAATTATATCGACAAGATGAGTTCACAAACTGGCAGAATTACAGAACTACCAACCAGCATAAATGCATAATAATAAATCACTTCTACATCGTCACATTTCCATGAAAAAAGGTCTGATAACGATTCGCAAACGTTGTGCTACCTGCACATCCCATCCCATATACCGCATATAGTTTTACGTTCTTCTCATGTCCAAACACGTCCAAACAGCCGGCCTCTCACTCCACAGCTCTTTACATCATTTCCACTTTTTCATTTTAATCTCGCCATCCAACCAAACAAAGCTAATCAGAACGTGTTATTTATATTTATAATTTTTAGTTTTCCAGAAAATAAGTTCTAACAATCAAAAGGTACCCTGTTTTTTTGATTTTATTTTATACATGGTCTTGTAACAATATTGGTGTTAGATTTTGACGGTGAATATTACTTATGCATGCAGGACTTTAAAAGAATTTTAAACCCAGAATGAAAAGTGACCCTTTATTCTATTTTTGTTTTTCCAGTTTCCAGTCATTGTCCCTTCTGGAAAAGGAAGGTAGGTAGGCTGATAAATAGACACTCGAAGTCCGTACATACATATCATCACGGTGAAGTTACTTTCGCATTCAACATTTAGTCGCTGGGTCGAATGTATGTGCTCTTATCAGCTGGGTAAGCTTCAATTTTTTCAATCCAGTTGGCTACATAGTTTGCATATTATAAGTATTTATACACTATTCCTCCCTTGTCAGTGTAACTTATCATCATCATAAATTATGGAGGACGAGGATACCATGGACTTTTCTCTCGACGAGGACTATGACGAAATCGAAGACTATGATGAAGGAATGCCGAGCCAAGATGATAACGTGAAGGATGAAGAAGAGGGCCATATCGATGTACTGAATACTGAACAAATCTATAACTCCATGGTCGATACCATTCATCAGGTGGGTATAAATTCATTAAAAAAATTACAACTTGGAATGGATAAATAAGTATGAATCATTTTTGCAGGCTAACGGTGTTCTCAATTTGCCGCAAGGAATGATGAGAATTCTACTTCATGATTTCAAATGGGATTCCGAAAAGCTACTTGAAGCATATTTTTTGCGAGAAAATGAGAAAAATAACCAGATTTTCAAAAATATTGAGGAAAATACGGTCTCATCATTAGGAGTTGGTCAACTGACAGGAAAGTTCGGCAACGGTGAATCAGTAGCGGACAACGACGAATGTGGCATTTGTTTTCTTCCAGCAAGGGAATCGGTAAGATAAGATTAGCATAAATTGAGCTGAAGCTTAATATTAACTGGACTTTTAAATTGTTACCAGGATATATACGACCTTGGCTGTGGTCATCAATTCTGCACAGATTGCTGGTCGTCCTATCTTAAAGAGAAGATTACTGGGGGTGAAGCTTGCCACAAAATCACTTGTGCGGCATACAAATGCACCAAGATTGTTGATGACGCCATCATTCCAAAATTAATTGACGATACAAAAGTTAGACAGGCTCATCAACGGCTTATCACAAACAGTTTTGTCGAGGTTAGATTGATATATAGTGCTCGTATATTATGTAATAGCCTATGTAATATTCTAATTTGCTTGTTTTCTGTTTTTTCTGAAGTGCAACAGATTAATGCGCTGGTGTCCTTCTCCTGACTGTACTTTTGCTGTCCGAATCCAGTGGGTAGGTGCGGTCCGGAACGGAGTTACATGTAGGTGTGGATTCTCTTTCTGCTTCTGTTGTGGACGCAGTTCTCATCAGCCCTTGACTTGTGTCATGATTAAGAAATGGATCCAAAAATGTGAAGATGATTCGGAGACGGCTAATTGGATCGAGGCAAATACTAAGGTTGGCATGATTATTATATAGTTATTTATTTCTGACTGATTGATGGATTTTAAAATACAATTGAATAATTAGGACTGTCCGAAATGCGGCGTGACAATAGAAAAAAACGGTGGCTGCAACCATATGACGTGTACTAGCGCGTCGTGTGGAAATCATTTCTGCTGGATTTGTCTAACTGCGTGGGGACCAAATGGATATCAAACGTACGTGCTCTAGTTTTACTGAACTAATGCACTCTTAAATGAATGTTATTAAATAATTGTGTAACTATGTTTTCTTTATCCAGCCACTCTTGCTCCGCTTATGTAGAATCCGAACAAAACAAAGGGAAGGAAAATAAGATGACAAACTCCCGCATAGCTCTGGAACGATATCTATTCTACTACTCAAGATACGCCAATCACATTCAAAGCATGAAATTGGAAAAGAAACTAGTCGACAGGGTGCAAGAAAAGATTGACTATTTACATGCAAATAATATTTCTGGAATAGAAGCCGATTTTCTACGAAAGGTGGGTCTGACGCGTCTTGCGTTTTCTTTTACATAGTGTAATATGCATCTGGTCACAACCGACGTTTAATTTTTATAAACTTTACAGGCCGTCGAAATATTGCGAAAGTGTCGACAGGCGCTACTGAACACGTATGTGTTTGCATTCTACGTCAATAAAAATAACCAGACTGACATTTTCGAAGACAATCAGCGAGACTTGGAACTCGCCACGGAGAAACTAAGTGCGTACTTGGAACAAGAGTTGGACCTTGATGATGATGTGTTTGAGATGAAGAGAAAGGTAGTCATTTTTAGTCGTCGAGACATAGTTTTTCTATTAAAAATTGTGTTAATCTAATTTTTATTTAGGTAAACGACTTGTATCGATACTGCGAGACGCGACGAAAAGTAATTCTGAATCATGTTGAGGAAGGATTCACCAAATCATGTTGGAGCTTCAAAGAAGACTGAAATATAACTAAAACCCAAAACAAAGTTCAAAAATTATTCCTGTAATGAAGTTGACTATTTGCGAGATGCACTATTTTAAGAAACTGTACGAGTAATTAAATAATTATTTAATTAATAGCTACACGTAATTTTGAGTAAATTAACTGTGTACAATTTTATACGAATAAAATGGCGAATTTAAATACCTATGATGATGGTGATCTAGCTAAGTTTCATTAAGTATGTATATACAATTCTGTTAATTACTGCATACATTTAAACATTTGACTTTAAAAATTTCCAAATTAATGCAAAAGTCTATTTATTTATACCATTCATTTCTAGCCCTGCAAACCTTACAAATTAACCCAAACCGAATTACGTAAGTACATAATAGTAATTCTGAGCAAGAATTGGAGTGCCAAGGATGCCGATGAAGGAAAAATGTAAATATACATACATTAACTATTGTTTCAAACCTCTATTAATTGCTAAATACAATTTCAAGGTTTCACTTTATGCGTATGCCATTACGATACTTTAGAAACGCATTGTTAAAAAAATTACAGACTCAGCCCCTTCGCACTATTCCCAACTATCTCAAGGAACTGTTTGCCATTAACTCTCTTGATTTTAAACACTGAAGTCCTTTCCCTAAAACCAATTCACTCACTAACTGCTATGAGTGCTAAAATTATTACCCTTATTTCCGTCCTAATAACCACTGCATGGATAATTCAGAATGGCGTGGAAGCGATGGACATGGAGGAGGTACTTGTTCTACTTATATACCATTAACTTGTCTTATTTCATCTCATTTTCGAACAGGCTGGCAATGAATTGACACGAGTCCGTAGGCACGGCTGGGACCATTGTAATGTTCCAGGGGTGATATTTTATAGCAATAAATTTTTAATTCATTTTTGTCAACTGCGACTATGGCCTTAATTGAACTAATTTAATTTATGAACAGGAACGATGCAACGAACCGTGGACTGGTCACTGTTGTCCAGGTCTTCGATGCGTTGGGGGGTACAGGAGACGCTGCCACTACTATTGAGATTCCCATACAGTGACAGTATTTATTTATTTACATGTCATTGTATGCTTTGATATTTGGAAAACTTGATCAGTATGCTATAATGCAAGATTGTATTGGATTAACAACCATGTTTTTACCAATAAACATGTTTGAAATAAAAAATTACTTTTGACGCATTGATTGTATGTGTGCATAAATTATTATGTATGCAATTCTAGCAACAAGCTACTTTTCGTTCCAATTCCAGGAATTGAGATTCGTGGACACAGATTCTGAGAATCCGCACTGAAAAAGCATACTTCTTTGTAAAACCTTGTAACACAAGGATGCTAAATAAGTGTATCTATGTCACAATGATGTAAATAGTTAAGTGCTAAGATAAAAGATTCATTCATGTATTAGTTTTCTTTAGCACACCAAGCGTCACGTAAAACGACCAGTTTTTTATAGTTCAAGCTCGTGGAGTAATGTTCTTGCAAAAATAGGCATTCATTCGAGCTTCCAAGAATACTTAGGCATTATTTCCAGTTTTACACGTGTCATTGCAAGGCGAGGTTTTAGTATAAAAGGACTTGTTGAGAATGACTGGATTATTCATATCCAGAGTATTCAAAACAATACAATAAAATACTCCAAATCAGTAAAAATCAGATCGAAATGAAGTCCGTTTTGCCAATACTTTTGATTGGGGGCATGGTAGGTTTCGCCACGTCGGCTTGCCTTTTCTCCCCAGGCCACTCATTTCCGAAACCGTACTCCTGCAAAGTGGACACTGGTCGACTGGATTTCCAAAACGATGGCAACCTTGTTGTTTACGATAACTCGGACAACATCAAATGGGCTTCCCATACTTCTGGGACCGGTCATCTTCTTCAATTCCAGGCGGACGGGAATCTCGTAATTACCGATTTCCAGAAGAAGGTCAAGTGGTCCTCGGGCTCGAATGGGAAGGGGAGCAGCATCGCTTTCCAGGACGATAGAAACCTCGTAGTTTACGACAAGTTTGGAAACAGAGTTTGGGCTACAGAGACTAATCAGTAAGATTCAGGAGAATATAAATAAGCATTGTAAACAACTATTTTTCTTAGATAATGTAAGAACAAAGAAAATAAATAACAAATATTGAGATTAAACATAACAAAATTTAAAACTTTGTACATATATTCATCATATTTGATAATACCATAATTTAATAAACCGAAATTTGTTATACAACGCCCCTCCATAACTTTCGAAAGTAATGCGAGAATAGTGTTCTGCATTTGGACTTGTCACATTAGTTCGAAAGCAATAAACACATAACAGAACAAGAAGAATTAATGATTAAGTGAGGAACAATATTAAACATGTTTGGAATTATCCAAATTTATATATGCTCACAAGAAGAACATGGAAGTACATATGTCTATGTATAGACCTGAAAGAGGTTAATCATTCAGTGAAAATTTATAACTCGAGCTCCTGAATCAATGAGAAACGGAATTAAGTTACAATGCTTCAGGCCAAAGGTCACTACTTGGTAGTGGGTTTGATGAATACAAATGCATCCGTTAATGCGGTTAAGCTTACGCTTTACACTCCTTTATTGCATATGTACTATGTACATACATATATGAATACACTATCATTTTTATAAACAGTAAGCAGATTTTCACTTAATTTGCCAATTTCCCATCATCTTAACGGAAAATGTTGCCTGATGAATTGACACGAGCACGAAAACGACGATATAAAAGCGACCCGAATAAGCATTGAAGCATCAAAAGCCGCAAATCATCCCAACTTCAACTTCCTGTATTCCTTTAATCGAAATGGCGGATAAAATTACAATTTTGTTCTGTTTGGCTGTCGCTTGCACGCTGCTGGTGTTGGTGACGGGTGAGAAATTTATTTATTGCCATTTATAGTATAGAATATACGTGTTACTTGTTGCACCCAGGGGACAGGGGGTGTCCGGACAACCAGGCGGAGTGCGAGACCTACTGCGGGGGCCCGGGCGAGGGGAAGTGTGAGCGGAGTTGGTATCGGTGGCGGTTGAGGTCCCGGTGTCACTGCGACCCCTGCCGAGGCGAGAGGGTTCTCGGTCTCTGCATCACCAGCGTGGGCGTCACTGGCGGATGTGACCACAATGGACAGAATTGCCAGGTTGGCCCCACTGGAACGACTCAGAAATAATATGAAACTGGTACTCAAAGTTACATAAATATTGCGTACTACAGAAATGGAAAATTATTTACGTGATGTGGTCATCTTATTCAGCAAACAAAATATAAAAGGCAAAGTAAAATTGTGAAAGATGTGAATTTATTTTAATCATTCATGACTTGGTCCATCATTTATAGTTTTCATATAGCTATTTACAAACAAACTTTTGAAATCATTGGTAAGCCAATGGAATCGCAGTCGGAGATTCGGAGTTAAACATGGTAACACTTTGGCTAGTGGTGAATTTTAATTGAAGGATTAGGATGAATTGTTCCTGTGCCAAGATAAATGGTCAGATCTCGTCCAACTTATCATCTGCACCGAGATCTTACACTTTAAGTAAATATTGTAAGAGTATGTATTACATGTACGGCACAACAATTCCTGATATTTCAAGCTTCATTACATGTGAAAAATCGTTAATATTGACAAGTTGAGTCTCTTTCAGGTTTATTCGATGATGTAAGAATTTGCATACGTATAACTGAAATCTCAACCCTTTAAGTCAAAAAGTTTATCAGGACCACACAATGTCAAACTTGTAAATTAAATTAACTTGTAAATTAAATTTAGCATCAAATATTGTTCTCCAATGTTCAAGTTCAATGGGAATGAATAATCACTCATATCATGACACATTTAGGAAATGAGCGAATCTGAAATAATCTACTTTATTTTACTATCTGTTTCACCGAAAATGAAACAATTAAAAAAGTAAGAGACGTAACAAGAGATTCTGTGTATGACGCAAGTCTTCAATTACCGGTTTGCAATAATCACTCCACTTGAAAAAAAAACGATACAATATGTCATTTCATATTATGTAGATACATCATTTTGAATGTTTCCAGCAGATAATTTCTGGGTGATTATTACAGATAAATGATCAGAACATAATTATGCTATCGGGTCAGATTGGATATAAAAGGCTTCTTTGTCGGAGTTTGTGATCATACAGGATTTAGGTCTCCTTAATCAACTATCATTAAAAGTCCAGAGAGTTGCTAATATGGGAAAATTCCTCTTGCTCGTCATTTTCATGGCATGCTGCGCCTTAGGTAGCAGTACTGTCGAGATCAAGACATCGGTTCTCCAGAATCGCGGTGCAATTTCGCCACGTCTTCAAAATCCGTTCCTTTCAACGTCTGCGCTCCACTGCGAAGGTTGTGGCGTTGACGATGCACCTGGATCACCTGTCAACTGCGAGGCAGAATTCTTCCCAAGTAAGTGTTCTCGCGCCGAAGGGAGGGAAACTATAGTGGTCGAAAATTAATAGTATAACTATTTCAAATTTCAGCCTTTCCATCACGGTCGCTCACTTTAAACCTAGAAGCTTGTATTAACGCCGAATTATGTATGCAAATTCTTCGAACAGAATTACCAAACTCGTCTGTGCTCCCTGGCTTTACGTACAGCTTTAAATACACTATTATCCCCAACTTTCCCGACGGCTTTACGGGATACAGATTTTGCATATTAGACACAGACTCGGGCGTTTCCCATATGTGCGAGTCTTACACCTGCAATCCTTCTGGACAAGCTTAGGAAATGAGATGCTATTGGAAATGACAAATAATTATGAAAATGTATGTACATTTAAACAAATTTGATTTCTTCAAATTCATTATTATTCAATAAATTATTATTAATTCAATATTCCTGATTATCTAACTGAAGAATAACATTTGCGTGAACGATCTTTTCTTACGAGTAGATACATTTCTCGGTTTTTTTCTACATGCATGCGTTGCTCATAAATTTTAATGGTATATGCACACGTACATATGTAGCTAAATAAGCAACCAGTCAATTTTTTTCAAATTTATGATGCACTTGTTAAATAATATTGCTTCACAGGTATGTACATACATAAACATTCATGTGAAAGTACAATAGATATGTATATGTTTAAGATGCATGCGCGTACATATGTAAATATATACATGTGTAGCCTCGTTGAAACTATGAATAATTTCGCACCAATTAAAAATCATTTATTCCTTCATGCTCTTTAAACAAAAGCGTTTGGCCTTCATTGAATGATGACTTATCTGCCATTTGCCTTGTTTTACACTGCATAAAGATAAGCCTGTACGAAAAGATGTATTACTGCACAACACAGATAAATACATATGTATTAATTATACATATTGTAGAGTTCCAATCGCGACTAAAACTGATTCATATGTTTCGTGTTATATCCGCAATGTCGGAGTTACGTGTTCCACAAATCGTAAAAATTTTACTTGAAGATGACACCTTATTACAAGATTGGGTAGTTTTTGCTGAAATTCTAGAAGCCCCCTCCCATCGAATTACCTCACTTAGAAAGCAACGCAATTTAAGTATTCTAACATATCATGAACTTTTGAGAGAATTATTGTTAGACTGGAGTTCAAGATTAGGAAAAGTGGCGACAATATCTCTTCTTGTGAATCTTTTGAAAGAGAATCACTTTGTTCAGTCCAGTGGTAAGTAAGAGTCAACAAATTAAATTCCTCGTAACAGAATTCATAATACAAATTGTGCCATTCTGCATTTTTAAGAAAAATTGGAAGATTTGCAAACCATTAGTGGAAACAATTGCATATCATCATCTTTCGTTAATCAGAATGCGATCAACTGGGATAAACAAGTCCTCTTCGGAGTTCAACATCCTGTCCGCAGCTTTGTCGGGAGGGAGAAGGAGCTTAAAGAACTTGACGATCTCTTAACTGATGGAATTAGCCCACTCGCCGTAATCTCTGGACTTGGAGGAATGGGAAAGTCTGAGCTTGTAAAGAAATTCGTCATGATCACTTCCCCAGAACGGATCCGCGTGGCAAATTGGGTAAATGGGGACGCTTTTGAAACGCTGATATCATCCATTGAAGAATTTGCCAAGTTCCTTCACCTCCCAATAACCGATCCCTGGACGAAAAAGGTTTTATCGCCTATCGCCCTCCTTGAGAATATCGTTACTCTCGTTAAACCCCACGTGGAGAGCACTTCAGGATTCTGGCTCTTTATAATCGACAACGTTGACAATGTGTACCAGGAGATTGAATTGATTGTCAAATTGCTTCTCCCCTTTAGACAGTGCTTCATAATCATCACGTCGCGAAGAAGGGACATCTTCCTCGGAGAATCCGAATTTATCGGTCTGCAAGAACTCGGAGATGCAGATGCGGTTAAATTTGTCAATAAATCAATCAGAATCCCACAACTTGACGATGACGTGAAAAAATTATGTAAAGTTTTGCAAAACTTTCCCCTCGCTCTTAGTCAAGCCGTAGCATTTATTAAGCAACAACAACGCATCTCTCTCCAAGGGGAAGGCTACCGGATTTCGCACTATTTGGCAGAATATAACACAAAAGGGAAACAACTGCTCAGCCAGAAGTTGCAACTTTCTGATTATGAAAATACAACACTTATCGCATTAAACGTGACGATCGAAAAGATGCGAAAAGACCACGGTCGCTGCGGTAACATTGCGTACTATCTGCTTGAACTTGTATCTCTCTTAAATCCTGACGGTATCACAGTTAAACATTTGGAGAATTTACTACTACAAATTTTACCCGTTGATTTGTACCAAGCAATCAAACAGGACAACGAAATGACTCCGGTCGTCCAGCTCCTCGTGATTTATTCGTTAGTGAAAGTAAACAATTTCGTGGTCACGATCCACCGCATGGTTCAGAAAGTTACGCGAGTTCGAACCCAGGAAGAAGAAAACGGTGTCCCACCAGTTCAGCTAAATACAAGAGAAACTAAAATCTTAAACGACCTTTTGATCCATGTGAATCCAAAAGTGAACAAAAACACGAAATCAGAAATGATCCACATTCTCAGTATTATGTATCACACGGGTAAATACGTTTACCTGGTTAGGACGTATTCTACAATTCCGAACAAGGTTTACAATCAGTTAGTCATCCTCTCCATGTTTCGAGAGGGTTACGAATTTGCTGTGAAATTTTTCACCCTGCTACAAAATACGATGGGGGAGCATAGTTTCGATACGCTCGCAATGCAGCATACGATTGCCAGGTCGCTCGAGCATGTCGGAGAGTGGGACAAGTCCTCTCAAACTTATGAACAAGTTTATCACAAAATGGTCAAGTATTTGGGGAAGCGTCACGAAGAAACTTTGGTAGCAGGAAGTAACTTTAGCTTCCTTTTGTGGAGTTTGGACAAGTTTGAGGAATCATTCGCCTTGGCGAAATTAATTCATAAAGAACGTTGTAAAATTTATGAGCCAGGGAATGAAAACATTATCACCTCAAACAAAGGGATGGCCATGGGACTTCAGTCTTTGGGAAGGCATGATGAAGCCAGATCCCTTTATGAAGATGTACTCAAGTGGGAAATTTCTGTTAAGGGGGAATTTTCTCCCAGAGCGGTTGCAACGCGACATAATTTAGCATACGGACAATTTCTCCAGGGTAACTATGTAGGATCAAGGAAACAATTTGAGACCATAGTCAAGGAGCAAGGGGAGGTTATGGGCGAAATGCATTTGTCAACGGCGACGTCAAAGTATTGGTTGGCACTTAATTTGAGTGAGTTGGGGGAACAGGAGGAGGCCTTGAACCTAATGGAAGAGGTTGTAAAGGTGAGAGAGAAAGGGTTGGGGGACAAACATCCGTACACGGTAAAAGCGGTGGACGCTATTGCAAAAATTAAAGCAAAATTATGTGAGGAAATTGAATTAAATAATAATAATTAATTAAATAGATAAATATATGCATGTATTTGTGTGTACATGAGTCGCATACTTGTGCAAAGGTTTAAATATTATGTAACAAAATTATTAACAAGTAATTATTTTAAGTATTTCCAAATAAAATTATATGAAGTAACTAATCCTTAGTTTGAAAGACGTAAGCTTGATACATAAGTAATAAATATAACTATGTATGTCATACTCATTACACAGTTCAATAAGATGATCGTTAATCATTAGTCTTATTTTGATACCAATCATTGACATTTGCGAATAATCTTAATACATTTAAATTTATTTTTTATTCCAACATTTTCATACAACGGGCTAAAATTTCATTTGATTGTGGACTACTTGAATTGACTTTAGCAATTTCGGTGTCAGTGACATATTTACCACTTAATCAAACTCCACTTTCCCCAAAATATTTCTCCCCCTGCACAAATGACACACATTCCAACACAAATCCCAAACACATAAAAAGATGTTGCTATTTTTGAGTTAAATTGTAATATTTTTAATTTCCGATTCCTGAGATGAGTCCAGTCTGCATAATGCATAAACAACCTAGCTGATTTCATCCTTTTAAACCAGGAATCCCAGTGAGCATATATCCCAGAAGAAATCATGACTTTGAGACGCTTCCAGGGAAAGCTATTATGCACAGGGATACTTTGCCAGCCATGAAACGTAGGCATGAAGCCATCCTCCCCTTTCATGAACACTTTTCCATCAAAGTTATCATTAAGGTAGGGAAGGACACTCGCCACGTTGTCACTATTATCCAGATACGCCGTCTTGTCGCAAAATGAAAGATTTTCCACCAAATGCAACGGATCTCGATACCTCAGCGGCTTCAACAAGTCACTGACAGCCTTTCCCTTTATAAAGTGCACACTTTTTAAGAGTAGCTTAGTCATTTTGCAGTGGCCATCAAGCACCTGTGGCAATCCGGCCTCGTCACATACAGCACTTATCGATAACCTCTTGAGCAGTTTGACGTAAAAGAAAACGTCTGTCCTTCCCATGGCGTCGATGGATTCCATCTCTTCACGAGTAGTGAAAGTATCCAGAGGAATGTAAAAGGTGAAGTTTTTGAGGTCCACTATACTTTTCCATGGCTTGGTGTACACTGTCGGCAAAATCATTTCTTTCGTGAAGGAGGTTTTGTACCAATTCGTAAGTAGGGTGCCATAGAGCAGGACAACGACTCCGATGAATATTTGGACGCCATGTTGTTTCACTGACACGCGTAACTTGTCGTAATGAGAAAGGACAGAATTTTCAAGAAGTATTCCAATTATGAAGAGCACAAAGTGGAAGTTTTTACAGTGATAGGAAGCTAATAAAGCTATTAGCGCTACGATGAGAACACTGCAGCCAAGTAAAATCCAAACTATCAAATGAAACGGGGTAAATAATTGGCTTAATGTCGATATGTGATGTCCAACTTGGTGACAGGATAAAAAACTGAAGGATTTCGTCTCAATTTGAATGACCGAGTGGTGATAACCACTACCAAATTTGAGCTCCTGTCTTGCCCCGAATACGTACAGGTAATTATTTGGTTTGTGGATTTCCTTACTTTTACCAATAAGAAAAATTATATCCTCAAATATCCAGAAACCCAAGAATTCGTCGAAATTAGTTAAAAGTGCAATTTTCCGCATATCTACAGATTGGTCGGACTGTGAAAAATATTTCTTTTTGATCCCCTCGACGACAGCGTTGCTCCGATCTGACCCGTCTGAATTCCTCCAAGCTTCCACCTCCCAGAAATATTTATTTAATTGGGTAATCGACTCGGTGAAGTTGGTCAGTTGTGTAAAGCAAGTGTGTTGATCACAATGTATGGTGAAAAATGGGGAAGAAATGTTCCCCGCGTGGTATCGATTATGACAATGCAATGGAATAATACCTGCGTCATGTACCAATTCTGCTACTCCTTGATGAATAGTGACGCTGACCAGGACAACGTGGCGATGGGCCAAGGACTCCATGCTGTCTTGGGTCAAAAGCGCTATCTCGGTTTGATACGTTGATCGAGTAGTAGTCAACCAAATCAAGTATTGAGAGATTTCGACTATTTCAATGAAACAAGGATGTTTTAAAAAATGAAATAATCGAGGGAAAAAGTCATTTTTTGATTGACTAGGTTGGAGTTGCAAGGTGTAGTGATATTCTGGAAGTAGGATAAAAAACGCCCAGCAATGGTTATTAATTCTTCTTCGTCGAGATCTGGACGACCTGGTGGTTCCGCCGGAAGGGTATGAATAAGTTGAAATGTTGGTATCACTGCTTACAACTATGATGGGATTCGTTTCCCAGGACAGAATAGAAATTATGGCACCGTTGGGAAGGATCAGCACTGTTGTACAGTTGAGAAAAGGGTCAATTATGCCTTTCAATTCCCTAGTGTAAGGATTAGTTTCGTTTTGAGGTTGTGGTAATAATTTACCAAGTGAATCAGTACTTTTAGATAGATGTAACAACGTTTGACAAATTAACAATTTCTGTAACGATTGTCTCAGAGTCATGACTACAATATAAGTAAGTTTATGAGTTTAAAATTGAAAGAGAAAGAAATATTGATATTAATGTATTTAAATCCAAAGTATATTTATGTACATACGTTGACTCAGGAATTTTGAATCAGGACTGATCTGTAGGAGCACGTATCATTTACAAATACTCAGCTTTTACCTTTACTCAAACATTTTCCTAATTAAGTATAAATATCTAAATATATGCATAAGTGAAAAAATTTGGAGTGCCACCGAAAATATGTCCAGCTTTCTTATGTTCCATAAGTATTCTTGACTTGAACACCGCCTGCATTTTCCTCCGAACCTCTTGAACACCGAAATTGCTCGCCTTCTTTCAGAATAAGTGAATGCAAGTTTTTATGAGGGTCTGACAACTTTAAGGCATGCAACCTGTACATGAAAAAATTGATTTTTACATTCCAATGAAATATTTGTATTTGATAGCGTTAGGCGTTGTCCTTTGATCCTGGTGCTTTCCGAGAAATCAATTTTAGGTCAAGCACTATTATCTTTATTAAAATACATTGTTTGGAAATCTACTTATTTTGAAGGATTGTTAAACAATTTAAGTTTCTACTCAATTTAATAAGACGAATTCTTGAAATACTTACAGGGAATATTAAAATAAATAATAAATGTTTTAAATTTGGACACGGCTATTACGTACACACATAATTTATGCGTTTTTCACCTTATGTGTTACCCAGATGTACATAGGTAAGGAGTAACATAAATTTATACAACCGAAATATTGAATCTATTAAACTAAACATGTATGTGCATATCTGTATGCATATACACATTCATTGCAATCAATATTTCGGTTATACTTACAAATTTATTATTTTCTAACAGTGTGCACTGTAGTACACATGTACATATTTATATACAAGCATATGTATGCAGAAGATTTTGCAAAATGCACATATTGAGAATATGTGTGTTTATAAAATCAAATCTAAATATATCAGTACTTTAATAGCAATTTTAGCAATATTAGTTTTTCACCAGGTATCAAACTCTTACATATGTATGTAGATATGTACATAAGCTTTGAAGATCCTGTAAGTTGTATGCTATTCACTTTAATTGTGCCTTGTAAGCCGTTTAGTTATCTGCACAGTTTTATTAATTTACTGTTTAATTAATTTAATGCGCATAATAACAGGGTAAAATTTAACATTACCTACTTGTATGGATAAATTGTAACAATTTGAGGAAATAAAAATGCCCCAATAAAGTTTAGCATCGCATTTCCTCTAGAAATAACATGCAAAGATTACCGAACTGCGTACATGGCAATAATTACAGAAGATAATTTAAATATCTGTAGTATGTTTCTGGCATCATTTTTTTTATTTTATTATACAAGCACCTATACTGAAGGTTAAGACGCAATGACATTCCGTTAATTCGATTAATTTACAAAGGAGGGCAAAAGTAGAACAAAAAACAATTTTGAAAAAGAGGAAGGACTTTGTTACTATTATTTTAATTAGATCATGGTCAAAATTTTAGCTGCATCCATATATAAAATCGTTTGCATACCATTTACACATGCAGCCATACCACCAGCCTATCTATGTAGTCAATAGCGAGATTATTTCTTTCTCTACGGATGGGCGCTACGAACAACCAGAAATGTACTCCAATTTCACATACAAGTTATTGTTTATAGTAGCAAAAGCTACAGCTGGAATTGGGGCTTTTTGTGGCAATTTCGACCCAAGGGAAAGAATTTGGTATGCCACGGAACAATCAAGAAAGAAATTTACCTTGACAACCAGCGCCTACATAAGTTGCATAATGTTCTTATGGGTCAAGGTCGTCAAATTCTGGGTTTCCGAGGGAGGCGAGAACCACCCTGATTTTTACTCCACGTACGGATTTATTTGCTTAACCAGTCTAAATGTTTGGATGATTCTTAATTTCTGCATCCACCAAGATGATATTTTGATTAGTGCAAATCGAATCCTCCACTACTTTCCCAATTTCACAAGTAAGATTTAAAAACGGATTAGTTATTGGAATAAGGTTATACCGCATTCAGATTAAATTATGTGCATAACTCCCCATAGAAAAATGGATGCGAAAATCAAGAGCATCTATGAAGGATATTTTGAAGTATTCGCAAAGGATGGACAAGCACGTCTTCCTTCAAGTCTCCATAATGCTGATTCTTCCCATCTCTCCGACAACATTCGTCATTTCGTCACCGGATCATCCCCTCGCGCCGAAACAACTTCTTCCGCAAAAATTCGGAATAAACGTGCATCTTCTTCCATCCATGGCGTGCATAATGATGGTGGCGTGGGCAGCTATGGTTTCCTGGTATGCAATGATGTTATTCGTCGTATTTGGAACACTTTACATGAGTAAGTTTAGATTTTATTCAGTAATTGCAAATCTGTTGTCTATAATTAATTTCGTTTTCCAGTTCCGATTACAGTCGTGATGCAGGAATTTGATGCAAGTGTGATCACCCATCACGCACTTTCTGCTTTGAGAACACCTCCAAATCTGATGCGTGAATACGTAAATTTGCAACTTGTTCATAAACTCGTGACTCAAACGACAGGACCAACGCTTGTCGTTATGCATGTCGTTCTGTTTTGCAATTTTACCGTATTGGCAAATTGGGACACGCTGGATATCTCAACGTTGGTATGCATATTGGGACAAAAATATAAAACAGTCGGAACTACCTAATCGTTTATTACTTTCCAAATTCAGGTTATTCTTGCTCTCTATGCTATTTCGCATCAATTAATGTGGGCCGCAACGCTCCAAGCTACTGGAATGCTTCATTTCGCATCGGTTAAAACTTTAGAGTCCTGGAAGGCAGTGGTTGGGAGGGATAAAATTGAAACGAATGTGTTTCAAAAATTTAGGAAATCCATGAAACCGTTGTCCATTGGGATGGAAGGGGTGAAGACATTTAATCGGTTGTCCGCTCCCAAATTTAAGAAGGACATTAGCGTCGGTACATTCAGAGCTCTCCTTACCTTGTCAAAAAATAGGGGTGACAGAAAGAATATGTAGATGTTCAATGACACAATGAGTTTAAATTACATATTGATGTACGTGTTTTATAAAAAATAAAGATTCTTAATCAATTTTTTAGCGTTATTATAATGATTTGCGCTTCCTGCGTTCTGCTAACGTTGAAACGACTAAAGATAACAATATCCAGAAAGCACACGCCAGAAAACCTCGGCCAACATTGAATTGGGTGATGTCCCACCCCCTCGTGCAAATTGATCTGAATGTATCCACCATAAGCGTTACTGGGAAGGATTGAAAGACATATCGTTCAGCCCAAGGCAGTATTTCCAGGGGATATATCATTCCTGTAAGGTTAAGAGGAAGTATGTAAGTATGTGCATATAAATACATACGTTACAAAAATATGCGCAATAAAATTACCCGATGAAGCCATTTGTGACACGGTGAAAAATAATATAACAAAGAGAATTTCAATCACGTGGGCATACAGCTTGCTAATCATGAAACCTATAAAAAATTACAAATAGCTCTCAAAACAACAATTGTGTGTATATTTAGATAGCTACCAATCAATAGTCCAGACAAAGCGGTCAAATATACAAACACAATCGCTTGGATGTGGGACCCATGAATCGCCATGCCATAAATGCCACACAGCGTTCCAAGAAATATAGACATTTGTAAGAATATCATGACACTTTGTGCAGTAATGTAGGCGATTAGTTGATGCCACATATTTATCCCTGTAACATGCTCCCTGTCCTCGATGCCGGTAACTTTGTCTTCCGCCAATTGCAGAACGGTTCCCATCGGTAGCATAAACATGAAGCTATAAATGAAATAATTGTCTACAATCAGTTAAAAATAATAATCTACTGTTTTAACTTACAACAACATGGAGCTTGGCTGTACGTATGTGATCATGTCGAAAATTTTAGTGGAGCCGTAGATTGCGTTGTACTGCAAACAGAAATAAATGGTCAAATGGGTGTGATCTTAATTCGATATATGAATGTACATATGTATTAAACCTTAATTGCAGGTGCAAGAATCCCATGATCAATTGAACATGCAAGTGCAATGTTTTTAAGGAACTTGAGATATTTCTCCAGCAATGTCTGCTTAGCCCATGCTGCTACTATTTTGTCTGTTGAAAGTAATTATGGGTTAATCATGCATACATAAAACTAGAATCAGGAATAATCATTTATGTATGTATGTACGCGTTTCATCCATCTTAATTAAAATCGTGGATCCCGCAATAGTTTCATTATCGGCAAATTTATTTTGTAAAACCCTGTTCTTGATGTGCAGCTCATAGTTCTCTGGAAATCGTACGAGTCCCATCGTTTTTCCAAGTAGGATATTCTCGAGCCCTTCCTCATACGAGCTTATAGGGACCTTTAGAAATTAATTATGCATATTATCATTGATAACTCTAGTTGATGTATTACTTTTTGCACAAAATATTTGCTGGTTATGTGCCCAGATAAACTTGTCAGTCCCAAATATTTGAAGGAAACTGCAAATTTTCGCGTTACCAAGACATTCAATGGAGTCGGAGTTACTGCAGTATTCTTGAATGGCTAAATTATTCGTGAAGTTTGGATTGTTGGTCACCAGTCCCACGTGAATACTATGTGGTTGAGGGCCGACAACATTTTGAAAGATGAAAATAGTCATGAAGGGGACAATAAATCCAGGAACAATTAGTCTGTTAGGGTAGATATAGAACTTAAATTTCGTTATTTAGCACGGCCATTTGCATCAAATACCTCCAATCTCGTTTGTGACGATGCCACCACTTTACTAAAATTGCATGAATGAGGCTGCCATGATTCGTTCTATCAAATCGAGGAAAAATGAATGTTTTATCCAGAAGGGATGCTGACAGCTTCCTGTAAGATTTGACTTCAACTACATCAGCATTTTCTTTTCTATAGTGTCCCCCAAAGATGTCAATATTTGCATAGTTGTCCGGGCCTCTGTCATTCCTACACAATTTCAATGCAAAGTCCTCCATTGTCGGGGAATCATATCTGGAGAGCAATGCTTTAGGACTTCCCTCCTCTAGGAGATGGCCGTTCCTCATATATCCAATCTAAAAGACATAATTTGGATAACACAATGTATTGAATATTTCTTAATTTGAGTGAATGGAATTTCTGTAATTGACAAACCCGGTCACAATGTTTCGTCTCGTTAAAATAGTGCGTGGAAATTATTATAGTTGTGTTATGGAGTTTGGAAATTTTAAAGAGGTGATCCCAAATTCTGGGGGACCACAAAATGATAAATTACGGAAAGTAATAAGATGACAATTCTCTCTTACTTCTGTCGAAGTAAAGGGTCTAGCCCTACGGTAGCCTCTAAAATGGAGTCATCAGTAAGTTACATCATCTTAATTATAAGTTTCGGCTCAAATTATTACCGTCAAGGACGAGCAGAGGTGGATTGTGGATCAAGGCGATCGCCAATGAGACACGCCTAGTTTGTCCACCGCTATAATTAATTAAATTTTCAATACGTAATTATGTTTATTAATGAATGAATCTGGAGTTTAAAGTACAAATTATTCGAATATATACAAACCTCAAATCGCAAATTTTAGAATCCAATGCTGGCAAATCAAGAACCGTCCGCAAAAATATTATTTCAGTTTGAATTTTGTGCGCGTCCATTCCGTAGATTGATCCAAAATATCGAAATGTTTCACCGATCGTTAGGACGTTTAGTAACGCCATTTCCTGAGATATCAAACGCATAATTGTATCGATAAAAGCAAATAAAGCTCCATTTGTTGAAAAAGTAACCTGTGGCATATATCCACACATTCGGCCAAGGTTTCCAGGATGCTGATGATCAAATATGGTGATTTCACCCATATCCAGCCGACGTAGCCCAACAATGCATGATAACAATGTAGTTTTTCTAGGCGTATAGAAATGACGCGCGTAAGCAACTGATGAATTATGTGATTAATAACCGGTTGTTTGAACTAATTATAATGCAAAATAAATAAATGCATCAATCACTTAATTTATACTTGTTGAAACAATGCAAAGCATCCTTAAAGCTTGGAAATTTAGGATTGAACATAGCACATAACTTGCGATATTCATAAAACTTTTGCTGGAAACTCATTTAATTTATTTGTAAAACTTACCCAAGAACATGGCATACTTTTATTTGGCAAACTCATCCCCACTATTAAAACCTTTGTAAATTGCAGATAAATGCATGCAAGTCAAATTAAAATATGATAAAAGGACCTTTTTACAGCTTTGCGAAATTTGCGAATCCCCTCACGATACAATTTTTTTAACCTTGAAAATTTATTAAATAATTTGCGATGCTAAATGAGACGTTGTTGTGAGTACGTCCGACGCATTTCTTAATAAGCTTTTCGAAAGAAATGTTTTTTTTAATTTAATAAAAAATTTAATATTATGGAGAGAAAAAATCGTGCCAGTTGAGAATTTACTCACCCGCATCCGCTGGGCCCCAGTATTCCATAACTAAAAATATTTAAATGTTACGGCATAAGATAAAATTCAACCCCGGTTGTACGAGCGCATATGTAATTCTATGTACATTGTCAATTGTGTACATCTTATGTACATATTCGCATATAAACATGATGTAAATTATGCATTTATTCATGGAAGCATAGAATAGTATGCGCATAGGGTGCATTATTATCATCTTGCACAGTTACCCATACCATACCTGTAATTTTTAAAAAAATCAATGCAAGCGTAGACAAATCGCGCAAATGTGATCTGCAATGTTCATGATAAGTTGTCTCCTTTTAGTAAAAATAAAAACATCAAGAAAATAAATTCCTTGCGTAGGAGACTTTAGGGATTTGAGGTTAAAAAATATAACCTCTGACCTTGTTTCAAAATCCTATCTTCCCACAAATGAGATTGGCTATAGCCTTGAAAAATTTCAAATCTTCATCTCACCAACTGTAAGATGACTTAATGATGTGAACGTCAACCGAATAATTCTGTTCTGTAATATGCACACATAACGGTGTGCATACATATATGTAGAACAAAGACTTCATCTTATTTTCTCAATCGTGAAACTTTTCAAATTACTTAGATTAAAACTATACATTTCCGACAATTGCAACACTAGCTCCATTAAACTGTTGAATTATGTATAGACATTCAACTTACACATTTCAGTAATTATACATACTTACATTTCTCCACGTCCCACATCGACGTTGAGATTGTTCAGAATGAGATTTCCACTTTCAGAGTGCTTAAAACCGTTCCTGATTTTTAGAGCCATAATAGTTCAATATGAATAAACAGAATCCAGTAATATTCAAATAAAAGCTTGAAATCGCAAAGGAAAGACAACAAGACCATTTCCAGATGACCAGCAGAATCGTTATGAAATTCTTAGAATTGTTGACTTCTAGCATTCTATTATCGCATTCATACATCTTTACATAATCCATTTTACTTTCGGTACATGGAACGTAAAGATGACCCAAAGTAAAACTGGTTTACACAACGCACATGTGTAAATGTCAAATTCCCATGCCCCACAACATTACCTGACCACCGAAGTACATTCATACATAAGCATTTAAGCTTTACCAAACTAATTAAATTTGTATGTACATATAAATATTTATTCAACTTGTGTATCGTTGTTATCGGGTAATCTTAATGATCTAATTTCCCTACCTAAAAATAATTTCTCTACCGTCTACCTAGGTAGATGAGCAATCCTGAGAATGGCAGAGCTTTACAACTACAACAATGAGGTTGTAATGATTACTCTTTAGTGATTATCCCCTGGCAAAATATGTCAATATCAACTGAAGGGGAAATTTGTACTCTACCAACATAACTACGTGGAAGACACCGAGAATATTTATCTCCGGGTCAGCATGAGTATTTTGTCTTGAGAGTGTTCACATCGGGTGAAAAATTAACTGGCTATTGAATTTCAAAAGTTATAATTAGGCATTGAATTTTCATCGAGTAAGAGTTAATTTGTTCTTTTAATTGCACTTTCATCACCGAAGAACTTTGCTTTTTTGAATTGGACCTCGTTTATTAATTAAATAATATTTTATTTATTCAAAAACATATTCATTGCATTAATTATAGGACTATCTTATCTATGTCTTCGCCTCTCGACCAATGTGCAAATAACGATAGAAAGGAGAATCCAACATGCGGCTGAGATGAAGCCCTTTGCCACAACAGGGTGGTCCAACCCCCACCCTCTCGTGCAGATTGATCTAAACGCTTCCATCACGTGTGTCGTTGGAAGAAATTTGGCAAAGTTTCGATAACCGGCGACTACCATTTCAATCGGCCAAATGAGTCCTGCAAGAAATATCATTGACTAATTTATCTACTTATTGGTATTACCTCTCATCGATATGTAATAAATATGTATGAAATTTTTACCAGACGAGAAAGCCTGCAAAATCGTTATACTCAAGACGATAAGTATTGTGTCAATCAATTCATTCAATACCAGTGCTACCATCCAACCTATGAAAAAAACGGTGTAATTTCTTGCATCATTTTGTTTGCATTTTATTTATTGTACATAATTACCAAGCGTCGTTCCGGACACGGCTGAAAGGTAAACTATTGCACCCGCGAGAAACCACGAACCGTTGATTTCCATGCCGTACACGCCACAAACAAATCCAAAGCAGATGCTGGATTCAATCAGGGTGTGGATGGACTGCGTAAAAAAGCTGCTCGCCATTTGGTGCATCATTGTGACACCGGCGGCGTAATCTCTGTCCTCCAAACCTTCCTTCCGGTCTTCCACCCAGAGTACGGCGACCGCATTGGATAACATGAAGGTCAACCTGAAAATGTGCAATTTTTAAATGAAAATAGGGAAGGAAATGCATATGCATGAATGTAAGAAGAACAGCACGTACATAACGATTAGACCAGGTTGCATGTAAGGGATGAAACTACCAAGCTCAACGTTTCCGTATATTGCGCTAAACTAGATATGTACATACACCAAGTTATTAAATTAACCATGTTCACTAACCTCAAAACTCGTTAAAATTGCGTACCTCTAAAGGTGGTTGAATTTGTTGGATCACATTATCATTCGTCGAGCAGCTATTCACAATGTCTTGCACGAATTGGATATATTTCTCTACGATGGTCTTTTTTACCCAGGCCTGGGTTATGGCGTCTGAGCGGTTCATAGAAAAATAAAGAGATCATGAAAATAATTTATAGACATTATGTTTAGGAATATGCATCTTTGGAAAAATTGGAAATACTTGACTCATCCATTTGAATTGATATAGTGGACCCCAAAATTGTCGAATTATCAGCAAAATTCTGGTGAAGCATTCTGTTCTTAAGGTGATTCGTAAAATTTTTGGGGAACTCTATCAGAGCCAAATGATTGCCAAGTTTTACGCTCGCCAAGGCTTCTTGGTAGGAATCTGTGTGAATCTGTAGATTACAATAAATTTATCATTACATATGCTATAAAATAATTTGATAATCGCATATAAGTAATAGAATTGAGAAATATTACCCAAGTGAATTCAGTATCATCAAATTTGTTCAGGAAATTGCAAATCCCAATATTTTCGAAACAGTTAGTCGAATTGGCATTGTAATCACAGTAGGATTTCACTGAGGGATAATTATCAAACTCAGCAGCGTTTGTGACTACTCCGACATTTAGGAATCGTGGTGGCACCCCGATAATGTTGTGGAAAAGGTATATAACCATAATTGGGATGAAATACTCGACCAAAGCCATTCTGTGCAAAATAAAATTGTTAATTTACTTTACAGTATTCAGGGTATTGACTTGAGATTCAAGTATTACCTCAAATCTCGGCGATGTCGGTGCCACCATTTGTAAACTAGTGCGTAGAATATCCTGGCATGATTTATTTGTACGTGAGGTGACGGACTATGTTTTGATGAGAGACTAAACCACGAATTTTGACGCGACAAGGAGAACTTCCGGTAGGATTTTATTTGGATGATTTCCTCAAATTGAGACGAATCCTTATCTCCTAAAATGTCCGGGATGTGTTCATCTTGTCGGCATAATTGAAGAGTAACTCGTTCCAAGCTTTCAGTCTTGTATCTGGATAGAAGGGACTGAGGATTGTCTTCAGCTAATAGTTGGCCATTTCGCATAAATCCAATCTGTTAACATTTATATTTAATATTTTGTTATGGCTTTGTTTGTCACTAGGTATTTACTTACCTTGTGACAACGCTTCGTTTCTTCGACGTAATGCGTCGATAAAATGATTGTAGTTCCCCTCTCTTTTGATAATTGGGTGAGATGCTCCCAGATTCTGCAACCCAATCGACTCATTTAGAATTTAATTTTGTTGCTAAAATTCATTCCTAATTAAATTATTGGCCTACCGTTGTCTTAGTAATGGATCCACCCCAACGGTAGGTTCTAGGGGGTCAAAAGGGGTCATCAGTAAGTTACATCATCCTACTTAATTATAAGTAGGCTCAAATTATTACCGTCAAGGACGAGCAGTGGTGGATTATGAATCATGGCCACCGCCAAAGATACGCGACGTTTTTGACCTCCACTAAAAGTTCGGAACACTATTTTGCTTCAATATGTGGCAGCATGAATTATGTATTTGCCGTACCTTAAATTTTGTATGGAACTGTTAACCGAAGGTAAGTCTAGAAAGTTGGCAAGAAATTTTATTTGCTCATCAATTGCTTCTGAGCTCATTCCGTAAATCATGCCAAAATATCTCAGCACTTCGGCAATTGACAAAGCTTTTAGCAGGGATAGTTCCTACATTTACACACAAAACAAGTATTAATGGTTGACATGCAAAATTGATTATAGGTAATTGCTAAGTACCTGCGGCATATATCCGCATAAATTTCCCACTTTTCCATATCGCTCCTGTCCAAACACTTCTATTGTTCCTCTGTCAAGCTTTCTTAATCCTACCACGCAAGAGATTAAAGTGGTCTTCCTAACGGATAATTTTATTTTCATGTAAAATTTGCTACGGTTTTTATTACACATGAAAATTTTGTTTTACCCACAACCACTCGCCCCCAGTAATCCATAGCTGCAAATTCGACAAGTCAATTGTATATGTATGTAAGTGAGACACCTTTTAATATCAAAAACTGGCTTACATTTCCCCTCGGCCAACTTCCATGTTGAGATTATTAAGGATAAACTCCCCCCTTCCATACCGTTTGAATCCCATGCTAACTTTTAACGCCATTTAAAAATTAATAAATGTCGTGCTATACAAATGCAATTAATATCTGAAACGTTGGTGTAAGTCGACCAATAACTGAAAATTTGAGCGTGGTCAACTCGGTTCAGCCCAACAATGCTGAACCAACTTTGTGTCAGTGTTAATCGTCCAGTATGTATTTGTAGGAAGAAATGCTACGAAGAAATGCTACAGATCCTCCTCAACATGCAATACATCTGTAATCGAGAAGATTACAAGTAAAAAGTGGATGAAATTTCGACACAAGTAACAATATCCTATTAGAGTACAGATAATTGCTACCTTGTCTCCGTATATGTAAAGTGATGGGTCGGAGAACGGAATTCCAATTCCAGTTTTCATTTACTTCTTCGTTTTATTTCTCAGTAATTCTGCTCTGGTTTTTTTGCTGGCTTTTATTATACAGGTAATGCGAATTTTTATGTGGAGACATGCATATCTATGTAAGTGGATATACGCATAGAGATTTGTGTTCATATATAAGTTTTATGGAAGTCAATTATATAAACGATATGTCCAAAGCATACATATGTATGATGACGTACATAATTCATGATCCTGGTGGTTAGAAACCAGGAAAGAGGTTGGAAATGTAACCAAATTCGTCCGACTAAAGCTTTAATTAAATAGCTGCAGTTAAATGCATTTAGTAGTATAGACTAAATTAGTTCATGGATATAAAACATACTCACGACAACGTCTTATCTTACGTCGCAACTCATTAAGAAAACTTCCGAAGCTCAAAACATTTGTGTCGTGAGGGGATTCGCTAAATATAACTTCGCAAATCTCTCAAATCTACTAAAAATACCCATTTTGATGTTATCACCATGGATTTCTGTAATTTCTCTTGCGGGTGATGACGAAGATATGAGGACAGTTTTTGCGCAATAAAAATATACCAAGTTGCTGATTAAATTTTCAATAAAAAAACATGGTTTTCCAGCAATAGTTTTGCGAAATCTAAAAAAAATCGCAGGTTATATTTCTATATGCTCAATTTGCGACATAGGTATGCGAAGTTTATGTGAGTACGCTCATAGTTTCTAATTCAGAAATTGAGTTATTTAAATGCATCAGTAATCAAGATGTTAAATTTTTACATACATAGTTATTCGTGTTTGTGCAACGAGGTTCTCACGCCAACTAGACACACAGGGAAATTATTCTTGTTTACATTATTTCAGACAATAAATATGGGTGGTACATGGCTTCATATGACGCTTGAAGAAATTCATTGAGGAAGTCTAAACCACATATTAATGGTCGTTGGCATGTAAACAGATAAGCTAATTGGAGTATACCAGTATATATGTACTGGAAATTTAATGGGATTTATAATTGCATCACGAACAGCTTCCAGCCCACTCATTTGCTTCTATTTTGCGTGTTTACTGCAAAAATTGTTTTCGCAAACACCTTTTGCAACACTGCTCGTCATCGGGTTTATTTGTTTAATGAAGTTAATTCAACAGATTGAGAAGAATAATATCACTTGACTGAACTGGAACGAGCAATGACGTTTGTCAAGTTGTCAAGGATTGTGCACCCGTTACTCGTAAGCAGTATTAAGGAGCTGTTTAATACTTATGACAAGTTCTTTGTAATTAGATGGATGTTACATAAATGTCCGTACGTCAAATATCTATATGCACATCAAATTAACATTCATGAGACCGGTTTGGTTTTATAAGCAGATTGTATAATCTTTATAATGTACAATGTATTACGAGGCAGGATAAATCATTCTTAAAAATTTGCATACATATTTACACATGTTACACAGTCTGTTTAAGCTGGACCAGTTTCTAGTCGTGTAAATATATGTAATTCTGTGCATACTTATGCATGGTCAGTTCTGCCAAAGTCAGTTGCGTTACACTTGAATGCAATTGTTACAAGTTGATAAATCTCAGAGATAAGTTTACATGGAATACTTAGATATTTCGTTGTACAAATTAAAACACCGACTTGAATTGATTAATAAATAACTGAAAACAAAGGTTAATTTGCGAAAATGTTTTATGACTTTCAGGAATTTCACACAGTTGGAATGCCGCAATATCCAATTGCGCGTAATCAGGACCATGTGCAATAAATAAGACACCCTAAATATTGTAAACCATGTCAATCAAATGAAATGTGTGATGTTTTCGCAAATTTTTCTTAGGTGAGGCAAAAGTAAACATGGGTGCCCGAAAAAAAGTGTCACCATGGTTACGGCGAAGCCTAAGTATGCTTTCGTATACACCTTTTGAAAATGTCAAGAGGGGTAGAGCCTAAACGGTTAAAGATAGCCAAAAAGTGTAAAAGGCAATCGTGCAGAGGAGAATGAGGAGATGATGTTTTACAGCTTTCTCGGTAGAAAAGTTGTATCGTGGGCTCTCTAATCTCGATTTGAAACTTTAGAATTGAAATTTGAGACGCTTGCACCAAACGACTATATGCATGAAACTTGATTTTATCATGCAGAAATCGGTTGTGCATCATTTAAAGCAAATCCGATAGAGATCGGTTTAAAACTGAAAAAGTTTTGATGGAGGCATCTGACACTACTCATGTTGCTAAGCATTATTCATCAGAATTACGATATTCTTAGCTAGTTGCTCTTAACAAGCAGTATAAAAATTTTCTATAAATGGAGCTACAGTCCGTTTACGATATGTCCCTCCACGTCACCACTGCAATCACCAAATTATTTAACCGAATTTCGACCAGTGATGTGAAATATTAAATTAGAGTTTCTGAAACGCGTGGTAAATTAGTTTTTCAAGATCCCATGGGTATTTTCAACTGATTTTGTATTTTGTCTTCAGTTTAAAAAAGCTGACAATATTTGAAATATAGTTTAACAATTTCGACCAGTGTAATGAATTGTCTGAAAATGCATAACCCTTAAAATCAATAAAATAAAATAATTTTCAAAAAGCTAACTTAGGTGAGGAGCTGCTAAAAGTGAAAAACAAGACCTCTGGGGATCTATTTTAAATATCTCGTCCCCTCATCATTGTAACAGGAATTGGTGGCTTTGCATCACCGCGAGGCCAAACATCTTACGCTAAGCTTCTAAAAATCAAAATAATTCGTTAGAGCAAAATCTGGGTTTACGAATTTTTCAAAATTATCATTTATCACATTCTCATTTTCGTATTGAAAACTAGTTGTGCTATTAAACACAATTTTAAAATATATCCTGGCGTTGTGTCCTCCAAATGTATTCGTCGGCATTTTCGTTTCTTAAATTACAAACCCGCATAAATAATGAGGCACAGCGCATGCCACATAGTCATACATTATTGAATCTTCTTCCCATAAAATTAAGGAATATCTAATAGTTACACCAGTCTTGATAGGATGATACAAACGGTTATTGTATTGAGTTATTTTGAATAGCTAATATTTCAATACATGTCTACTACCGTTGATAACACTATTGATAAAACTGTAATTGTTAATGCAGCCATGGGTCAAGATGGAAATACTATTCTTAAATTAACGAACCGAGAGAACATTTCTGAAATTCCTCAAACGTGGTTAAAGTGATGTGCATAAGACGTGCGGAAAATTGTACACGTCCTTCAAATTTTATTAGCTGGCTGAAGTCCTGGTTAACCATTGAATTAAATTGTTAGCTATATAAAGATAATTTGCTACTTGGTAAATTATGAATCATTTTCATCCTCCGCAAGTTTTAGTAAACTTAACTCAGGTTTACAAGCCGTCCGAAGTAATAATCGTTTGTTTAAGCATTAATCCATACGTACACATATTGGCACAATTTTAATTTGTAATAAATATCTAAAATTTGTATACTCTTAGCAGCAAATGTAATTTGTGTTTTCGTCGTTGTGTGTAATAAACGGGGTGGCATGTTAATGATATATGGTAAAAATGTTTGGCCTCGCGGTGATGCAAAGCCACCAATTCCTGTTACAATGATGAGGGGACGAGATATTTAAAAGAGATCCCCAGAGGTCTTGTTTTTCACTTATCCCCAGAGGTCTTGTTTTTCACTTTTAGCAGCGCCTCACCTAAGTTAGCTTTTTGAAAATTATTTTATAAGATTAACTGAATACATAATTGTACTTTACTTAGTCAATTTCTACGCAAGTAGCACATATGTGCGTATGACAATATAAATATTCATACATATGTGCACGTGGTTAAGTCCATGATTGATAGAGAAAGAAATTTCCATGTCTTCCACGTGAATTTAAGATTAATTACTGCATATCATATTGTCATAATACCGTCTCATCTCGATGTCTTTCTTCCCTTCCAGAGCTAGAGTTGCAATAAATACATACCTACACGTTGTATGGTAATGCTAGATATGTACGTAAATTATAGTCTATTATATTTCCATTGGTGTCAGGATCTACTTTTTTTGGGTGGTTGCTGTTACGTATCACAGACTATAAAATCAAATTATGTCTTATTTTTTTGACGGCCAAATGCGAAATGTAGCCAAGTCTAGCCATACTGGACAAATACTAACGATAATGGAATAGCGAAAAAATAAGATTGTGTTCACAATTATTTTAAATATAAACATGTACATACATGTCCAATTTATGTCTCTTCAGTCATCAGTCAAAGTCATATTGTCATCTTTAAATCTTTGAAATTACTTCATTCGCTTCACGTCATCCATTCAAGTTAATTCTTTAATTGCATTCCCTTCATCCAGTTTGAGCACGCTATCCAAGTTAGCTAGAAAGTTATTTTTTGCCACCCTCGCTCTGAGTATTAAATAACTACAGGGAAATTGGTAAGAACCAGTTCCAGTAAAGCAGCATTGATAGATTGTGTCGTATTTAAATAAGTATGCACATATGTGTCCTCTTACTCGCATTTTTATACTCTTGCCTGACTTTGTAAATTCCGACGATTTAACAACGTGCATTCAATCAGTTGAACTGTCCAAATGGGGATTTTATACCGAATCATAAAATGAAATAAATGAAACTACTTTTTATTCAGAATACTTAGAGCACTTTAAAATTTACTGAAAAATTTTAAATTAAACTTTTACGTCAATGATGATTTTCATTTCAAGAATAAGATTTCCATATGTTTATTACATGAGATTTACACAATTTTAAATAAATACTTGAATCACTTATTAAAATATTACTATTTGCGTCCCCTCCATTCAGTCAGGTAACAGGCAACGATTGAAATTATAATGCAACTTCCCTCCACAAGAATTCCCTTGACCAAATCAGTATAAAAAATTCCCCACCCATGACTGCAGATTGACCTGAATGTGTCAAGCAGCTGGGTGATTGGTAGAAATTAGGATAAGAAGGTACACAATGGGGAGGCGATATGCGTTGATGTTTTTACTCTAAAACGATCAAATTTGTACAATAATATTTAACTAATTATAAACTTTCTGCAGGATTGTCAACTTTATGATTAACTTGATAATATCGATGAAATATATAGTGAACGTGTACATGGAAAAAATTCTGCTGAATTTACAAGGTATGCTTTCGTTTGTCAAGCGATCTTTTCGACTTATGTATGCATATGCACATACCAATACTTATCTTTACATGCTGATAAATTTTGAATTAAAAATATTATCCGAGTCCCTGTCCTCCAGGTCAAGTGCTTGATCTTCGACAAGTTTAAGTAATTGCTAATTGGCTTGGTTCCAGGAGCATTATGCTAAAGTCGAATTGAAGTTAAAAATTAGGGCTGTTATTTAAGGAATGCAATTTTGTACATAATATGTGCATCAGTGAAAATGATTTTATAATTGAAATTTTGTTGGTTGGAAATTTCGCCGATCGAAGTACTGTGAATTCCAATGGCGAATGTCATGCATTTTATTTTTTAGGAAAGTGAAAGGTCATTCCAATCAATTTTTGTCAAATTGTACCTTAAATTCACTTTGATTACTTATTTTTATCTGCAATGAGCTTGATTGATTGCTTAGGTTGTTAGGAGTACGTGACTTTACGAATGTGTACGGCACATTTTTCTTAGTGAGGCAAATACCTAACAACGAAAAAAATTACTAAGTATGCATTTGACCCACCCTAAAAAAGTGACCATCTGCGATATCTCAGTAATTTCTCAACCGATTTTGATGAAATTTTGCACCGATTATTGTTACATAATATAGAAACGGGATCTGATCCGACTAAGCGATTACGTGATCTTGACCGGAATTATGGGCAAAAATGTAGCCTTAGAAACACATTTGTAATTATTGTTAGTTACTAGCAAACTATCAACGTGGGTATCAACAGTTTGATACCCACGAATTGTAGGGCAGTTTATCCCGAAAATTTTAAGTATAAATATATCAAAATCCGTTAAGAATTGGCTTAGTTAATCCAATTTGAAGTTCAGAAATTCCGTGCGTGCTACAAATCATTGTCATTGACAACGACGCAAGACTAATAAATTGAAAACAAATTAAATATTCAAAACTGTAAACAGCACAACTATTTAATCGTTGTTTCTGTAACACTTTTGGTAAACTGCGTGAAATTGTTGTTGGTGTTGCACCTTCAGATCAGGTCTTTTGGTATTTAGTAATCTAGCCGGACATGTTGACCAAAATGATGTAAATCGGTTAAGAAATAACGGATTTATTCAGTTTTAAATACCCAGCATTTAATAAAATTATTCCGGATCAAACTAATGAAAAGGAGTAGTGCAGTGCAGTAATCCCATGGACAATTAAAAGTTATAAATAAACAAGGTCCCAAAAAAGGGGAAATCTTAGTGAGGTAGTGCAATCATAATTAATAAATAAAATTAGATTGCAGAATTTTTGCATCACCGCTCTCGGTTCCATTTTTTTTAGGATACACTATAAATTTTGCTTCGCATACGAATGAATTCTTAATTTTATTGAAAAAATTGAGGTAGGAATGCATTTTTACTATATAGTGAACGAGAAGTGGGTTAAATTACTTGCGATATACAAAATATAATGGCTGAACAATTGTGAACTATGTACGTACTTATTTGTTTAAAAAAGATACAAATCTATAATTTCAATTCAATATATTAATTTGGATATTCTATTCAGACAAAATCATCGGACGTTTTGAGGGGGCAAGTGTTATACTTAAACGATTAATGCTCCAAGTTAAAAATGGAACCAAGAGCGGTGAAGCAAAAATTCTGCAATCTAATTTTATTTATTAATTATGATTGCACTACCTCACTAAGATTTCCCCTTTTTAGGGACCTTGTTTATTGTACACTTGTTAATACTGCATTATGTAAAGATTTAGATAAGTGCATACGTGCAAATACATATGTATACATTGCTAACATGTAGACTTACATAATAAAGTAGATGACAAGCTTATTTTATAAAGAAGATATAAATATTATTTTCCCAGAAGAAAAATTTATGCCAGGTTTAATTACAGCGAAACATTGTGGGTGATTAACAATTTATAAAAATGCACCTAAGATTATACATAATTCGCTGAAGTAGCTTTCCTTGTGCATGGAAATTATGGACATGATGAATCATTCTTACATAAGTTACAGTTTTAATGCAACAATGAAGAATATTCACCCCTGGAAAAATATAAACGTACCTTACATGCATATGTAGCTTAGACTAGATGTGAAATAATTGCATACATATGTATGCATTTGAATGTACTCAATAGACGTATTCGCGACAATATCTTAGTTAGCAGCACAAAGTGTTGAGAAAATTTGCCAATTTGGAGAAGTAATCTTGAGAATAAAAACATACCAAGTTGCTGAGTAAATTGCGAACAAATATCACATAATTTCTAGATAGTAAAAGTTTTTCGAAATCTTCAAATTTTGTTGATTTGCGAGATACAACAGGTGACAGGTGAAGGTTGACCGGAGTACGCTCTCTATGTTTAAATTTACACATAATCCTCTGTTTGGACCATAAAAAATTATACAAATTAACTACGAAAATTCATATGTTGCATTCTTCATTATAGTAACGGCTCGATTGTACACTAAAATGTCGGCATTTATCGCCATTGCAAAGTCGATATGCGAAAAAAGACGATCTTCAACTTTAATGAATTCTTTTAAAGCACCCTTTGGAAACTTTGAAGCAGTTTTGGCCGCATCCTAAAACACATTGAAGAAAATTGACTTTGATGATCGTAATACATATTATAGAATATATTTAAACTATATATGTCTATGTACATACTTGCGGTTTAACAAAAATATCGTTCTGTCCCCAAAACATGACAATCGGTGCAGAAACTTTTACTAAATTATAACAGGGCGGATTATCCATTCCATATTTTTCTCGATTCGTGGATTTAAATCCATAGTTAAACTGGCAAAATTTATCCGTGTTTATCAACTGGACGAAATGTGTCCACGTCTTGGTTGACATGGTGTCAGGAAATGCACCCAGTAGAATGCTCAATGTGGTCTGTAAAAAATTTCTGTTCCGTAAATATCACCAATAACGAAGTCCAGAAAACGTGAAATAACTCATGAAATTATTTGTATCGCTCTCACATAATTCATCTGGGGCCCATTGTATCCGAACCCAAGATACATGAAGTTTCCGCAAAAATCTGCATTTTTTATTATGGTCATTATGTGACCGCATAAATACATAGATACGTAATTTGGGATGAAGTTCACAATACCGCAAGCATCTCTCCTTGAAGTGCATAGGAAGCCTGGCGGCTTGCTGGTATATTGTTCAATCATTTTGCCAGCTTCAAATTTTCCTTTTAGGAATTTGTTAAAAAAATACTGTAAAATATTTAATTATTAAAAAAGTTTGAATATTAACGGAATACTCAAAAAATTGTTAATTTTGCAAAATTAAGTTCATGGGCGTACCTGAAAATAGTTGCTGAATCGAGTAAACTTTCTCAAAGGCTGAGCCGTGTGTCCGAACTGAATTGCTGGAGAGAGTAAGAAAGCTGTCAAAATTCGGTCATTGTACTCTGGGCGTTCCGTCAGCATTACGGTGAGCATGGATGTCCCCATACTATGACCAACATAGTACATGGCTCTATTTCCGGTCTTATCCGTCACCATTTCAACAATGGCAGGCAAATCGTATATTCCCATCTCGTGGAAACTGCGGATTTTAAGATTTTTTTTCACTCACTAAACTTGTGAATTGAAATTGTCAATTTTTGTTTATTAATAATCAACCTAAAGTCCCAATACTTCACATTATCCGGTGAAAAACTAGGGTCTATGTGCCCTTGTGAGTAAATGCTTCCCCTAGCGTTTAAGATGAACACATCCAAACCAGAATCGGCAAGCAACATAGCTGCAAGTAAATTGGACATTCATTAACCATACTCGCACATTAGACAGTTAGAAAAGTTACGATTTTCAAATTTTCGTAAGTCTTCCTATTTCAGATCTGAGTCGAAATTTACAGAGCTTATCATGAAATGATTCTGGGCTGTTTTCTGAATATTTTGCATATTGTCGCCGAAAATGTTATCTAAACTCAAGAGATAGGAAGAGTTGCGGAATTTGGAGAAACGTAGTTTTTCCAACTGCCTATTAGATGAGTCACAGTTTCAATTTTAAGGTACACAAAGTTGGAAGTATATATTTTTATAAATTGAACAGCCACTATTGCAAATTTGTGTAAATTTGGTTATTTTTGTGCAACCAAAGTTTCTGGATCCCCCCTGAATTAGCCACGCCAACCCATTCGCTCCTTGACCGTGTTGCAGCATGACCGCTTTTTTTCTCACTCCTTTTTGTGTCGGTGACGTGGGACTGAAGGGAATCCTATAAATGCTTAGAATGTAACCATCCTCGGTGGTAACATTGATTATTTCAACCGGATATCCATTCCTGACGAGAAGTTGGTCCTGACATGAAATAAACAAATTATTTACATCATTATTTTCTTATTTTTATACCATCTAAATAGTTTAACGCTTGAAGCTGTAAATTTAAATTTTAAATAAGTTACAATTGACAACCCCACATCCGGATTCTGTCCGCCCTTCATCTCGTCGAACTGGTCATGGCAAATTACTCGATCGTACGATCTCATGGACGACTTAATTTCTGGGTACTCGTGACCAATCTGCCTTATGAAATCAAACTTATTTATCTTTGACCACAACATGACGACAGCACTTATCAAAACGTATTTCATTTTCGACCAACACGAAAAAACTTATCTATTTACTAATAATAGATAAATTTATTAAATAATTATGCACCATTGCTTGTTGCTTTTTACAATAGGTACTTATAAATACTTCAGATTAACCACTTCGCCCCTATAACGACTATGTGACGTATTTGACCTTTACGCCGAATACGACTATGTGGCGTAAGTTCCCTTGGCTCCGAAATACGACGATGCGTCGTATTGACCCTTGACAACGGAAACGACTATGTGGCGTATTTTCCGTTCCCACCGGCCTACGACTATGTGTCGTATTCGAAAAAAATTAGGTCATTGCTCTTCCAAGTATAGTTTTGAGTCAACAATCCGCCATTTGGGCGGGAAGATGAATTGCCTCTTCAGAACCAATGTTATAAAGGGAGGTAAAAACAATTTATAGCTAACTGGCTATTTCTAGCTAACACGCCCAGTTTTGAAAACTGCTGTTGCATGGAATTTTCGTCCCATATTTCAACAGCGCTTTCAGATAAAATTAGTGAAATTGTTTTTCTCGGATTTAGAACGCCCCAACGACATTTTTGGCGGGAAAACTAACCACTGGAGCCGATGAAATCTCGTTGGGCGGGAAAATTAAGAGATTGCCTGGAAAGTAGCATATAATTTTCCCGTTAAAATTGAGTTATATTCAAAATGCGCTAAAGTATGCTTTCGAACAGTTGATGCTATAATTATTCATTACAACTGCTATCAATTTAAAGTCACGGTAAGAAAACGTTTGTTTTCCCGCCCTAAGTATGCGTAAATTCTATGCATGTTAGATGAACAAAAAGCAATTTTTACACATTTTAGGCTAATCACAAAATTATTTATAGCCGATGTCACGAATTGAAAGCAATATTTGCTGTTTAATTTTCCCGCCCAAATCGGCATCTGGGGCCTTTGAGGCGCGATAATCGATTTTTGTGAATATATGTACTATTATGCACTTATTAATCAACTAGTCTTCGAAGCCCGCTTTGCAGGCTCTAAGCATAGATGAGGTTATATTTCTAGGTAGAAGCACCTGCCGAATGACAACATAACAGTTCGATGTTTTACCCACTGCAAAAGTTCCCAGGCATTAGCAAAAATATTCATCAAATAAGTTCTGACTCAGAACTTCTGAGTAACATGACGATGACCCACAGTACATGTTGCGTGATGAAGGAATACCACAGCTCAAGTGACAACTTTAAGGGCGTAGGTCACAGGTCAAGTTACATACAACTCTAAGAGTGTGCACAGGGACGACTTGAGTAAAGTTCCTAGGTCACAGGTTGAGTAACAAGTGTAAAGAATGTGCCGAGATTAGAGGTCACGGGTGAGAAGGTCAAGTCTTGTCCAAGTATGGGTACCACTGGTTGTTCTGGTGTAGGCAGCGTTTTCAGAACGTTCTTGTACTTTGGTTGAAGGGCGCTGAAAAATGGAAATTGGTTGCTCAAAGTTCAGCTAGGTGGCGTTGGCCGGTAATTAAAATCAATATTGGGTAATGTGAGACACGTGTGTATATTCAAACGCCAAATTCAATTGTGGACACGACCCATTGCACAATTCTTGGTTGTGATGTTTGTGCAACTTTCCATGCAATTACAATCATTTTTAAATTCGGCGTGTTGGCTATTTTCGGCTATAAACATTAGTGGTTCGCAAAAATGCCCAAAGGCAAATTACAACTCAAAATCCGTTCCCAAATGGTTATTCGCATCAACTTTCATAAAAAAGTGTCCAGAATAATTCCGGTGGGAACACCATTTTTCAATTCATCTCCCAGTAATTAACGTCATACAGTAGGTGAAAATTTCGGGGTCAAGGGAAGAAAAAATTCGCCGTTACTAGGGGTGAAAGGTATGAAAATATTCGTCTCTCAGGGGTGAAGTGGTTAAAGGTTTGCTGAAAATTATAATTTTGTAAACGTACGTTTTGATCAAATTTCCACTAATAAAACTTAAAATCACATGAAATCACACAATAGCTATAGATAAATTTAGTAATTATGCTGTTAAGTTCAGTCCTTTTCACACTGATCATTGTTAAAACAAGTAATCGTGCTGAATGATATAGGTTCGCATACGCCAGGACTCCACGTGGCATCTCCAGTTCAACGAACAAAGGTACATATTTATTAAGTAAATGATTTTTTATCAAACTGGAAGATCATTCCAACTTTTCTTCTTGTCTAACGTGTTTTTTTAGTACTGAATTTCTGGGAATAAGCTAAAGGCATACAATTATATGCATGCAGGCATGAGAATTCAGCCATTTTTTGTTTTTGCCATATTCATCAAATCAATGTGTCTCGAAGCTTTTGTACTTGGGTGAAAAATTACAAACTGCAAAATATTAGTAATAATGGATAATTACATTTGTATCCAAACCGATACGTCTAGTTCATTATTTACTTCATTTTCCGTACACGAAACTAACGAAATTTCCATATTATTACTATAATTCCACAATGATACACGATTTGATTTATTATAATTGGCCAGTAACAGTATTTTTTATAAAAATTGCAAATGCTGATTTTTTAATGTCTTAAAAGTATCAAGTTTGATCATATTTTATAATACAGCCAAAACTTCTGTCTATCTATGCAATAGGTTTCCTTCTTTCTACCAGAAAGCATGCAATATGGGAAAAGTCACAATGCATACATTTTCCTTCATTGATGTAACATGTCACTCGTATATTTCTTAGAAGTTGAAACCCTCTGGTTACTGCGTTGAACAATTTTGGTATACTTTTCCAAATTTAACATTTAATTGCTATTGGTGATATCAATTTGATTGATTCGTAGCAGTTATACAGAATTATACAGTTTGTAATTATCTAATTCACGGGAAAAAAGAATGGACGAATGTTCTGAAATATGAACGTGTAAGGAAAGTGGCAAATCTACTCTTCATTCATATAGAGGGAATTGTCGCTAGTCGCTATACGATCCAATGAATCAAGTACTTATTACTTATATGTACATATGCACACGTGTATATCGGATTTCCGTAGTCCTGCAAAATTTAACTTTTAAATATAAAGCCAAATTTACCCTGTCCAAATAAAGTCTGTAATTTAGGAATATTCGTTACACGCTTCGATTGTGCAAATAAAAGCTTGTAATTTTAAGGTTTAACATGCTTATGGAGTTATTGCGCTTAAATTTACATAAGTATTGAAGTTTTCGAGCATACATGTATTTACCTATTGTCTCCCTTAATAGAATTTGATACAATGATAATAAATTATTTCCCGTTTAGCAAAAGCAATTCATTACTATGATTAATGTCTGCAAACATTAAGCCGTTTGAATGCCTGCTTGTGTCGAATTTATTTGATAAAAGTATCTCCCGTAGTATTGGTAAGTGGTATTCTGTCACTTAATTATAGTGGACTCGACTTAACAACCTATTAATTAATAATTGCTTGGACTCTGTATACGTACGTATAATAATAATAAGGAACTCATATACCGTTCTTGCTTGTGCAGATTATTGCTACGTGCGTATAATAATAGCCACAAAACGAACCAATTAAGTCGCCAATTCTATGTTTCATAAGATTTTATGATTTGGAGATAAATATGTAAGGTACATGTGTATTTCCATGTCTGCCGTCCAGGTAATGCTAGTCGAATGTTACCTGTAATCATCATTGGACTGTCAACCAACATGCTTAGAACTTCAGAACAAGCGCAAATATTTACTTGTATTTTTACTTTTAAAAGTTAACTTTTCACTTAGTTTATTAGCCAATTCTTTAGATTAGGTTAGCAATAAGATGGATAATTCCAGTTGCTCTGCTTCATACAAACTCGTAGAGAATAACGAGTTAGGTCGTCATTGGGTCGCAGATCGAGACATTCCGGCAGGAGTCGTAATATTCAGAGAGAAGGCACTAATCCAAGGACCACTCTTAAGGGAGGAAGACTACAAGAATTCAATCATCATTTGTTTCGGATGCAATAGAAAATTGAACAAAAAAATTACCAAGAGGTGTTCAAAATGCTGGTATCCCGTTTGTGGCGTAGAATGTGAAAAGGTACAAAGAAATTAAAGGCAGAAAATTAATGATTTAATTCTAATACATTTTTTATACCAGCTTGAATGTCACGCGGAATACGAATGTCCCATATTTTCGAAAAAGTCACCCTGGCTATCGATCGACCTTTGCGTTGCAGAATACGAGTCGATCTGCATACTGAGGGGATTCCTGTACAATTCTAAACAGCCCTCCAGACAGAAACGGTGCAATGAATTAATGATCCTACAAAGCGAGCAAACCTTGCCAATTTCCACTGTCGACCTCTCATTTGGCCAATATCGTTGCAATCTGGGCAGAAAACAATTTGGACTCATGGATAAAATTGGCTCCAGTTCGGAATGGATGAAAATATTTAAGATAATTAAATTGAATGCTTTCTCAACTTACGGTGAACATACTGACTATTCGTCCCAGTATATTTTCTTTAAGGGGAGTTTCTTTGCACATTCGTGCCTCGCAAATTGCGAATATTCAATTTCACCAGAAACCAGCGAGTTTCAGATATTTACGAGTGTCCATATAACCAAAGGGACGCCTTTAACGGTTAATTACATTAGCGGACAGAAACGATTTGGGTTTATGGCAACGATGGAGAGAAATCAGTTGATAAGGGCCAGAGGTTTCATCTGCAGTTGTGCAAGATGTCAAGATCCGGAGGAATGTGGGAGTAATTTTTCAACGTTAAGGTGCACAAATTGCAAGGAGGCGACTCTCGTTCCTGTAAAAGAGGAGGAACAACTCGTTTGGAAGTGTAGAAATGATGGCTGTAGCGTTTTCATGGATTGGTTCGACGTGGATAAGATGATGATAAATGTGGAAGAAATGTGCCATTTGAAAGAAACCACAAAAGAAAAGATGGAATGTATAGAACAAGCCTCAAAAACTTTGATGCATCGTAATTTTAGTACGATTGTGACATTGAAGTTTCAACTTTGGGAAGAATTGAGGGACAAAGAACCCTGGCAAATTTGTGGGCAAGATTGGAACTATTATGTGAGACTAACGGAAGAATTAATGGACGCGTATGACTATATTTGCCCAGGGTTGTCGGAAATGAGAGGTTAGTAGCTTTCAATAATTTAGTGGTTATTTAAAAGTATTTACATAATAGTAAAGATTTGATTACTTACTTATTGCAGTTAATCTTCTGAAAGTTTATTGTGAATCGGTGTTGGAACGAGAATTGGAGGACATGCTGGATGACACAGTATTTTGTACGCTGGAAAATCGAACGGTCATTATTAACTTAATGGATAAGCTGGACAAGTACTGGACAGAGATTTTGCAATATCAATCACTTTCCATTGATCTACCCGTTCACCTAAAGCAGAATTGTGTGGATACGATTTCGAACAAAATCAGTCATATTGCAGGATACAGAATCGCTATCGAATCCGTAGAGTAGGCCTCACAAACTCATACATAAATACATATATACAATATATGCAAAGAAGTAGCATTTTTTCAACGGTACATTTCTCTGGTCTTGAATTTACTTTTGCCTTAAAGACATCATTATTGTCTTGATTGTTTTAATTAATAACTTGGAAATTAAATCGATATCAAGTGCAGGTTTGGTAACAGCGTTGGAACGTACAATTAATATGCGTTTTTCTTACATGCTTTAGGGTATATGTATGTATTTATGCCCAATGCACAAGTTCATAAGTAATAATTAAATAATAATAATCGTTTTCAATCCTCAAATTAACCAATTATAAAACCAGATATACAGATATTGCACGAATTTATTTGTGTCTTCTCTTCTCTGCAATAATAGTGATAATAATTGAAATCACAATCCAACAACTAGCCGTTATGAAACCATTGGCCACTTGGGGATGACTAATTCCCCATCCACGGATGCAGATTGACCTGTAGGACTTGAGAATATTCGTTATTGGCAGGAATAACTCCGCCAGCGTGCGATAGAAAGGCACCGACATTTCCAAAGGCCATATAACTCCTGCAAGTTAATAATAGTATGACAAATCAAGAACATGATTATAAAATTAATTTAACAAAATAAATTACCAGACGAAAATTCTTGAGTTAATGAAAAAAACAATGCAATGAATATTGTCTCGAGAAGTCCATCCCTCAATGCGGCGATCATCCAACCTATTTTTGGAAAATACACACATTTCACATTAAGCAATTTAGTGATAAAAATTGCAAAAATTTGCATTTCGTAAAAATCAACTACATACTACACGTGAGTCCACACGTCGCAGTTAGAAAAACCAACGCCATCGCGAGATACCATGAACCTTTGATTTCCATTCCATAAAAACCAGCAAGAATTCCGAAAAGAAGGGCAATTTCGACCACGGCAAGTAGCGAGTGGAAAAGAAAGTTGGACACCAATCCGTGCCAAATGGACACACCTGCAACGTAGTCTCGGTCGTCTAAACCTCCTAACCTATCCTCCACCCAAAGAGGGGCAAACCCACACGATTGGGAGAAGATCATGCTAAAACAAATATAAAAAGTTAGCGTTCTTGGATGTTCCCACGGTTTATTTCTGCTTACAAAATTATAATGCCCGGCTGGATGTATGAGATCAGGTTGCCAAGCTCAATATTGCCATATATCGCATTGAACTGAAATAAAAATTTGCAGACTGAAATAGTTAGAAACTAAAGTAAGGTTAGGAATATGTGTACCTTGATGGGATGGCTAACCGTGACTTTATTCACGGAGCAAGCGCTTGCAATGCTACGAACGAAGGACATGAACTTTTCAATTAAAACATTCTTTACCCAAGCTGATGATATAATGTCTGCAAAGTAAAAAATTAAACTTAAATTATATGACATAAAATTATGGAATTATAATTCATTAAAAATTGATTTGCACTTGATTCATCCATCTTCACTGATATTAAGGACCCGTGGATGGTATGATTGTCGGCAAAATTACGAAGAAGCATCCTATTTTTGAGATGAGATGAAAAATTTGATGGAAAGTGCATGAAGGAGAAAGTACGGCCAAATTTTACTTGTTCCAAACCGGCATCAAATGAACTTGTAGGGATCTGTTGATGAATTCCAGAACATGTGCATATTTACTTACGAATAATTATTTCATATAGATGAGATGTACGAGATGTAGATAATATGTATGTACCCATGTGAATTCAGAATTGTTGAATTTGTCGAGAAAATTACAAATCCCAGTATTTTCGAGGCACCCTGACCCAGTCTGGCTATTGTTGCAATATTCCGATATACTGGAAATTTCATTTGGGAAAATTACCCCCATTTTTACATTTTTCGGAGGGACGCCAAAGATATTTTGCAGCATGACTACTACCATGACGGGAAGCAGGAATTCGGACACGACCAATCTGTGAAAGTCAATTAAACAATTTAGATAATCAATACGAAATATATTTCTCCATTTATTTGGTGGGATTTGGCTCCAAATTAGCGAGAATAGAAATATGTACATATGCACCTTAAATCGCGACGCTGACGATGCCACCATTTCATAAATAATGCGCAGAGAATTTTCACATGGTCAGGTTTTGCAGGGATCATAGGCTGGGCAATGGACTTGACAACGCCATTTGGCGATGTGCAAACTTTCCGATACGATGTTAATGAAAGTTCTTCTTGAAATTCGCCGCTAAAACTGTGTTCCCAAGTACGTTGGAATTTTTCGTCTTGTCGACAAAGATCCAGAGCAACTCTTTCCATGTTATCAGTCATAAATTTTGACATGAGGGATTTCGGTGAATCTTCAGCTAAAAGTTGACCCCCACGCATGAACCCGATCTACTTAATACTCGAAATACTTGCATATTAACTTGTAATTGGTAATATTTGGACACAAACCTTGTCACAGCGCTTCGTTTCTTCGATATAATGGGTGGATAAAATGATGGTAGTTCCCGCCTCTTTGGATATTTGGTTGAGATGCGTCCAGATTCTGTAGCACAAGCGACTGGGTTAATATTAGACTAATAATGGTAAAAACAATGGATTACCGTTGTCGAAGTAAGGGATCTAGGCCAACAGTAGGCTCTAAAATGGGGTGATCAGTCAGTTACATCATCTTACTTAATTATAAGTTGGCTCAAATTGTTACCGTCGAGGACGAGCAGAGGTGGATTGTGAATCATGGCAGTCGCCAAAGAGACGCGACGTTTTTGACCTCCACTAGTAATTTTAGATAATGTTTTAATAAAAAAATTCATGAAAAATTATAAAGTTGCTAGAAACCTCAAATCATGGATTGGGCTGTGGATTGGAGGAAGATCAAGAAAACACTGGAGAAATTTTACTCGATTTTCTATCTCCGCATTTTCCATGCCGTATATCATTCCAAAATATTTTAGCAGCTCCGCAATAGTTAAAGGGTTCAAAAGAGAGAACTCCTAAAATTCGAGGACAGATAAAAGTCTGATTAAGGTACTTAAGTATTTCGAGCTGCATACGTTTTATGTATGCGGCTTCAAATATTGCATGCATATAGGTTTTGTACACTTTTCTATACCTGTGGCATATATCCGCACAAGCCTGCTAATTGTGCATGCCGTTCCTGGCCAAAAATTGCGATCTGTCCATCGTCCAATTCTCGTAAACCGACAATACAAGAAAGCAATGTGGTCTTGCTAATAGGAGGACATTTAATTATATTTTAGGGTACAGTTATGCACACCGAATTAGAATTTTTAGAATTTACCCACAACCACTCGCCCCCAGTAATCCATAACTGGAAATGTATGTAAAAGTTAAGTGTCAACTATATAATTCTGCATACCCAGAGTGAACATGTTTTATAATAACCGTACATTTCACCTCTGCCTACGTTCAGGTTGAGATCATTCAAAACCAATGCCCCACCTCCATACCGTTTAAACCCATTGGTCACTTGTACTCCCATTTTACTAATTTACGGGTAATTCAAATTACTCTGATTTATATAAATATTTTGCCAAGCGCACTAATTTTGCTTCTTAAACACGCAGAATGTTCCTCACATCTGAGACAAGTATATTCGTGAGTTTTACCTATGTCATCTTTTTTAAGTTCTACGACTTCTTATTCAGCAAGAAGTTCGTACATTTACACATTTTACATATCCAAATCCAGCCTTAACATTCGACGCAATACTTTTGCACTCCACGCGTGCAATCAGATAAGGGAGAATTACTATGCAAACTACTTAAGTAGCCGGTGTAGGTGCATAGTTGTTTGCAGTTGTCTGGTAAAATGATGCTTAGGTTGATTGATATCAGACACGAGCTGCAGTACGATGTGCTGCCTATTATTTTTCTCTATTTTCAATCCTGGAAATATACTATGGTAAACCTCGCAGTTGGAAAAATCAGTCTTATCGGTCGTAAGAACAAGAAAACTTTTTTAATTTTTCAACTGGTTATAAGTATATTTTATGATGAGAAAAGTTCTCAAGAAATTGGTTACACCAGATTTTTTTGCATATGATGAACAATTTCATCGGTGTGATTGCACGTATTTATTTAACTTCTGCACAGAAAGCAACAAATATAATGCTTCAAAATATCTACATAATGAAATCAAGTGGTATGTACACGTGAGTAGAGAATTTGCGAGTATATTTATTTAGCGTAGAAATCTCTGCAAATAAAATAAAACAGGTTTGTACCCAGCAAACCTACATAGTCTGTATTTTTATACACACGTTCATACACATTATAAGTACAGGTACATATAATGCGTATTAACGCTAATTTTTAAAATCCCGATAATTATTAAACAAGTCTGTATACTTGTTTACTACTTATCGGGATTTTTGTGTGATAGCTTAACAAATATGCATGCATAGGTGAAGAGCCACATATGAAGACATATATGGAATACAAATAGAAAATAACAGCTTCAGGCTTTATTTTCCAGAACATTATTAATAGGAATCTGAATTTATTAAGAAAAGCACCAATCTCGTAACCGATGGAAAGAATGGAAGTTCCAATGAATTTCCAAAGAATTTGAGCTACCAAGTTGAGTTTCAAAAACTTACATTAGGAATTTTGTTCATTTTCATTGAACTAGTTGTTATTTACATTGCACAATAAATAATTGATAAGATGTTTAACACAACATCTACATGTATATATATATGCATTCTTCTAACTTGGTCTTGGTCTCATCATTGTGTACGTGTAATTAATACAACAGGTTCACGAAACGTATCCGTGTAATGCATGGAGGTATGCTTGTACACATATATGTACATATGTATGTAGATAAAGGTAATTGATTGGATAAAGTAAGTTAAGATATATAATTTTTTATTTTTGCACAGAGCGAATTTGAATTATATTGAAAATATTCAAATAAAAATACAAAATGAGGTTACATTGGTACGTCAATAATGACATTGATTATCCTTATTTATAGCCTAGATTGACTTAAACATAACAAAATAATTCTATTAAAATTCAAGTTGCAATTTTGAGATTGCCTGAAATATTTTGCTCTAAGACAAGAAATACATTATTTCAGGTGAATTTCTCCCTAATAATTATTTATTACAAATTAATTTAAAAAGTTCAACACAATTTAACTAGCTTTTACCAAATAGATAATCTATGTATCTAAGTAAGTGGAGAAGTCATGGTGTCTTCTTCCCTTTTTGTCACTTTTTCAAAAACGGGTGCTGACTCCTCTGGAGGATCTTTCGAATCCTCAACATCTTGTTTGACCTCTTTGCCCTCGCCTTTTCCGACGTCTTTCACCATCTGTACGATATTCTTGCCCTCTTTTACAACTGCTTGGGCAGCATTATTCAGGACTCCCTTAACCTGATCTAGTACCACGACCATTTCTGTAAGCAAGAAAACAAAGAATGTTACAATTTTTGACAATTTATTGAGGCTGTGATCCTGCAATTACCGATCTTGTCTTTATATTTGACTTCTTTTTCCTTTGTAAATTCTTCCCAGATAATACTTGCACTTTGTCTGGTTTGACTGCGATATGAGAACTGGAGATTTTTACCCTTGAAATAAAGACAATACTGTTTTATCACTGCGTAAATCCTTCAGACTTCTACGCCGTATGCATGAACTCAAGCCATGAAAGTTTTATTCTATTAGCAATAGCCTGATTCGCTGCGAGAGCAGGAAAATGATCTAGAAGAAAGCATAGCTCAGCTGAATGGAAGGAGAAAGTTGTTTTGGTTGGGGCTCAACTTTCTCCTGCTTCCTGCATGTTTTGAGTAAGGGGATCTGCTTTTGTGCTTCGGACCAGATTCTGTATGCCAAACGTGAAGTGATTGTACGTATTCTGTTTTCTGTTCTGGCGTTTCAGAGTAGAGAAAGTAATAGAACTTTCTCTTTTGAATCCTACTTATTCGCTGTGCGAGTTCACGTTTATGTCCCCACGTTTCATGCATAAAAGGTGCATCCGCTACTCTTTTTTGCTCACAAACTTAGCGATTTCAAGCGTATAAGATAATAAATTTCTTGAAATATTCAATTTTATTGTGGAAGCTTGTGTATAATTCAAAATCCATAGAATCCATTTTGCATAGAATTTACGTATGCATTAAAATGTCAGAATATTTTTCACAGCTTGTAGAAATTTGTTGGGGGTGTGGATAACAGTTTGAATTTTGCCAACAGGAGTGTCCCTTTCAGCAAGTCGTTTAATTCGATTCCACCTCTCGTTTCTTGATTTCTCTAAAATGTTATTAGGTTTCTCTTCCGTGTTTAGCCTGGGTGGTATCTGAAAATGATTTTTAATCTCATAAATCACATGAAGCAACTTGATTAGGTAGGCAATCTCGTACCAAGTTTGGAAATTTTCTTGCGTGCACCTGGTACATTAGGATGGCATGGATGAGCTTCCACAGGGTAAACTCTGGCCAAGTTTCGTTAATAAAGTGGATGTAGGACTGGCTCGATTCCCAAAGCATGAAGTCAGATAAGCGACAATCACCCCCAGTTCGGATCAGCATGTCGATGGGACGCATGTCGACTAAATACTGGGACTGATGGATTAAATATTCATTACATTGTTCAGAGTGAAGATGCGTCTTTTCATCAGGGTCCTTGTTTAATGGGAGGGCATTCAAACTACGCAAAATCCCTTCCCGACCTATATACATACATATGCAAATTATTTAGCGTATTTAACTAAATATCAATTTGTTTGTGTATGAAAACATGTATATAAAATTTAAACCCATCCAAATTACCAGTATATGCGATAGCCAGTTTTAGAAGAAAGGGTTTCAAATGTCTTGTCTTGTGCATTAAGTTGGCCATTCGGTGTCTCAATTTGGCAGGAAGATTTTCCCAGTTCCCAACAATTTGGATGCAAGTGTTCTTGTTTATACCTGCGTCACTGTGCATCATTTAATATAGCATTATACATATATCATTTAATATTTGTTGTTTCAAAATGAATAAAAATAGGGTAATAAATATGCAGTAATGCGTACACTTCATGCAGCAGATTTGCACACTCGTTCATGAAAAGATCCATCAGATCGTCCACCTCGGCCTTTGTTCGTTTGAAATTCTCGTTTGAGAAGGCATACACGGTAAATTCTTTGCAGCCGAGTGCTTTCCCCCATATAGATAAATTCTTTAGGATATAACTTCTATACCAATTAAGTAATGATGCAAATTAATTTTACACTCGATCAATTAAATCATTACATATAGGCTTCAAATATTTATCACCCTGCTTCGTGACCTTGCGCAACAGTCAATCCTTGGTTTTTTGCATATCGTCGATTACTAAGGAAGTAAAGTCCAATGTTGAAATTGATTAAACTTTTTGAATAATTTAAATATTACCCGTCCATTATAATCGCAATGTGTTCTGGAATACGGCCAATTTTGGCGATTGATATCCCCAATGTTTCCAGACATGACAACTCCTTTGGGGGCATTTCGTACTGATGTACAGCTTATAGTTAATCATCCGGTTGCAAATTTGCAGACATTTATGGGTTTCCATGAGAGAATGGAATAACGTAAATGTTCCATCTTTCCAGGTTTTATAGTTGCAAAATTTGTGAAACATGTACGCATGTAGGTTGTGAACCCAGTGACGTTTTCTTATCCTGAAAAAAATGTACTTGGTTTCAATCATGTTCAAGTTGGTTGCATCAATAGTTGCGTAATGCGAGAGCTTCGGGTAATTATCAAAATGTTATATAAGAATAAATTATAGTTTATAATTTTATCGGATCATCGTAGCTTTAGGGTCAAATTTACCATTAAATTTAATAGCTTCTCTGTACAATTTGTCGAGTTACTTAGAACTTGCCAAGTAGAAAAAAAGAAAAATATTGTGAAAAGTACTTATGTTGAGATTTGTACTTATGTATGTACTTCCAATTTGGTCAGATTTCCATTAAATTTGTAGATCAATTAATAGTAGATACCCAACGTGGAAAGTATTGCATGTGTACATACATATATGTGAAAATTATTCCATTGCAACATTGGGGTGTAAACGGCAGTGCCGTTTACATGGCACAGTTTGAGGTGTGTACATATGCATATATTAAGATACTATTATTTAATACTTAATTTATGCATATGTATGTATGCAGTAGCAGCAGTATTCAGCAGTGGAAGTGGCAAATATCGCTTAACGATTTATTTGTTGAGCACGTCATGGGTTTATGCAAGGATTAAGATTTTGCTGGATTACTTTAACAATACGTTTTGTCAGGTACAATTTCATTAAATGAAAACAACATAAAGCATAAATTACCATTGGTAATAAACATGAATAATTAATAGATATTTGTTAAACTCTTACATTTATATATATGTATGTATGTAATTGTATGTACATAAGTAATTATATATGTGACACATAATGTGTCTATTATAGTAAATGTATTATTGCTAAATTTAGGAAGACAAATAATTTGAAAACATGTTTTCCTTTTTAGGAATACTCATCGAGCGTTGTTTCCAAGCACATTACATTTGTGCTTATTCCTGGCACGTATATAAATGCATATGTACATACATGCAAATGTACTTAGGTATGTATATACACAGGGTAATATACAAGAACAACTAAATAGCACGGATAATAATTATAAACTTGATAATGCATTTACAGCATCTGTAGCGAATAAAGCAAAATAAGAATAAATGCATGTTATCATTAATTGAAACTCGACTTCACCTCGACTCAATCACCCTTGTTTTATCCTACGCACGTGCCCAAGTGGTTTATTTATAATTTGCAACCTATGGCGCGTGGTGACCCTTGCACTTCCTGATATGCACGTGCCCTTTTCTTGATAACTTTCTTGATAAGCCATTTGAGTTTGAATATATTTATATGTTCATATGGTTTTCCTCCTATTTTTGTTTAAATTGTGCTTATACAATTTGTTTGTACCCGATCAATCAATATTTCAAGGTTGCAACTTATCCGACTCGAATAAGTAACAAGTTCGCCATTAGTTTGGCAGACTTTTACCGTTCTTATTATCCATCTGTCATGAACTATGATAAAAAAGATAAAGCACACCTTTATATTCCGATCGAGAAGGTGTACAACTTTAGTCTTTGAACGACAAATACAGCCTCAAAATGTATTTCAGAACAATTTCAACAGTTTTACTCGGAATTTTTGGTCTCGCCATGGCCCAGATTCCGCTCACCTTTGATCTTTCGAAAGATCAGATCTTCGTCCAGGGAAACTGGTACAATAAGGACGGGTCCAATGGAAAGTCGGTGGTCACGCCCCATGCCTTCTTCACCCAGTGCATGCATCATGAAAATGCGTCCGGTTGTGACACGACTTGGTCGCAGGTGAGTACATTTGAAGTCAAAGGTCGTAATTTTGTAGGGAATATGTACACGATTTTTTGCTATCTTTAGAGATACTGGGTTAACACGAATTACTATCAACCTGGACGACCAATTTTTATAGAACTTGCAGGAGAATGGGATGCGGCTGGGGATGTGGATGGAGGTTACTGGCACGCCTATGCGAGACAATATAACGCCATGCTTATCGTGTTGGAACATCGATTCTACGGACAAAGTTTTCCAGTTCAGTAAGTACATATATATGTGGTGGGTTTGAATATGTACTATGAAAATTGTCAATTTTTTTAGAAACCCGGCTGTCCGCGACTTGTGGCTGATGACGAGCCAGTTGGCACTGGCAGATGCGGCTAAATTTATTACCGATTTTACCGCAAATAATAATCTGAATGTAAGTCTCGTGCTGAAAAATATGGGAAACAAAAATATAGCAGTGGAGATAGTCAATAATGCATATTTAAATTTATCAATTATTTTAAACAAGGGGACAAGTTGGGTGTCATTTGGCTGTAGTTATGGAGCTAATTTGGCAGCATGGTTCAAACTGAAATATCCAAATCATGTGAAAGCTGCAGTGTCCTCATCTGGACCGGTTGAAGCACTTTATGATTATCCAGGTAATTGCTAATTGTTCAAATTATTCCCACCACCTAATTATAGAAAAACTTATATATTTGCCTTCACGGGTTGCTTATTTACTTTATAAATACATAGGATACATGAAGACAGTATCGGAAGTGGTTCAAGAAATCGACGATGTCTGCCATGACAAATGTACGACACATTCGGCTGCATGGAAGCACTGGTTAATGGGAGTGAAAATTCTTGTGATATTTACGAGACGCCTGATGACTTACTTTCACCACTCAAGTAGGAACTGCTTTTTCATTACACAATTTTCTCTGTCGGTTTAAAATTAGTAAATTAATCCATTTATATGTGTATGTGAATGTGTACATCTACAGGTGGTGTCACTCTGTTGACTGGGATGGCATCAGCAAGGAACAAATGTTCCTCTCTCTCGGAATGAATGTTTGGGCGGATAATGCTCCGTCCGGTAAGGTCACAACGGCATGCAACATGCTCGGTCAAATCGATGGGGACGACAATGTCCAAATTTATGGAGACTTTATGGAAGCCATGGGACAAGATGGGGGGTGTTCAAGCATGAAAAAGAGAATGGAGGAGCGCGAGAAGTTTTTAATGTCGCAAGAAGCTTGGCAAAGTGGTGCGGCGGGATGGGATTGGCAGACGTGTAATGAATTTGGATATTTTATGTCGTCTGATCCAACTTATGGTACATACGGGAGAAATACTTAGTCAGGGGATGTTTACGGTCAGGGTTGTGGCAGATATGGATCACAGTAAGACATCTATAGAAAGATGCAATTAAAAGATTGTCAAGTTTTAATCCACAATTACGTAATATTCCGTTAAGGTTTACTTTTTAATAATTACAGTTATATAAATAATAATTACAGAATTGCAACCAGCAATGCATACTATGGGGGCAAGGATCTAGACTCAAGATGTATCATATTTGTTCATGGAACATGGGACCCGTGGCACACGCAAGGGGTTACGACGCCAGAAGCTGATAACACCGTGATTGTCGTTCCAAGTGAGCATATTGATGTTTTACATAGGAAGATAATTCATGAAGTTTAAGTTTTAAAAATATCTCTTTGTGTTCTGTAGGGACTGAACATTGTGCGGATAATGGAAATCCAACCACACCCGAGATGGCTGCCGCTCAGGCGCAAATTATGACCCAAATTGGAACCTACCTGAGTGACCCGATGTGCTAATTTAAATATTTTAATAACTTTTTAGCTCCTATTGCAATTAATGTATATCTAAATGCACAACTATTTTTCATATGACTTCTATTTTACGAGTGAGGTTAATGAATTGGGTATGATAGGTAATAAATTCGCGTAAATATATTACAAATAGGTACATGAATTTACTTATATACATAGTAAAACTTCTATTCTATTGACTATCGCAGATTTGTTGGACCCCGATTGTACTGATACCGTACATATGAATACTGTATGTATTTTACTCGATAAACTGGCATACGTGCATTCCTATAAAGCCCAAAAGACCATTTAGCCTATTTTCCACCTCTGAGAAAAAGTGAGAATGATGCTCCCAAGCTCGCTAGTTAAGTATGCATGTTAAGTTAAGAATTAAGATGAGATAAGGACTAGCCTAAGAATTATTAATCCTTAATCCAATTAGTAATGCGTTCATCCTAAAGGTACGTTTCACTCGTTAACAACTTGCAGCAATGTTGTAGCTTAACTATGGCGCAAGTTACCAAGAAGTAAAATATATATAATCTGAGCTCTGATAACAATGATAAAAAAAAGTTTCATTATGTTTTTCAATGAATAATAATCACACTTGACACACAATTTAACCACTTCCTTACTCTTTTATTGTCCATTTCGAAATTGGTGGCGGTGGTTGTCCATACGTCACCTTAATAATTTTGTTTCCATAATCTGTACTAACGAGGAGATGCCCCTTCGTATCAAATGCGAGTCCAACAGGTCTAAAGCAGTCGGGCACACAAGCATTGTTACTATCCAAATGTTCCTCATACACAATCGTCTCATCAATCTGGCCTGTTGGCATCATCGTCAATGTGTTGAAGCGAATAAGCCCCACCCGATTTCCTAGAGGCGTTGGTTGTCCTAGGAACGAGCCTGAATGGAAAGTCGCAAAGACGGAGTAAATCATGGAACATGGAAATGCCCCTGATATTCCACAGTTTACACGATCCTGATAAAACTTGAGCTCAAGGGGAGCCGTGTGTGCTGGTAAGGCCAGAGCAGGTGGGCGATTCTATACACAATCAAAATTAATTAATCGACACAATTTTCACCTAAATCAACAATTAAAAATAATTATACAATAATTATATGTACATTTGTCACGTTTCCACACCAAGCGTCATTATAAACAGAATCGTTATCCAGAAACGGGTCAAAAAGAAGCTGCGTGTTGGGCGTCCAACCCGGCAAGTCGTATGTACTGAAGCAATGTGGATAACCGTAATGACTTCCGACCTCTCCGTCAAACAAGTTAAGCTCTTCGGCTGGATTGCCGATCCATGTGTTATTTCCCAAATCTGTCCGATTTAACAAGTTTGCACTATTTTCTACTCCCCAAAGTCGATTTAAGGGGTCAAACGTAAGCCCAACCTCATTTCTGGCACCGGTCGCAAATATCTGCGCAAATTCCAAATAACATTGCATGTGATACGTGTACTTCAAATTACTTAAAAAATTATTAAAAAATTATTACCTCACCGTCCTGATAATTGATTGGAACTTGAGATAAATTCGAAAATCTTTTAATAACCGCGCGGTCAGGGACGAAACCATCGTCGAGGTCAGTACCTGACCCGATTGAGACGTAAAGTCGGCCTTCTGCGTCAAAAACCATGGTTCTCGTGAAATGAGCGACCCCTGGAATTCCCTCTCCAGGTATTCCACCCACAACGACAACCCCATCGTCGAACTGGAGAGGAACCCTGGCTCCTGGAGTGTACGGCCACCGCAAGATGTGAGTAGAGTTTGAAACGTAAAGCAACCCAGAGTGGTAAGCGATACCGTGACCGAATTTGGAATTGGGTGCATCTAATAGGAGAAGTTGGACGACTTCGACACTTCCATTATTCGGGATTTCGTAGAGGAGGAATATTTTGCTCGTTTGATCTCTCGTGGAAACAATTATGTCGCCAAATGGGTCAACTTCCAGTTGGCGAGGGAGAGGAATCGTGTCGCCTACGTATGTTTGTGCATAGAACGGTGGGTCCGCAACAAACCCAGCAATAGAATATGTGATACATAGGAAAAATAATGGAAAGGGAACAAGTCCCTTGAAAGTGGGAATATTTAGGAATAAATTCATTCTTAGACTCTGGAATTCGACTGTGGTCCAAATGTTGGGCCAACCTTATATTTAATTTGTTAATAATTTTGCACACGACATTGCCTTTGTGATTTTGAAATACAAGGTCAATTGGTCCTTCATGCTGCTAAAACTATACAATTGTTATCTTCCATGCGAAAGGAATGTACCCAGGTGTCTGATAATTGTGCATGTGTGTAAGATGTGATTAATGACTAATTAATCCTTCGGTCAGTCTGTTTACATAATGTAAATTTAGTGCAATAATCACGAACTCATTTCATGAATGCATCGTCTATGCTACATATATGTATGTTTACTTTACTTTAATAGCATGTACGTATGTACATACAGCTCGTTGATATCAATAAATGCACTCCTTATCACTTGAAGCAATAATTCAAATTAGTCAAAATTATTGACAAATTGTTTGACATTATTGTCATTATTTCATGGTACTCTGCATCAAAATTTTCGACAGTCGAATTTAGAGCTATCAGTTTATCATTTTGGTTGGACTGGGGTTCATGCAAAGAACAAAGAACAAACTTCGCAGTAACTGCATGTACAGTTTTATGCAGTTTTATCACGTGATCCCGATGTGCACCACAAGTACGGATTTCATGCTGGGCTATTTTCTTTTCAAACAATTTCAAACCAGAACATTGGATATTTTTGTTTGCATAATACATATGTGTCCAGGCTAGGGGTTCCAGTCCCGGGATTTTTCGGGATTTTATTCCCGGGAATTCCCGGGAAACGGGATCCCGAAATCCCGGGATTTGAAGAACTGAAATCCCGGGATTTCGGGATTTTTCAATTTGTCAATCAGAAGTGAAATTGCTTATAATTTACAATTTTAATAGTAGTTTTATATAATTTTCGGTTATATGATTGGTAAGAAAAAGTTTCGATGAGCATAACCAGTCAAAATTGATCCTGAACTCGAAAATTTAAATTTGAAACAATATTGATAGCCATATTTTTCGCACATTGATCTAAATTTTGTATTTAATTCGTAAGCAAAATTTTTAATACAAGATGGAACTTAAAATTTTCTAACTTCGATGACAGATTTTAACTTGAGGCAACAAGAACACTTTATTTCCGGTATAATTATGGAATCTGAAATCAGTTATGCCAAAAAATACTAACACGTTAGAAGTGATTTCGAATTTTAGTCGATGAATTTAAGGCTGAATGAAAGGCTTTTTGAAGGTAGTTCGTATATTTGAGCTTGAAATTTTTAAATTGCCAAATCCCATGTCCAATTGTAGTTTGTGAATAATGGTTCACAATTTACTATTCACGAACGTAAGTTTGTGCATTTCTGGTTAACATGCTAGCGAATCCTTGATTAATTATTTATGTTTTCTGGAATGAAATTATCAAACTTTTTCTCTCAAAAAAAGACGAAAATTGAGCTATCACAATACATCGAAATTGTACATTTACTATGGCAGGCAAAACACTATAATCGCTAATTTGTATTGCTATCCTATATGCATTTTGTATAGGCCAGAAAGTAGCATACTTTATAATACTTATGCATGCACAAATCTCTAAAACACATCATTAGGTATGTAAATAAGTATTATAAATGAGTAAGAATTATAGGACTCGACAAAGACATCCAACGAGTATTTCAAAAGTGAAATTAAACTATTTTATTATGTTCACCTTATAAAAAGAAAAAAATTGCAAAATATTTTAGGCGCCAAAATTTTCCCTGGGGAGTTATGAGACTTTTGGGATTTTAAAGTGATGGCATAGGGAACAACTTATTTCTGGAACGGGTTGATGGAATTGCATAAAATTTTTCTCCTACACTCTTTGGATCAATACCTTGGTGCGTTCTTCGAATTGAGTCGAAATTCCAACTTTAAAGCCAAAAATTTTAATTTCGAAAAATTGGTTTTTAGTTGTGACGCAAAAAGTATGGCGAAATGTTCGTCGATTGGATTTACCCCAATTTTTGATATGTTGCAGATCTTTGGTAGTAGATTAATAGTTCAATTACCCTAAACGTCGAAATCGACATGCGTGACCTTTTTCCGGGGGTCGAAAGGTCGCGATGTCAAAGGTCGCCGACCTTAATAAATGGGATATCGTTGGAAAGGTCTTGACGAGAGGATTCCGAAAATTTATACTTTGTGGGGTCTGGGACCACCCCCTGCAAAGCTAGAGCCAGGAGAATATTTTTGAGTTTTTCCCATTCGGGCTTCCGTGTTAGCTCCCTATCCACTGCTATGTTAAATTCTGGACAACTGCATATTTTCGTTCTTTGCCCTCTAGACTTGCATAGGGTCATCCCAGACCCCACAAAGTATATATAATCCTCTCGGAAAATTTTGGCGCCTAAAATATTTTGCAATTTTTTTTCTTTTTATAAGGTGAACATAATAAAATAGTTTAATTTCACTTTTGAAATACTCGTTGGATATGTCTTTGTCGAGTCCTATAATTCTTACTCAAATATGCTCAGGCCAGGTACTTTTTATAGCCATGTACCTTTTTTTCCACCAAAATTGACTAATTTCAAGTTATATGGTAAGATTTGAATTTCGGGAAAAAATCCCGGGATTTGTCACGGCTAAAACCGGGATTTCCGATTCCCGGGATTTAAAAAATCGTCTGGGATTGGAATCCCTAGTCCAGGCATGACGGGGATGACACCATAAAATAAATTGAGTCCCGTTCGAATCGCTATAAATTCTTCAGGAAAAATCAAATACCAAAATTATCAGCTATAAATACAGCCTATGGTTATGGTGGAGGACCAATTTTAAAAAGGCAAAGTATTTTTTATTATTAACTATAGAACAATAATTCATGCAAATATTATTGAGTGACTTTGTCCTGTAAACAGCACCGGCATTTTTATCAGGGTGATATCAACTCTGATTGATTAAATACGTACGTAATTCTTCACAATAATTTTATTCGCTCTTCAACAATTTCATCGAAACAACGTTTTGCATATATATATAACATATAACAAGGCAACATGGCTCACATATTTAGCGATTCGCTCATTCATTCAGTTTTTTACACGTTCATTCCACTGTAGTAGCAAAAAGTAAAAGCATTTATACGATGTTTACTTCGGCATGCAATGCAACGTTTTTCTCTTTCCACGAAATCTCATATTTGCGAACTTCCCTCAGCTGGGTGAGTCAGTCATGGATTTCACTGTCGTTTATCTTTTTTGCTGCTGTCCGGTCGTCGACAATTCAGATTTCATGTAAACCAGGCAAGGATTTCGTCAGGTGTCACAGTATAACACCGCAGGTCAGCTTGGTTAGACCAATTTTTAGTTTAGCTGAAGGGAAAAGACATAAAATAGCTATTTGCTTTTTCAGCATTTGTGCAATGTAGATTTTTTGTTTACAATTCTATCCCATTAATTACAAATTAATAGACGAGATGGAACGGAAATCCATTCGCCAAAGGAATCAAGCCTGTGACGGGGCCTTGGCGATTTTGAGGGGGACGATCTGTTCGGGTGGGTGTGGGAATGGTGGGTGTTGGTGTCCAGATCTCACTCTCGACTGGAAACGAGAAGCTGTAATTCTTAATAATGCTGGTCAAAAGGTTAGTTAAATAAATTTAATTGGTCGACATAATTTGCATGAGCATTTTTTAAGTATGTATGTAAATAATTCTGTAGTATACAATCGGGTCTGGGAAAAATTTGGACAGCCTGGATCCGGCAAAATATGGACAGTTTTTAATATTTCGAAACAATGCAGACATAGCCAAGGAGCAATGCCAAATTGAATGTGATAGAAGTGGAACCTTTTGGTTGCATAGTTTAGTAAGTTTAATTGAATAACAGTTAATTAAAAGTCTGCATTAAATTCAAATACATTATCGTTTCATCAATTTAAACAGGGATACTCAGAGACGTTTGTGAATGGGAAATTAATGCAAGATTCCCCCGTCAAGTTAAAATTTGGAGATATATTTTATTTTTCGCATATTTTTTCGCAATTCTGGGACCCCCACCTGGCCAAGACTAATATTGGGAAGCTGTATCGACAAAGCCCCGCAGGCAAAAACTTTGCCGTATTCAAATTTAAGGTGAGTTAAGTAAGAAATATGATCTAGATAAGAAAGGAGAATTAAGTTTTCAATAATAACTCGAAATTTTATCCTCTCATGCAGAGACTGATGCATAAAGGAGGAGTAAAGCGGAAACTAGTGAATAATAAGACGACTTATGAAACAAATAAGGGAGACAAATCAGAGACTTATTCCGAGGATTTTCATAAATCATCAATTGATCCCGCGAAGCACCCAGTTTTTGACAACAATATCATACTGACAAAGATATGTGAGCACCTCGTCGAGTCAGACATAGGAGATCTCTTTAACTGTCGCCTTGTCTCACAAACATGGAATCGCTCGGCTCGACTCGTATTACAGAAAAATTACGTTATGAAGTTCAGCATAATTATTGACAATTTGATCATGGACCCAAACTACCTCGCGAATCGACTTCATTGGAAGACTTATCGAATGAAGGAGTTGAAATTTGACGCCATGAAGATTGATATCTGGCCGCAGTCATATAATTACCAAACGAGAGATAGCGAAGACCGAGACAAAGCAATGATAAGATTTAACCAAGATTTCTGTGCATTTATAAATCAACCAGATTTCCACCCACTCAAAGTGCTCCACATGAATATTGACTATTTGACCCCCATCTCCACACTCCTCTCCAAATCTTGCTCTTCTCTGGAAGAAATCTACATCCAGATTAACATGCTTTGGATCAACGATGAAAATAAGTTGGATGAACCTGGATTCCAAGAAGGTCTAATGTTTCCAAAATTGAAAAAGCTAACGCTCGAGTTCTCCGAGCATGAACAAGGTGACATGGAAAAAATGTCGGAATCAAAATCTCTTGTCATTTTCCTCAAAGGTGCGACGGGAATTGAGGAGCTCATCCTACGCAATTATGCCAAACTTCCCTGCGAGTTTAATTCCTTTAAGAATCTGAGAAAAATAACGCTTCACGGTCGGTGCGAATACAGTGTGGAAACGTTAAATTTACGTGACTTTCTAACCCAGTTCAGGAGCTTACCTGAAGGTCAACTACGGTCATTCAAACTAGTCATGTGTGAGATTAATGTCCAAGGAACCCAGGTAGAAATAGAGAAAAGCTTGCTACATTTCCTTCAAAACCAGCAGCAAAGTTTGGAAAACTTGGACATCTTCTTAACATCATCACATCATAGTCAACCCTTAAAACTGCCGAGGTGCATGCCAAAGTTGAAGAAGTTATGGATAAGTGCCGATATTGACTGGACGGGATCGTTATGGGGGGTTAAATTAGGTAGCCAGGTGACCAAGAAGAGTGGGGGTTTCACACCTGACTTTAATTCAGGAATGTTGCCCATGGTGGTTCGCGACAGAAATAAATGCAGTCAAGAATCCTGTCCCGGCTGTAATGATACTCTAGCTTATGGAAGATGGTATAAAACTGAGGGACAATTTGAGTGCTATATCCCAAACGTGGAAAATATTTGGGCTTGGATGCAATGAATTTGTTGTATGATTTTGTTACATGAAAATAAATATTTAGTATTTATGCGCAATCTTTTGTTCGTCCTGCTCATAATTTTTCTGATAATTTATCATCCTATTTTAATTAAAAAACGGCAAAATTGAACTCAGTCAGTACATGTTTACTAGGATTCCAGAAGTAAATATGTATTACGCAAGTTTCATACATGCAATAAGAAATCATTGACATTGTTACTGGTCTGAGAAGTTATAGAACTTATGCATATTTAAATACCAGTTCTTTCACCTTTCCATTTTACACACCTTTTACGTGATTCCATCTTCATGGTTAAACTTCTTCTCCACAAGGACAAACCAAAAAGGAGTAATAAATAAAAATAACATAGTAACCATTTCTTGGTAACCATATATTTGTTAACATTTTCCTCAGTAACTATTTTACCTGGAACTGGACTGGTACTGGTACTATAAAAACTAATCATTTTCTTAGTGAGTGTATTAAAGTGCATGCAAACGACAAGGGTATAATTTCAGGCCAGTTTATCCCAACTTCAAATCAGAAAATAGTATTTATTTTTAACATTATTTTTTTGACAAGTGCAACGAACTATTGAATATAACATTTCAGTAACGAATGCAAGTCTCTGCAATGTCTAAAAATTGTCACAAATTGGAAATATGGACATCAATTCTAATTGTCTGTCTCGTATCCTCGGTAAAAAGCAGCAAACCTAATCAAGATCCAGAGAATGGCTGCAAACTTCACAGCTACGATAAAATAACTTGCACTGGAAACTTCAACTTTTCAATCTTTTCGGAAGCAGAATTTAAAATCAAGGTCTTGGACAGGTACAAGTTGGAAATTTTTAACACTTCGCTGAAAACAGTTGATGAAAGTACGTTCCGAGGAAATGGAAACATTTTAAATTATTATACAATTTTAGTACAAAATGCTACCCAATTAAATTCCATCCATCCCAACTCGTTCGCCAGCTCGAAGCATATTTTATCAGAATTCCGTGCAATTGACACCGCCCTTCCCAGAAATTTTGGTGATGATGAGTTTGTCTTGTTCACAAATTTGCAACAAGTTTACGTCGGGGACGAGACTCGTTGCCCAGAAGATGACACGATATTGCTTCCTTGCACGTGCAGATTTGGGGATTTAGGACGAACAGTGCTCTCCGGACTGTATGGAACAACTTCGTCATTAAGCGATGGTGTAGGAAAAACAACGGCAATTCGATGTGATTCCGACCTCATCACAGGGACAGAATTGTCAGAAATATTTTCAAAAATTTCAAAGTCAAACCACACCCCCAAATATTTTGACTCCATCACCATCCGAAATTCAAACATCACTTCACTTCCGTCCCACCTTTTTCAGAACGTGACATTTGGTCGTGTCAAGTTGTACGAGGTCCAAAACTTAAAACAACTTCACCCTTCAGTGTTTCATGGGCAGGAAGGGATTCAAGCTTTGGAAATTGAAAAGGCAAACTTTACCGGAGCTAGTGAATCCACAACACTTGATATTTTCAAGGCGCTCAAATCTCTCAAAAATGTACGGAAAATGCGCTTATCCAACTGCGGCATTCCGTTTATTCCTGCCAACACGGACAATTCGACAAGCTGTACGAAATTAAGGATTTTGAGCATTTCCTTTGATCGGAGAGAACACAAGAGTGGGGTTTCACACGTAGGAAGCTATGCATTCTCATGGGCACCGAATCTCATGCAGTTGGGCCTTACTAAAAATTACATCAGCTCCTTCAAATCGTTCTCTTTTGGTTTCCACGTTCCATCAGAAAATGGGCTTGCAGTTGACATTAGTGGAAACCCCTTTAATGACTCGGATGGACTTGAACCAAACGCATTTTCTGGGTCGAAGAGACAAATTTCTATTAAATTTGAAATCGATTCCTTCGCCGCGTCCGACCCTGCGAACGATCCAGTCTTAAATTATCTCCCTGAAAACGTATTTCGTCCCTTTTTGGAGGAAAATGTGAACAACACTTACAGCGTTGATTATTATAATGTCGACATTTATTGTGACTGTCGTAGTGCGTGGATGTTTGAGATGACTTCGGGCCTACTGAAAAGTAGGGTCAAGGCCGGATTGCGCATTACGAGAGTTCAAGGAAATTTGGTTGATGGTGAATATTCTTCCATCCAATGCAAGTCACAAAGTTCGTTCGAGTGTTTCCCAAATTGTGTGATATATCCGGATTACCAGCTCTTGCATTGTGGTAGATTTCAAGATGGATTTAAAATTGAGGAATTTATACACGGACAGGAATCCTATAACATTTCTAAATTGTTGATTTCTGCCAAAAATGTTACTACTTTGGGATACGATTCGATTGGGAATGTGTCTTTCAATGAGATCAGTTTAACAGGTAAAATTTGACATTTTCATTTTTCAAATTTAATTTTTTCCATCTACATAATTCTCGTTGTTCTTATTTCATAAAGATTGTCCTCAACTGGAATTTATTCATCCCACTACCTTCGTCTCATCCGATGCATCACTGAAGAGCTTTACAGCAACCAACACCAATTTACAAAATTTCCCAAACTTTGCTAATTTCCATTACCTTTCTTTTGTTCGCTTAGCTACAGGTTTCTCTGTTAATTCCTCCAATTTTGATTATAGTACTAGTGAAAAAGGTCACAAGGTTGGACAAGATTTGACGATTTCTCTTGGCACAGGAAAAATTCATCCTGACTCGTTCACAAAACTAAATCCCAAGCAAAATGTTACCCTGATCATCACAGACCAGACAGAGGAGTACAGTACAATTGGTGAGATTGTCAGATGCACCCCATCCAATTTAGAACTTGAATCGGCAATTTTTAAACCATTTTTGAATATGAATCCTGGAAACCGTATTACGTCGAAATGTTACATTGAATGTTCTTGCAAAGTCAAATGGATGTCCGATGAGTGGGATGTGATTAAAGAACAAGTCCAAATCTGGCTATCGGAATATGTTGGACCTATGTTTTACTGTGTCCGACCCGGTGCAAATATCACTGCAAATCCTGACACGTTTTTTGGGTTTAATTCAAAAGAGTTTGTGCAGGAAAAATATTTTAAGGAAAATTGTTAAATATTGTTGAAATTGGATTTTAAATTTTTGTATTTATTCCCAAATTTCAATGCATCGTATCATGGTTCAGACTGCCCATTAAAACGTTCTCATGAGAGCAAAAATTACTTTTTGACCATTTTAACTGGAGCACCAGTTTTGATAAGTATCTAAAACCTTGAAAAATGCAATTTCATATGGACTTTGCATGTAAAAAATTGAAATAAAAAAAGTGATTGGCTAACAAATGAGGGACTCTTTCTTTCATGAACATTTTAAACTGTGTGGCGTATTGAAACTACATATGTATGTATGAATTAGTGCACCAAGGTGTTTTTTCACCGCATGTTTTTTTTGAAAAATTTCCAATTGAAAAAAATTCTAAATTTTAAATTGTAGATATATCTATGTACTTTTGTGTACCTACATACATAGAATAAATACCTTAAAACTGAACCTTAGATAGTTTATTTTTCACATTATTCACATGTTCATTCATAACTCATTATTCAATTGAAAAGTTTGTCATTGTATTATTCCAATCATAACTAATAAATACATATGTAATAACAAAGTTCTTCTATTAACATTTACCAATATTCTAATTCATTGAGCAAGTATGTACATACATCACAAAGTATTTTCACGATGAATGAAAAGAGACCGATCTCAATTCAATGAACACAGTGATACGATTTTTATTTATTATACATAATGTTATTGTAGCCGAAACTGGTAAGTTTCATTATTGTCCGTTCACTTCAGTCAAATCCTTTTGTATTTATAGCAATACAATTTATTGCTGTCAAAAGAATAATAGATCCGCCCTACCAATTTATCTAATACCAATTGGCAGAAATATTGAGTGCGCCACTACTCTTCAGTATTCTTCACTAAACAAGGTTGCTTACGAAAAAATTATCTATTTTAAGTAACCCAGACAGAGTTTGTTAAATTGTGTCCTATGAAATCAAGCCCGATATCCGTACTATGCAAGCTTCAGTTCTACAATAATACTCGCAATTTGATTTTCTAAAAATAATCGATCCAAACCAAAAAAAATGTTGTTACTTTTGTTGCACGTGTCCATATATTTTAATTGTTTCCATCAAATTTCAACAACATACCTTCATCTTAATCAATCTGAAAATCTTAGACTGGAAAAGTTTGCAAAATTCCTGTCGAAATTTCCAGCTTTCAAAACAGTGCATTTATCCATGCGACCAAATACTTTGACATCGTTGGACACTGTAGACATTACCATTAACGCTTTATACCAAAGAAACCTACACTCTGCCATCAGCTTCATGAACGATAACGATACAAATTTCTACAATGGAAAAAATGGTCATTTCTATCTGCATCACATGGACCAAAGTTCTCCGAATGTGTTCATCGTCTTTTACAACGATTTGTCAATAACCTTTCTTAATTTAGTAGAGCAGAACTATTTTCATACAGCGACAGATATTCTCATCATAGCGGAAACACAACCATCTAATATTAATATTACCCAGTTTGATAACCGATACCCAAATTTTTTACCACGACACGCATTCCAATTCAGCTTCCTAGATTCTTCTGTCTTCATACTAAACCCATTTCAGTCTCACGTCGAAATCGAAAATTTCACTCCAATCGATATAAAACTAAAATGGAAAAGAATCAGCGACATCTCACAAATCGAAACTTACAAGATATCCACCTTGTTAAAAAGTTTCGCATTGGCGTTCGTGTCCATCAACGGGTTAAATTACGCCGCAATTCCGAATGGAAGACTTTCCTGTGTAAAGAGAGAGACATTGTCGCCATGGATTTACAAAATGGATGCCCTCCTCCTGTGTGAATTGCTGAACCGATTAAATATTTCCGGTAGAATATTTAAGTCTTATAAATATCCATCCTTTAGTTACGGCGCATTAAGTAAATCGTTCACACCGCTGGACCTCTTTGCTACCGGACATAACGTAGAGATTAAATTTATTGTACCTGTGGAACTGCATGGCTTAGTCGATTTTAGGGGAATGCTAGGCCCAATCAGCATTTCAGTGATGGTGTGGACATTGACCTTTGCGGTGGGGTTGATTACCTTTCTTTACGTCAGTGTGACCAAGTTCGGGTTGAAGATCAAGTGGACAAACAGTTTATCCGTCTCGGTAGAATTGGTAATTCGTCCCGTGTTAGACCAGTGTTTGGAGAGCTTTCCGATTGACGATGCGTTTTTGCGGATTGTACTCTCTCCATGGTTATTTTATTGTTTAATTATTTCTGAAACGTATCGTGGCGAGCTGGTCAGCTATTTGATGCATCCACCAACTGTGGAAGCACCGTCAAGTTTTCAGTAAATATTTATTTAAAATGTCGAAAACAATTAAAGTGGTTCCTAATAGATATTTATTATCTATAGGGAGCTTGGATCCTCCAATCTGGCTGTATTCACACCTGGTTCAAAGTTACGAAAGGACCATAAAGTTAATGTCTCTATCTTCACAATTCACAATGTAAAACAGAATTGCTCTTTCCGCTTATTGAATTCTGGGACGTATGAAGCGTTGGAGAAAGAAGCGTCGCATACAAACGACGCATTTTACGTGTCGATTGTGTCCCGACTGATATCGTGCGACGGATCGGGGTTCGAAAGAAATTTAAGCTCTCAAATAGCTAGACTCGTATTTAAGAATGACGTCTTAATTACTCGAGCCGACGATTTGGAAACGATTGTTAGCGTCGCAGCACTCGCAACGGCGGGACGGAAGGAATTTAGAACGTCGGAAGAAACATTGGTGCACCCTGTGTACATTGGGGTGGCGGATGACGTATTTAGTCCGGAGGTGTGGCATATTCTGAGCTATTTTAGAGACGCAGGAATATTTCAATATTTCCTTGATGCGGGACGTGGTGCGGAGTTTATTCGGTTTTGGGGGAACCAGAAATCGAAAAAAGAAATGAATGGGGGTGGGACTAAAGAGGATCTTAAAATGTTGGGTGTAGATTTTGAAAACGCTGGTGGTGGGCCGATCAAGCTGAAGATGCGGCATATTGGAGGAATATTATCACTTTGTCTCATTCTGGAACTGTTGGGGGGTTTGGTATGCTTGGGGGAATTATGGCAAGGAGTTAGGATGATGGACAGACACATAAATCGTGACAAATTTGAAATAAAATCTGGATTCTTTGCAGTCGTGCAGTAAATTCAGCAGATAAAAAACAATCTGGTTATTTGTAGTACTTGCATCCTGGATAGTGGATGCGCAGATAATATTTAAATTATAAAATCTTGAATACATAGTACACACAGCACTAATTATCTTGTACATACGCATTTATATCCTGCCTACTAATTACTTCTTTGATTCAAAGTAAGCATATCCTTGTTTAATAATTTGGTGTTTATGTATTTAGTACATTACAGAATTATGTATTTTTCCAAGAAAAATATTGTAAGGGAAGTATCAGGAAGTAAGCAATTATCCCGACGTCATGCACATACATAATTTCATCTATAAAATTATTAGTTCAGGTGCATGTACAAAACCTCAAGTTTCAGATCCTCAGTCGGTGTCATTCCAGCAGTATTTAAAAACAGTCTTCTCTATTTGAAACTTTATTTTTCGATCTGTGAATACATTTAAATAAGAATTATAGGAAGGATGAGCTCTTTTGCTTTCGTAAGTCGTCAAAATCAGAGATAGAAAATAAATAAGAACAAAGAAATCTTTATGCAAACTTTTTCCAAAATTACAGGGATTTTTGGTGGTTCTTGCTGTGTCGACATTAGCATCAACCATAACCAACAATAACAACAACGGATATCCAGGACATGGTTCCATCACAAACAATAATAACGGTTATCCTGGGTCAGGATCAGTTAATAACAACAATAATAATAATTACTACCCTGACCATGCTGACTCTAACTTCACAACGGCTCGACCATCGTCATTTCCAAATAACAAATGTCCCTATGGCCAAATTACTAACAAGGAGAATGGCGTCGTCGTGGAAATCATTTGCCTTCGTAAGTTCGTTTTTCCTATTATACATATGTAAATAGTTACAAATTAAACATCAAATTTCTGTCATTTACAGCCGAAGGTTACCCATCTGTGACAAACAACAATAACAACAACTAATGTAAGATGAGACATATAACCAACCATGGGTCGTATGGTAATTAAGACAACACAATTCAGTCACATTATTTATAACGAATAATTCAATTTAAATCTCTGAAATAAAATTAAATAAAGGCTTTAAATTTAAATAAAAACTTACTTTCCCAGCAAGTTATCTTTGATATGAGTAATTTTAGGTGTTTAATTAATAATGATCAAGATTTTACTAAAGTTTTACGTAAGAAATGATTTCTTTCATTTTTTTCATTCTATTGTTCTCTTGCATGCTAATTTCTATAAATACAACCAAGTAATAAGTAGATCAACACTGGATTGCCAAATTAAAATTGTCGACATTCTATCGAAAAACTTGCCTCCTCCATTACACAGCTTCAATGGGGGACACGACTTTGAAAACCTCTTCAACCACGCGTTAAACCTCCATCTCGTCCCGTGCCTCATAAAGTGTAACAACTTCCTAGATTTTATGTAAGGCCGTGACATTATTTTAAAAACGATATAAATCACAATCACTATATCGAATGCGATAATGATGAAAAGGATTATGACAAAAATTGTTAAACGCTTCACTGAAGTGAGGAGAATGTAGAGTGCAACACTTTCTGCTTGGATAATGCCCCCAACGCAGATGGTCATTCCTCCATTTCGCCAAACACTATTTTGCAACCAGATCAATAATTGTATTGTGCGGTATCCACGCACAGAAAGGACGCCTTTTGTTTTCAAGTGTCTGCAATTTTCAAATGTGCACACAAGTTAAAATCATGACAATTGCATACGTAATTATTTTCTGCTCACGTCTCCAAAGTGTTAATTAGAAGTAAAGCGACTTCCCCAGGATACAGCAGTACGACGAACATCCCTTCCGCAATTATTCCAAGATTAACTTTCCACGTGTACGCTTCCAGAATTGCGACCACTATTCGACACAAAATCCCGATGTCTGAGTCGGCATGCCATGAGTTGCAATTGAGCATGCTACTCGCCAAGGGAGGCATGCAGGGTCGTACAAGTGCCATGAAAGACAAGGTCAAGGGAACCCCGATTTCGGTTAATATGGCCAGAATTCCAATGTATACAAAGTACCGGTGAACATAGCCTGCACATACCAAAGTTGTCGGCAAAATGGTATTTACTTATTAAGTTGAATAAAAATCTCACGCAATTCATAGTAATTTAAAACTTTACCTGTTTGCTTACAATCCATTTCAAGTTGTATCAAAGAATTCAACAAATACACAGCTTTTTCGCCTACAAAGTTGAAATATATCATGCAGAAAATTGCAATGGCAAATGTCATTAGGAAATACAGCATCATGACGGCTTTCCAATTTTCCATGGGATATGAAGAGGTTTTTGTGAGCAACAAATTTGTGCGAAACCAGTTCAACGTTAGAATGAAATGAGTTAAAATTGTTAACAGACCGAAATATTGTTTAAAATTGTTGGGATAAGTTTCAAATTTCGAGTTGAAAATTAAAGGGAATGGATTCATCCACAGGCTCAATTTTGAGAAAACTACGATAATTTGGATGTTGCAAGGAGACGATGGGAGATTTCGAAGTTCTCAAAAGAGGATACACAATTGAAAAATGATTATCTTTAGTTTTATAATGACGGTATAAATGGCGACTATTATAGGTTTAAACAAGCCCATTTTCGTATGATTGTACCGTTAAGGACGGTATTTATAACATGTTCAATATTTTTGTTTGTCGTGAGAGCCGGAATATATGTAAAATTTACAGAGAATTAATTCATTTTTCAAGCCCAATTAAATGCTAACATTAGTTGTCCATTTAACTTGATAATATTTATCGTTTTATTTAAAGAAATGAGAAAAAATTAATCTAAACTAGTATTGATCCACGCATGTATGGTAAGGACCTGTGCTAAAAAACTTCCTTGCTAGAAATTAGAGGTAAATTTCAGGAAGTCTATGCTCACACACAGTATATTTAATAGTACTTACATTAAACGGAATATGACATTGTTCATAAGCTTTGTTTAAAAGAAGTTGAGCTTAAATCAATTATTATGGAGGTCGGGTGGAAAGTATGTATTTGATTAAAACGCATGGTAACGATAAGCTATATCCACGTCCATGCCAATGCATGCATATTTATGACAAAATCGAGTACCATTATTACTAGGAAACAATTGTCAATTGTAGAAAGGTCAAGTGACTTCAGTTTTGCTGTTAAAATTGGAATTGGAAATCTTATGAAAATCTTAGGCAGGATTAAATCTCATTGATTTAACGGTATATACATACATACGTATGAAAATTTGCTGATATATTTTTATTCATGCCAGCAGTGCTAGTCTCTATAAATTCTGTATATATGAAATGCATATTATGCATAACCTCAAACTCATTTATTCCCCAATTCCCTCATTCCCATAGATATTCTTATTTGAGGATTTAATAGATCTGCACAGCTCCAGATTTTCAAGACTTTACAGAATTGTGAATATATTTATGAAACGGATGTAGATAATCCTGTGATTATAGAAGGATCGACTATGTCAGGGTAAAGAAAGTACATATGTAGTAAAGATATTTATGGGAGAAAGGTGTAATTCTTTGGTAAAAAATTTGTCTAACAAAATCTATGAATGATGGCTACACACTAATTCAATTGCTTTAGCCTTACTGCGACCTGTTTTATTTGAATACTCTGTTTTTTTATGAAAGTATGCATGTGCATGCATTTTATAATCACAATTTTATGATACTTATTGCATTATATAAATCACAAATTCGTCTTATTTCGGTAACTACTTAATTCACTCAAAGTCCTGATCGATCCCTTAGTCGTTGGAAAAATGTCCTTTGATCAGCATTATTTTTAAATATGATCCAATCACGCTTCTCCTTTTTGCTACGTGGTCCCCAATCATGTTTTGGTTTTGTGGCTTCAATTATTTTCTACGAAATTCAAGAGCCCAAGATTACAAAAAAAAAATCTGCATGAATTATGCTTTAAAGTTGGGCAATTTACATCCGTAATGGTAGCTCCTTTAGACCTCAAAACAGCAAATGTAGCACCGATTGGTATCGTTATTAAGGCTGTCGTGGCAATTAACCATCCAAATACTACACAAAATTGGAGTTTAACAATTTATTTACAAAATTATAAATAGCAGAAGGCCTTATATCTCTATTACCGATAGCAATTGTTGGATATGGCATATCATTGTGGGTAAGATTTCCCTCTGCAAAAACGAATGAATGAATTATTAATTACCATTATATTAATTACTTTGGTCCATCAGTTTTGCAGATTTTTTTCATACCCTTAATCAGTGAATATAATAAAATAACTGTTAGGAAAATAGGGATTAGAATCCCCCAGCAAATTTTCCAATAATAACTCAATCGTTTCCCCGTCATGAATTCCATATCGTTGATAAAATTGTATAACCCATAGCACCAGGCGACTCCTATAACTTCCAATGTTGACATTACATAAATTACAAATCCGCCACCAAAAAAGTCCACCAAATCTGTCATCCATTGTCCGCCCTGTAAAAATTGATAAACTTAAAAAAGTCCACTTTCACCATGACTTTCTCCTGTTCTCACCGGTGTCACATAAATGAGCCCAACGCTGGCCCCGAAAACACAAATGGCTCCAGTGACATGCCACCTTTTGATATTTGGGTATCTGTCACAGAAAATGGATGCAATTGCTCCAGCATCTGCGGTAGCACTTCCGACGCCAAGGGTGAAAAGCATCACTGTGTAATTATGTAAATCATTAATTAAAGTTAAACGAAAATTACGGAATATTAAATATGATGTAAAGTACGTACTAAAAAATAGGACAGCTAGCAATTGTGGTACCCAGTCCATTTTAGCAATAGCATCTGGGTACGCGACAAATGCAAGGCTTGTTCCACCTGGAGGAATCCATTATTAATTGCATACATAAAATTTCGTCGTAGTAATTTACCCTGCACGACATCATCAATGCTTTCTGCTCCCAATTCGTATTTCAAATTGCCCAAAATAGCGAATGTGATAATACCAGCCAATATACTGGTGAAAGTGTCCATTAAACTGACTACGATGGAGTCTCTATATATTTTATATGCAGTAAAATATTTGCATTTTATATATTGCTCATTAGTTGTAAGAAATTAACCGAGTAACTTTATACCTGTAAATATTATGCCTAAATGGATTATAGCTAGCGAACATAATGATGGATCCGGTACCAGTATTTAAAGAAAAGAAGCACTGAGTCACCGCTGCATATTTTAAATGAACAATTAAGAAGATAATGCCAATTAATTCATAAGCATGTCAACAATACCTGCGTACCACACCTACGAATCAAAATAATCAATATTAGTTTAACGTTATCATTAGCTTATCATTTTAATTTATGAGTCATACCGCTGGTTCTAATAATTTTGACCAGTCAGGCTTGAAAAATGCCTCAATTCCATCTCCAGCACCAGGTAAAGTCACGCCCCTTATTAACAAGACCAGTAAAACAAGGTAAGGAAAAAGTGCGGTGAAGTAGGCCACTTTTCCACTGGATTTTACTCCTTTAACGATACTGGAATTTTGAGATGGGATTTTGTAAATTTTACGATTTATACAACTCCCTATGTAATGAATTACCTAAAGAATATGAAACACCATGAGAATAACAAGCAGAGAGTTAATCTCCAATCTGGGGGTCCAATCCCATCATCGATGTTGTCATATTCACGTAGGATTTCCTTCCTATATGCATTGTTTATAGTTGACTTTAGGAAATTTCACATTTTGCAGGACATAACTTACGAGAAGAACAAATCGGGCAGTGTAGAAGAAATGTTGGGATTAAGTGTAGTTTTGTTGAAACAATTTCCTTTCCCAGCCCAATCTTCGTCACAATGCGCCCATGGTAAATCTTTTCTGAAAGAGAGTATAAAGTAATACACGGCCAACGCCAGGATCGAACAGTAATATGTCAACACGCTGAGGGCTGTAATTTGCAAAAATATAATAATTAAAATTGGCAAAGTTGCATTATGTGTTTACAGATGTACGCAACCAACCTGCCACCATCGTGCCAAAACCGACCCCTGCAAAAAAGAAATTCGATAGATAAGGCAAGTCCCCAGATTTTTACGGAAATCAACTGGCTATTTGCAAATGAGTACCCTTAAAAATTGGAGCACACTTCCACACTTTAACTTGAGAATAGCTAGCAAATTGTCCCAAACAGAGCTCAAGGAAGTAAATTGGACGCCCGATGAATAGAAGAACAATAAAATATGGAATAATGAAAGCCCCTGATGAATGGAAACAGAATTAGTCGACTTTAAATTTCATGTCATAAGTTTTTATATATTCAGACCTCCGCCATTCTCGTAAGCCGTCACTAAAAAATAAATAAATACGATTAATCAATTAACTTAATAAAATACATTAATAATATTTAAGATTTACCCGGAAAACGCCACACGTTACCGAGACCAACACTCATTGAAATACAGGAAAATAGAAATTCCCACTGATTATCCCATGTCATTCGGTCGACAGTGTCGTCAGGATCGTCGGGGGAATTTTCTGGGGCGGATGGCACAACGGTGCTCGAATTGGTTTGGGATTTCTATATATAATTAATTTTACACTCTTACGATTAGCCGAAAAGCATATTTACATAATTCAACATTCACCAACTTTTCTTTCCAGATCATCTTTAAAGTCTTCAGAGGGATCGAATGCACGATTGTCGACTCCTCCAGCTTTCATTTCCATATCGTTTGACGCCATTTTATTGTTAATTTTGTATATAAACTTTTAAACTTTAATTCTATTAATGAAACTTTATTTCCTCATTTACTACATTTTGTCACACATTGTTAATTGCAATTTTTGTTACGGACAAAGAGTGGATTTCCAGACTACCTCACCTCTGACACTGAACTGTGATAACTTTTAATTCAAATTCTGAGATGTCCATTCAACTCTTATCACATTTAATCAATTATTTGCACAACTTCAGAGTTCCAGGTAACACAATAAATCTTGTAGGCATACAATTACCGACGAGCCATTAATTTTAAACAATACGCAACAGATTAAAATTCCGTGTTCAATTCCAATGCACTTGAATTTTATTGATGATGCATTAACACAACGCGTACGTATGTATAAATGAATGGGAATTTTATTGGCTGGACTAATTTGATCGGGTAACGCATTAATACAGGTACGTAGTTTGTCTGCGACACGATTTTTAATCAATTGGACGACATTACATTTGCATTAAAGATTTACATGCAGAATGATGCAATATTCCAAGGGAACTTGTATATTTAAAAAAATTAAAATTGCTATTTTTTGCAAAAATCTTGACGAAAAGTTCCTACACGAAATTGTGATTACGTAAAATCAAGAAAACTGGGTCATACACACGCAAGCATATTAATTAGCCTGGAATATTATTCTCATGAGAGCACCAAAAGTATTTCAGCCCACTGACATTCACGAGGGCGAGATTACATAAAAGTGTAAACAAAAGATCATGTCCAATTATACACAGAACTGTATGACCACTGATTACAATTTTTAAGTGGTAAATTCAGGGCTACAATTATCAATCAATTTAATTAAATGATACAGATTGCACAATTTAAAAAGTCTAAATTATATAATCTGTTAGCCGAATTTTCATTGAATAAATTTCCCATTTTGGCAGTGATGAATTAGTCCACTTCACTTTATTTACTTGTTAAACTAAACTATTTCCACACGCACATATAAACATTTTAAATTTGTAACAAATTTAGCAACGTAGTAACAATGTAAAAAAATACAGATCTCATTGGATCTTTATGTGATTTTTGATCATTTCCTGCTCAACGACCCTTCCCAACCATAAACGAACTACATAAAATTGCAACAATTGAAGAGACGACGTTAGTCGACTACTGCTAAAACCACTTTGCAATGACTGAATGACAACCATGACTGATTAACGTTCAAAGTCAAAAGTTTAACAATGGGAAAAGGAAACTATGTAAGCATACAATGCTGACGATGAGGGCACATAGTACATATGCAGATACATTTTTTACATTATATTTAGTAAGTAGGCTGCATGATGCATTAAGTACATAATTTATTGGAGGATGCTAGGTCACTTTATATATTTTCGACAGGATAACCACTGCATATTTTTTTTGGTTTACGCTATATAAAATTTACACAGTATAAATAAAGAGGGCAGAAAATTCTTTAAATGGAGAATTCATCTTAAATTGTACAATGTACTTGTTGTGTTGTTATGTATTATTTTTAACAATGAAATCGTCAATGTACAAAAAACACTAAAGTCCATGTCTGATAAAATAAAAGCTCTTTCATTACGGTGTAAAGTGTGACGGAATATTTTCAAGTAAATAGCTATGTATGATTTAGCGAGATACACATGTATGTATCGTCCTTATACAGCGTCTATGGTATCATCATTGCATATCAAGTAACACAGGATTAAATATGATCTACGTCAATAAATGTAGATGCAGTTTTCAATCTTGATTGGTAAATAAACACCCGTTAGTCACCTCCTTAGTGCACATCTTCAGTATAAATTACGTGCATACGTATAACTATCGAATTTAATTGTATGCAAATTACAGGTATCATTTTGAGGGAAGGTGCAGCAAAGTTTGTGTAGAGTAGAGATCAGCTTTTCAGAAGTCTACCTAAATACATACATTCATGTGTATGTATCTAACATATATGTATGTATTTACAATGTACATACATACTTAAATACGTATTCATCAAGATGTGCAGTGATTAAATAAGATATTGTCCAACGAATTTTATGGAATTTGCGTGCATGCAAGATACACTGCATTAGCTGGACATGCACCTGGATATGACTCATCCTCAGTTTTTCCACGATCTCGCGACATGGGATTCAGATGTAACTTACCTCATATGTAATTAACGAGGTATAAATTAAGTTATGGCGCACATTAATATATACATATTAGATAATACAAAACAAGTATGAATTTGTTTATATAACGCTGTACACAGATTATAAATTTGCAAGTTATAAATACAGTTTTTGATTGGTACTTGTAGCCTTCCTATCATGGGAAATGCATACGCACATACAGATCTGTATAATCTGTATAAATTTTCTACGGGGTGGAGAACACATATTGTAGGCATGAAAATATGTACGTTATATTTAATAAAGAATGAGACTGGGATGTGAATTTGGGCTGTATATGTAGATACGCATGTACGTAAGCATATAAGCCACCTGAAGGTAAACTATTTTCTGCCACATTTCTCACACTAGAAAAAGAGTGACAATGTCAAATCTGCATATTAGTAAATTCACCTTGCAACCTTTACCTTGCATATGGAAAGTATCAAAATATTTTTTACCCATACAAGCACCTGTCGTGGGTAATGCGAATGAATACATATTGGCGATGAGTGCCAACAAAATTCATGCCAAGTATTTAATTATGATTTTTATGGGAAAGTGTGTTCATGAACATATCTATTCGTTTTATGCGTCAATTAAATGCATCTAATTAATGTTTATATATGGGAAGGTTGTGCAAAATACCAACATGGATGATTGAAGGATGATGAATACATATGCGTGGGTGTACATATGTATTAGACAACTTTGATTCTACGTGGTGGATGTTTTAATGATTCATATGCATTATATTTTATACATTAAGCTCAATTAGTTTAGTTTACATTCGAATTACATACATCATATTTAAAAATAGAAAAGTAATCAGTAATTTCAGTTATCGTCTCCCCTTTTAATTCCTAAAGCGAAGTTGACATCTTCAAATGGGACATTTAGGGACACTTTTTTATGCATCGACGGAGAATTATTTTCAGCAATTACAAGTTTCATCATCAACAGTTTTGTTACTGCTCCCATGAATTGGTTACGAGTCCAATTGTGGCCAACTATATGTACAAAATGAATAAATTACTAAAATTACCCTTGTCACCCAGTATTTTAAGGATTCGAATGAAAATTTATATAAACAATAATATTTGTTACCATCGTAAGCCGCATTGCAAGATAAAGTTTCGAACAGACTCATTAAAGTCGTTTCATCACTTCCAGAACTTTCTAATTCCTGAGTTAAATGTTTTAAAACGGACTGTTCCAGGAATGAGCAATGTCTGAAATACACAAAAAAAAATGTTGAAATTTGAAAAATTTGATTTCGAATTGGAGATTTAATAAATACTAATCATTACTTCATTGTCTCAATCTTAATTGACGAAAAAATTTCTTTAAACGCTTCATTAACACCGAGGATACCACTAATTTTCTTAATTTCCACAATTTCCACAGCACGTGCAGCAATTTCCAAGGCACGTCTCGCATCACCGGAAACAGCAGCAACCTTCCTTGATAAGAGAGTGATGGCCTCATCCTGGATTTTGTCGCTTTTGCACCTGTCCAATGATCTCTTTACTATGGTTTGAAGTTGATCGTGTGAATATGGAGGGAAAATACAACGAACAAATCCCTACAAAAGAGGAACAAAATTATCATTAATTTAGGGAATACCTTGTAAAATTTAAAATTTAAAAAGTAGTGGTAGCAAATTTATGTATGTACCATCCTTGAAGAATTCCTCATAACTAATGCATTTTCCGGAAGTGACACAGTATTAAATATGGCAATTAATGAAAACATGTATTCCGGTTTAGTAGTCCACTCTAATAATTGATATAAAATTGATTGCTTCTTGTCCAGCAGTTGATCTAATTCGTCAATGACGAGAACGACGGGCAATCTTCCTTTTGTTTCAAAGAAATTGTTTAGTTTTTTTAACGCCAGGGTCGGTTTACATTTATCTTTGGCTTTTGTAGGTTCGAGTAGGTTGTAGAATTTTTTCCATATTTTGTCAGGTGTCCTAAGACTGAGCCCATTTATGTAAATGTTCTGCAATCGAATAAGAGAATACAGGTATTAGTTCATTATAATAATTATTGACTGTATTTATGAATTAGTAGAAATAAACTGACATTAAATAATAAATGCTCCTTCCTCTCTGTCGCGTAGCGGTACAAACAATCGACGACTGATTGGATGATTAAGGTCTTCCCCGTACCCGGTACCCCACTAACGTACATGCATCTGAAAAATAAAATGAAATAGAATAAAATAAGTTAGTAATAATTAATAAGTTATTTTCGTATTGATTACCTGTAAATCATTATTCAGTCAGTAATAATTCTCTCCCAAAACAAAAAATGACTAAAATATAAAGGCACTTGCCTGCTATTTCTCTGTGTAATGTTTTCATTGAGGAAGGTCCAAATTTCTTCGAATTGCGCCTCTCTGCAAGGTAGTGGACACTCTGGAACCCCAACAGAGTTGAATCGCCACACTGTTCCGGGAGTATTTGGTGGAGGAGGACTTGATATAAGCATTTTATTGGATTTTTTCGGTGCAGTTTTCTTGGAAATTATATTTTCTTCTACCTTATCGTCAGACGATGAAGATGAAGATGAGGAAGATTCAGTAATTTTGTCCATTTTCATACTTGATCTCGTCATCCTACCACCGCCACCACTGTTCTTGCTGGTTGTCGGAGTCGTCGTCGCCGGTATTGTTTTCTCAACGACACATGATCTTCTTCCTCTCTTCGGAGAAACGGCTTTACTTTCATTATCAGATGAAAAAGAAAATAAGTTTAAAGACTCATCGTAATTCTGAGATTTGCCAGTTAATCGCATACTAGTCCTTCGGTTAACAGAAGATGGTTCAGTTTTTTTAGTCTTTCGATACCTCGCGTTATCTTCATCACCGGATGAATCACTTGGGGTGGACGCGTTATCATTAAAAGTTTTTGGATATCGCACTTTCCTACTACTTGTTGGTGTTTTGATAACAGAGTTTCGATCACTTTTACGAACTGAGGATGTCGACCAGACGGCTGGACTTGGTGGAATCTGTGTCGTCATTCTTGCAGGCGTCGCAAGGCTTCGGCCTGGTCGTGACGATTCAAATTTTGTAGGCGTTGTATGACTTGGAGTCCTATGTCTACTAAGTCGTGTTGCAATTGGTGTAGATGGCAAAATCTCTTCGTCACCTGTCGTCGTATTTGTCCGACCTCGTCGTGGCGTCGTTGAGGGGGTGGTGGGACTCGTAACACGGGAAAATTTCCCGTGTATATCACGATTTTCCGAAATCGTGATAACAATTGGACTGACACGTCGAACACTTTTACGAAGTGGAGTTTTTGCTGGAGTAGTTGACGACATGACAAATGTTCTTTAGACGTCAAATGGGAACTATTGAAGATAATTTAGGTCGAGAATTGTGCTAAAATTATATTTTGAAATCACGATAACACATCTCAAATGCAAAACGTGAAGATCTGGATTCTCTCCCGGCATCTCACAACCGCTCAGCCACCACCACTTTTGGACAAACAAAGACTGAACAAAGGAAGCTTTTTCTTCATGATTTTTAAGTTTAATTGTTAAGTCATATTTTTAGTCACGTTAACTAACCATGCATTCTGCGTAATTGAAACTAAGTTGTGAACATGTATTAGAGAAATGTTAATTTGAGTGATAATTAAATTGACATAAGAATTTTACCCAAAATTTATATCGCCAACTAATATATACAATTACATGGCAATCTTTTGCGCTTTCTACGTTTACTATATTCTACCAGAAATACAAAAACTGCCATTATCTGCAACCCTCCCACAATAATTAGTAAACTTTTCAAATGTGAAACTGCTAATTTCACATTTTGCATAGTCCTACTAGATTCAAAGTTGGTTATGTTATCCTTTTTAATTCCTTCCTCGATATCCTTCTCGAGATCTTTAATCGCAAAATATTTTTCTGCTTTTAGCGTATACTCAACTAGACCAGACTCAAAAGTTGATGTAAATAATTTTACAATTTGTCGATGAAAAACATTTTTTGTCACAGAATTATAAAGGTATCGCGACACAGCGTCTTCCGACATTACAACCTGCCCCTTAGAAAAACTGACTATTGTTTCTAAAACAGTCGTCTCTTCAAGGAATGCATCTCCCGTAAGGAAGATACGTTTATAGGCTGCAGTCACATTTTCGACTATATTTTTGGAAGTATTCTTAACCGATAAGCCATTAAGAATGGCTCTATTTTGAGACGTGTTTCTTGATGCGACTTCCATTCTGAATACTGTAACTGTGTTGCTCATCCATTTATCGCAATCTGAAATATTAGTGAAAGCACACGCACCTTGATTATGTGGAACTCCAATTGTAAAATAATGTCCCCTTTCCACCATTTCCCTGAACAATTTTAACCCTCCGAGATAAAACGGTTTCATAAAATTACTAACAATTTCGCCTTGATACGTTTCAGTAAGCACCATGCAGCACAGCAACCAGCTTGTGAAGACAACTCGAAACGAAACCGTATTCAATGGCATTTTCTCAAAATGCTGACCCAGCACTGTTCTCAGTAACAGCTCAAACGACGAGTCTAAATTTGGTTTATCACCCTTCGAAATGAAATCGTATTTTTTAATCGTATATATAAAAGTGGATGCGGTGATAAGTGTGGAGGAAAAAAATAGTAGCACGGTCCAAGTATATGGTCCTTTTATCCAATCCCAATCAAGATCTTGAACATGATTTTTCGTAACAAATTTGAACTCCTTCTTTTCCCCAAAACTGCATAAGGCAGTTCTGCTGGTGTCCGAATTTGGTCCTCCAAGGCTCCAAAACATAATGGATACCGTTTGGTGTAAATTTGCAAAAATAATTGTCACATTCATGCGGAGCATCACTTGGACGATTAGGAAAAACTTGATGTTTCTAAACACTCCTCGTTTAGATTTCGTCCAGGGTTTCATTCCACGTTGTTCAGTAAAGACAAGCAATTGTGCACGGTGAAACTTTTTCTGGACGGATGTCAGTGTTCCGACGTTATTCACAATAACCCAGGAATGCAGTCTCAAACCGCAGGAATGACACAGGCGATATTTTCCAGTAGCGTTGAGTAGGAACAAATATTGTGGGTATTGGTTTCCATAATGTAGTTCGATATTGGAGGTAAAAGTTGGATCTTGAATTAATATTGCGATTGCATCGAGGAATATTTGAAAATATTTTAAATCACGCTTGAGCCAATTCAGTAATTTTACAGACAAAATCAGGACATGGTTTATTTTTGCGGCGTTGAACTTTGTGACACGATATTGTGATATTCGTGTGTCTTCAATCATGCTTGGATGACGCCCGTAATTGACACTTGTACAAACTGGCACATATTTTGCATAAATAAACCTTAAAAGGGCATGATTTGTATTATTACTCGTCTCCACAATGATGAGCTTGGCAGGTCCAATATTGTGAAAAATTAATTGCAGCAAATTAATAGCTTGATAATCTGGGGACTGAATGCTGAATACTTTTGAAGGTGTTAGACCAGTACTGAAGAAACCCAAATAGAGCAAGAAATACATTTTTAAATTTTTAAAGAAGGCTTATGCATTAATTTTCTTGGTGATTACTTGTTTTACCTTGTACAGTACATATAAAATTACGTACATTTCGTAAATACGTATTTCTGCACAGAAACTAATTTATAAACATTCTTTAAACTAATCCGAAATACAACTCATACTGAACTCAAAATTTTGAACTCCAAGTTTAACACGCATTTTAGTTGCAAATACGTAAGTATATATTCTATAATTATCAAGAATGTTGTTTTAAAAGTTTAGTCAAAAACAACAGCCTGGTATCGTAGAATGCATACACGTATTTAGCATACATCTAATCTGCAGTTTATGTAAGTATATGCATGTATGCAATGGAATAGTAGATAGTGCGGAACTAAAAAGTTGTAAATATGTTCATTTCTGATATTGCGCAATAATTACAGAGTCTACTTTTTGTGAAACTTTTTATTAGAAAATTGTAAATTGATCATTGTAAATAAATTGGGGACAAAATTTCAAGATAGTAAAAAGTTATGAAATTTTTCAGACTAATGCATACTAGTGCTAGTTTAGATCAGGATTGTATTAGTTATATAAATACGTAAAATTAGGTAGTGTAACACCCAAAAAAAGATGCCCCCATTCCTGTCGTTTTGGCTTTCATACTGTATGGTACATATTTACATATGGTAAGTATCTATATATACTGGTATACGTTATAAATGTTGCCAGCATAAACATTTATTTGATGAAGATGATTAAGTATTTCAGAAAATTGCTATCCATCAGTAATGAGATTTATATATGTAATACGCATCTCCTTAAAGTACACATACAAAATAAGACGACGTTAAATCAGGGAGAAAGCATAACTGAATTTGTTGATAATAATGTCTCCCTGTTAAGTATTTGCAAATACGTATTTACATAAGTACAAGGAGACAAGACATAGGAAGACATTACTAATTTGGAAGCACACAATCTCAGCATTTTAAAATTACAGTGTTCCACCACCACTTTCACTATTAAGTTTCATTCTAGAAGAAAGTTAGCAGGTGAAGATGGGTTTTGAGAATTCCACAGTGAAGGAAAGTGACCAAGTTTATGAGGAAATGACAAAGTTGCCATCATCATCAAGCGATGTTAATATTTGTTAAAAGGTAATATTTGTGCCAATTAGGGCAACCCTAACGTAATTAATTTATGTTTGCTGCGTGCTGTGGGTCACCATAATTGATAATACCTAAATACATATCTAGAAAGTATGTACATATCAAAGATCTTAATATGCATACATCCTCACTGAACGAAGTCATGGAGTTTGTTGCTAAAATTGCATTGCATACGTGTTGTTAATTATCCTATACAATTTATGTATGTAGTACATCATTTCATCAAAAGTATATTTTTGCCTACTTCGGACTGGAAAGAGGTTGACCTTGAAATTGATATAAAGCAAATACATCGGTTGTTGCATCTTGCAATTCAATGTCAATGTAATGTAGTCAATGCAACATTCTGGAAGCTTACAGATCGTGTTGCCGAACTATATATGCTATGCACATACGAATATAAATTCTCTTAGGATTAGATGCAGAAGTATGCATTTTTACTACATAAAACATTATTCATCTCCTTTGCAAATTTTCCAATTTTTTTCGCATAGCAACGTACATCCGGTTCTTCAAGTCTCTAACTTCAGTTTGACCATGGATACTGAATGTGCACAACGTGATGGAAAATCCATCATGAACTTCCATCATGGAAGCACAACGCTATTAAATCTCAAATCCAGAATTAAAAGTATTTCAAAATTCTAAATTACAAAAATTAATACATAAAATTAATTATGTGATATGTATTTTAGGTCATGAGAAACTTTCCCCATTTCATGGCATTCTAGATGACATGTTACTTCTTGGATTTCTCAATGGGAAAAATTTCGACGTAGATGCAACCATACTTTGTGTAAGGCGGTGACCAATTTTGTTTATTTGTTATTAAAAAGATACGTGGACAGCCATAGACCCAAAACTTATAACTTAAAAATAACGACGTCGACACATGGCGTTTCTATGACTTAAAACTTATAAAATAAGTCATACGTCATAATTTTAAGTTATAACTTATATGTCCATGGCTTTCCCATGTATCTATTTTGATTTCAGTTGTAAATTTGTTTTTTTAGTTGGAGAATTATATCTACATGAGAACTGTAAAGTATAGGAAGCAGCTTAGACCTTTTCTGCCATCGACAGATGTATTACTGGATACAGAACTGACCAGGGTTTTAAAGAATAGGGATCAAAATGGGAGATTTGTGGTGATCGTTAAATATGGTAAAAAAACATTTGACACCTAGATAATTGAGGATTCTAATTGCTAAACATTTTGAAATCGTCTAATGGAATTTTAATGCATACATCTGTAGAAGCGTGGAATCCGTCGGTGTCCTCTTCTCAGGATGTGGTGGCGTCAGTAGTATTTTTCGTAGATGAACTAACTCGGTCCTATGCGACGACCTGCAGTGAAGTTATATTCATTGGCGACTGTAAAAATTTCTCCTTCGCCCAAGCTCAACAAGCCGGACCAAGAATCATCATGCAAGCTGTGGACTTATTTGTTGTGAGGGGTTTGTTAATACTTATTTTTTACGCCAATAAATGCTTTTGTTTGCTAAAATTACGGTTTTCCCAGTGAATATTTATATATTCAGGATACGGTTTTTTAATTAATTTTCTAGCTCATGAATTAAACTGATTTATTTTAGAAATGTATCCCATCTCGTCCAAAAGCGTTTCACTTTGTTAACGAAAACGTGTTTGTTAGTGGACTTTTTTACATTCTCAGGAGTTTTTTGTCAAAGAAGCTACGAGAACGGGTAAGTTTTCCTTGATGTTCTTACAATATAAATATAAGTAAATTAATCGCATTCTACTTCAGCTGCATATACATTCATCCAATCTCGAATTATTGCACGAACACGTGCCAAAAGAAATCTTACCGGAATCTTTAGGAGGTGACCTGCTCAATAAGGATGCATACGACGAGGAAATAAGAGCTAGGGTTAGGGCGACTGATGAATTCTATAAAAGAATGGCTGATAGTAAGTTTAAATTTTTATAGTGTGATACATATTATGCAATTAAAAAACTTTAAACCTATGCTCATTCTGTTATAGTACAATCTGCCACAGGTTAAGGAAGAACATCATCTTCATACATACGCACAAGCATAATGTGCACACGACAATATGCAAAATGCAAATATGCATAAATAATGACAATGCAATGTTAATATCTGATTAATTTTGATAATGAACATTTATCAAAGCAATAAATCTTCAATTCTTAAGTCAATTCGGGATTCTAATGAAGGGTTAAAATAGAAACCTCACTCTCTTGCTCTTCCTTTTCATCCGTATATAAATATCCGGAAGGAATTGAGGAAATAAAACGAATTCTACTATTGATCTAGACGCAAACAGTGATGTGTAGTTTATTCATTTTAGTAGGATTTAATTTTAGCAGGATGAAATCGATATGTAAATTAGTGTCTGCTATACACAAAATTTTAAAATAGTGCAAGAATGCTGAAATTTGGCACACAAATTGCTAATGCCTTGTAATGAAATTTTCTGAGGTAAAACTGGAAAATTTTTCAACCAGAGGGACCATAGGGGGTCACAACTACTGGACCATACCGATTTTCAGAAATTGTCTTAAAAAGCTGAAATTCGATTTATATATGTACTTACTGGGCCCACTGTAGCTGTACCTAGCGGTTATCTTTAAAACCGCTGGAAATAATGAAAATCTGATATGTGCATTAGATTCCTCATGCAATTTTGCATAATTAACACTTATCAATTTGTAACATCTTGCATAGTATAGCAGCAGGGAAAATATTGAAGAGACGCGGGCGGCGATAATTTTTCACCAAAAAAATGAGACGAGAAATATGAAATTTGAAAAGTGTGACAGGAATCGAACCTGAACTTTAATTTAGTCCAACGGACTATAAAAACGTTCATAAACACTGGACCGACTAAGAACAGTCGAAGAACAATTTTTTGAAAGTTTACAAGGACCACACCCATGCTGAATGCGCTGAAGGATGGAATCCGAAGAAATTCACGAAATTCCAACGGAAACCAGCCTTACAGCTGACATTGTCTATGCAAATTATCCAACGCGTGCTCAAATTGAAGCTTAGGCTTAAGGCTTTGAAATGTGGTACTTGCCACATCCTGATCGTACCCCAAAGGGAAACTAGATTAAATAAATGCAGGCGTCACCTCCAGAGGTACGCTCCAAAAAAGTGAGCAGGATTCTTTTTACAAATGAGGAGATTTTCACATCGGGATAATCTTTTTACAAATGAGGAGATTTTCACATCGGGATAATCTTTTAACAAGAGAGTTGTCCTAATCTACGCAAAATCGGTCAGAGACATCCCCCGATATAGACTAAAGGTCATAAAGTCACATTATCCAGGTTTTTCGATGATTTTGGCAATTAGGAGCTAATTTGGGTAATTTGTCTACATTTTGCTGAAAATTGGGGGGAGGTGGGGGAATCAAATTTCTTAAAATATGTTTTTGTGTCCGTGGTACATCCCCTAAGTGAGATCCAATTCAATGGAATCGGTGGGACCTCTCAGCAGGACTGAGAACGAACTTAAAGTGCAAAAAATGACCCAAGCGTAGCTAAAAAAACAAATTCCGGTCTATATCTCCAATCAGAAATGGTCATCATCCTTGCTGGATTTGAATCACCGGAATCTGAAAAATGGTCCAAGTTAGGGGCAAAGGTGTGTTCTAAACCCCGTGTAAGTGCAGAGGCTTGGAAAAAATTTCTGACCACGAAATGGAACACTATGTCCACAAATTCAGTGCGTGCTTCGGAAAAGGACTGCAGGCGGCGTCTTGAGCGCTGCGTTAGTGTGGGGAGAGGAAATTTCGAAAACTAAAAATTGTTTTCTAATCAGAAATTAACTGGCTTTCGACTAAAATTTACTAGAATTCTGTAACGCAAAAACTGTTAAAGCTATAGCGTCTTATTTAGCGTACAGTTTCAGTGGGCCACCTGGTATATGATATCGTGATATTTAACGGCTTCTCATGTAATTTACATTAATGGTGAATATGTCGAGGGTTTTGTACACTTGCTTATAAATGCATACACACATGTAAACTCGGTTAAATTGCATGCAATCAATCCATAAGTCCTTCTGAAATGTGCATAGGTCGTGGTTGCGAAATCTAGTTATTAGTACATTAATGCAATCTAACGACGCCTACCCACGTCACTTAAAAGGATAATTATGCGGTGCAAAGGTCATAAATATACTCAATCAGCAAGTACTCGTACAAAGTGTAAATGTATTTATTTAGCCAAATGGCTTACTGAATTATATCATTAACTGTGACAATGGTCATCAACTAGATACATTTTAATGCTGGAAATGCTTCACGTATGATTACAAGTAAAGTCATCATCAAACCATTTGTGAATTTAATAATATGGTAGCATCACAATAAATGAACTAATATCCTGTGTACTTCAGGAATTTTTATGCGCATTTCCTCATGATTTGGGGAACAGGGTTCCAAGAAGGATTTCCATAAATGGTGGTTTCTCGAGGGTTTCTCTATGTTTGAATTTATAAAATGATTTTAAAAATTGTTATGCATTATCCAATATATTTATGTACCAATTAATCACGTGACTTTTAACTTTACATCATAAGTTTATGCTGAAGACAAATCGGACTAGAACCCTAGGAATACATAGGTGCGACACATTCATAAAACTATAATTAACACCGTCATCCGTTAATTTATGGCATTAGCTAGCATCACACTGACCGACAGGGACATATAAAAATATAAAATGCAGTTAAAAATCTTTCTCAGTCGCCTCCGAGGATGATCAACTAAAAAAATAATTTTCACATAAGACTGAAATTTGTGATAATAAAAATGAATTTAACCACTATCATATTTTTTTCATTTTGTGTGCTGGGGACATGCGCTGCTCCATCTCCACAAACGGGTAACGCTAATCAAATAATTGTACTTATTGAAAGCTTAAATAGGTCAAAATAGGAATAATAATAAAATATTTTATAGGTTCGAACGATACTATTGAGTGTGCCGGATTTATATCCCAGATTCCAGGTGAATGTGTTGCTTCGGAAGAATTGTGCAGTCCGAAACAGGGAATGGTATCGTTCCAATGCTTGCTAAGCCCTACATCAGTTTGTTGTCCGACATAAGGAATTTCAAAGATTTGTCATATTGTTGAAAGCATTATGAAAACTTGGATGCGAGTGAATTTTGTAACTAATCAATAAAATTATTCTGTTCGAAGTGAATTTTTAGTGATTAGGCCTTCGAGGGTTGGGCAAACCAGCAAAAATGTTCATATTCTATGTTAATTCAGTCATAATAATATTGGGTTTGTTCTTATATTAAAAGATTACATATTGTATTTATATGATACCGACCTTCAAAGGGCAATTGTGTATTTATGCGGAGAAAGGCAAACTTGAGAACGATTGAGATTTTCCTTTACGGTTTTGTAGAATGAGTTTGTAGAAAGTGTAACTTTGACTTTCGACTATTTCCACATAAATTTGTATGCATGTTTCACTTCTAAGGTATTAACATTTTCTATCTGTAGTTCCTATTTTACCAATAATTGCTAAAATTATGGATGGTTTTACTTTTATGTAATGTGGTGAGGCCACGAATATTACTAATTTATTTAAACATGCATTAAAGACAAACGTTTGAACATTACTTTGAGGAAACTTATATACATAATTTTGTGCTAGTAGGAACTTAATAAAGCGGTGAATGTCTACAGATCAAATCAAATTATAGTAATTTCATTTGGTACGCAATTACTTTTATCCGGTATAATCGTACAATTATTCTGTACAATGTAATCATCGGACAAAATATAGAGTGATAGAAGCTCAAATGCACAATTTGGATGTTGCATACATTCCACGCAAAATTGATGCAGTCTACATCATAATTTCTAGAATAACTTTGAGTCACTGTAAATTACCCATATCTATCCTTTGTTAGAAAGTAAAAAAAAATATCTATAAATTTGTAGGTAAGAATCGTAAGTCATAAATAAATATACAAATCGAGAAACAATGGTCCCGAGTGAAATTTGTAAAATTTAATTTATATTAACCGTTTTGTAAATATTTGGTGATTTTGCAGCTTTAAGAAAGTCATTCATATCATAAAATGTTTAAGATTAATCCTAAAATGTAACTGGCGAAAATTTATCGTTCTACTATATACGTTTTACTTCTTATTGTACTTAGAAGTATAAATACGGAGCAGAAATTTTGAAAGAAAACTATCCAAATCATTTGTTATCTGGAGGAAAATTAATAAATTGCTTCAATATCACAAGAAATAGGTGGGAAATTTCAGCTAAAAGAACGTGGTATTTTGCCAAATATTTATGTACGTATGGATGTTTAGTGTATATATATACTTATAGTACATCCATGCATATATGTATATCGTATTCATGACTTAATGGCTAGATTAAGGAAAGAGGATTATGCATATTATGCGCGATTTCCCTCAGGGAATTTTCCGGCGTTAAATTATTGCATAAATACATATCCTTTAACCCGTGGTCTTAATAACGTGGAAATGGAAGGTTTCATCAGGTCCTTGGTTATGCAAATATTTACCTACAAAACTCACAGACAGTTTATCTGGATAAAATATTTACAAGTCCAATTGCGGACTTTCCCATAACAAGTTTCCTTCTCCTTTATGCCAAATTAGTCTGAAAAATTAATTCACTAATAATAAACATAGACATACCCATAATTTTATTAGATTTGTGATCCGATTTTTATTCGGATAACACCCAACTGTAAAGTGTGCATATGTACATGTCGAAAATTCGGCATTTATGTAAATAGTGACTTTTCAAATATTCGTTAACCTTCTTAACACTCATCCTCAGATAACTTAGAAATTACTCTCTCTATCGTCAGCACTTCTGACTCAGAACTGTTGATGCTGATACTGACGTAAGTTTGACAAATTAAAAAACTACTAATGAAAAATTACTTCCAAGGGATTTTGCGAAACCGTGGGAACTAAACTCAAATGAAAAGTTCATTGATTTGATATCACATACGTAACCCTTATTAAATATAATAATGTAAAATAATTGTATCCAGAGAGTTGCACAATAGCATATTTTTAATCTGTAGCTTACATACATACATACATAGGTACGTAAAGGAAACCATTCTTACATAGGTAAATATCCTTATTCCTGGCTTTAGTACTTGTACACACATATGTTTGTATAAGTACGCCTAAGCTCTTTACGGAAACATAATTATAAAAGCTTGATGACGGTGAATAAACAAGCTGTACCTACATAATTACGATATTGGCTATTTTATGCGTGTGAATTTCACTCATCACTCATCACTCTTGGACAAAAGGAGAACATGCTTATACTAAAAAGTAACTTATGTACATACGTAGGTTTTCACCCTATGATCATTAGGACACATCCCCAATAAACTTTTTTCCGGACTTTGGATTACGTAGAGATCGGAGGGTAGATTGCAATTAGTAATTACAGCGAGTTTTATCCCTTACTAATTACATGCACTAATAATGCTACAAAATATTTTTTTCTGAATGAATCACTGGATAAAAATCTCAAACGGCAATGCGAGTAGGTAGTAGTTCAAACAGTGCGAAGTTTCATTGATCTGTGTATGCACCGTCAAACTAGTCCTTTTCCTGATACTGTCCTCTAATTCACCAAATGACAAATATACATAAATATAAATAAGATTGTGTATTGTGTGTGCCATAGTGAAATGGCATTGAAGGTTAAGAATGGTTTTAAACGATATGGGAATGACAAATTTGTTCTTAATAATCTTAACGTGAATGTTGACCGGGGAGAAATGTGAGACTACTTTATTATAACATTCATTCATCATTTTGGGGTTTCATTAATCGCATGCCTTTTCAGCTATGGATTACTTGGTGCGAGCGGATGTGGGTAAGCTTAACTATTGAGGAACTATAAAACTAAACCACCTATTTAAATGTTCATGTTTTTCAAATAAAGATATGAAGTGAATACCGAATTACAATATAAATTTCGAATTATTCGTAATTGAAAAAATAAAGCATAGATTTTGTAGACGATATGAATGTCTTATTTGGAACTGGACGTAATTATTGACACAATATGAACTTCTTTCTAATTAGTAAAACTACTTTACTCTCTTGTGTTGTGGGCTTACGGAAGTTGGATGCAGGAGAAATCATAGTTTTAGGACAAGACGCCTATGGACAATTGGGTGGCCTGTGTGGGTACATGCCACAGGTGAATGCACTTTTTGTTTAAACCTCTGAACGTAACGTGACTACAAGTACTATTTTATGAATTTAGGAAATATCCTTGTTAAATTCTTTGTCTATCTTCGAATCACTGGAATATTTCGGCATGCTTTATGGAATGAGTTCAACAATGAGACAAAGCCAAATCAAGTTTTTGTCAACTTTCCTTGACTTGCCCCCACTAAACAGTTGCATCCAGGATTTAAGGTATTTATTTTCTACATACTCTGAAAATAAGTGTGAATATTTAAGATGTGTTTTCAGTGGGGGGCAAAAACGTCGCGTATCTTTGGCGACTGCCATGATTCATAATCCTCCTCTGCTCGTCCTTGACGGTAATAATTTGAGCCAACTTATAATTAAGATTATCCAAGATGATATAACTTACTGATGACCCCATTTTAGAACCTACCGTAGGGCTAGACCCTTTACTTCGACAACGGTAATGCATTATGAGTTTGCGAGAATTATTGAATCCATTATGAATTATTTTAATGCTGTTGTACAACTCATAACTCGTATTTGTTTAATAAAATTACAGAATTTGGGAACATCTTGTCCAAATTTCTCGAGATTGTGGGACAACGATCATACTATCGACACATTACATAGAGGAAACTAGGCGCTGCGACAAGGTAGAAAATATTTACTATAAAGTAATAAATAAATTTGTAAATAATTTAGTTTATGTATGTCAGGTTGGATTTATGCGTGGAGGTCAACTCCTTGCTGAAGCGTCTCCAAAATCACTGCTATCCCAATTCAATTGTGATAGTTTGGAAAGCGTAGCGCTCCAATTATGCAGGGAAGATAAGCACATCCTGGATTACAACGAGAATAACTACACTTCGGAGTTTAACGAAGCCGTGCAGATTAAATCATACCGAAAAGTTTCAATTTCTATGCAAATCCATCCAAATCAGATAACCCCAGTTGTAGAAACTCATCACCACAAAATAATTTGGGCGTTATTAATGAAATTCTGGTATCGCCATTTACGGGATTGGAGGTAATTAAAATGCTAGCAATAAATTTTAAGTTAATTTTAAGTTCGTAAATAATTTATTTGCCAGGTGTCTTACAGCAGAATTCGTATTGCCAATCATGATCATCCTTGTAATGCAAAATGTTATTGGTTTACCACCCCGAAACCTAAAGATCGGTGTACTCACACCAAATAGTGACGAATATTGCATAAACAATTCTACTCTAACTGAATGTTTTGCAAATATTGGAATTTGTAACTTTCTTCAAAAATTTGATGATTCAAAAGTTGAATGGGTAAATGTAACCCTACTAAATATTACACACCATAGAATTGCATATTATGCATATGCACTTCTAATCATAAGTCTAATAAATCATGCCAGATTCCAATAAACTCTTACGAGAATGGTATACAAAGCATCCGCTTGGGAAATACAATCGGGCTTCTCCAGTTTCCGGTTGACTTTTCTACCCACTTTAAAAACAGAATGGTATATCGCAATTTTGCCAGTAATGAAACTATCCAAGGATCCACAATTTCCCTTGTGATGGATGAGTCAAGTACGGATTTACATATGTATATATTCGTACACATATTCTCAATTTTATAAATCAGAGGTTACATTACAAATATTTTGAAACAGATGTGATTATAGCATCGTGGATGAAGTTAACAGTGGTGAAAAAGTATCTGGAATTCATTTCAAGTATTGCATCAGCTTGCAATCTGAATCCTGCCATTGTTGCGGAACCACTTAAAGTAGTTGCATTAAATATTATTTAAAACTCATACCTTATCTTTGTCTCGATATTTAGTTAAATATATGTTTGCTAATGTTTTCCTAGTTTAACGCAATCTATGGAAGTATGGAAATATGGAAGGTCATCTCCTACATGCAACCGGGCATTACAATTTTGTAAGTTGGTGAAATAAGTATTAAAATACAGTATTAAAACTGGGACCCTAATTTGGTCACACGAAAAAATACAGGACTGTCTTCATGCTAGCCAACTCGATCGCCATACTGTGGGTGGAGGACAGAGAGAAAGGTTTGGAAGACCGAGACTACGTTGCCGGTGTCAAACTGTGGCATCGGATGGTGTGCTACTTTGCAACAGAGTCAATAATAGGCTTCATACATCTGGTAATTTTCTTCAGCTTGCTAACAGGCGTGTATGGGATGGAAATTAGGGGGTCGTGGTACCTTGCGGTAGGACTGGTCATGATGACTGCGATATGCGGGTTCACGATGGGTACGCAAAATTCTATATGAAATGCGTACTTTATTCATATATTTAATAATGTAAATCAAATTTAGGGTGGATGTTTGCCATGTTAAAGGACAACGTTTTGGAGACAATAATACTGATATTATTCATGTCAATAACTCAAGCGAGTTGTTCAGGTGCGTGCATAAATTTACTATTTACTTACATGTTTCTATGTAATAAAGGCTTGCCAGGTGATGACTTGATAATCTTTTAGGAGGCATGTGGCCCATGGAAATGGCTAATCCGATTTATCGACACTTAGCTAAATTACTTCCTGCGACAATAATTATTGAATCATTTCAATCAATATGCATTAGAGGATGGGGATTAAGCCACTCTTCTGTGCTCAATGGATTCCTGACAGCCAGTGTTTACATCGCGATTTCAATTTCAGTCTGTTTTTTAGCAGAGCGAAGGAGACGCAGATAATGCATTTTGCAATTGTAATAATTGTAATTGCTTAATAAGTGGAAAAGCCAATGGAAATAGAAATCAAAATTTGAAAATGGTTTACGAAACATATTTTAGGTTTGAGTTCTATTCACCAAAGGCTGGCTTAGAAAAGTTGATGCTACAATTAATCACTCCCGCTGCTGTCAATTTAAACTCATTTCAAGAACTTTTGGTCTTCCCTCCCAAAGTGTGCGTAAATTTTATGCAAGCTAGATGTACAAGAAACAATTTTTACATGTTTTAGTGTAACCACTAAATTAATTATAGCCTATATAACGAATTGAAAGCAAGATTTGCGAAGTTTAATTTTCCCGCCCAAATCGGCTTTTGGGGCGCTTGAGGCGCGATAATCGATTTTTTCGAATTTACGTACTATTATGTAAGTATTACTCAATGTTTGTTTAACTTTCCATGCAATTACAATCACTTTTAAAATTCGGCGTGTTGGCTATTTTCGGCTATAAACATTAGTGCTCGAAAAAATGCACAAATGCAAATTACAACTCAAAATCCGTTCCCAAATGGTTATTCGTATCAACTTTCATAAAAAAAACTGTCCAGAATAATTCCGGTGGGAACACCATTTTTCAATTCATCTCCTAGTAATTAACGTCATGCAGTAGGTGAAAATTCCGGGGTCAAGGGAAGAAAAAATTCCACGTTGCTAGGGGTGAAAGGTATGAAAATATGCGTCGCTCAGGGGTGAAGTGGTTAATACCAACCAAAACTTAAAACCAACTCATTTCATTATATGTAGTACACATCCATCCAGTAACAGCACATACAGAATGAAGCATGGAACAAAGGGATTCTTTGCACAAACAATTTTTTTGCTAAACTGAACTCAACCCGTTCTTATATGAAATCAACCCAACTTGTTTTCCTACGATTTTCACATTACATCTTCTCCGCATACATAGACGCTTATATTTATATGCGTTAATTCCGCATCAATGCGCACTGCCTGCAAGGCTATTACAACAATGCATGCTGAATTTCTAACGTACAATTTGCGCAAATGCTCAATAGCATGTGTACGTATGTGCTTGATTGTTGCTATGTTGACGTGGATTCACTTCAGTGAAACATGTGCGAACTAAAAGTACTTAAAAATGTGATCTAGGATTTGCGTGTAATTTTATTAATTTTATTTATGTACATAATATAATCACATATTTAGTATTTTTAGTATTACTTACTCGTATTTAACAAAATCGTATATTTACAGAAACATTTAAATACACACTTTGCATACGAACCCGTAGTGAATAAGTGGAGACTGTATTTAACTAAAATTAGGGTAAAAAATCTACAGTAATCATGACTTATTCTACCCGAAATAAGATAGGTCTTTCCGTACTCGTGATATCCTTTGTCGCAACAACGGTAGCGATATTAACACCATTTTGGCTGCAAAACCGTGTAGACTCGACATTTGCGAAAATGGGATTGTGGGTAAAATGTGCACCTGGCGAATATCAGGATGAGTACAGGATAAAATATAATAAAGCCGAATTCTGGGAGGACGAATGCAGTTGGATCGTTTTACCAGTACAGTATCCATGTATGTTAAAAAATATGGAGAAATACATAAAATTGCAAAAGTAATTCTGGAAATTAAACAATAAAGCAACATTGAATTGCAACTCTTTTAATTTCAGGGTTATTTTTCGCAATTCAAATCTCGTACACGGGTTCTTGGATTATTCTGATCTTCACTGGGGCGAAATTGGCGTGGACAATTCTCTGTTCGGGTAACAGGACTTATGAAGCCAAACCGATGCAAAGGACTGCTGTGTTTCTACTATTTTCGGGTATATTTATTATTTAATTCGAACAGTAATTAAAATTACAAGTTGCTTTTATTCATTTATTCTAAAATTATAATTGGTTAGGTTTCCTCGGAGCGATTGGAATAGTTATATTCTTCACAATGTGTGAAAGATGGACTCCCAAAAGCAGGGATAATTTTATTTCTTGGTCTTTTTGGTTGGGAACGCTAGGTGCGTTGGGACAAATTGGAGCCAGTTTAATTTTCATGACCTAATTAAGGTTTCAGTGAACAAATAAATGCCATACATAAATTAATTAATGATCAATTCTAAAATAGTTGAAATATTAAGTCGGTTGTCAAATATCCATACCTTTAATAGCCACCACGATTACAATCACTATTCTGGAACTGGATAAGTACAAGCAAATATGTCGTTACTGTTCCAAGTATCTGCACGTTGTGAAAGTGACATGACTCTTTTACAGTGTTATAATTTTGTAATGCAATTATTTATATCGATGTACTCACAGGAGTGATAATTTTCAAGTCCACATTGAAAAAACCTGTTGCAATCCTGATCGGTTTCATTTTCACAGAGTTTTTCTAAACATACAGTATCAGTATTTATTAAGTAATTTCCTTGTCTAATAATGCAAAATTATGTAGATTTAACTTACAGGTATATTTTCATAAATTGCTAACGCTTCCAAAATTTCTTTAGTCTCTTCACTTTCATTCAGTAAATCCGAACCTTTCTTACACATTTTATAAATTAAGTAAAAATATACAACAACAGTTAATAGATTTTGAGCAACGGGTCGCAAACGACGTGACGGCATGGAAGAAATGAAAAATCCAGAAAATACAATTCTTAGCAAACTGTGCCCAATATCAAGTGTGATCCAAACTCTGAACAATTTGTTAAATTCGTCTATCTGTTCGTTTAATTTGTTGTAAAGTTTTAATAAAATTTCACACTCGGTGTAGTTCACATTTTTAATTTTATTCAAATTTTCTAACTTCCTCGAGCCATGCAAGTCTGAATATAACCAACAGGATGGCTCAATTTGAATGATAGTTTCGTCTTTATTCTTCAAATTTATGTCGTGATAATAATGCAACTTATTTCGTCCAATAGTTTGTATCCTTATCAGCACTTCGAGATACCAATTAAGAAAATAGACTACGAGAAACACAAATATTGAATGGAAATATCCTAGCATAACTGGGATAAAATATATGTAAAAATATTGCCAGGATCCTACGCTCTTCAAGTCCCAACACATTTCTACATTCCAAAGAGTAATTATTATGATAAATGTTGACAATTCAATATTAAAGCATTTTTCGAATCTATTCGATTTTATTTTTCCCGTCAAAGTTGAGACTATTTCTAAAAAGTTGATAAATTTAGTGTAAAACTGCTCAAGTTTGTTTCTCCTATAAAAAAGCATGTCAAGTTTTATGACAATTGCACAAAATACGTGTGATACAGATTTTAAGATCAAAGCGGAATAAAATATTCGACCACCGCTTGATTTTAATCTACGCTGCACGTTTCTCAAATTCGATATGGCTTCGAAATTGAGTAAAAATATGACTATTACTGATGCAGAAATAAATATATAAAATATGGGAAGAATTAAGAGGAAATTGTGTGATTTAAAAAATCTTTTGCTAAAAATAATTATCCGGTTTTGAAATGTTTGAGTGAAATCTTGGTTGCTGAAACCTTCAGCACTGTTTCTTCTGTTTATTCTAAGTCTGTAGTTATTATTTTGTTCTAATGGTAACGGAAAAAAGCCAAAAAGTTGGATTATCCGGAGTGGAAATGGTGAATAATTCTTCATGTTTATGAAAAAAATTAGCCAGAAAATTGATAAGGATTTGTGTCATATGGGTCCAACTGAAGGTGGAATAATGCGTCTTCAGGTTTTCTACTTCCATATTAGTTGAGCTAATTTGGAATTGAATTATCGGGATTAAATTAGGGTAGCGTACTATTTGTTGACGTCAATTTCTTTCATAAATAAGTAATTGCTAATTAACTTATTATATAATGTCTGACTTAAACAGGTGATCGCCTTCAACTAACAAATTATGATAATTGAATCCAAGCAAAAACAAAGAAAGGAGGTTGCTGATTTTGTGCTGTCCTCGTATTCTAGATGACAAATTTATTAAAATTTACTTTGACAAAATTTTAATTAGTCTAGAGCAATTCTGGTTTTGAGAAAAACATAGATATGCATATTCTATGCATATCTGTGGAGAAAAATTACATGATTCCCTAAAATATTTTGCAAATTGCACCAAAGATGCATTCAAATATAGATATATGTAAGTACTATGTTAATGTTTAAATTAACTATTTTTACATCAATTTAAGGTTGGTTTATTCCATACAAATTTTGCATGAAAAATTACGAAATTATGAATTATGAAGTAAATACGTAATGTCATCTAAATAAGTACGTAAATAAGTTCTCAAACTTGATGTTAATTCTTGGCACGAATGTTCTCATTACATTGTCGTTCGAGTAATTTCACAATTTTCGACACGAATCTGATCCTGCATCCCATACTGCTTGGAGTCCTTGAAAGTGTACAGTGACCCGAACAACCACCCCTCAACAAATTCGACGTACAACGGAAGTTCTTTACAATCAGGGAATTTGGTCAGTACAAATTTCCGCAATTTTATGTAATCTTTCACCAATTCCCTGATAAAAATTAAACCGTAATTCAATTCAATTCATTTTAATTTTCTTGGTAAATTAGGCACATACTCGAGAACTTTAATTTCGTCATCAATCGCATCATTTAAGGATAGCCCTTTCCTCACTTTGAAGAAAACTGTGCCATCCTCCTCTCCGTACAAGAGTTGTTTCTGCAGTCCGAGCAAATCGTTTAAGATTCCCACGAACTACAAAAAACTAGTTGCGAAATAAATGAATACCAATTTTTCCACATGTAGTATTACCTTGTCTGCAATTTCATGCCATTTGGTGAAGACTGGGTGGATTCGGACAAATTGAGGTAGCTCGATATTTTCTAGCATCTTGATAACGTTCATGTAAATGGGCAGTCCAGCTTCCTATGGAAGATTTACAAATATTAGTTGTATAATTTTTATTTCATTTTTCAAAAATTAGACACCATACCAACGTCCTAAAATATCTAAATGTGTCCACGCAATAGTCGTCTAATCCTCCTTCTCTCGATTTGACAAAAGTCCACCCCAGGGATTCGAAACAACGAACAAATTCAATTTTCAACAATTTTAGAAACTTTCCATTTGACAAATTAGGATTTGCAGTTTTAGCAAACTTAAAAATTTCTTTGGCCGAATCTGCAATCACGAAGAGGAATGGTTGATCCTTTATCATTTCCATGTTGATGGCATGCGTTTCCAAATCGTGCAAATCTTGTTAAAAAGATCACATTTTCATCACGACCATGTTAAAAAATTGTTACTAATTTATTTACCAATCCCGTCAGAATCTTCATATTTGAATGCTTCAACTACTGCTTCTCTGACCATATCGAAATATTTAATCTTCTTTAAATCAAGCTCGTTCTTGTCATCATCGTCAGTCCACCCAGACTTTGACTTGGTATCGTCAAGCCAATCGTCCAATATTGTCGAGATGATGAAACAGTGCGAAAGTACGCGAAATTTTTCTGAATGAATTGGATAACTGGGACATAATCGGAGGACGTAAGAAACAGCGTGGTTGACAACCCGTTCTCCATATGCAGGTTTAATAAATGACCCATAAAAGTCAGACACCCAATCTTCCAACTCTGACTTGAGGGAAGCTACTTGCTGTGAATCTTGTGAAATAGCATCTTGGTTGATGCATCTGGAATTGCGGGATTTTTTAGGTGGCAAAATGAATTATTGTGAAATTTATTTTATGTAAGACGCAAACTTTATTAAGTTTATTCACTTACTGAAAGATTGGTGGGATAAAAAATGAAAATTCCTTCTCCAATTTGGAAACGTGGCAGAAAGATGTCACAGCATTTTGAACCGAGGTGCTTAATCTTTTGGAAAATTGGTCAACATTTATAGAGAACTTGACCACGCAGGGGGCTAGTTCATATCCTTTGTTACCTTTGTTACCTTTCATTCCTTTGTTACCATTCTCCATATTTAATAGCAAATCGTATATTTAAGAACTTTAGATTTTGTAGAGTAATGAAATAAGTAGTTAGTGAGCCGTGATGATGGAACTTTAGTCGGTTTTGTTACATTTGCACTTCTTAATTTTTTTGCAAGTTGCGAAATGCTTGTGGTCATGAGTTTCATGGCAAGTGCTATAAGACACAGAATTGTTAAGTTAATATTGGCTTGAAAGTAAAACCAGTGCTCCTGGAAAAATATTGCATCAAAATGTCGTAAGTGTTGAGGTAGGAAATGATGTACCCTGAACGAACATCGTACGTAATTAGTACATATGTACACAAGTGGTCCAAATGAATGCATGTAAAAGCAGTTGAGGAAAGTTCCTCTATTTATTGTCAGATCTTCCAGCGAGATCAATCTATAAAAATACATACATGAATATTGTATTACATAATATACTGCTGAAGGTCAAGTGTTATAATATTTTTGTTTACAAAATATAAATTATTAACCATTTAAAGAGGACAAGTAAAAGTTACGATGTCCATAATTCGTGTCACCAGGCGACAGTAGAGTTGCCTTAATTCGTGAGGGAGCTTTATCTCTAAGGGATCACTATTCGTAACCAAAAATTCCAGTCAAATATCTTAGTTCGTGACAACTTTTTCGCAAAAATTTTTAATTTTTAGCCCGACCCAGCGGTTATGTACCCGTGTTGTCCGTCTGTCCCACGTTAACTCTTTTTATAATTTCCGATCGACTTGAAATTTTCCATACACCACATATATATCATAACATATACCATCCAAATACACAACTCGGGTTGGAAGACTGGTTCGATCGGTCAACTGGTTGGCCGGTGGAAGTCAAGGGTGACGAAAATTCAAAATTTGTATGAAAGTTGATAATGACTTGCAATGGAAGAATATGAGATGGAATTGAATAGATTTTTATCTTGACGTACCCTATGGGGTAAATGCTAATCGTAAGTTATTTGTCGACTCCATACTAAATTTCGTCTGATTATATCAATTTTTAGAAGTCGGTGTGGACCACCCCCTAGTGTCCCTCTGGCCAATTTTTGTTCATATTTACCTTCCTAAATTATTTCATCAGAAGGCAGTAAGGATCTCTGGTCCTAATTTCAGCTTTCTATGTTAATTCCTGAAAACTGGCGGGGGTCACCACATAGGATCCTTCCAGATGAAAATTTTTCAGATTCCAATGTATACTCTTCCATGAAGAGCCATAAGAAAACTAAATGCCAAATTTCAGCACGATATGACGATTTTGAAAAATCAGTATGGGTCACCCAATAGGACCCTTCCAGATGAAAATTTTACCAATTTGAGTTCATATCCTTCCTTTAGGACCCATTTAGTACCTCTGTACCAAATTTCAGCTTTCTACGACAATTTCGAAATTTTGGTGCATAATACCCTACCCATCCAGATGACCCCTTCGGGTCAACCAGTGGACCGACTTTGCCCATGTTCGAACTCGGTTCCTAGCTTTGTCCAATATGCATCTGGTAAAAATTTCAAGTCAATCGGCCAACTCGTTCCAGAGTTATCGAAAGACAGACAGACGGACGGACATGACAATTACATAAGCCCTGGTTCGGGCTACAACAAATGTCGACGTCACGAATTATGGCGAATTTGCCAGGGAACGACAAACGTCTACGTCACGAATTAAGGTAAGGTTTTCTGTGGCAACATATGTCATCGTCACGGGTTATGGAGCGGATTTTGGCGATGACATATGCCTTTGTCACGAATTATGGACAAGTCGCCAAAGCGACATATGCCACTTTCACAGATCAAATGGTTAAGGACCTAATCATAAGCTCTGAGAAAACTGATTGTGCAGATTATTATGTACATACGTAGATCACGTTTGTACAATTAAATCACTATTTTTCATCGCGTCATACTTACTTACAGATACAAATCAGGTTTTTCCTTCATTCTGGGTCAAAATAATTAAGAATTGAATTCGCCTCACTGATGGTAAATAGTTCACTTCTGTTCATACGTCTGTGTATGATACACAGCGTATCATAAGTACTTCCAGAAACTAAACTTGGTCCTCCTCTTTTGAAGATATTTAGTAGGACTATCGTCAGATTATACTTGATCAGTTTCAATATCTGGTGGAATTCGTTTTGATGGGTTTCAATTTCAATCAATCCATGAACTCTCAATTGAAAGATTAAAATTTAAACAATAAGAGAAAAATAATTTTTCGGGCAGAAGTGGGTCTTGATTGATATTAATGTTTTTCCACGTTTGTTGTTAACGGAGTGTTAGAGTGGATCTCATTCTTATGTTCCATGCCTTATTGTGCAACAACGATCAACATGTTCATTTTCCCCGAAGGTACATCCATTAATTTATTGTGGTCATATTCATAAAGTATATCTAATGACTAGCCTGTAAAATGACGGTTTGTATTAAAAATCTGTTGTATGTACATTCAAGCAAAGCCAATCTCACAGATTATGTATCCATGTATGTATGTATTTGAAGTATGTGCGATTCTTTAACTTTTTCTACTACCGCAGAGCAAGTAGTGATGACCCAGGTTGCAACATGATACTCATTCGTTTTTAAGAAAAAAATAATAAAGGCGATATCATTATTTTTAACCATTAGTAAGATAATGATAACGATATAGAGGTGTACTTAAATTGCAGATAAATTGCCGGCTTAACTATTACACATACTTGCTTAGCCGTTGAACTTTCGTTACATAAGCATTGTACATATGTACCAAAGAAACCTTTAAAGAAAGAACGCTCAAATACCACTATTACCAGTCTCGGGTAAAACACTGAGATTTCAGGTAATTGAAAATCGTCTGTAACATAATGCATAGGGATTCCCAATCTCTATCTTGGTTCGAAATATTGATGACCTCCATGGCAAGGATGGGGCCGGTACCGGATCATGTCGCGATCATAATGGACGGGTGAGTGAGTGGTTATTATCTTTTAATTGAGGTTTTCAATTAATCTGAAGAATTTGATATATGTAGAAATCGACGCTACGCGAGGAGGAAAGGATTGAAGGTGCGGCATGGTCATGAGGCGGGGTAAGGAATCGAATTTTTGAATGCCCAATTGATTTTAACCTTTTGTCATATTTGCGGATAAACAATTTCTTCCGTTATGAATAGCTGAAAATGCTTACTTTTTTCGTAAATGCACTAGATTCACTTTGTTTACACAATGCGTTCTTAAATGAAATTCTGGTCTTTCGTTTCTGAGCAGGGCGGACAACTTGATGAATTTGGATCGCTGGGGAAAGGCGGTGGGTTGCAAGGAGTTGACCGTGTACGCCTTCTCATCCGAAAATTTCAAGCGGTCGAAAGAAGAAGTTGACCACCTGATGGATTTGATGGGAAGCCAGTGTGCTTGTTGGCTGCAAGAAATGTATGTAATACACGCATAAGCTTATGATTCGTAACGCAAACTGCAATATATAATTAATTCGTCAAAGAGAAAGTGGAGACATAAAGGATGTGTGCATCCAAATGATGGGAAAGTGGGACAATTTTCCGGCAGAATTACGACACCGAATGGCTAACGTGATGCAGAAAACGAGACACTTTAAACCCTACAAGTTCAACATTGCGGTTGGTTACACAGGTAACAGTGCTCAATTTAGGTTTAAAATCTATGTAAATAATTATCAATTGCTCGTTGGCACTGCTCGATAGGTCGCGAAGGTATTTTACGCAGCTTGGATGCTCTGTCGATGAACAATGACGAACAAGGTGAAGATCTCCATCGTCTCATGCCGTCCCAATGGAACGAATATCTCGTCGAGCAATCTCAACACTTGCTCGACATGCGACCTGTCGACCTTCTTGTCCGAACAGGAGGAGATTGTCGCTTATCCGACTTTATGATGTGGGAGGCATCCCAAGCCTGCATACACTTTACTACCGTGACCTGGCCAGAGTTTAATTTCAAGGAGTTTATCCATGCCATGCTTGTTTATCAAGTGCATAGGAGGAAGGTGTCAAAACAGGTACAAATAAATATATAATACCTATTTACATTTGTTTGGGTATGTGCATGTTTTCAGTCTAAAGAAATAACCCCATTTGTCATTAAACATAATATGTATGACTAAATATTATTTAGTCATTGGCGATTGGACATCTTTCAAAGATTGAGTTGGCATCTGTACAACCCGTTTTAGAGAAATCTCGGAACGATCGATGGGCAAGGATTGAACGACTCGCCAAAAAGGATACGTCAATTGAAAAGATTACGAAGATAATCACTCCGCCAAATAAATTGGCCCAAATTTTGCAAAATTTGACAAAATTTTAACGTCTTGCTTTAATTTATTTAACAACAAATTATACAAACTCTGGGTTGCTAGCATGTAACATTAATTGCACGATAGGTAGGCCACAGGAACACACTTTCAGAATAAAGATTTCGAATCTACATAGATATGTAGAAAAACTGTCTACTTAGCTGATAAGTATTATAAATAGAATATACACATACTTATGCTCGTATTTATTGTTATATAATTTACTCCAAACCTAATAAAACCGGCTCTTGAGTGACTTATGAAAACTATCATAGCGAGAACTAGGTGTTTCGACCAATCAAAAAATCTGATCGGGAGCGTGACATAAATGATATAGGTATGTTGTACATATGTACATAAATGAGGCAAGTTAATATTTGTGAGCCCTTTAAGGAAGTGTCGGATTAAATTGGCTTATGGACAATTTTCATACACTCATTGTCATATATTTATATAACATAATACATAATTGTCGTACGTCATCCTTTTACATACATACATACATAAGTGGAAAATCGTGTCAGTTGATCATATCAAGAACAATTGTCTTGTATGGAAAATCAGTCATAGATAATTAAAAGAAAATAATATCCTTTACTCCGATTGTTCTATTTCTGTAATAAGTTGGAGCTTTGTGGAAGTTGAGTTCCCGATTGATGGTCATCGTTTTCAATTTCTGGTATTTATAAATAAATCCACGAAGCTACGGCTGCATCAAATCTGAACTACTTATTTCAGTATAAGTTCTCCGGGTACTTATCTCAATTCTGCTGAACAATCATTTTCACAATTATTCACATAAATATTCACATACTTACAAAAGTAAATCGCTTGATATTGTTGCAGTCCTTAAAACAACATCTCTTGTTTGTGGGAAGTTTTTTTGCTAACATAAAAATAGTGATTGATCCACTATTATATAGGTGCGTTTCTTTTATTTAATAAAATTAAAATCTGGCTACGAAAACATAACTAGTTAAAGTGAACATTAGCATTCAACAGAATAACGATTTTACTTTTTTTTTATTGAAATTTGGAATCTCAAAGTGGTCAATGTTGTTAAAATCCTGTAACATGTTATTGCTACACTTTTGGTTTTTGTAAAATACAACTGCACAATTTATTGCAGATGATATGTATCTACGTATCCAATTAACATAATTACTGAGGATAAAATACATAGATACATATTTGTTTAACAGTATCACACGTGCACCATTTTTTATTTGTTGTTGTATCGAGCTAACTCTTTATTCGACATAAGCTTGATTTTTTTCTACTTCCATGTTTACATAGAACATATTTATAATTTTTACACATACGCATATATAAATATTCATCAGACTTAGGGATAATTTTCATATACATACAAAACATCAGTAAATACTTCAATAATTTTGTGGTATTTAATGTACAAAATAAATTTATTGTATCATTACCATACCTTTTGAATTCAAATTACAAGCCATTTTTTGACTTATTGCTTTCGAGGCCGATTTTTTATCTGCTGAGCAATAAAAATTGATATACAGATAGTGAGTTCATCACACACTAGGTTGCTGACTTTTGTAGGCAATGAACTATCTACACCGCAATATTTAATTTCATAGCGTTATAGAAATTTATATAATATCTAGCAAATATTTTACATGTTTTTTTTATACCAAAGAGGGAATTTTGGTTACCCAGAGTAATTAATCTTGCGAAACTAGTAAATGCTTGGAAATTCGGCAATATTTGCCTATGTTAAATTTCATACCGCATAACCAGCCTTTTTACTCACGTCAATGGGACACGTTACATCGATGATTGCACAAAATAATTCCCATAGTTCCTTCCTCTTAAAATGGTTGGAAGATGTATAAAATGAGCAAAGATTCACAAGCTATTTGGCAGTCCGGTGAATAATTTATTGCTACATATTTATTTACATATACATAATACTTATTTGATCCATAATGGCCATGCAATCCGGTCAAATGTCAATTCTGGAAATTTTGGCTTCGTCCATAGTTAAAATGGGCCCAATGCCGGAACACATAGCAATAATAATGGATGGGTGAGTGAAAAATATATATTTTTTTCAAAGATGTAGTAGAAAGTAAATTATTCAGAACCTGTTTTTCCTAGAAATCGCCGGTATGCAAGACGCAACGGGTTGAAGGTGTTGTTTGGTCATTTAAAAGGGTATGCAAATATTTTACATAGAAAATTTTTATCTCTCTATGTATTTCTTGAAAACTCAGATGTATACAATTTTCTCATTAATTAATCGTAAAGCTCAATTTTGAATATTCAATTTATAACTTAATTTGCTTAGGGCTGAAACTCTTGCGGATGTCGACCGTTTTGCGAAAGCTCTTTTATGTAAAGAATTGACCGTCTATGCTTTCTCGTCAGAGAATTTTAGAAGAAACAAGGAAGAAGTGACCAATTTGATGAATGTAATTGAACACAATTGCACAAAGATGTTACAACGTGTGTATGTCAAACCAAATACCTTTCACCTTATTTACATAATTTAATTTAGCCCCTTCGTATCATGTGTACGTAGTGACTCTGGTACAAATATTGACACATGTATCCAATTTATTGGCGACTGGGAAAATTGTCCAGACAGCCTACGGTACAGAATGGCAAATTTGATGGTAAAAACGAGAAATTTTAAACCGTACCAGCTGAACGTGGCCATAGTGTACACGGGTAAAATTAGGATGAATATCTGTATGTTAGGAACAATACAAATTTATTTATTATGTCATTATTTATGTACTTCAGGTCGAGAAGGGATTCTACGAAGTTTAACTTCTCTCCCTGTCAGTATTAAGAACCAAGAAAACGTTAACCTTCACTCGCATCTCAATCCATGCGAGTGGAACGAATATCTCGTCGAACAGTCCCAACATCTCTCTGATATGCGTCCGGTCGACATGCTCATCCGAACAGGGGGCGATTGTCGCTTGTCTGATTTTATGATGTGGGAGACTACCCAAGCCTACATCCATTTCACTCCGGAGACTTGGCCAGAGTTTACGTTTTGGAGACTTCTGCACGCCATCTTGATGTATCAAGTGCATCGAAGGACGGTTCCAAAACCGGTATACTTATAGATTGTCTATGAATTTTGGAGTTTCGAAGTCGTGTTTATTTATTTTTTAATCTGAAAATTACAGGTATCATCAAAGGAAAATATTTCAAAAATAGAAGTTGATGCACTGCAAGGCATACTTCGCAATGCACGAAATGAGAGATGGAAAAGAATTGAACAGCAAGCTATGAAGGATACACCATATGAAAAAATTGAAAAAGTTATTAAATATGAAAACAAATTTCTGCAAGTAGTTCAAAATTTGACCATATTTTAATCAAACTACTTAAAAAATGTAGTCGAGCTACAGATTGTCAGTCTAAAAATCCCAAATAATTATATGTATAACGTGATTCTACACATGAAAGGGCGAACTTTTTCAGGAGAGTCAAAATCTTTTTGTACCTTAGACAGATACATATGTATGTTTACAAGTAAAATATTAATGTGACTTTAAAATTCGACGTTTCGTTAAAAAATAGAAACGATACACTGTAATAATTTCAATACGTTTATGTAACCCAATGGTTCATAGGTATCAGATGTGATATCTTGTCCTGTGAAACTTGCTTGTATTAAATTAAAGTTTTTTTTTCTTTTCAAGTGAAGAGTTATCCACCATGATAGCATCACGGTTTGATAGTTACACAAATATTTGTGCTCATTCTTACATACCTACAATACCTACATGTAGTTGCTAGAAAAACGATTTACCGTAAAAATTATTAGGCTACTAATCATAAATCAGTCTTTTGTTAGCATATGAATATGTATTGAATTTCTTATTTATTCATATTGACGATTTTGATGTGGAAAGGAAGTATTGTATATGGCAATAGTTGCGTTTACAGAATTGCATTTATTTATTTATTTGTAGTTTATCATAGCAAGAACAAACCATTTTAGTTTTCGGGCACGACTTAGGTATAAAACTTTTAAATATGTATAAATAGTAAATTGATAAAATTATTAAATACACAAATCTGTTACTCAAAACTTTAGTCTCATAGTTCCCGTTTTCTGTTTTCATGAATATCACGCGTCTTCCACTAAGAGATCTAGTTTCTATTTAACTCATCAATCCTTACAAACAATGTGTGTTACATTCCATAAATTAACTTTTCAAGATCCTCCACAACCCTTCTTCCACAATCTCGCCATCTAGCAATTGGTATTTACATAAATATATAACCCACATCATGAAACTCAATCATTCATCATCCTTCGTGCAATAATCCAGAAATCCAACCGTTATTCCGCCCACGAATATAATTGAGAAAAGTACAAGGGCAAACACTTCAGTCTTTTTAACCCCATTTATATGCACCGAATGAATACAGTACATAACGATGCAAACAGAAATAATTTCAGTAAGCACGATAAACCATCGTATACAGTATTGACATTCAATAATTAGTGGCCTGGGTACCCCGAGAAGCTCTAGATTAGCGGCAATATCGGCGTACACGTTACCTACCGTGGAACAGTTCGGAGTCCCACGTAACAGAATTCCGCATACGACTTGCCCTCCGTCCTTATCTAAACAAAGTAATGGAGAACCAGAATCTCCATGGCAACCACCCGCTTCATGAGAATTAGTACAAAATTGGGTTTCGTTGTTTATCCAGGAAGATTTCCAGATTTTTTCGCAAGTCTGGCCCCTCGCTATGGACACTTCTGCCATGAGAAGCTTACTGTTGTCGCAACTAGTCTTTGTGCAACCATATCCGAGCAGAATTCCAGAACCGGAGGCGATGTAGCCATGCTTAGGAAGATTAGCGATCCCAATACTGGGCGAAGGTTTGAATGGCGTTCCTAGCTTCAAAACAACCATGTCGCCAGATTGTGTGATGCTGAAATTTAAGATAATTTGTACTCATCAAGTATATACTGGTACAATTTCGGATTTGCTTTATTTTCATAACGCATGTTCTAATGTTAAAACTATGGAAGAAAAATGTATCAAATTCACTGCATAATTTTACCTGTTATAATCTTCATGATTTTTAAAAGCTATCACGCTTCTAAATTTGCATCCAGATTCGTCTTCTCTACGCCTCTTAAACAAGATCTCTCTTTTAGTGATGGGATTGACGCATCCAACGGCAACGAGAAAATCCTCCGGATCTTTAAAACTCTTCGTGTCATTATTATAAATGCAATGAGCTGCCGTAACTACTTCGTCCATTGACCTAAGAAAACCCCCACATTCCATGGAACCCAGTGATTTATTGAAAATTCGTGCCATAAAATTATATTCGGTCGGATCAACGATATGATGTTTTGAGACTTCATTCCTTTCCACAACAATGTTCTCTTCGGAAGAAAGAATAATAGCGGTCGAGTGAGATCCATAAATAGCTAGAAATTATGAGTCGTACAATTTTAGAATTTAGTATGAGCCAATAATAATTAATTTACAACCTACCAATCACGACTAATGCTATGATGAGCGGATATCCCATCATTATAAGTAAAGCCAAGATGATACACGAATGAAGGATCGATTAATCCATTTTGTAAGCTTATTAACAGGGATATAGATTATTTTCCTATGATATATTTAGATGTGTACTGGTACATTATAAATATACTAGCGAATAAGCCCGTCTCCCGCCGGGCCAGCGAGAATTATTAACTGCAAATGTCTGCCGGCAACGAAGTTGTAAAAGTAAATGTTCCTCAGCGAAAGTGATAGTAAAGATACTTTCGAATGACGCGTAAATTCAAAATAAGCCAAATGAAATGTCTCTGGAAATTAGTGAATTAAACAAAATTAAATGTGTCATGGTAGTTATCTTGAGCTGGTTGTCTTGGCTACTTCACTGCGAAGTGCTCTGGAAGTGAATTGGAACTCAGCCACGGATATACATAACTGTACCACTTCACTTTAACTTTATCTTTAAAGTGACCAACCCGTTACCACCTTCTACTTCACTTTAACTTTACTTTACTTTAAACTAAAGTGGACAATCCTGCATACCCGTGACTGACTTCCAACCCACTTTAATTTTACTTTACTTTAAAGTAAAGTGGAAAATCCTGCATACCCTGATCTGACTACCACTTCACTTTACTTTACTTTAGTTTAAAGTAAAGTGGAAAATCCTGTATACCCTGATCTGACCACCACTTCACTTCACTTTACTTTAGTTTAAAGTAAAGTGGTCACGGCAACCAATATATCAACTGTTAGATAAGCACCCATGATTAACATCCTAGATAACCACCATCGGATAACCCCCCAGATAACCACCATCAGATAACCCCCCAGATAACCCCCATCAGATAACCCCCCCCAGATAACTACCATCAGATAACCCCCCAGATAACCACCATCAGATAACCCCCCAGATAACTACCATCAGATAACCCCCCAGATAACCACCATCGGATAACCCCCCAGATAACCACCATCGGATAACCCGTCCAGATAACCACCATCGGATATACCCCCAGTTAACCACCATCGGATAACCCCCCAGATAACCACCATCGGATAACCCGTCCAGATAACCGCCATCGGATAACCCCAACCAGAAATCCACCAGTCCAAGATAACCATCATCAGGCAACCACTCCCACAATAACCACTCCCAGATAGCCATCAGGCACCCATTTCTAGATAACCATCAGACAACCACTCCCAGATAACCACCATCAGACAACCACTCCCAGATAACCATCAGACAACCATTCCCAGATAACCATCAGACAACCACTCCCAGATAACCATCAGACAACCATTCCCAGATAACCATCAGACAACCACTCCCAGATAACCATCAGACAACCATTCCCAGATAACCATCAGACAACCATTCCCAGATAACCATCAGACAACCACTCCCAGATAACCACCGTCAGACTACCACTCCCAGATAACCACCATCAGACAACCCCCAAAATCTGACTTTTAATTTTTAAATTTTGAGTTTATTTTGAATTTTCGCGCCATTCGAAACTCAACTTTCTCTACTTTCACTTCCGTTGCGGAACATTTACTTTCACTTCCGTTGCAGACAAACATTTCCAGCTTATAATATAGATATTATTCATGTAGTTAGAACCTTAGGTTTCACAGAAATGCCGAAATTACTCGAAAAAATTTCAGTTACTGATCGCTGAGCGAATATGAATATCCTAAAATGCAAATTTTATTCATATCTAGGTACGTCTTAAACCAACGAGGTGGTTTGACCAAATATGTAGAAATAAATACACAGGAAGTTTTACTTATCTTTTGGCTTATCTGCTGGGATTGATTCAACAGTATGTGCATCAACATTTCCGGGTGTACCGGCGAGGTTTGGTACGCATTCTAAGAATGAGTGATTGAAATTGAAAGTGTCAAAGGCAGAATATCTTTATGTATTTGAGCCGAGTTGCTGAAACTTCCTTGTTGGCAATAAATATTTGCATGCATTTACTTAGATATTACATTAAGTACACTGTATTGAAGTAAACGGAAATAATACATACAGCATTATGTAAAGTAAATATGTATTTAAGTTCACTATTTATTCAAAGCTAAATCTAAGGAGGACAACCCTTCACCGACAGAATCACCGATCTTGATGCCCTTTGGATATGTTGTAGTCCTAGGTGAGTCTAGCAAAAGTGAAGAAGGATTTCATTCAATGGCCCCATTTGCGCCCGCCACACCCACTCAAAGGTGCAAAAATACCCTGTTTTGGTTCATTAAAAAAATCACCAAAAATCCAATTTTGGTCGGATTTTCACAATTTAAGCATTTTTGTGACCCTAGATAGTTGCTTTATCATATCCAATAGCAAACTCAACTTTTTTGAAATTTTGATTTTTTCGAAATCTACGAAATTTTCGAAAATATTCAAAAAATTCAAAAAATTGAAATTCATGTCGGATACGATAAAACAACTATCTGGGATCAAAAAGGTGCAAAAATTATCAAATTATCATTAAAAATGGATTTTTGGTGAATTTTTTAATGCGACCAGTTTGGCATAAGATTCCTCTTTGAGTGGGTGTGGCGGGCGCAAATGGGGCCATGGAATGAAATCCTCCTTCACTTTTACTAGACTCACCTAGGACTACAACATATCCAAAGGGCATCAAGATCGGTGATTCTGTCGGTGAAGGGTTGTCCTCCTAAGCCAAAAAATAACCCATCGTTGTTTGTATCAATCGGCACAATTAAAATTTATGGAATGACTGGGTCATCTAGCAAAGGAGACTAAAAACTCTGTAAACAACAACATCTTAAATCCTGTATGCATATGTACACGTACATACAAACATAAAATCATGTCACTCCAATTTTAATCAGAATACATATGATCGATGTGTGATATCCTGAAAAATATTGACAAATTATTAATGACAAAACCATGGCATTTTTTATTTCCTGCCAGTCTACAGTTGTATTTATCACAACTGAATCTCTTTTTCAAAATATGCATATGACCTAAGGTAAAAAGATTGATTTTGTAGGTTATACTTTTAAAAATTACTTTCGTGGTGAGAATAATCATTTACTAAAAAATATTTTGTAATTGATTTTGATTTCCTAACTGACCATAGAAACTAAAGTGGTCATGGGTTCCGGGAATAGTCGGGAGCTGGATGATAGATCTCATTTTCAAGACTCCTCACCACATTCGGGAGAATCATATTGGGGTCCATTGTCCGTCCGTTCGGTGGTCATCGCTGCTGCTCCAGTGACTTATTCCGTTGGCAAAGCGACTGGAGCAGCGTTGGCAGCATCGCTTTCAGGGATTTCTTCACCCAGTATCGGAGTCGTCGTGGTCACTGGAGGTACATGTGCAGCAATTTGTGCCTTAGTAGCTGCCAGTAATAAAAATAACCATGAAAAATCAGATTGATGACGAGCAGACGCCAAAGTTGCACAAGGCAAAAGCAAATAAAAAACGAGGCGAAGGTTTTAAAAAATGTCGCCATATGTTAAAAGTCCAATATTTAGTCCAAGCATTAATGCAAAAATAAGGTCTCATTCTAATTTCAATATTGTGATTTATATAATTATGTGTGTATGTATCTCCCTATCAAACTTTTAAAAGTATTTAGATTTCATTCATTAATTTTAAAAAAATACTCAGACTCGAAGCTTTGAAACTCTGTCATACTTGTCTGGATTATTTTTTTTTATCAATAGGATTACTGTTGCATATCTAGTTGCGATGACGATGAATTACCAGAATTACCAATACTTACAAATATCTAATACAAATAATGTGATATTAAATCGCGGAGATTTTTAAAACTTTTGCATAATGTGGTCGGTAAATTAATGAAAATAAATAAATAAATATGTACGTACGTATTTATGTATGTATTCAAATAATATTTATTCCAGATACTTGAATATACTTTAATTAGCATATGTTAATTTAAATGTTGTTTTAAATTTTTATTTCTAAATTAAATAATCTTGATTAATTACAAAAAAATTATAACCTCGCTGTTCTCAATAATTACATAGGTACTTTTATTTTTTCTAGCTTAATTCTTAAAGCTTACATGTATTGTTTACAGTAAATTTGATGGTGGTTCTTATTGATTATGTAGCAAAATAACTTGTGCGATGATGTCTTGCCGATTACATGCATATTGCAAATCCTTAGTACGAAGTACGAAATCATAAAATTATTGAAATTGTAGGTAGTACATATGTTTATGTTAACATTGTATGAATGTTGTATACCTATATTAAACGATAGATTTAGGTATTCAATATATATGTATGTAATAAGATTTCCATAATATATAACGCACACTAAGGAAACAAATGCATTAAAAATCCTGGAAAGTTTTAATATACTACCGATTTCATATTGCTAAAAAGTGCTTACGAATTCAGGTTTAATAAATAAGTAATTGCACATTAAGCACAAGTTAGCTACTTCACTATGTATGTATACATAAAGAAACTTTGAGCCGGATTTTTATGCTGTTAAATAGCCAACGCATTTATGCATGTTATAATTGCTAACTTTGCAAATTTTCAAAATTCATGCTACAAAATTGCACTATGCTTGAGTTTAATTTCAATCCCTTCCAGACCATGTTGATTCATATTAGCATTAAGAAGTGTACGAATTCCATACTTTAAGCTACATCCAGTCACTAATATGGTAAGTTTTAACTCCACGTTTTGAAATCTGTTTAGGCGAAAAGTACAAAAAAACATCTTCAATTTTAGAAAATTCTGAGCATCCTGATTACAACCATTCTTCAACATTTGATCAACTATTCTAAAATGGCCATGGCGGATTGTTGCACATCATTCATAGCGTATGGCTGCACTGTTGACGGTTATCCCATGTCACGCGTCGGCTTTTCGGAGACCTGCCTTGATTGTACAGTGCCCACGCCGTGCTGTGGGTACCAAAGTTGTAACATATTCTGTTGTAATTGCGAGTGTCGTAAGCAGTGGAATTGTGAGCAATTTATGGGGTGCGTACTGGACAAGGGGAGGAGAAAAAGGTCACTGCGAAATGATTTTGCCCAAATGGAATACGAACTGGAAATTGATCCGGACATCGGGGCATATACCATTTTCAACTCGGTCGATACCAATTCGGATGGACGTCTCGACTTAGACGAGGTCAAGACGTGGACGAAATTGAGGAATGTTACCTTTAGTAATAACGAGTTTCGTGCAATGGACGTTAGTGGAGATGGATATTTGCAATTGGGTGAAATAGATGACGTAAATGATGATTGAATTTAGATCAAGAATTGGTTTTGATTGATTATATGCTTCCTAAATGATTTGTACATTTCTGGTCTAGTAAAAGTTGTGGATTAATATGAATAATTTTCTTTTGGCTAATTTTTTTAATAATATTACATCACGGCATCAATTTATTATTTATTCTTGTGTCATGATCATGCTTCTCGATTGCTAACCATTGCTGAAATCTTACGAAGCCTAAATTTGTATAAAGTAAAAGTTGACATAATGCATACTTGACAATACACGGAGCGAGAGAGATGAATACGTGAGTACGGGTGATGATAAATATCATGCTTAAGGGTACATATATGCATATAAATATACAAATAGTTACATGTTATTGTGATAAAGTTTCGGTGAAAATAATAGTTAAAATAGTAAACTATTGACTATTGTAAGGATTACGTATTCTGATATGGGACAATAATGGACACCGTTTCCTGTTGTCTGTTAGATACAGTGTGTGGTGACAATGAGAAAAATATGTATGTATATAGTAATAGAACCTGATACATAAATACATAAATACCTACATACTTAAATACATACATATTTTGTATGCCAGTAAAATTCCACGTACTGTTGCAACTTTCTCCTCTCAATATACAATTTAGTAATGTACATACATACACAATTATTTTAAAATAATTTACTTATTTCCACAAGAAAGAACTTTCAATTATACATATATATACATACACATATATACTTCTAACAAATCCTAATAAAATGTGAGACTAATACATACGGATAAAGTCCTTTTAATACATCAAGGTTATAGGCTCAAGTTTTGATTTGGCCTTTGTGATCCTGCTTGGAAGGAACCCGCTTCGCAATGTTAGGATTGTCGTTTGACAAAAATTCTTGCATAAGTCTGCATTTATTATTTCTCACTAGACTTTGTATACGAACATACAGTACCGAAAATGACAAGACGGGTATAATTCCAATACACACATTACTCCAAGGAGTAGCAGACTGTGATCTCTTAATTTTATACGGCAACTTGGAATCAGACAGGTTTCAGCCCACTTCGTTTCTACCAACGTGTCTTCTTTTCATGTCAAACTATTCGAAATCTCGAGAACGGATCGGCAAAGTTGATTGGGTTCATTTCGCAATTGATATTTCGCTATCAAGAGTAGCCACCTGCCAAATAAGTATTTTTATTTCAAATTTCTTAACCGAGGGAAAACAGACTAAATTTCCATACTGGTCACAATTTGGAGGTGATCGTCACTTTATTTTCGGCAGGGGTAGGGGCCACTCCGCAGTATTGCCTACTTCTACGAGAAACGTGTACGCCATCATTGCAACAACATACACCAAAGAAATCCTGACTAATGTATCCCTATCGGGAAAGCTATATGTACAAACAATAATAAATTTCGGAATAGCATTTAATTTAGGAAACGGATATTACGAATTGTGCACACAAAGAGCTGGAGGACGTGCCGAAATTTCCGAGATGAATTGCAACCAACACGGAGTTAATGTCGTGACGCGATTTCAAGACTTGCAAACAATTCAGACGAAATGGGAAATATTTGGGATTGATAATATTGATATTGTGATTCCAAAAGGGGCGAAAAAACAGATTGACTTCATGTCTCATCCAAAATTCATCAACCCATTTGACCGGATCGCGAACTACCCGATTCATCAACACATTGCCCAAATCGTATTTCGTAAAATTAACGGAACTCTTGCCTATTGTACTTGTTTACTCCGAGGTCATTCAAATATTAAATTGGGACATTTTACGCAATACGACTACGGGGACTCGATCAAGGTCCCTCTCGAATTTACAGGCTATAAATTTTTAAGTTGCTACTCAGAAACTGCAATTAGTTTCCAATTTTATGTCGCTCCATTTAAACGCGACGTTTGGATTTGTTTGATGGCTTCGATTTTACTTGTCATTGGAATGTTGTCATGCTACGTGAAATTCATGTGGGATGGTAGCAGTACCACCTCGTTTTGTGCCTGGCTGACCGTAACAGCAACAATATTTGAGGAGCCTATTTTAATCACAAATAAAATTGGGAAAAGTGATTTTTTCCGTTTGGTCTTTGTCACGTGGGCATTGGTCTGCGTCCTTTTGACAAATTGTTACAACGGATTGATGATTTCAGCGCTCAACGCTCCACTAGCAGGTTGGAAACCAGAGTCGTTCACGGACTTGGTGTGCGGTGGAATGAACACAAATAACGCCACAGAAGAGTTGTTCGTAAGAGATCGTGGCGTCCTGTATTGGTACGCAGAAAAAATAATGTCAGCAATTTTCGGGAGCAAGAGGCTACCAAAACCACCACCAGGGAACCAAACTTTTCCATCTCCCGAATGCTTTAAGCTGCTATCTGCTCCGGAAGAATCACATTTCCTCGGAACAAGAATGTACGACTTTGTGAGCTTTCTGGCTTCATCTTATTCAAGTTTTCTGAACAGGGATATTTTTAAAAGCGTAAAGCTAGTTCCTAGTCCACTCTTGTACAATTTGCTACATCCCAAACATGCCCATCACCCGGATAAAGTCAAAGGCAACGATTCACTTGAAAAAATTCGTAGAGTTATCGAAATGGATGTTGTAAAATGTGGGAAAAGCGTTTATGTCGCTGAAATATCTGAAATCGCAGCTCAGCTAGATTTTCTTTCCAGAAATTACTTTTGGCTCAAATTCCATACAGGGAAAGATTTGCTGAATCCACATTACACAGGATGGATCATTAAAAGGGAGGGAATATCTAAAGTCTCGACGTACTACAGGTTGCTAATCGATTCGGGAATATATGAAAGGTTGAACGCTGAAGTTATCAAAAGAAAATTTGCTAATCGTCAGCCAGTCGTCAAATGGATAAACCCGAAGACTAGGCAAGCAATAGGGATGAACAGAGGAATTGCGACACTTTACATTTTGTGCGGATGTATATTTGGTGTGGCGTTGCTATGTTTTGTCCTAGAACGTAAAGCAATGTTCATATTTTTTATATTAAGAGTTATTTGATTCATTTTACAGGTTGAGGAATAGTTAATTAATATCAATAAATAACATTATATTTAGAAATATACTGACTTACATAACTTGAAATTATATAAGCATATAAGGGAAAATAGAACAGATATAATATCACGATGCATTTATTCTTCTAGTTCAATGGGAACTTCATAAACTGTAGTTCATTGTCATTTTTGTCGATAATTTTTAGTTGAAAAAGTTCCATTACGAAAAGTTTGTAACAATTTCACAGCACATCCATAAATATTTAAGTAGTTAGTAAACTCTGGAAGTTTACAATAAATGACTACAAGTAAGTGCATAATTACATGGCCTGGTAAATATTGTTTTGGAACTACATACATGCATACTAAGACAAGTACTTAAGTATTATTACCGGCTACGAGCTTCCGGTGCATTTAGTTTGTCGCTGAGCAGAAGCCACACTCATTCGAAATGCAACAAATGCTGCTTTATAATTTTTGGATTTCGATAAGCTTGTTTAATTTCCAAATATCTATAAGAATAGGATCCACCCTGCGCCCTGCAAGCCATCCCATAAAAATTCACCAACTAATACAAGGCGTTTCTCACTGTGATCTCCGCGTCTTGCACAATGGGTTGCAATCAATCAATTTTCAGCCTCAACCTCAATATAACCAAGTACCAACTACGTTAATATTTTTACCGACTTCTTATACAAATACTTCATCTCGACGGAGACCTGATTTCAAATTGTTTGCCTTGGACATTTCTAGGACAAGAATTTCTATTTGTGTACTTGAAATTTTCATCTCAAACTTCTTAAGCAAAGAGAATGCATCTGAACTTTCGTCGTGGTTCAAATTTAGGCACGTCCGTTTTAAAGAAGTTGGTTCACCACGGTCATACTCGAAGAAAAACGTTTATACAATACTTTTCACAAATTATGAAAAGAAAATCTTGGCCAGCATGAGAATTGGAGGATACTTTAGATTCACGGAAAATTTTGGGATAGCATTCATCAAAGAGGATACAGCTTTTGAATTATGCGTACAAGGAGGAAACCCTCCAGAAATTTCCGACATGAATTGTGACCTGAAAGATAGTAAAGACATTCTGGCAAGATTCGTGTCCTTAAAAAAACCACCAATCGAGTTTGAGCTACTATCAATCGACAATACGGACGTACTTTTGGAGAAATCCGACAAAATAAGAGATTTGATGTCCGAAACAATTAATCCGTTCGTCCGAACCAGCAGGTCTTCAATTCATCAACACTTTTTACAAGCCATATTTCAGAGGATAAATACCAGCCTAATTTATTGCGGAAAGAAATGCAAATACAATGGCGGTGGATTTATTCAGCTTAATAAGTTTAGTCTAGATTCGACATGCTGTTCAGTGCTTACAGAATTTTCGGGCTATCAATTTTTAACTTGTTATTCTGAGACCAGGATAAATTTCAAGTTTTACATTACCCCTTTCGAACCTTCCGTTTGGCTGTGTTTAGCGTTTTCTGTATGCGTAGTAATTACGTTCCTTTTCTCGTATGTGAAATTTATTACCCGAAATACATTTTTTTCCTCGTGGCTGTCAGTTGTGGGAACCATGTTTGAGGAATCCAGCCAAATTCTGAGACAATTAATACGTCATGATTTTATCCGATGGATGTTAACCGGATGGACGTTAGGATGTCTCATTTTGATCAATTCTTACACAGGCTTGATGATTTCTGAATTAAATTCTCCGTTTTCTCAAAGCAAGGTGGAAAAGTTTCAAGATCTTGTTTGTGAAAATGATAAAATACATTTATTTGGGGATCTTAGCGATGCCACTGTACGAGCTAGGCTGCAGGATCACTATAAAATTATTCGTTGGTATGTCGAAAAGACCATCTTGGAAGCATCTGAAAGCAACACGTCGCATTTACCCAATTATTCGGTCACATCGTCCGATGAATGTTTCAGATTGCTGTCACCACCCGAAATGGGTTCGATTACAAGAAATCCGAAGGCCATATTGTTCAAATTTTTTTATTTCCTAGCCAAATGGAGCACGCGGAAGGAAGAGCAATTCAAGTTAAACCTGTATGAAAAACTTTATCTGACCTTACTTCACCCGAAGCATGGACACGGACCGAAGAATTTCGATAAGAGGACAAATTATTCAGCGCAGGATATTCAGAAGATGACAGAAGAGGAAATTGTACAATGTGGAAAAAGCGTTTTCGTCGCGGAATCGAATGCTCTCAAAGCAGAGGAGGATTTCCTAAATAAACACTATTTCTGGATAAAATTTCAAAAGGGAAAAGAACAAATCAATTCATTTCCGACTGGATGGATAACTTCGAGGGAGGGAATTTCAAAAGTACCAAACAAGCTGGAGTCATTAATTGAGACGGGAGTACATGAAAGATTGCAGAGGGAAGTCATGAGTCGAAAGTATTTGTATCGGACACCTGCCATTCTCAAATTGAAGGGAGATGTTATCGACAATGCAGTCGGAATGACGGGAGCCATTGTTACTTTGTTTATTTTATGTGGTTGCATTTTGAGTGTAGCGTTAATTTGTTTCCTTGTAGAATATGTATACATTTTTATAATGTTTTAATTAAGCCACCAAGTTGATTGACACTGGGAAAATCAATTAGCATTTTTACTAATTATGTATGATATCTAGAATAGTTGCAAAAATTCATACAGAGCATAAGTATGCCAAAACATGCAAAGGGAATTCTGCAAATTATTTATCTATGTTTGTACACCTCTAAGATTTATACTAAATATTTATTGTCTTAACGATGCAAGCCAACAATAATTACATAATTGGAACAAGCAAATCTTAAATATTCATAATTATCCCTTCGCCGCTTTTGCCGCTTTGGCTTCCTTAATCTTATTCCTCTTCGCGGTATGCGACTTGCAAACATCGGCCTTACAATCGTTCACGGCTTTGTCATGTCGATCATCCATTTTTTCCTGGGCTTCCGGGCTAAGTTCGCTCTTCTCGGGTTGCGTCTTGTCATTAGATTCAACCAGAATTTCCCCAACTTGGTTATACGAAGACTCTCCATTGCTCTTAACGTCGCGTCGTACTCGGGCGGATTTTGTTGTAAAATCTGCAAGAACTTGAGCTGCTCGAGCAATCTGAGCCTGCAACTTTGCCACAATTTTGGAACCAGCTTCTGGATTATCTGCAACAGCGATTTCGCCCATGTCCGTTAGAGCCACACGGACCAGGCTGACGAGGTCCTCGATCTTCTGGGTGTACTCTAGGCCATCAGCGACATTGGGGATCGGCGCCTGGGGTGTCGAGATTGGGACGGGGGCAGCCTTGGGAAGCGATGGAATACCGAATTGGGGAACTGGAAGATATATTTTTTTTAATTTCTAAAGTTTTTTAACCATAAAATTATTTATCTACTCACCAGCCGATGCTGTCTTTAGTACGACAACGAACACTAAAATCAAAGAAGGACGCATTTTAAGTTCGAGACAAAGTCGACCACCAGACTATCTGTAGACCGGACAAGGAACAATCTTCAACTAACTTGTAGAACAGAGTTACCAGCTCTTTTATGTTGGAATTACAAAAAATATAAATCTTGTTGACATGTTTATTATGATTTTAAACAAGTTATGTAAAGAAAGACGAAACGAATCACGTCAATTCAGACAAAAATTTGCATGGAAAACATTGGCATTTCTTTAATGTCCACATCACGATTAGTTTAGTCCAGTCCACTCCAGAAACAAACAAATGGAATACGATCTTGGCATATGCACGTGGAATTTGCATTCGCAGTACGCAAACTGGGATACAATTTTTATTACTCAACAGAGTTTGGCTGAATGTGATGTACTGAAATAAATGGAGCAACCGGTTTTCTAACATTGGAATCGTGCTCAATACTAAATAAATTCGTAGATCAGGTGCGTTTAACTAATGGATATGGTAAAACTTCAAGCAAGATAACCACACGAATTAAACAATGCCAAGTAAAGTAATAATAATTCTGCAGGAATAAAGTTGACTCGAAACCAATCACTCAATGTAGTCGTAGATCGGGTCAATAAAAAAGATTGAGTCAACCAGTAAGCAACTAATGAATTTTGTGTTTCTGATGCTAACCTGACTGCTTAGATATACATTGTCAGTTATTGTCACCCATGAAAAACTGGTCAGCATATTTTTGCAGTCTCAAACTATGTACTGTGTAAATAAACTGATAAAATTTCCATTAATCTACTTTTTATTGTTAAAATCTAAATACTTTTATGAATTGAATATCACTCTTCATCCAACTGACTGACTTTTGGTTCGATAACTTCGTCAAATATATCAGAGTAGCGAAACTCTGACGTAGTTACGCGGAAAGTATCATTTGCATCAAATTTGGTCTTTTTGAACGAAAAAAGACGATTCGTATCATTTTCCGGGTCATCGACAGCATTCCATTTTTCGGAACTATGAAAAAATTGCAATATAGCGGCCTAGCTCGGATTTGGCTGAATTTTTTATGTGAACACCCTAAGGTCCCCTGAGCATAAAAATATCTTTTTTTCGCGGCGGTCTCAAAAACTGAAATTTCTAGAAATTTTTGAAATTTTTTATAAAAAATACTTTTTTGCCTTTGATTTTCATGAAAATGACTTTCTACACTAACTAAAGTATCCTGAACACGAATCTGAAGAAATTTTTGAAAAATGTTCAATAGCAAACATTTTTGAAATTTTGTATACAAATTATTCTTGGACGTTTCAGGGAAAGACTTTGTCTCACTTTCCCCCTGTTAGGAATGTTTTGGGGTAACATCAAATTTTCGGGGTAAGATGAGGTTTCTAGTTTCCGGCTATCCTAGGTAGCACTACTACCTAGCTCTCCTAGGTAGCACTAGTAGATAAAAATTCCACGCTTTCCGCCTACCTAGTTCAACTAACCTAACCTGCCCGCTTCGCTCGCTAAAATACGAACAATACCCCAATACGGGCATAATTAAAACTTTTTTGTTATTGAATATTTTTCAAAAATTTCTTCAGATTCGTGTTCAGGATACTTTAGTTAGTCTAGAAAGTCATTTTCATGAAAATCAAAGACAAAAAAAAATATTTTTTATAAAAAATTTCAAAAATTTCTAGAAATTTCAGTTTTTGAGACCGCCGCGAAAAAAAGATATTTTTATGCTCAGGGGACCTTAGGGTATTCACTGCAATTTTACCGATCCCAGTCGTAGTATTCGGCAGAGAGGATGATCCAGGTTGAATACCAGGTAATGAAAATTACGAAAATTAGTGCAAAGAGCCAAAAAGCGTAGCGCTGAGAATTTGTGACTATCGCAATGTAGGTTTCCCTCTCTTCTTCTACTTCGTCCTGGGGTTTTTGTGGGGGGACGTCACCACCCTAAACGCAAATTCGATATTATTAGTTTGTATAATTTTTCTAATGATTATGTCACACGTGGTAGGTCACTCACATTTTGAGGAGTTTGTCCATTTAGATTTGATGACCCATTTTGTGCTTGTTTTTCTTTATCCTTCTCTTGCAGTCTTTCTAGTTGGCGTCTCATCCTGAATTTTAAATTAAAAAATTGCACTACACTGATATTGCAAATATCTTCTATTACCAGAAATTCTAGTGATAGAAGATATACGTATGTATGTGTTCTGGTCCAGAACACTTAATTTGTATATAAATCTCACCAGTAAATGACTGTGAATAGTACAAGGGCGATAAAAACTAGGAAAATGCAAAACACCATCCAGATATCTACATGGCAATTTTTAAGCCCAATTATTTCTGCTTTATGCATAACCATGGATGAATTAAAATAATTTTTATTATAGCAAAAATAAGTGGAAGGTATACCTATTGCCATGGGATAGCTGACTTCGGGGGCTTGTTCCCTGCAAATTGGTTGAATATTTTAGTATTGTCACATTAATTTGTGTAGCACATGCTTTCTTACCTCACAGCGGTGAACATGGCAGTAAGCGTGAGGAGCTAGGATTTAGTATGTCCTTAGTAAGTGTTAAATTAGTCTCACTTTTAATTTTTGCAAATGCATACCGTGGTCATCGAAATTCCGATCCTGACTTCAACCATATCAGCAGGAAGAAGGAAACACAGCCATGTAATTAATATGAGTAGAATGGACCTTCGATTTTTAGGAAATTTCGTCAAAATTAATAAAAATTTCGTTTTTAAATAACCAAGTTCAAAATCTACTTACGGCAAGTACGTCTGCACAAGGTGATAGGTGATATTTCTCCTAATTTCGAGAGTGAATGAAAGTGCAGAGTAGTTTGCTATGAAATGAGACAAACTTGTAGAAATAGTCGTTACGTATTTTCAGGATCTTTACTATTTAGTTTATGAAATAAATTCATACTTTGTGAAAGTCTGGTCTGCGATGCTAAATATAAGTCGTCCAATTCACCACCGGGTTCCACGGCTGAGACTTGAAACTCAAAATTGGAGTCTTCAACCTTGTCGAGGAAAACGCTGCGAAGCTCGTCCCACATGAGGAAGAGTTGATCGACGGGGTAGGAATCTAAGGAACAATTAAGAATTACATCTTAAATACTCTAAACTTGTATATTGAAAACTACTTTATGTATGTACATACAGCTTCGAATATTATATTCGCATTTCTGCGTGTCTGCAGGATAAAAGTGAAAATCCATGTCGCATCGCAATTTGAGGGATTGCCTGTAATCCAGAAAAATCAACTTTAGACCCTCTAAATCCAATTTACTGACTCCAACGAGGGGAACAAACTAAAATGATTACCTCGCCTTGAATGTAATTGCTCCCGGGATTGCATCGTTCCGGACCAAAAACCGCAGCGTGATAAGTTTTGAAAGGAGCGAAGTCCGTTCCACGGATGCCATTTCATCTGTTATGAAAACTCATCACTTAAATTTCCAATTATTTACAAAGTTAAAGATTAGTTACCAATATAAATATCCGGTTTCCAAATATGCCTCAGAAATTCAGAGTCCAGCGTAATTTCCTCCGGTCCCGACTTTGCTTTCTCTCTTATTTCCTTGTCATCCATGAAATGCTTCCATATTTCCCAATCGATCCATGACACTCCCAATTCCGTGTCCAGCTCAATCACCTAATTATTTATTTATAGAATAGAGTACTGCTGTTCATTTATAGATGAATTTCTCTTACGCAACATCATACCTCATTTTTCGTATCAACATCCAAAATTTCTCGAATTGCTAGTTGCACCATGACAAAAATGGATTTGGTAACATTTCCCAGTGGAATTACCAATTTGTTGTAGTTCGGAGGAAGTGGGAGAAATCCGACAGAAGTGGTCTTGTTGAGATTTGTAGTTCGCAACGGTTCAATGGGTTCATCCCTGATGTTTTCAATTAGTAGACCAGAATCCTTATCTGGGCTGGAACGTGCACGTGGCTGTGGGGCTCGTTCCACTCGTTTGTGAATGGAAGAAGAACTGACTGATCCGCTATATCAGAAATTTATGTTAAACTGAAACATTGTTAGTTAAAAAATGTGTCAACTTTTCAAACCTGATTAGAAGCACAAGTGAAACGGATAAAATTAAAAATGAATTTTTTCTGAGAATCATTGTATGTATATGATTTAGAGTTAATGTAATAACTAGCTGTATATTTCCAGGTGACGCTACAGTGAAATATGTGCTAAGACGAAGGCTAAATGTGATGATATAATCTAGAAAAAGTTGAGAACTGAGCAGTGAATGTGAAACAATAGGCACCAGGAATGAACAATATTTATGCGATTGTAGGGGTGAAAATCAAGTCAAATTATCCAGCCCTGGCTGTCTCATTACTGCAAAGACTATGAGATCTTGTCTGAGGTAGTGCTTCATACGTACCCTGAGGCAAATTGGTCAATTCCAACAAATGAAGTAAAAAGTGGATGAGTGCAATAGTAGAGTAGGGAAGATTGTATTGTTAAATGGACGTGTATGGTCAAGAATTTGCTCATTTTTGTCTCAATCTGTTCCATTCCAGCACAATAGTGGACATGCACAACAAGAATGGCGAATATTTCGCATCCTGTTTTGTTGAAGAGATCACGTTTGTGTACGTACCTCATCTTTGCATATCATTCTTCTTCTTCGTAAACAATTACATTATATGGATATGAGCAAAAAAGGTGGAAATACTTGTCCATCAAATATATCAGTATGCATTTAAGAAAGGGTTCATATCTGGGTGGGATACGTTTTTGTGAACTTCATATAAAATGATTTTTACGATAGATTTGTCATTTGCAAAAATGTTAGCAGTTGATTTCTTAGAATTGAAGGATGGAATTTGGACTGAAATTGGCAATTGTTAATTGTTCAAATTATAAATTACTTGTAAATATAATTTATTAAAATATGTACATGTCATCAGAACTCATTAAAGTTATGAATGTCACCGGGTAATCGAATATTATTCAGTCTTGAATATTAATCAGTCTTAAGTCTTGTATTAATATGAGTTTTCTTTTGACCACTGCCCCGTTGCGAAACCATGTGGCATACCCTGCATACACATTTTCAGTCTCAGATTCATATAGCATAATCAACAAGTAATTCTGATTATTTTAATTAACCCATTTTCCTTTAAACATGACGGTCTCTTTGTATTCATGCACAATTCTGAGTTGAATAACGTCCCACAGGATCCAGCCAATATTTCCTGTGAACAATGATGTCAGTCCTCTTATGACGGTTAGAGCCGACGCCATTCTCCACCAGAGATCAACTTGGTAATAATCCTCCTAAATGTACACGCGTGTGCATATTGATGTAGTTGAGTTGTACAAGAAAAAATATAAATTATCCAATTATTTGCATGCACAATTATTACGTCGTTAACTCCTCGATATAAAATGGGATCTATCAGGACGTACGGGCCGTACAGGAATAATCCCTCCACGATTAATAATCTGGCTTCGGGGTCTGCGTTACAATAGACAAATTGTTGTTAAATTAATGAGGCACGTGTATATAGTGTAATCTACAAAATGAGAATATTCCATCTTACCAATGCTACATTCCTCTTCGATATCGATGATACATCGCAACGAAGAATAGAGATTTACAATGGACACTTTTAAAATTAAAAACATTAAAAAGAAAGAGAAAGCCTGTGACAAAAATGTTATTTGGTTAATAATTTGGCATATGCAAATTATGAAAAAGATGTACATATAACACTTTACCACATTGAAAATTGCAATGCCCATCACTGCATTCTCAAGGTTGAAATACGTCCAGAAATCTTGAGGTGCTCGAAAATTTTGTGTCACGATTTGGAATAGCTCACCTCCGTCTAAACTTTTTTGAAGGTGCAGATTCATTTCAAAAAATTATTAATGTTCTTTTTTATGTATTAGATATGTTTGTAATGAAAAAATGACGGTAAACTGAAGGTCAGCTGGAATAGGATGATTATAAAGTAAGAATGAATACACTCATGTTTTAGGCATAAAATGAAAACGAAAGAAGGACTCTTACGAATGCATGACCTTTCTTTGTTATTTGTTATTTCTTATATCAACATCTTTTTGTTGGTTCATCGTACATTCAATGCACGTGGTCGTGTGAATAAGGGAGTAAAAAGGGACGAGCTGTGGAGGGTACCCTGCCTGGATTTTATGTGAGGGATGAAAAAGATGTGATTGTGCTCCTGCATGCATGCACTTAAGTATTCTGTATTCCATCCAACCTCTATGTACATACAAAGTTGGCTTGACACACAATGTGAAAGGCGAGGACTTAAAAAGTGTCACTTTTAGTTTCCCTTGCTTTGTTTCTAGAAGGAAAAGTCAGCCCAACTCCGAAGTAACTGAAAAATAAAATGCCTTTACAATGTATGACTAGATGACGAGATCCGTGATAACCTAAATAAATATGAAATTACCAACGATAATGAATATATTTTCAATTTGTTAATCTACTTGAAATAATATGCGTAACATGCATACGTAACATGCAAACATTTAGTACTTCTTTTCTCCAAAGAAAGCAGTACGGCGAGGATACTTTCACTTTCATGAAGTAATTTCAAATTACTATGTAATTTTCAATTGTACACCACATTCCAAAGCAGGATCTTCTTGCCCGAATATTTGTTAATCACCCTACAAAGTATGTAACTAACTTGCTGGTGAGATAGGTATGAACATAAGCCACCTATTTAAATTCATGAGCATTCTTATGTTGTGAAACTAATTATAAGCATGTGATCACATCACATCACAAATAAACCAAATCGTGCAGATTTCCTTCCTCAATATCTAAACTGATTTATTTTTAATCATTTACATAATATTGAAATGTGGTGCAAACTATAACTCCTCGATTCCCTCGTGACCGTTTTCACCGAATGCACCCCGCTAAGCAATTCTGCCACTATTCCTGCTTTTGACCTCTTTATTGATAACTCGATTTGCATCCCAACACGCACAGACTTTCCCCACCATCCTACGGTCATTCAGCTCAGCAAAAGTTCTCTTTTCTTCGACAGACCTGGAAATATATTGGGGCAAGGCCGTATTGCTACATTTGGTTCCATCCAAGGTGGATACACACTCCAAATCCTTCGCACATTTTATAATTTCTGGTAACCGTGGATCACGATGAATGTCTGGAGATTGAGGAGGTACACAGGCCGCCGTTTTAGCCCAGCGACAAACTGACTTCCCATTGGTTTGGTTGACCTTTTCCAAGACGTAGTTATTGCGTTCGTACTTATCCCCCAATAAAGCCTAACATAAATACATTTGGATCAGAACTTTGTACATATTTACATGCGTACTAACAAATTAAAAATAACTAGCATATTATCTAATTTTAGAGACCTGTAAACGAAACTCGCCACAAATGCAGGTCCCGGTCGCCTTACTGCAAACGAGCATATTCGAAGGGGAGCAGTACGTTCTGTTATTCTCGACTGTATCGTTTACAAATTTGTCTAGAATTAGCATTGCTATTTTGCTGCCTCTGAGGAATTTATTTATCTTTATAGTTAAATTTTGACGAAATTGTTCATCGTTCCAGGAGCACGTTTCCTGATATTCGAGGTTATTAGAGAGCCCGAATTTGACACGATAGGATAAAGGGACGCTGCTTTTATCGTCACGGGTAAAATTTGAGGAATAGTTTGCAAGGATTAACGTGGCATTGTATCACGTGTTTTTTGTTTGAATTGTTGTGTCTCAACTTTCCCTTCCTCCATGTATTCAAATGGCGATTTTGAAAAATGTTCACCGCCTTTCGTTTTTAACAATATGAAGATAGTAATGCACCTAAAAATCGGTAATTTTTAGGCTTACATAGTTAGGAGATAAAAATTTTAATTTTTTTCTTCAATGAGGAAATATTTAAATTTTATTGATTATTTTTCATCTATTTTATATTTATCTTCTTGTTGAAGAAAAAAATCAAAGTTTTTATCTCCTAACTATGTAAGCCTAAAAATTACCGATTTTTAGGTGCATTAATATCTTCATATTGTTAAAAACGAAAGGCGGTGAACATTTTTCAAAATCACCATTTGAATACATGGAGGAAGGGAAAGTTGAGACACAACAATTCAAACAAAAAACCCCGCATCAGCCAGCATGCTATTCCGCCTTAAGGTTGGTGATACAGCTACTAATAAGAAAATTGAAATCGGGATACACATTGTAAAACTTTATGGAGAGCTGGGAATGTTGCAAAGTGCACCTGTCAACTGTTTAGTATTTGTACGAGTTTTGTCCAGTAGTACTGAATTATGTAAATATGCCGGAGATACTGGAAGCGTTAATTGCTTAAAATCCTTGCTAAATAGATGATCAAATTTACAATTTTGGAATAGTTAGTTTTAAAGATGTAACATGCTATGCATTGTATTGTAAATATACGTGACCTTGCACTGCACCTCACTTATGTAATTGTATATGCACATATTTATATATTAAGATGCTGTTTTCAAATACAGTCATTTGAGTCATCATTGTAAAATTGACAAAGTCATATCATGTAGTAAAATAGTGTCTTGTCCTTAGAGTTGATGGAATGATTGTACGTACATAAATAAGCAATTAATGTACATATGTAAGTAGTTAAAGGACCAGAGACTAAAGAATGCAGGATAAAACGCTTCGCAGCTTTCACCGTTTTGACTAAAAAGTTTTCAAATGTTTCACATAAAAATCGAGATAAACTTTCGTAGCATGCTTTATTTATAGAAACCCACTGAAATACATATTTTCTGTATGTTAAGTTTAAAGTACCAGATTTTTCCGGACATTTTTTTCTACAAATTATTTTTACGATTAATTGAACAAATTTAATTACCTGCACTGGCATGTACTTACATCAAATTACTTATAAGAACTAAACGAGAAAAGAAGGTATCAATTACAGCGAAAACTTTTATGCACATTTCGGTAAATTTTGTCCATCACTTGCATTAAAACTTCAGGTACTTGCTAAAGTAATAATAATATCTCATAAGAGTTCGGTGAACATAAATTTCCAACACTATCAAAACCACAGCCACCGCGACCACAACGGCGCATAAGGCTAAAAGGTACCAAAACGGACCCAGGGAATCGCTATCACTCGAAATTAGCAACCTCGACTCCTTAAAGTTTGAATTTAATTTTACAAAATACTTCGAATAAGTTTCATTCCCAAATTTTCTCACAAAATGTAATGTTCTTCTCATTTCTTTCATCCTACTCCACCTTTGCTTAATTCCTGCCTGTGACAAATATTGCATTGAAAAATAAATCTTTCGAGATAAAAAAGTCTGGTCACCTAAAACAATGCTCCTGAGTGAAATCGAAAAATGCGGATTGTTCTTAGTAACCAAACGCTTCCCCAGAATGTTGAGCGACTCCCGGAGTAAACTCAGCTCTTCTGACTCGTCTATTATGGCAATCGCCTTTTTGGTCGGGATTATATTCAAACTTGAATTTGGCCAAATTGGAACTGAATCTGACATATTTTTCACCATGGAAACATCAACGTTTCCATTATGCACATAAACTATTTTTCTATCTGCAACTTTTACAAAATGAACGAAACCCTTGTCTTGGTTATTCTTGACAACGTCCGGAATTACGGAATCTTTCAAAAGTGAACGGTACTCAATATAATTACCGTCACGTGAAGGCATCAACATTTGGGTGGTCGTTACGATACTAATGTTCGACATGAGCAGGGAAATAAATTTTACTGGAATTGAGGGGGGATGCATGACCGTTAAATCTGAATAGATAGTCCCCTGGTACAGGTTGTCCATGATGATGTAACACGCAACAAACCATATTGCTAAGAGTGGTCGTGCCACGTGTTTAGTTCCAATTTTTTTAATGACTTGGTCATCAATAGATTGCCCAAACAGGATCGACTGGACGAGAAAATAGTCTCTGAGAGTTTGAATAGGTGCAAATCTACTTTTTAAACCTTTCCCCTCAAATTGTAGGACTAAACAGATGCAGACACAAGAAAATAGAAGGCTGAGCCAAATGGCATTTTCGAAAGGGTTAAAGACACCTAAAATACTGTTCTCCACGATGGGAAAATTTGAAACTACTACAAACCCGAACCGATGTATTTCACAATCATAAATTTTTACACTTTTGTTTGTAATAACTTGAGTCAAGTTATTAAGTAGAAATTGCCTAAATTTAACGTATCCAATGATGTCGACTAAGTTACAATTTTTTCGCCACTCGTCTGCTCTAGCTAAGTGCAAATACGTAAAGTTATATTTTTTGCCTGGTATTAGCAGCATGCAGATGTATGGGGAATCTCCTTCGTGAAATTTTGACAAACTGTAGCCGCAATTTTCTCTGTTAGTCGTTGGTAAAGATGTAAGCATGGCAGCTCCGTTTAAATCCATCGTATTAAGCGAGTCCCAAACCTTGTCAAGATGACGTAGCGATAGGATTGACTCGACTTCTTGAACCATTACGTCACCTATGATGCGAGGAATAAAAATGGCGTAGGGGCCTGTAACACTAAAAAATATAAATTTTGCTGAGGATGCCCTGCGTGCATAGTTTCTGTAAGAATTCAGCTTCTCAGATCCGTCGAAGTGGATGAATAAATAGTCAGGAGTTGTAATTAGTAAGTAGTTTTCCACTTGATTAACTGACGAAGTGATTGGTAGAAGGTCGAGAAATGACACCTTAATTCTTGTGGATTTTTCAATACGTGACACGGGAAAGGTGAAATTCAAAAATGATGTATTTGTAGTTAGAGGTACGTATGGATTATTAGATCGTACTTGATGAAAATACTGGTCACTTGAAGAGTTTCGACTATTTTGCGAGGGACTTAGAACAAAGTGAAGGTTTGCGTGTTCAAAGAAGTTTAAAACATTTAGCAAAGAATGATTATCAGAGTTCTTGATATTCAGTGACAAATATGAGTTGGAAAAGAAAGAAAATAAAATCATGTTGGCGCATAGGTATGCCATGGTTTGAATTTTGAGACTACGTAGTATTTTGTAGCGATACTGTCAATAAACTAAACGAGGACACAATGTCCTATGCCAACTCGGAAAATATTTTGCATACATCTATGTAAATACTTAGAAATAAGAAAATGAAGTCATCTAAATATGGCCTATTTCTGTTATGTAAAGGAAATTCAACACGCAGGTTTTCAATAATTAGGTAGCGGTATTAATGAGCTTTGTTTTCAAGAAACTAATATACTTTCCCTTACATGCATAAATTATTCAACATAAGACGAACTAATTTAAGAATTTATACGAAAGTATAAATAGGTACAACGTTGCGTGAGGATCTTAACATATGGACGAAATAGTTGTTCAGGTAGAACATGGGGAACGTTCAAAAATTGCGTAATGCAAGTCAAGTGGGAGGCGGAGTTCGAGCTGTTGCGTTACAGGTCAACTTTCACTCTACATATGTTACAGAACTGGTATAACCCGTTGCAAGAAGGACGAAGGATAAGAAAAGTGGGATTTTGGGTTACCTAATTTATGAATAGTGCCTTATGATAAATTGACAGAAAACAATTGACCAAAAGAAACAGACGCAGAATTTGAGGAACGCCTGGACTCAAACTCGACTACATGACTAAGCTTCTCATCATGCACATAGATACTTATGGCCACTCCTCCTGCCTGATCGATCCAAATGATCTACGTACTAAAAGTTTGACTCTTCTTTTTTGATAAGCAACCCTATGAGATGAATATTTAAAAATAGTTAAGCCAAAATTTATGTGAAACTAGTTTGCATGCATGTAAGAATCTGGAGCTCGAGGGGAACGATTCAAAAACTTACGTGACAACTGAAACAAATAAGGCTGGTGGATAAGAGGATATATGTATTGGTTCAGTGCATTAATACATAAACATGTTGGTCTTTCTTAGCAGATGATAATAGTAGATATAAGTAGCAACTTGTCAAAATTTCCGAACACCTCCGTGTCAAAAATATTGATTTATCGTCGAGAATTTCACTGTTCGTCGGGTCAGATCAATTGAAAAATTTCCTGTGTTGTAGGAACCCTCGTAGGCTCTTGTATGTATATACATATGTATGTGCGGAGTTCCGATTTGTCTGCGGTCGAGTACACACACACAGGACAGAGCTCCCAAGTCACTTTACTACACTCGCTCACTCACTCATTCACACAAATCTCCCATACTATTGTCTCAAAGTGCCTCCATCCAACTCTGAACTCCTTCATCATGCCTTCCCCCAGAGGATCCAAATCAAAAGCCAAACCTACACCCAAACGTACCAGGGATGACGTTGTAATCGAAGACCAAGACATGTCAGATGCGGAGTCCACCAGCTCCAATTACACCAAACTGGAAATCCAGGAGCTCATTAATAGTGCAATCAATCAGACAATGCTCACTTTCGTGAAGAAAATAGAGGAAGCCATCGCACCCCTTACGATCATCACCACAAAACTACAGGACCTCGAATCGAAAATGCACACCTTAGAAGCACAGGTAGCTAAACTGGAGTCGAACAGCCCTTCCACACCTGTCCCGGACCGCCATGAGGCTACAAAAGAGACGATGGCAACTCTCACCGCCACCCTTCTAGAGATGACCACAGCAATGGGCATCACCAGTTTTGACTTTGATGAAGCATTTCGCGTGGGCAAGGCTACAGCCGGGAAAGGACCACGTTCTGTCATTGTAAAACTTCTCCGATCACGTGACCAAGGGACACTTTTCGCCCAGAAAAAGCAACTTTACGCAAGCAAAACCGGGAAATTCGCACAAGTTTACATAAATGAAGATATGACGAAAGAGGAACGTAAAACGGCTGGTGAGCTACGAGCGAAACTACGCGAACTGAAGGTCACCGACCCCACCACAATGGGCACGATTCGAAAGGACATACTCACCACCAGAAAGGCCGGTGTCGTTGACAAGAAGTACAAGTGAACCCCCACTGGCATCACCATTATCCCATGAGGACGTCGGCCTACGAAGGATCAGATAAGCATAAATCCTATTTCCAATCTTTTGCTAAACATTATTTTCTTCAACGTAGAGAACTATTATAATATGTATAGTTTAAGTGCACACGATCTATCTGCTTTTACTAACTCTGCTATTGTTTGCCTCTCCGAAACCTGGCACACCCAAAACCCTGTCGTCGCTTCGCTATTCCCGCAATTGCTGCTGATCGAGCAAAAAGCCATAAAACCACCTGTCGGTCGCCCAAAAGGGGGGCTAATTCTCCTCCTCAATCTGAAATTCTTCACGCTCATCTCAACCCTCCTTACGACCGACTCAGCCATCATCATTGAAGCTAAGTGCAGTCACACAGGCGCATTATACGTAATAGGAAGCTTTTACTTTCCCCCAACCCGAGAAGGAGAACTCACCTTGATGGACCACCTCATAACCCTCGAGGAGATCTTAGAAAAGCACCCCAACCATCATCATATCCTTGGTGGCGATTTTAACGCCAGGATAAGCTCACTGGGATCACTCATTAACTTACATTCCCCATGTCCCCAACTCCGGAAATCTCAGGATCAAATCTCAACGCCCCGAGGTGAAACCGTAATAAACTTTATGACGGACAACGATCTAGTATGCGTAAATGGACGATTTGAAGGGGATTTGAGTGGAGAATTTACTTTCGTATCCAAACAGGGAAAAAGTGTGATTGACCTCGTTTTTTGTTCACCAACTATCGCAGCTGTGACTCATAGCTGTGGCACGCTCAGCGTCCCAATATCCCATCACCACCCATACAAACTCACATGGCAAGGTTCTTCCCACCAGTACCAACTCCCTATACCGCATATCATTAAATTCTCGAGGAAGAGTGGCAAATACCAAGCATTTCAGGAGACTTTGCATACACACTGCACTGCACTACTTGCATCACGCTCCATCGCATACCCCACCCTGGTTAACACTATTACGGATGTTGCACTCTCCACTGGCCTTGCTCGATTTTATGACAGCCTCTCACACATACCCCATAAACCATGGTATGACAAAGAATGTCATGTTTCCAACCGCTCTGTAAAAATCTGCTTACACAACGCTAAACGCAATAACTGGGACATTCATCATACAGCCGCATATGTGACCTCCAAGCACTCTTACAAAGCCCTACTACGTGACAAAAAAAGGAAGCAGGCTTCACGGCTGAAACAACAACTCAATAATGCACTTCGTCAGCAAGACTTTTGGCAGGCAATAAAACCTTTCCGCTCCACACCATTTGTCCCTAACCTTATTACGAACGAAAAATGGATTGAGTTTTATGACACTCTCATGCCTCCTCCTCCGACACACAAGGAATCATTCATCGGTGTCACTCACCCTGACTTAGATATACCAATCACTATGCAAGAACTACAACGGGCCCTCTCATCTCTTCCCGTCGGGAAGGCTCCTGGTACCGATGGTATACCCAATGAGCTGCTTAAAGTCCTTCCAACCGATGCTCTCCTCGTACTCCTTGAATGTTTTAACGAAATCTTTGCTTCCGAACAAACACCCGAAGAATGAGGTTTCTCCATCACCGTGATGCTCCATAAAAAAGGTGATAAGCTGAACCCGAATAATTATCGCCCTATCGCTTTACTCAATTCACTCCTTAAACTTTTCACCCACATAATATGCCACCGACTCACCAAATGGGCTAATGAATGTCATATCCTCCCCGAGTCACAGTGCGGCTTTCGGGCCGGTCGTGGTTGCGATGACCAAATCTTCACCCTCACTTCCGCCATCACAATTGGAACGCGAGGGAAACGGGCATCAGTCTTCGGATTATTCATAGACTTTGCGCGGGCCTTCCCTTCCATCCCACATGACAAACTATGGAATAAGTTGCATACTATAGGAGTCAGCGGTAAAATCATCCGCTTACTACAATCCTTATACAGCAATGCATCTACAAAAATCCGTCTCCAGGATGCATACTCCTCCCCTATTGCAATTACAACCGGTTTATTACAAGGAGAAATTTTGAGCCCTCTTCTGTTCAGCCTCTATACTTGCGATATCGAAGAAATCTTGTCCAACCTCGACGTTTCCGGAGTCAAAATCAGCCCATCCCTCACTATACACCTACTCATGTATGCTGACGATACTATTGTCCTGAGCTCTACTTGTGACGGACTACGCATGAAGATCCGCGCACTGCAAAAATACTTCGCCCAGCTATCCCTAAATGTCCACCTTGCCAAAACCAAGGTCATCGTATTCCGACGCAATGGCGGCCGGCTACCCAAAGGAACAACTTTCACCTACAATGGAGAACCGATCGAAATCGTCAACCAGTATACGTACCTGGGGGTCCCGTTTTCATCTTCTGGGGTCTTCTGCAAAGCTGCGAAACACTTCAAGCAGAAAGGTTTAACCGCTTTAGGAGCCACTTGGTCCATTCTAACCCGTTCCCGCCTCGAAGCAATGCAAAAGAAATTCAATTTGTTTTCCGCCCTCGTCACCTCTACGGCCCTATACGGGGCCCACCTCTGGGGTTTACGCTATTTGGAGGAAATTGAGAAAACTCAGTACCAATTCCACCGTCGTTTACTTAGCTTACCGCACGGTACCCCATCTTACGCGATGCGCTTAGAACTTAACCGACCCCCACTAAGTATTCGAGTCGCCCACCAAACCCTGCGCTACTTACGTAAGGTGATGCAGCATGAGGAAGATCGCTACACATCTCAATGCCTCTCGACTCTGCAAATACTAGTTGCAGAAGAACCAGATGACGACATGAATTGGCTCAACCAAATTAAATCCTGGATTGGCCCGTTCGCTGGAGATTATGACTGGTCACAAAATCATCTTGCTGATCTCACCAGCCTCATCCATCATTCCACCAAAGCTATGACCCAAGCAGCACTAGAAGCTGACATCACCCGTACTTCACTCTCGCAAAGGTTTAGCTACTACTCCCGCCTACTCGCGGATCCACCAAGTCAAGCGCCATACGTCAACCTCCCCATTCCATTACCAGCATTGCGAATAATAGCACAGTGCAGACTAGGACAGGGCCGTTACTCCACACCATTCGGGATGATTAAGCTCAACTATGATGAAGAATGTGATATATGTAACCAACGCGCATTAAACTCCCTGTCCCACATTCTCTTACACTGCCCACTACATATGCAAGCTCGGTCAGCATTCTTTAGTCACCAAGCACGTCATCCTGCTGACATTTACCAAATTCTTAACCCAACCTCCAAATTGGAAGCTCTCCGTCTCTCAAGATTTATCATAACATGCCTAAACCAAATAATGGAGATTTCATCTGCCTGAGCATAACCCAGTGCTTCTCAGTTTCCTCGCCACCGCTGAGCGTAAACCAACACTGAAAAACTCGCCCCTTGTTCTGAGTCTCACCCAATCAGCAAACAGCAAACACCCATCGTCTTTACACCACCGTGTACAGCAGTATGGAAACCAAACGCTACACTGCCGTCTTTTGCATTCGTAAGTACTGTCCTTCCTCATCACCCCACCGCCCGTTCCTCCCCCTCTTCTCTGGAAGAAGAGCCTGGAGTAACATAACAATATCCGTGCTCGTCAAGCTCACTTTGATCTATAATATGTAGTATCTCTGGTATGCCTCCTTGGCCTCCTCCCCCCGACGAGAGGGCGCCCAACGGGGGCGCAACCAGATGCCCAAGCATGGTCTGCAGCAGAAATTGTCGACACAGCCGGGGACGTGATGGAAGGCATCGGTACTTTCCTTCACCAGATTCGAACCCTGTGGAGCGACAAGGCCAACACGACACTCAGACTCCCTAAATACGGCGATGATCATCTCTGGATGGAATACCTACAAATGGACGTGGTTGACGCATTTTTATCAAACAAGACCTTCACACTTACCGAGCAAAAGCTGAAAGATGATAACCTCCTACTAAACTTATACGCTGGCTCTCCACTCTATCCAATCCCTCACCCTGATTTTCCTCACCCTTCTTGCGGCTGTCAAATTTGCACGGGACACTTTCTACGGGGGCCCCACACCCACCCAACCAGTGCCCCACCAACCCATCGCTGCCACGACCACCCCCCAGGCCCCAAACTCTGAGCAACTCCAAGCACAAATTCGACGTCTAAAACGGCCACGACATGAGGACGACCAGCCAGAGACATCGACCTTGTGTCAGCCCCCCCAATTGAACATGTCATTTTCCACCACCGCCCAAGTACTCGGGCCCCGCCCCTTCCGCGTGGCCCCACCTGACCCACCCAGGCCATTCTCCATCTCATCACCCAACCCCTTCCGATGCTAACTGGACCCCCCCCCCCCACCGCCACGACCAACAACTTGTGCCATAAAACAATAGCAGCTTTCCAATCCTTTCTATACTTCCACTCTTCTATTCTCTACCAATATAAGATTATCCGCAATTAGTTAATTAATTGAAATATTTAAATTTATTATTTTTCACTCAGACACGCATTCCACTCCCTTCTCCACAACTAACCCTCTTCCGTACACTCCACGCAGTAAACAAAATGCATATAAATAAAAATTGGAATTCACATTGTCAACAATTTTATGCCTAGTAATTAAGCAATTTTAGTATTACAATTATTACCTTTAACCATTATACGCTCCTTTATAGGCCCGAGTGGCCAAGAAAAAGGATTAATAAAATTCATATTCATATTCATATTCATATGTATGTGCACACAGGTAATGACTTCTCATAATTGTACATAAGACTCGAGACGAATTTATTAATTATTTATAAGCCCACGAGCTATAATGATTTCTGAATTTTACAATAAATAATCAAAGGATACTTAGCAAGGGCCGTCTGTCCAAATACTTAACAAAGCAATTAGAATGCAAACTAAACTAATTATAAGTATAATAATTATGTATGTACATGTGCACATATACACATAAGCATATACATTTATAATGCCGGATACTAATGAGTACTTTAAACTATTCACTTATGTAAGCCTTCAGTCTTATGTCTTATGAATCATGCTATTACGTAGTACATATTTAACGGATTTGATATAAAGCTTCAAGCTGTATAAAATTTGGCTGGACTTTATCAAATTTTCTAAATGACGTACATATGAATGTACAAATTTAACTCAAGTCAATTAAATATGCAAAAATGTCTTATATATACTTTTTGATGCAGACTTGTAACCTTAAATTGTGCATTCAATTTTCTGGGAAGTTACTACTGCATATAAGTATCTGTATGAGTATTAATAATCAATAAGCAGCTACTAATCGTAAGATATAAGTAGATTGCAAAATTAAATATGCACTTCCAAGTATAGAAAAATCGTCATCGTGTTTTCCTTATCATCGCAACACCAATTACCGCAAAATGAAGACTTCCTTGAATCTTAGGCTTAAAAACCACAAGACATCCGTTCTTTCTTCTTTATTTGTACATTATGTTTTGCAGTCAAGACGTATGTAGTGTAACTTGATATTTTAAATGAAACACATATTTCCGTACCATAAATATAGTTTTTCATAAAAATAAACGTCCAGTAACCATGATTAAGAAACTATCCAGCTCCCTTTCTTCACGAAAACCTAAAAAACCTCCGATAACTCACAACCAGTCAAATGTAATCGGGGCAAATTTTCTGGGTGACATTGAAGTCGTGAGATATTATTTAAAAAAGAAGTCTGAACAAGTTTTCCTATCCTACAAAGCAGACACGGCCGAGATTAGTTTAAAGTTGAGTAAAACTGGGAAAATTGATTGTGCAGGTAGCCAAATAAATAATTATTATGTAATTCATTTAACAATTGTAAGTAATTCCCCAATTTAAAATCCAGTGAGCCTCTACGAAATTAAGGAAATACGACCTGGAAAAAATTCTAAAGATTTTGAGCGTTGGGCAGTTGAGACGAAAAAAGTGGATCCTTGCAATTGCTTTGTAATCTTTTATGGGACTGAATTTCGACTGAAAACTTTGTCAGTCGTTGGTGAGGTCTAACTTATTTTGAGTTTAATCGTGATTGTCTATGTAATTTTACTTGTAATTAGTCGACAACAGAAAGGATGCCGAAAATTGGATAAAATGCTTAGATTATTTGATTGACATTAGACGGTCCGATTTTTATTTAACCAAATTGGACGTTTGGATGTTAAAAGAATATGAATCATTTTGTAGTCATAAAGGGTGAGCGTGGATTTGTTAATTTACAATAGGTAATTGACAATTCTTAACCAAATACATTTCTAAACAGGTTGACATTAAAGCAACTGAGATCTCTTACACTTCGGATAAATTATAAAATATCCATTGGAAAATTGGGGGAACAGTTTAGAAAATTTCAGCTGGAAGATGGGAAACTTGAGTTATCCGGATTTATGCAAATCATGGCTGGTATGCAAATAAAAAAGAACTTTCTTACTATTCGTCCATTTTTAATTTTTATCAACAATTACGTAACAATTAATTTTGTGAGTAATCACATCGTTTTAAATCTTTTCTGTAGGTTTCATTCATGACCAGCAGGTAGTTACATAGGTGGCAATAAGTTTATTTAATGGTCACTAAGCTGATAATACTGACCTTTTGGATGCAGATTTACACAGATTGTTTCGGGAAATACTCGCTAGGACCTAAGATTCTACTCACCGAGTTTGAGGAATTTTTAAAAAAAGAGCAGCACGAAAGAAATGCTTCGGAATATAATTCATTTTTTAGAGACTTTTCAAAAACTATGTCCGGAAGTAGGAAGGCAATTCCTTATCTGACAAGCAATGAGGTAGCCACCAATATCTACATACGTACTTTTTGTATGCTTGGATCGGATGGATCGAAGATGATGTGAACACCATTTTATTCACGATTTAATAATTGCAGGCAGTGAATTTCCTTTTCTCCAAACAAAACCAGCTTTACAATCCAAAAAATTGTGCCTCACAAGACATGACCCGTCCGTTGTCGCATTATTGGATTGCGTCGTCTCACAACACGTATATTTAAATATAAATTAATAACTTTATTTGACAAAATTATAATATTTAACCTTCATTAAAGGTATTTAACGGGAGACCAATTATCATCGGAATCATCATTAGAAGCATATGCACGGTTCGTTTTAATAAATTAGGGACTGTTCATAAAGCGTGATATTTTAGGAGGCTTCTAACCTTAAATCATGAGATGATGTTCTTTCCTAAACTCACTTTGACCCCACCTCTCAAATCGACTAAATAAATGCTTTATGCACGGTCCTTTAATAAATCTATAGTTCAGGAAGAGTATGAATATGTAAACGTATACACATGCATATTTATTTAGATGTCTCAGGCAAGGGTGCCGATGTATTGAATTGGATTGTTGGGATGGTAAGTTCATTACTTATGGAATTTTAAGACTTTAAGATAACCACAACTTTTGCAACATTAATATTTTGAAAGGTGACGGAATGCCAGTTATTTATCACGGACGAACATTAACAACTAAAATTTGCTTTCTGGACGTAATCAAGACCATTCGTGATCATGCATTTGTCACTTCACCGTAAATGCGTTGAAATTTTTCTTAAAAGTAAATTTGAAACACTCAAAAATTTATAAACGTCCAGGTATCCAGTCATTATCTCGGTTGAAAATCACTGCAGTGTAAAACAACAACGAATTATGGCCAAGAAATTTGAGGTTTGCTTTCATTCATATATATTTAATTGTGGAATTAATAGCAATTAATTGAATTGGAAAGTAGGAAATATTTGGCCGAATGTTAATCAGCAGCCCAATTTTTAAGGATGAAACAAATCTCCCATCACCAGAAAGTTTAAAAGGGAAAATTATCCTTAAATGTAAAAAGTTGCCGAAAGACGACCATGAAATTATAGAGTCTGCCCCAGTCGAGAAGGATAAAGGGTTAGATTTATGCGATACTGTAAAAAATGGCAGAATGTTCCTTCAAAATGGCGCAAACCATTGGGAGCCCTATTTCTTTGCATTGACGGATGACAAGTTGATTTACACGGAAATTGACAAAGAAATTGACGAGACTGATGCGAGAAAGTCGACAAATGTGGGTTTATGTAATTTTATTACTTATGTAATTTAAGCGTTGGAGTCATTTATCTAATTTCCTGCAATTCTGTATCAGTTGAGCGGAGAAGATTTGCATTTCTCGAAAAGATGGTATCATGGAAGAATTCAGGGTGGATTAAGGGTGGCAGAGGAAAGAGTCAAGAAGTTTGGCGTGGAGGGATCTTTTTTAGTCCGTCCAAGCGATACAATGCCTGGAGATTTTTCTCTCTGCTTTTTGTAGGTTTACATAAATAAATATTACAAATCTACAATTTTAAGTGTATTTTTAATGTGCTTATTTTCAGATCGCAAGGAAAAGCACATCACCTCAGAATAAAAAGCAACCCTGAGCAGACACGTTTTTATCTCGTTCCATCCAAATCCTTTGACAGTTTGTACTCTTTGATTTCATACTATCGTCAAAATCCACTCGACACAAAGGACTTTTATGTTGAACGCTTTACAAAACCTGTCCCGCAGCCGGAACGGCATGAAAGTCAACCGTGGTTTTACCCCAATCCAAAATACCCAGATTCAATGGATAGAAATGCGGCGGAGTATATTTTACAACGGGTTCCATTAAATGGTGCGTTTTTGGTGAGATACGCTGGTGAACCTGGACCAGGGGGAAGATTTGTTATTTCTTTCAGGTAAAGTGTGGTCGCACTGCATAATATTTAGGCAGATAAATAACATTAATGCCTACGAATCTCCTAAATTATAAACATTTGCCAGAATTGAGAAGCAAATCAAACACTGTCGAATAAAAGAAGAGGGCCGATTGCTGGTTGTAAATTCTACCCAAAAATTTGAAAGTGTGGACAAGCTTGTAGAATTTTACTATACACATTCATTCTACAAAGGTCTCAAGTTAAAACATCCAATTAATGAGGAATTGATAAAGTTCTCACAGACTGTGGAGGTACACATATGCAACTTTATAATATTACGCGAATTATGCAAATCATTAATTGCTGGTGAACGTATCTCTGTAGGACCCTGAAAGCAAAGTCTACTCTCATCCAGATTATCTCGACACAAATATTCCCCAAGTCCAAGTCCGTGCAATTTGCTGTTTCTCTCCATCATCGTCCGGAGACTTGGTTGGTGTCCCAGATCCAGATAAATTAGTACAATTTGATAAAGACGATATAATCACCAACGTCACAAAACATGATGGTCGATGGTGGCAAGGAGATTGCGGAAAAATTCTGCAAGGCTATTTTCCTCATGATTACGTTGAAGAAATCGAACATGCAGACTCTCCATTTGGCGAGCTGCAAAAAGGTTCGGTTGTTCTGGGGAAATCGGACATAGAAAAATCAAACGATGAAAACTTTGGATACATAATTCGCGTTTGGAGTGCAAGTAATCCGTTACCGTTTAAAGCAGCGGTCAAAACCATGCGAGAAGCTAAGGAATGGCAGGAAGCGATTAATTTTGTATTTGTTAAGAGTAGTAGTAAGGTAAGTAGTGAATATTTATTTTACTGATATGATACCGATACGGTGGCTTATCTCATTTTTATAACTTGTTAGATAACCCACTACGATAAAATCCAAAAAAAGAACAAGATCGCTAACGAATTTTCGAATTTGATAATTTACTGTTGTGCTGTACCCAAAGTCTCGCCAGAAATTATCAGAAGCAGAGGCAGGATTTTTAACGAGATGGCAAGTTTTTCAGAAATTGCTGCGGAAAAACAAATGTCCGAAGATCCAATGTTTTATGTGTGGTATCATGAGGTACATAATTCTGCCTGACTTTGTGAAAATTACCTCAGCTATAATTTAGCAAATTTTATGTTTTAGGTTCAGTTAAGTCGAGTGTATCCAAAGGGCCAGAGAGTGGACTCTTCGAATTATTATCCAAATAAATTCTGGGTTTATGGTTGTCAAATGGTGGCTTTAAATTATCAAAAGCCAGATAAACCCCTCCAATTAAATCACGGTCTTTTTAGACAAAACGGTCAATGTGGCTATGTTTTAAAGCCGGATTTTATGTTTAAGAAAAACTTTGATCCGTCAAAAGTTAAGGAACTAGTGGTCAATGGAATAAAACCAGTGAATCTCAAAATTACAGTAATTCGAACACATAAACGGACTAAATCATTAAACAAACTAATCTAAATTTTACGATAGGTCATTGCAGCCCGTCATCTCTCAAGATCTGGAAATAAACCAATTTCCAATCCATTTGTGGAAATTGAAATTTATGGAGCAGATTTTGATTGTCAAAGTGTTAAAACCAACAAAGTCGTAGGTTAGATTTTGAAATTTTGTTATACAAATTATTTACATATTTCAAAAATTCGTAAAAATCTCAAAACAACCATATAGCCGATAACGGATTGACTCCGTTTTGGAATGAAAAATTTGCAATGACAGTACAAAACCCACCTTTAGGTATTTTTGCATTATAATAATTATTTTGATCAACTTTTAATTTTTTGTAAACTTTAGCTCTGATCCGATTCGGTGTAATGGATGTGGATTCATTTGGTGATACATATTTCTTGGGACAAGCAACATACCCGGTAAAATTCTTAGTTTTCTTATCGATGCATACATAAGTTGAACTAAAAATTAATTCATGGAAATTAGGTGACTTGTATTCTTCAAGGATATAGAAGCGTCCCGTTAGAAAATGGATTTGGAGAAAGTCTTTTGTCAGCTCTTTTAATTCATTTAGAGATTTGTTAATCGAAATAAAGTTTTGGTACAAACAAGAAAATAAAAACTGGGTTCATTTTTTGCATGAAAACAAAAGTTTACCAACTTTACTGAACCATGTCTGGAGTATGTAAGTAATGTAAATACCTATATATAAATGCATATTCGAGAATTCTCAACCTTAAGTCGCCACGTAAGATTTTACATACTGGGCCCACTGTAACTGTAAGTGGCTGTTTTCTTCGAAACCGACAGAGATAATGAAAATCTGATGATTGCATTGGATTCCCCGTGCGATTTTGCATAAGTACCATAAATCAGGTTTTTACTATTTGCAATGCAAATTCGCATGGAAAATGTTGAATGGAAGCGGGCGGCGAAAATTTTTCATTACAAAAATGGGGAGAGAAATGGCGAATTTTAAAAGTGTGGCAGGAATCGAACGAGCCGTATAATTTAGCCCAACAGACTATAAAGACGTTCATGGGGGCGGGGTGGACTAACAACAGTCGAAGAAAAAAAATTTGAAATCCTACAAGGACCACACCCATCATGAAGGCGCTGAAGGATGGAATCCGAAGAAATTCACGAAATTCCAACGGAAACCAACCTCACAGCTGACAGTGTAGAAGCAGATTATTCAATGAGTGCTTAAATTGAACCTTAGACTTAGGACTTTGAAATGTGGTACTTGCCACATGCCGACCATCCCCCAAAGGGAAACCAGATTAAAGAAACCCAGGAGTGACTTCAAGCGGTACGCTCAGAAAAAGTGACGAGGATTCTATTTACAGATGAGGAGATTTTCACATAGGAAAAATATTTTAACAAGCGAGTTGGCCTTATCTACGCCAAATCTGTCAGAGACATCCCCCAATATAGACAAAAGGTCAGAAAGCCACATTATCCAAGCTTTGTGATGATTTTGGCAGGTGGGAGCTAATTGGGGCAATTTCTCTACATTTTGTTGAAAATGGGGGGAAGGTGGGGGGATCAAATTTCTTAAAATACGTTTTCGAGTCCGCGGTACATCCCCTAAGTGAGATCCAATTCATTGAAGTCGACTGGACCTTGCAGTAGGACTAGGAATCAGCTTATAGTGCAAAAAATGACCCAAGCGTGGTAAAAAACAAAATTCCGAACTTTTCCTCCTCTCGGAAATGGTAATTCTACTTTCTGGATTTGAATCTCCGGATTATGAAAAATGGTCAAAGTTAGGGGCAAATGTGTGTTCTAAGCCTCGTAGAAGTGTAGACATCGGAAAAAAATTTTTGACCACGGAATGGAACACTTTGCCCAGGAATTAGTGCGTGCTTCAGCGGAGAACTGCAGGCGGTTTCCTCAGCGCTGCATTAATGGCAGGGGAGGAAATTTCGAAAACTAAAAATTGTTTTCTACTCAGAAATTAATTAACTGGCTTTCGGTTAAAATTAACTCGAAATTCGTAACATAAAAACTGTTGAAGCCACAGGGTTTCATTTCACTTACAGTTTCAGTGGGCCACCTAGTACTCATTTATGCTTGGCCTCAGCAACACTTGTAAGTAAATTTTTATGTTATGTCTAGACAACTATCCATTATTTGGATAGTGGAGCTTGTGTGTCTATAAGTAAATATATATATTATGGACCTACCGTATATTCGCTAAATGAGTAAAACATTGACAAACAAGTTGTAGTATATCGGCCCGTGTTGATATAAATACTCTTGCAATAACTTAACGACTCATGATAAAGCTTGTGTAATTTGGCCTGATCTACAACAACACAAAGCGCAGCTGTAACCGGCTAGATGCACACTGCACATATGAATTCTTATCTTGTTATTAAATTCCTTCTCACATTGCATCGATGTATCTCACGTATGCAAATTTTCAGCTTTCCATCAGTGATGATTCATCACCGCGGACTGATATGTCAGTCTAAATCCCAATCACATCCTGTCCCCATTATTTCGAGGACTATATATTCTCCAGTCGCCCTAAATAATTCACTTTAGTTCAAATTGTACAATGGCTGGTTCGCAGGCTCCTCTCTCCCCCACGGGGACTGGACACACGCTTTCTCCTGGTCGCGACCCTATTTCAACACTCAAGGAACTTGCAGAACGGGATAATAGATTTTTGAGGCCGGATGAACCACGCATCGTGTTTAAGACGCCGGATGCAAAAATGCAAAACGGGGTATGGGTCGCTACTTGTGAATATTTCAATCGTGGAATGAACAAACATTATCGAGGTTAGCATTTCCAGTTTAATAATAAACATGTATAAACGACAGGTTTTGTTTATCAATTCTTTATTCGTCTTGCGTGGAAGACATGTAGTGGTTTGGTTAAATGCAGTAGAATGACAAACCGTTTCCGAAATTATGTACATAGGTGAAGGTCGATCCGTCGTGGTAAAAAAGGATGCAGCCCGTGAGGCCTGCCGAGCAGTACTGGAGGAATACTATGAGGACATGAATGTGGTAAACAGGATGGCCAATATGGCAATATCTGCGCCATCAGCTCCCACCCCTGAAGTTCCAGCGGCATTCTTAACGCCACCGGCGACACCACAAGCAACATCAAGTTCTGGAGTAGCACCAAACCGTCCACCACCTCCCGTCGCCGAAAGCCTGTCGCCTCTTGCAATGGGAAGTGCATCAGCCAGGACGTTACCGGCCAGATTATCAAATTGTTAGTATTCACGCCTATTTTGCGCTTACTACCGGTGTACGTTATAAACTAATAAATTCGTGTAAATAATTCCAGCCGTACATGCTCCAAATACTGACCCTAATTTATTAACTCCATCCGAATATACTCAACCAGGCAGCTCCTTGGTTCGGGTTCTACACTCCATATATTTCTACACTGACGTACAACTTGGCCAGGGAGGAATGGGATGTGTTTATAAGGGCCACTTCGGATTAAAGGAGTGTGCTGTTAAGCAGATAGGTAAGTGTGTTCACGCCAACAAATTGGAGCAAGAAGTTTTCATCCTGCAAAAGTTGCAACATGAAAATATCGTCGGTTATTTGCATTGTGAGACAAATCATGCGAATAATATCTTCATCGCGATGGAACTTGGACAGGATAATTTGGCCACAGTTATCAAAATGAAGAGATACGCTTCCAATGACCAACTGCGACAATACATGACGGACACCGGGGCAGGTCTCAGTTATCTGCACAAGGCAAAAGTTGTCCATCGAGATCTAAAACCTTCCAACATTCTCATTTTTAATGGGGACACTGCAAAGATAGCAGACTTTGGCATCAGCCGAATTGTGGATTCGATCACGCAGGGTGGAGACACAACCAATATTATGGGATCAAGCGGGTGGATGCCACCGGAAATGAATACGTCACAAGGTCGATATCACGGACCTGGAGATATTTTCGCTTTTGGATTAATTATATTCTACACTATGTCCAAAAACAATCTTCATGCCTTTGAGGAAGAAGCAGAGAATTCATCATCCAAGGTTCTAGAAAATAATATCCAGGACGTGAATAAGCTGCCAAACTGGACAAATCTAGCAGAATCCGAGTACAGTGTATCTCTTCGCAACCTGCTTTCACCAATACTTTCCAAGCAACCTAATAATCGACCCAAAATTGACGTCATTTTGGAACATCCGTTCTTTTGGAGTGCCAAAAAATATAAAGAATTTATCACCAATGTATCCAATGAGCTCAAAACGGCTGGAAAAAAGGTTAGAAATGCTTTGGATGCCGAATATGACTCATTGTCCATGAAAGAATTTAATCGTCATGTCAATTGGAAGATGCAACTCTGCCCCACAGTTCGAACTCATCTTTTGGAAAATTCAACTCATCCCAAAATCTACGATGCTGGGTCCCTCATTTCACTCGTGGAGTTTATTAGGGACAAAGATCAACACAAAACGGAATGGAACCAGCGAAGTCATAATAATGACGTTGGGATTGAGTTGAATAATTTGTTCGGTAATGGTGATCAAAGCTATGTGACTTATTTTGAGCGACAGATACAAGAATGTGTCCCCTTTCTCTATGTTACTCTCCAGAAGAAGGAGTTCCAAAAAGTTTTGGGTCAAGTAAAACAAGAATTTTACAAGATTAATGAGAATTCCGCATTCTGATCGGACTAAAATGTATTTCTTGAGACTTGTGCTACCTATAACAGTATGAAACTTGTGAAACTATGAAACCAGATAAAAATGAGATTTATTATATAATGCTAAATTAGATACAAATTACTTAGCCCATTCCTTTGTCACAACCTATCATAAGTGTATTGACATCAAAATATGTATTACAATAAACATATACAAATTTTTACTTCTTTAATACATTATTTCGTCACACAACTACTTACTTGGACCTTGCCAAGACCAACAATGTGCCCGTATTATGGGTACAAAACTCCTGAAATATTAGCGGTGTCAGTCTGTCCACAAAATTATTTCCGAACTGAACCCTTATCGGCGTAAAGGATTTCACCATTTTCCTCAAGTACTTGTCACTGAAACTCTTCTGCTTTTGACTCTCAATCCAACCAGAAGTTTTCAGAAGTATACTTTCCGCAGAATTCAAAACTATCAGCGAAGCCGTAATAGTATTTAAGTAAGCGACCAAAATGAACAGTAAATTGGCAATATTTAAATCATGGACGAGCATAATGAGTGCAAAGCAGCTAATAATCTGCATCCCTGGAAGAATGTAGATCAGCGTTTGCAAAATCCTACCACGAATCGTCGAGTTTATCAGTTTGTCCAATACTTGCAGATTTCTACAGGGTGTTAATAAAGTCCGATCCCATTTTTCCTGTAAAAAAGTGAAGGCTAGTATAAAAAAAAACACCAAGTCTTCTTCACCAAGTCTTTTTTCACTCAAATGGGCACTTTTCTGAAGGAGTTCTTCAAATTTCAGACGGTCATCGATATATTTTTGTGACATGAGAGGTTTTTTTGGTTAGTTTGTAAGCTGTGTGACCCCACTTCGTAGTTTTCACAAATTTTTGCACGGTCACACAGTTAATTTGCTTCTTCTTCTCTTTATAGCGTTTTGAGTCATTTAACTCCCTTGCTCAATTACGTAATGAACTACCGGTTTTCTTGCAAAGTCTGTTTTTAATCATTCTTTTTGTGGTAGGTGACACCTTTCTGGGTCGCCCTGGTCGCTTTTTGTTGTGGACAAAATTTTTATTCTTCCATTTCCAAACAGTTCTGCGGCTGCAGCCCAATTTTTGCACAATTTCTGTAGGTTTAAGCCCCTGCTGATGCAATGTTTGTATCTCAACTCTAAGATGCTCATGACTTACACGTTTAGTTGTTCCTCCCATGGTAAAAATTTGAAATAAATAACTTCACTGGTTCAAAAGTTCCAGCTGAATTTGTAACAACCACGCTCCAAAAAATGCATGGGATCGGACTTTATTAACACCCTTTATATGTCCAGATTTTCGTTTTACCTGGATCACTGGCTTTCCATTTTGAGCAAAAGGTGCTGCATTCCGTGTAAAGGATAATTATCCCGCTAAACATGGTGTAAACAGAGTATTGAAAAGCTCCAAGTAACATTTGGAGTGCCATGACGAACTCAGCAATGCAAAGAAAAATTTTGATAACGAAGAACCCAAAATTTGAATTATTTTGTCCCCAGCAAATTATAATTGAGCCAAGAGCAGGTGTCGAGCACGGGTTAAAGAACACGAGCAGCGTCACTGCGGCAGAGATCAGCCACATGCTGATTTCTAGTCCGATGAAAAATATTTTGCAGAGGGTTGCAAAAATTTCGCTGGGTGGACCTGATTAGAAATTTTTTATGTATACATATTTCAAGTAAAATAATATACTGTAAAATTAATGCATCGTTTTGAGGGCACATACATACGTTTAAATACTTACCTGATATTCTATCGAAAAGGGACCAGTTATTTATTTGCATTGGTACATAATCCGGGTCAAACTCAAATCTGAAAGCTAGGGTGAACAAATATAATCCAGAAAACATGACGGATTGCAAATTTTGCAATAATCCATGCCCCTCGGCAGCCATTATTACGGCGATTGCTTGTAGGATTACGTATCCTGTGTGGATAAGTATCCACTTATGGACGGAGGAATGATGATCTCGCTGTCGTAATCTAATTCTGCCTGTTTCTTCATCCCATTCAAAGTACGAACACCCAAAATATTTTGATAAGGTTAAGTAGCGTCGTAGAGAGGGTATAATTGGCTGAAGGGCCATATCCCGGTTTAAGGGTAAATTAATTACCGACTAGAAAATAAATAAAATACCTACAAGATCAATACATAGCGTAGTGCGGAGGGTTTCAGGGTTTCAGCTAACGCAATATGAGGTGGAACTAGATACGTAATTGCATTCGAGATCCATTCACCTATTGAGATTGAACGGAAATGCTTGACAGCTTGAGTTTCCTTCGACAAGTCCATTTTCGGGTATGGCTTGAACAATTACTTCGGAATTCGACGCATTCGAAAATTGGCACCGAACTTCTAGATTGCAAACTATATAGACACGTGGCAAATGATTCCTACGAGTCATGTTCCTACCATTAACACCGAATAATCACACAATTATCCAACTTAAATGGCCATGCCTTGCATTGTATGAGTGTATGGCAACTAAGGTTGAAGGTTAATTTCCTGGCATGTATTTCGGGCTTGTATGTATGAACAGAATGAAAGCTTTGATTGATAGTCATCGCAAATGACAAAATATTTCTAAGTAGAGCTTGGAATCGAAAACCTCTGTGAAAGTTGTACACTCTGTATTCAAATTCGAATCGATATTAGTACGCATTTAGACTGGATAATTTACCGAAATTGGCAAAGACAATTTTCTCTCTACCTTACAGGAAACATACTTAATGGGAGTCGATAGGTGACAATTATATTTTGACACACAGATTTTATATTTCCAGGGAAATTATAAATGATAAAGCAACTTATAAAGTAACATTCAAATTTACGTGAATACAGACAATTATCTGAATCCCGCATTATGATGTCGATTTGTGGTGTAGAAATAGAGGAATTAATAGGAAATAGTAATTTTATGTACAACAGGTTGATGTCTGTGAATATGAAAAAAATGTATAATAAAATACGCAATTAATAAAATATAAAATGATACGGTATTGTTATGATGGATGATACATTATTGTTATGATGGGCAGTAAACAAATAGTTTCCTGGCAGTCAATCAAAGTTATTACTACGTAATAATTAGACATTAACTTCCAATTTTAAACTAGTAATTGCAATTTGTGCGAAGCTATAAAGTATTTTTTCGCAATTCACTTTTAACTGTCGCCCCTAAATTTTATTTCAATTTATCTCAAAACATTTATATGTATGCATTTACATAGCTAAGGCGATGATTATCTAAAGCAAATGATTCATCCCCCGTTATTTTCGGTTCCATTCCATTTAACTTTGCTTTTATTACAGAAGTTTGGACTAAAAAATGTTCCTTTCACTTTACAAGATTAGAATAAATAACGATTCTGGAATGTTAGCTGAGGCTAAAAATACATACAAAGCCAGGTGCAACTATTGCATAACATAACAAACACTAGAATGCATTCAATTAACTTTGTTTTCTACTGCAGTTTAGTTTTTTACAGAAATTTTGGTGGTGACGTGTGTACACAAATTTATGTAATTTGATGCATTCATTGTGGGAGGGATTCATTGGAAAGCATTAGAAGGAGGAAACACAGTAATGTAAGGTAATTGTAACATATTGTGAACATTTAATTCCAGATACTTCTCTTTTACCTCTGTGATATCTGAAAGTATATCTATCTAAATGGAATCAAGAGAAAACTAGCCAAATCCTGAAAGCTTTTGCCTATTTGTACAACTTACAGATCGCCAAAAGGATTCATTGCGATATATTTTTACTATGGGTATATTGTACAAAAGTATACAAGTAATCAATAAATTCTTTAAAAAAAGCTTAGGTGAGGCTTGCTTAAAAGGAGAAAACAAGCTGTTATCATCGTGTACTAAAATAATGTGGTGCATCAGTGTTCATCCTAGGATTTATCAATTTCGGTAAATATCCCAACAAATAAAATGCATTAGGGACCATTTGCCTCACCGTGGGCCGTTGTCAATTGTTTAATGGATATATACCTTCTTGATGATCATATATTGATATGAAAAATTTACAATAATTAAACGTTGCCACTATTAGATTATAATGTTGTCCTCTATGACCAGCTTTTTCAAAAATTTGTTTATGTAGGCTTAAATTTTTAAAGTTCAGTTTTCTTAAATGTGGATCATATGTAAGAAGTTTGATCATTAATTGATTATAGATAACGATATCCGATGACTCTTACTCCATGATCAGAACAAATTACTCAAAATTAGGAACGCACAGCAATATATTAAATAAGCAACCAAATTGGATAACTGAACCCAAGTTTTCTTTTTCGATAGAGTAAACCTTCATCATGTTGAAGAAAACCTCAGGAAAAGTTTTGCTAAAATCCTGGTCCGTAACTTTATTTGAGATTTGGCTTTATTTCTAAATATTTTTTTGCATTACATCGTTAACTTTTTAATAGCAACTCACCATTTGCATTGGTACATATGTATAAGCTACCTGTCCAACTTCATAAATCTCCAAAACTGTGGAATTCCGTAAATCCAGTATCATTTCATATTTATCGTATATTTTCACTGCGGTGAACATTGATAAACCTCAAAATTTATTTGTATCATAAAACGGCCCACGGTGAGGCAAATGGTCCCTAATGCATTTTATTTGTTGGGATATTTACCGAAATTGATAAATCCTAGGATGAACACTGATGCACCACATTATTTTAGTACACGATGATAACAGCTTGTTTTCTCCTTTTAAGCAAGCCTCACCTAAGCTTTTTTTTAAGAATTTATTTATTTTGTGTTTTTAAGCCTACAAATAAGAGTCCCTCCCAAATTAAAGGGTGCTGCATTTAATACCAAATTAATTATAATCTGTGGGTGCGGATGGGTTGCATATTAGATTAATTCCCCTATATGTAAGTGTGAATAATCTGGTATAGTCAGGCAGGTATTGTTTTCTGTATTACAGTTGCTACCGCGTGGTATTAAAATTATATCGGTCATTCAAAATTTGCTACCAATAGTAAAACTTTAGTACTGAGCTATTACATTCTTATATATGTGCATACAAACGGTGTACATTATGTACACCGTTTGGTGACGATTAACACCGGGTTTAAGAGTGTACTACATGGTATTACTTATCAATACCATTTTTTTTAGAATCGTGCTTGAATACCTGTTGTTATTATTTTAATATTGAA